TACGACGCGCCAAAGCAGCTTTTGATTCTGTTTTTCTGCAGTTCGTTGGCTTTCTTCATATTTCCAATTTCCAAAATGCAGTTTATACCGGTAACACTTCTGGTAGTGGTAGCCGTTGCTGCTGCCCAAACGGTTTCAAATAGTAGGTGTATATTTTTGTACCATTGCTGTGTTCGCACTTCGCATGTTTGACCTTTACGTAAATTCATGCAATATTTATGAAGTAAACAGATTTAAACAATTTGGTTATAAAGTTGTTTTTATTACAGCTGCGTCAATAGCGAGGCCCATATGTCCGGTATACGCTGACACTTCCGCCCAGGCAGCTAGCAGTTCTATCGTCGCCATTTCCAAGCCTGGCAACTGTCCCCCTGTGCCTGCAGTTTACTGTACTATGATAATGTACATGTGCCCTCGACCTGGATGCTTTTCGGACTATCGGTGTCCTGGAGCGCAGAAATGTTGCAGTAACGGATGTGGCATGCGAACGTGCAGTGATCCGACGTATTATTATCCAGCCAATCCTATCCCAACCGTCTCACCCATACCGGTTGTTGCTAGCAACTCTGGTGGATAAAGCTACAATCGTCGAAAGATCTTCCGAGAGCTGCTGATATTTAGATGCTTTAATGATGAGATATCATAAAATCGTTAATCGATGTACAAAATTCAGTCGCCCATTGTCGGTCACTATTGCAAGTCAACATTATCAATCCTGTGCTTCAAAGTGAAAACAAATTAGCTTATCTCGCTAGTTTCTTATAATACGAGTATCCGAAATCCAGGGCATACGTATGTTTCCCTTCACAGTACTGGAGCATGGGTCACTACAACAAGCAAAAATATTGAAAATTTGGGAGACCTGCCTAATCCGTACGTATGCTTGATTAGAACTCACAAAAAACGCTGTACACTCAGATTTCGAAGCAACATATCAGAATTATCTTATTGTTACGAAATGCATCGGTTGCCAACTTGCCACTCGCCAGCAAACTAGTATAATGCCAGCATCCATCGGCCTGGAAAACAAACGGGGGCTGATTTAATACCGGGGATGAAAAGAATGTAGGTGTACACTGCATTAGTATGTTAAAAATTTGCTCAAGTACTTCACAATCGTCTTCAGCCTGTTTCAGATTTCAGTTCCAGATTCCTTATGCCATTTGCATTGCAGTGTATACACGCTACACAGTTGCCGTCGTGGTCGTGGGTTTGGATAGACTTCAGTTATCCCGAGTAAAACAGTTTGTAAAAAATATGTTAGCTGAACGTTAGTTAAAGGCCAAAATTCGAACATGTTCGAATTTTGGCCTTTAACTAACGTTTAGCTGACGTATGTTTTACAAACTGTTTTACTCGGGTATTACATTTATTCACCTGACTTGTGTGCGCGTCAGAGAAAACCTTCTTTTACATTTTTTGGACAATTAATAGAAAAATGCAAATAGCTGCACCGTGTTGCATAAGGAATACCAGGCTGTACTCGAATTGCAGTCGAAAAGGTACCGGTGAAGATTGCGCATTTTTTTCCATGCGAGAGCAATCAGAGTACAAATAAGCTAACAACCCTATATTAATACGAGGACATTTGGGTGCTTTGAACATACCCTGCACGATTAGGCTGCGATGAACAGCCGGCTAAATTTATAGCCGTTTGCATTCAGACTGTGATATCATTAGCGTTGCGAGCTACGGCTAACCAGCTGTTCATCGCAGCCTAATCGTGCAGGGTATGTTCAAAGCACCCAAATGTCCTCGTATATCTTTTGTTTGTAGCAAAGCAGTTTTCTGTGACATTTAATCGCGCTGAACATATTCCAGCGGATTTTTATTCCGTACTATTTACACTGTACGCCCACCATGCGCATCTGTGTATTGAAAAAAGGGAAGGGTTTCAACTGGGCGCGCGATTCACTGCCAGCACATAGTATCATTTCATTGTATCATAGTATCCTTAACTGGGAAGACTGCTTTCAGCCATCTTTACATTGTAGGGTTCTTCGAAGTTTTGCGACTTCAGTTTATTGCTTGGGAGAAACCTTTTGCACAATCGAATTCTTAAATTCCAAGGAATCTAATGATACTATGTGCGGGCAGTGAATCGCGCGCCCAGTTGAAGCCCTTCCATTTTGAGTACGAATATATTGTTTCAGCAAAAAAAGCGTCGTAGTTACAGCAAAACTCATCCATTGTGACCTTTTTTATCGATTGTCGTCTGTGGCCATGTACTGCGGTAGGAAGATTCACTAGATTATTTTCGTGGTGCCTACAAAATGCTACTGTGAAGGCTGGTGCTACATGTCACTTAGACCTTTGGCATTAGACCTTTGGAAGTTGCTGTACAATTTCATGGGGTTGGTCAGTTCTTGTGGTGCTGTGCTCGACAACCCATACCGGCTTGAAGCTGCCTATCCAGTTGCAGAGCACATGCATACCATACGCTAATTGTTTCAGTTGGTCATTAACACCCACGTGGGCCACGTTACTAGTAGAAGTACCCTAATTGTGCAAGTTTCATTTGGGCAACGTGTCACTGCGGTAGCAACAGTAAGTACTCGTATTAACAGTAGGTGCTAACAGTAAGTATTAAGTATTAACGGTAGTTATATGAATACTAAACATCTCTAGCAGGTCTTTGGCCTCTCATGTTAGACCGCGGTAATCTCCGCTTCTGCTCATCCGATCTTCCTGCTTCAAAATGTTTTGAAAACCTCCCAGTCTGGCGGGTGATCTAAGACCAGTCGTTGTTTGTTGAATTCAGAACCGCAATCCCAGTGGTCACTCAAAAGCTTGTTACCATGGATGCCATAGGTCTAACATGGGCTGGTCTGTTACCACGGTCACAATTATACTGCACTCAAACAAGAAACAGCTTTGGCTTCGCCTCTGCGTTTCTCATGGTCCAAAATCGGACCAAACAAATGATCAAGCTCGTCTTCAGTTCATTTGCAAGCTTCTGAGGAGACTATTAGCCGCTGTGCACGAAACTGCTTCAAACAAAATACTAACTGCTATTGCTTCCTCGAATACACTGCAATCTATGAATTTTAAACTGATTCATTTACCCAGTCGTAAGCCAATATTCATCCGTGGTCAGCTTGTTAACTACATCCGTAACAGCCGTGACGGCCTTTGCTAAGAAAATTATGTTTAGACGAACGGGTAGGCCGATTTAAACGCGGTAAAGTGCGCCAGAATCGTCGCAACGACGCGGGTGATGTTGCGCTATCGCCGACCCGATGCGCCTCGAGGGAAAGCAGGTGCCTCAAAAAACAAATTGTTGCCATGGGCCTGTCAGCCTCGGCTTCAGACATCGATCTCATATGTTTATAGCAAAGTATTGCAAACTATGTTGACTGCTTATTACTTCAGGGTATGAAGTAGAGGGCGCACCTCGTATTCCTAGGTATTCTTAGGTATTCTTAGGTTTTTAAGTTTCTTAGGTTTTTAGATTTCTTGGGTTTCTTTGTTTCTTAGGTTTCTTAGGCATTCTTAGGGTTTCTCAAGTTTTCTTAGATTTTCTCTTCCTTAGTTTTTCTAGTTTTCTTAGCGGTTGGGACCAATGCAATCAACCGTTGCGAAGTGTGCATTGCGTAACAAACTTGCGCCGCAAAAGTTTGTGTGCGGATGTAGATCCCGTAAACTGGTTATATGAATACTAACTACGTGACAAGGGTCCCCGACACTTTGCCGTTGTCTCGAATGTTCTCCCGTTCCACACATCCAATCTGCACGCTCTCAAGTGCTACAGAATCCTCTCAGTGTCGAGAGTGTTCCTGTATCATTAATTTTCTGGAATGCCCACTACCCACAATCCAGTGGTCACTCAAAAGCTTGTTACCATGGTGGCCATTAGCTTAACATGGGCTGTTTGTAAATCCCCAGATTGTTACTATGTGTTATTATATCGAATTGTCATTGAAATTAGCGAACTGCGCATTAGCAAAAATAACAGGTTCTGCTCACGCCTGTTTATTTTGTTCGTGCCTCCTTAATATAATAAACATCGTGCCATTAGTGGATTAGCGCAGACCAGTTGTATAGATACACGGAATCTATACATACAAACATGTGACGTCAGAACCTTCCGGAAACAGGCGTGTTTGTATAGATCGTAACGTATACGAGCGAGCTGGTGTGCGCCACGCGTATAGCTGCCAGCCATCTCGCATGCACACATACAAGCAGCCGATCTGACTGCCAGTTGATCTCCAAAACTTACAATACTCGTCTTTCGTTTGTCTTTCAGTGGATCTTCCCAATCGACATATCAAAAGATGTAGAAATTATTAGCGTTCAGTTTCGACTTGCACATCGTGACATTCCTGCACATTGTGTACAAGCTGCTCAAGCTGACTAAACACGAGATAAGATAATCGGTCATAACTGGTCCACAAAGCGATGATGAATTTTATCCGCATTGATGATCACGCCCCAATATATGCATGAATGTCGCTCTAGAAAAAGCTACTCGCGAGTAGCTTTTTCCAGCGCAAAAGGCGCCAAAGTGGACATTTTGCTTAAACAACACATGCACTCACAGACATAACTCTCCGGTTTACAATTTCAAAACGATAATTAATCCGGTTAATCGTGGAAGTTGCATAACTTCTTGCAGTCACTAACGGATTACAAACCATCACAAATTACTATTTGTTAATTGCTTAATTACTGCCATGCCTGCAAAATCAACGACTGCATCACAGCCAGCGCGCAAGAAAGCCAAGCCGAATGCAGCACGAAACCCACGGATCTTGCCAGCACAGCCTCTCACTTCTGCCCCGTCTTCTCTCCCAGTCTCCGCTCCACCAGCGCAGCCAGACAATCCCGTCGCTCGGCCTGACGATACCGGCGTGCGCGATTACCAAAAATGGACAAGAGAAGAAGAGAGAACTTTGGTGGATTGGCTTACTGAATTGAACAACTATGAAAGATGGAAATCCGCCGGGCAAACAGCAGGCCCAGAAAGCACAACAAAGAAGACCAGTGGAGAAACAAAGATGGCCGTCGCACGCGCAATTGCATTACATATTGCGGCGGTCTGTAAGACGGATCGGACTGATGCCAAGAAAATCAAGCAGAAGATTGGCATTTGGGAGCAAAAGTACAAGGCGGCGAGCGACTGGCTGGACAACACCGGCGCGGGTATTGAGCCGGATCTCAACCGTGCAGCAAGGCTACAGTCGAACAAAAATCAAAGGTAATAAAAACTCAAGAAAAGACAAATTTTAAAAATTTTAAAATTTAAAAAGTTAAACTTTCAACCGGATTCGAACATTTATCACTAAACAATACCTTGCAGAACAGCTTTTATCAGTTTAAAATCTTTAAAATGTCATCACTTTAAAATTCATTTTTGTTATTGCAAATCGCTATATTTTAACATAAAACTAGGAAATATAGTTTTATAATTCCATACAATAATAATTCCATACAATCGTTGTGATCAATTCGCAACATAAGTACAGTAATTATATTGGGGAACTATTAATGAATTTTAATTATTATCCTGTGAAATTAGGTTTATTGTCAAGTGTTATGTAATACCGTACTTGTGTCGTTGGTGCAAGTAGGTACAGTACCTGTATGCGCGTGTAACTAAGTTTTGGTTTTTAAATGCTACTTCAATAATTTTGCCGTATTGTACATGCAGCGGTACATGTGAAACTGCGAATAGTAAAATTGCCATATACCTTTGCTTTATAAATTATATGTCGCCGAATTTAAATGCACGTATCTCCGTAGGGAATAAATCTTAATTACCGTAATAAGCAAAATATTTATATACATCATTATAGGATTAACGGGCGAACCACAGGTACATACATGTACATTGTGCACCATTATGATATTAGTCGTTTTCTTATAGACTACATCATTAAGCTGTTCCCCTACTTTTACGACCTGGATCCGGTGTTCAGCCTTCGGCCATCTATGCTGCCGCCTAGTATGCACGAAACCGCAGTGGCTTCGACAAGTGCCCAAGATCTTATGTTTCCTGGACGTGCAGGGGAGGTCAATGACATCGACAACAGTGTTGACGCAGAACCACAACAACCGGCGCCAATAGCATCGTCTAGCGCAGTGACCTCAAACAAGCAGCCAGTAAGCCCGGATGAAGATCACCGTAGTTATGCAGACAGACGGATGGATGGTGATGCCAGCTCGGAATCAGACACGGAAATTACTGCCCGCGATATTAAAGAAATTAATGGGGCGGAGAGAAAAACCATGAGAAAGCCGCCATCGGCCAAGACCACGATGTCGTTTTCGGAAACGCTTATGCGATTGGAACAAGGCAGAGGATCTCGGTTGGAGAAGACAGAGGAGGCCGCCAACCTGCGCGCCGCGGAGAAAGCGAAATTAGAGCGGGACAAACTGGAACTGCAGAAAAAACAGTTGGAAGGAGAAATAGAAGAACGAAAAATCCGCCTGGTCGAAGCCGAAAACAGACGTATGGAGCTGCGGCTTAGAATGAGAGAAGCCGGTTTAGAGTAGTACGATTCATTTTTGTTGTCCTAATTAATTACGTTAGCAGCGCAAAATCATTTTCCGTTTTTAATTCCAGTTTTAATACTTCGCAGTGTAATACACATTCAATTATTCTGCCATACTAGTTAATACAGCGTTTTTCATTCGTTCTCTTTTTTGTGTTCCTTCTTCTGTTTCTGGAATTGCTTCATGGGCCTCGTTCCCGTTTTCTTCTGACGCTTGTTGTGGCAGCTGTCCCCATTCAGTATCGTACGGGTCACTCATTTTGATGCATAAATTATGTAATATTACGCACGTTCGAAACCACAGTACGGCACGGCTATGATCATTTTTACAAGCAATTATATTTCGCAGCCCTTTAAACACTGGAAACGATTTTTTAGCATACCGATACAGTGCTCAACACGTACTCTAGCTCTTGAATGCTGCTTGTTGAAGCGCCGGTTAGCGAGATTTCTCCGTTTCTCCGACTTCCGGTACGGCGGCATAACTGTTGAGCTAATTGCGTAAGCGCTGTCCGCCAAAATGTATTCATCTTTCTTGAAGTATTTGCGTGGATTACGGTACAGATCAGTGCTCTTATAAACCCGGCTATCATGTGCAGACCCAGTAAACCCACAGGAAGTGTAAATTATCCGCTTTGAGTAATCGCACACAATCATCGCAGACAAGGCATACCGCTTTTTCCGGTTGAAGTAATCTTCTCCGTTCATCGAAGGTTTTGTGGCAAGAACGATGTCGGTGCCATCAACAAATCCAATGCAACTGGCAAAATGGTGCTTAGATTTGATTTTATGCTTTATAATCCGCTTCTCCGCTGTAGTAGGCCACCGCACTACTTCCTTCTCCAGAGAAACCAATGCCACAATAACGCGTTTTGTGAAGGCATCGACGGTTCCCTCTGATATCCCGAATTTCCGCGCAACCGATCCCACAGAAGCAGCATTTCCGCATGAACCGAACCGGCTAAGGGCTGTTGCGAGTTGCTTTGCGACAGGTGCTTGGCTGTTATTAGAGTTACCTTTAAAAATTGGGTGGTCGATGATTCGGGTGAGCACGGCGTCAAATGTTGCACGAGACATCCGCATTTCCTGTCGAAACCGGCTTTCATCCAGACTGAAGAGAAGATCGTCGTAGAATGCGCTAGACTTCGGTACGAATGGTCTCCCGACATAACGTAACTGATCGAGGTAAAAACGCAACATCAAAGGTGAAATCAAATCTGAAAACCCGTCATCGCTGTCTTCGCTATCCGATTCCGTACTCGTACTGCTGGTATCAGATTCTTCAGACTCGCTTGAGTCGTTAAAATAATCATTTAAATAATCTAATAAGATTATATGCTCAAGTAACTTAATGGCCGGTTTACGCTCATTAACTCGTGACATTTTGCAAAAATTTAAGATGATGATTTCTGCGTGTGTTGATTTACACAAAGGTATCAAAAGCAGTCAACAACTTACATATGTCTTACATATGTGAGCACGTTTTGGCGCTTTCAGAATAGCCCGCTCGATGCAAATGTGTGATGCATCAATGGCGTGCAACTATTTGATATCTCACGGAGTTTAAAGTTCAGTTTTTTTCGGCATGTGTCACAGATATATGGGTCTCATTTTTACACGTTTCAACAATGAGCCGAACTTAGAAATTAAATTTGAACTTCTTGATATCTGACAAGTGGATATTTATGACAAATCAAGATAGTTATGACTGTTTTCGTTTCTCGTAGACATAGCATAGGTCCGTGCGAGGAGGCGTTGCTTGCGTCCTATGTTAAGTCTACGAGAAACTACAACAGTCATAATTATCTTGATTTGTCATAAATATCCACTTGTCAGATATCGCCTCCTCGCACGGACCTATGCTATGTCTACGAGAAACGAAAACAGTCATAACTATCTTGATTTGTCATAAATATCCACTTGTCAGATATCGAAAAGTTTAAATTTAATTTCTACATCTTCTGATATGTCGATTGGGAAAATCCGTTGAGGAGTAAACGAAAGATAAGCGTTTGAAATTTTGATATCGACTGGCAGCTGGATCAGCTACTTGTTTGTATGCATCAAAAGGGGAGGAGTTACATGCATACACGTAAGGGCCTTACGTGGATGGATTTTTGGCACCGCCTTCATACACGCATACATGTAATTTGCGCGGCAGCGAATCAGTGCGCTGTGGGTTCGGCCGTGACGTCACATGTTTGTATGTATAGATTCCGTGTATCTATACAACTGGTCTGCGCTAATCCACTATTATTTAATACATATGCTCAAAATGCTCGAAATCCTAAGACATTATTCATCCGTGCTGGGTTTGTTAATGCTCTACGTCTCCTATGCAACCGTTACAGCGCGTGCGGGGATGCTGGAGAAGCTGCTGACTGGAAGCACGAACAAGGTGCGTGAACGCGAGTGCGTTGGCCACCTCTGATCGCTCCAGCCGCACAGGCAACCCCTTTATTTTGGTTGTGTTCAAGCAAAATAAACATACAGGAAACAACAGGTGCGCGGCGGGCGGGAGAACAAAATCAGCGACGTTCTGAACAAGAACTGAGCTAACGTGAAATGAGAACTCGTGAGGCGAGCATGCGAACAGTGCCACAAGAACAGCTCGAAACGAGCGTGTGCAAACGCTACAACAAAGCACGCGGCCGCCGCTGAGCCACCAAAGCGTCCAAAGGCATCCTGTCTGAATGGCCGGTCGGCCGCGAAGGCTAGCAGGCATCGCCGACGTAGCATAAACCTCAATTAACGCGTTAATTGGCAGTTATTGCTCTACGTCTCCTATGCAACCGTCGCAGCGCGTGGGGGGATGCTGGAGAAGCTGCTGACCGGAAGCGCGAACAAGATGCGTGAACGCGAGTGCGTTGGCCACCTCTGATCGCTCCAGCCGCACAGGCAACCCCAAACTACCCCAAACCACTGCTCTGTCCGTAAGCGTCAAGGGCGTGTGTCGGAACAGCTGTGCGGACATATCTTGCATAGCAGGAAGACTTCCTTCTCCCAATCCTCTGAATTTTGGCTTCCGAGGCTCCGTGTGAGGCTGCTGTTGAAGCCGCACCGATGCGGAAGCTGTGCGTTCCATACCGATGCTTTTCGAGAATTCCGCGTAGGTGAGTTAGAAGCCAGCGGTCAACTTGCGCTCTTGTGACAAACAGACCGTTCTCTTGCACAAACAGCGGCAGTGCGTGCAAATTGAAAGATCCCTTGCCGCGATGTCATTTCGCAATGCGGTGACAGGGCAGACTGATCGGCCGGTTGCGTGCAGCGCGATCCTGTACCCGTGTCCAAACTGGTCCTTCTTGAATTGTCGAATCGTAGAGGATAATTTTCGAGTGATAATTTTCCCGTATGTCGCTGATGAGCAGCTTGCTTCGCTCGTCATACTTGCTGGCGATGGGGAAAATAAACTCGCTTACTCAAAGTGCAGCAAAGAACGCCGTTGGGAAAATGCACCAAATAAGCCGCTGTTCGTAGTGGGATACGGCGGTCGATCTGATACTATCTCGTCTTCAGTTGCCGCATGACGTCCAGAGTGATGGGAAGGCGGCGATCCGACACTGTGGAACAAATGCGCTTGCAGCCGTCGATGACTCTGTTCACCGCCAACAAGACAGTGGGATTCAGCAAATTCGCTTTGGCGTGCGCATTGCCGATTCCGGCCATGAAGACTTTAACTGTAGCGGGCGATATCGTTTGAAGATAAAGTTGAGCCGCAAACCGTAGCACGGTTACTTCTGTCGCTGGTACTGACAGGGCGCCGTCATTAATACAGAATTGCAAAAACCGTGACCAGCCGGCACCGTGGGTCGTTCTTGTTGAAACGGAAGGATGGTGGTACTGAAGGTGTTCCATCGTCACGTCTAGTCTGTCGGGAGATTGAACGCGTTCTGCTGGTCGGCCCAGATGTTCGGGATGACTTCCGGGAAAGCCTTTGCGAGCGGTGCCAGCTTCCGGAACGCGCTACTACGCGGTAGGTGCAGCCGTTGCTGTTGGCTTGCCTTGCCGTCGGATGTGGGTGGGGCCTTCCGTCCGAGGTGGTGCAGCCGTCAAGTTCGCATACAAGCCGCCGGTGGGAGGAGAAGTTATCTTTGCCGTTAAAAGTTTCTGAGCCATCGCTTGCTGGCTTGCTGTCTGCTACAGTTGGTGCAGGCATACCGTCCGAGGAAGTTACAGCCGTCGTTAGTGGACCTGCTTATTGTCGAAAGAGGGCGCTGCCGTTGCTAGGGGGCATGTCTGCCGTCCGAAGAAAGGGCAACCGTCGCTTGCCGACGGCAGTAGGCACACCCAAGGTGGTGGCCCTGTATGCCGTCCGAGGAAGGTCAACCGCCGCTATGGATCTCCTTCCCGTCGGAGGAAGGCGCACCAAACATTGTGGCCTTGTATGCCGTCCGAGGAAGGTGCAACCGCCGCTAGGGGTCTGCTTCCCGTCGGAGGTAGGCGCACCGGAGATGGTGGCCTTGTATGCCGTCCGATGAAGGTGCAACCGCCGCTAGGGGTCTGCTTGCCATCGAAGGAGGGCACTGCCGTTGGAGGGGGGCCTGACTGCCGTCCGAGGAAGGTACGGCCGTCGCTGTTGAGCCTGCTTGCCGTCGGAGGAGGGCGCCGCCGTTGGAAAGGGGGCCTTGTATGCCGTCCGAGGAAGGTGCGGCCGTCGCTGGTGGGCCTACTTGCCGTCGGAGGAGGGCGCTGCTGTTTGAAGGGGGCCTCACAGCCGTCCGAAGATGCAGCTCTTCGCTAGATGCCTAGCTTGCTGTCGTTGGTGTGCGCCGCGCCGCCGCCGATCGTGGGAGCCTGTCAGTTGGCCGAGGAAGGTGCAGCCGTACCAGGAGTCCTACCTTGCTCTCCGAGGTGCAGCTCTCAACTCGGAGAGCAAGTTATTGGCCAAGCTTGGCGTCCAAGGAGTGCGCCGCTGTTGGAAGGGGGCCGTCGCTGCCGGAGGTAGAGCGGCAATTGTTGAAAGCCTGCATTGCTGTCCGAGGGAGGTGCTGCCGTCAAAGGCAGGTGCGGTCGTTGTTGATTTCTTGCTTCCCATTAAGGGTAGGTGCGACCGTAGTTGAAGGCCTGCCCTGCCGTTTAAAGAAGGGCTTGGTCAGCATTAGTGCAGATTTCCTTGGTGGCCTGTTTTCTCGTTAGGCGCAGCCACAGCAGCTGATGGACCGATCTCTCCACTGGACGGGCTGCGCTGAGCAGTGATCTTGTCCGCTGTTCCCTTTGCACTGATGGTTCTCTGTAAGGCCGCTTAACGAGTGCATATCGTTCAAAGCTGCCACGAGTGCGAGCTGTTCGCTTGGCTCTTTGGATATAGTTCGGATTTAGATGACGCACGCGATCTAATCTGAAATTCTGTTGGGTATTTAGCCAGTCGGTGATGGTAACAGGACCCAGAACGAGGAGAGCCATCGCACATACAGCACCAGGACCCTGCAAGGGAAAACTAGCCGCAGTGATCACCTAGATAACATCATAACTGCGAGGCGTGGAATACGGCTCGCGGAACAGCTCAAAATTCCAGAATTTAAGATGCAGATCAGGGAAGACGAAGATCTCGATTCCAAGGGCAGAACAAAATCAGCGACGTTCTGAACAAGAACTGAGCTAACGTGAAATGAGAACTCGTGAGGCGAGCATGCGAACAGTGCCACAAGAACAGCTCGAAACGAGCGTGTGCAAACGCTACAACAAAGCACGCGGCCGCCGCTGAGCCGCCAAAGCGTCCAAAGGCATCCTGTCTGAATGGCCGGTCGGCCGCGAAGGCTAGCAGGCATCGCCGACGTAGCATTAACCTCAATTAACGCGTTAATTGGCAGCTAACAGTCAGTGTTAAAATTGGTGGCAAAATACCTACAACGGAAATATCTCTTTAATTTTTTTCATCTGGTGTGTTAATCCTTGTTTACGTTTGTCGTTTGGTATCCGTTAATAAAGTACTGGTAACCACGAGTGATTTATTATATGGAAGACAGCAGAGAGCCCATTGATGATACGGCTGTCTTTGCGGGAATAAAACAGAGACTTATCTGCATGGTTTCTGTACGTTCAGATAAGGTCATCGCGCACATTAATTTTAATAGCGTAATGTTCTCGAAAGTTTTTCAATCTGATTTCAGTCTCCGGTGTGTTGCAATAATTTTATGCTTTTTATAAAAGCAGTGACAGCCTAACAGGGTAAATTTGTGCCGAAAATCGATATAAATCAAAAGTGGGCAGTACTATATGGAACACAGATAACAAATTATTAATAGAGCATTACAATATTTAAGAATGCGCACAAACTGAGAATAAATAACGCAGTGCTCTGTGACCGCAAAATGGGAACAAAATTTAAAAAACCACAAACACCGGAGCGCTCTACACATGGAGCTGTAGCACTTCCGATCACAATCGGAAGCACTTGCCCGATTCTTGTGAGATTCATTTACATCAAACGCAAGTTTGCTGCTTGGTAAGCAAGCACAGCGTTTAGTCAAAATTACAGCAATCCAACTGCTGCTGCGTATATAATCCATCTACTCTGTAAATGACTAATCATAAGTAAAGCAATATGCTTTAATTTCAAATGCCATAGAATACAGATCGTTTTTTAAGCGTACATAGTACAGATACATAAGTACGTCTAAAATAATAAAGTTGTCACTGGTGTTTGTTATTAAGTGGTTGGATGATTGGCGACCGGTACCTTATATTAATTAGTGACACCGATACGGGACAACAAAGAACTTCGAACCTCTAACTCGACAAGTACGGTCACCAGCTTTGTTGCAGTTGTTCTTGGTAGTTTACCACTAAATTTTGTTTTATTTTTATTTTTTCACGAAATTCACTATAAATTCTGTAATACAAGACATTGCAGTTTTGCTTTTTGTACATACAGCTAATGCATGGATGAAACAGTGAACTACTGAACCAAGTATAGCAAGAGAACTCGCTATCGTAAACATATGCCTATTTACAGAAGCGAAATTCGATACAACGTGGTCAGTGATGTTTAATGGCATAGAAGGGTCTCTCAAGTTATCAGATGGGTGCCTAAACTTAACACACAGCCTCATTTCAGTAAACCGGTGTAGTCCCGTCGCCTGATGTCACCACAACTTCCACAAGGTCACCGTCGGTCCGTACAACCGTTTTACTGGCCGCTGACGTGCTCGGGTTCGCCATAACCGTTTCGTAATCCGGGGGCGGTGCGTTAAGTGTGCATTGCAGCTCGTCCTGTTTGTCGGTCTTTAAGTAGCGGATGCACGCCATGACAGTTACCCAAAAGTACAACTGAAAAGCAGATATTTATCGGTTGTGGCTAACCGAATTCGTCTAAAGTCAAAATTTTGAAGGAACTGTCAGAATTACTGACCTTTACAACCAAGATGCATACTAAGATGACTGCAGCAATGAAGAAGACCAACCAGCGATTTAGTCCACATACTTGGTCGCGAAGGGGATGGTGTGGCTGGTAAAATTCACAACATCAGTAGGATTTGAATTAAAAAGGATCATGGCATAACTATCATTTATGTCGAGTTTCAAAACTGCATGATGTCTGCATCAGTACTCACTTTTTAGATAAAATAGCTGTACCAGTATTTACTGTAATTACGGAAAAGATAGCCACGGAGAACCGATTCAATATATACAGGCTAACCATATAATAATATTTGTTTTTAATCATTAAAATGCAAAACATGAAACACTACAAAGAACGGAATTTTTTAGATGCTCTACTTACGTTGGACATGATTTCACTCTTGATCCCAGGACCATTTACAAACAATTGATAACAAGTACCAATAAAGCAAATCAAAACGTCTCCAAACTGGAAGGCGCTAAAGCACGTCATATATCCCGGTCGAGACTGCAAGGAACACGCTTCATAAATGTTAAGGTCCAACTGCCATCAGTTATTGCATAATATAAAATTTGTAATACATAAGATGCTGATATCTTGATACGAGTATTTGGTCGTAAAATTTCGAAATTTCGAAAATTTTAGCAAAAATTATATTTTGCATGATAAAATTTCAAAGCCATTATTCTTCTTGCCAGTTGCCATACATTCATTTTGCCATCCCATACATTCATTTTTTGTAAAAATATTACGGATGTATCCGTATGAATTAAATTAGGAGAAACAAAATTAACGAATATTACCTGGGTGCCATTTTCGCAGCTTTAACTGCAGCGACGTACCGTACCACTATATACTTAACAATACTGAAAACGTACAGTTGTCAACAAGCACCTCTAGATTGTAAGAATATCGTTGCTACTGTATCGTACACAGTTTACACATTTTGAGGATTTAATCACGCAAAATTCAGGAAAAATATTTATGTTGGGCTGCTTCTGTATGAGTACTTTAGTCTTATGTACTCCAGTAGCCAGTGACGGTGGCAGCAGGAACCTACGTTAAGATTCCAGATGACGCTGATAATGGTACAAAAGGTGTATTGTACACTATACTGCAGCTACGAAGTATAGATGTACACTGCCTGTACATTGAACATCGCTCTAATTAAAAGAGTGTTCCCTCCAGCCGAGCGATACGAGCATTATGTACTCCTGGTCCTGGACATACGTTCTTCGTTAGCCTTGTCTTAGTACCGGAAGCTACCGCAATGAGCCGAGGTTACATTACTTACATATGATAATGACATTCTCGGCAGCTTTTAATCTGAGCATATCAATAATTAAGAGCGATTTATTAAAGCCGCGCGACTGCAACGCTCGCTGTACTTGTACGCGTGCACAGAGTCTGAAGTCGTTGTGTGATTTGTGTTAAAGCACAAGAAGAAAACATCGCTCGCTAAGATCGATTGCTGCGGTGCGGCGGATTACCATGCGAAAACTGCGAAATTGTTGCGAACATGATTATTAATAATATATTATTGTATGTCAGAAACGATATTCGATACCGTATCGATTACATCCTATGTCATCTACTAGTATTTTACCCAATGAATGCTGTTATAGAGCTGTACAAACTACAGTAATTACGGGAGTCCAGTAAACTATTCCGTTACAGGAAATAAAATATACAAAATATGCAGACCTCACCTTGATGATTCCGATGACCATGAAGAGCGGGCTTATAAACATAATCATGCTGATGATGAAGGCGAAGTACAGTTTGTCGCGTTTAACCAGCAGTTCCTGGGAAATGCTGTCGAAGACGAAACAAGTCCAGTAATACCACGTCAGTTCATCCACTGCCTCGTAGTCCCACACAATCATTTGACCGGTCGTCGTTGACGTCACGCTGCTGCTGGTCATGGTGGCCACTTTCGGCAACTGCGTGGTTTTACTGTACGCTGTAGACCCGCGGGAGGCCGGCGTGTCGCTTGGACCCGGGGTCACTTTGAAGGTGTCGATCTCCACGGACATGGCGTTCTCGCCGAGTTCATCCGTGCCAATGCACAGATGGTACATTAGGACGCACACGGCGTACAGGTGGATCACCTGATCGCACATTATAACATGGACCAATGTTCAAGGACTATGAACAGATTTGAAAAGAAAAAACACAGTAGCTACTAGTTGGAACGATGCTGCGAATTTACCGTTTGTAAGGTTCCCCATACAGCGGCGCTAATCTTCGCTTCCCGCTTGGAAATACTACTACGGAGATCCGATCGTGAATCCCCGTTACCGCTACTGCTCCGACGTGTTCGATCAGTACCCAGTAATGGCGTCTGTGGTGGCAGTTCGTCCGATGCAGGGTTGGCGTTCGTCATGGTTTCAAATTATGCTTGGCATCCACTAAGTTTTATGAAATCTACAGTAAAATTTGTTATAGGCAAATCTATGAAGCAGTACGTGCAGCTAGAAGTGCTCAACATAAGCGGTAGAGATCAATAGCACACGTCTATGCTCATTACGTGCCCGTACTGCACAGTGCGCGGTAATTATCGTCAAAGCCGATTTTTGTGGTTACGAGAAATGAATTTTATCCGAGATTAATGATTGGAATGATCAGAAATTTCATGCATGAGGAAAAGCAGAGACGTTGTGCAGCATGTAACCTATTACATGTTGAAGGTCGTTTCCCCATTGGCGGATGCAATCGATCGAATACAGCGCAACGCCACGGCGGCGGCGGACTGTGCTCACACGCATTTGGCATTCTTGGGATCCCCGTTCATGAGTGGAAGCCCCGCCTGGTGCATCGCTTCCCCGGGATGTTGAATGTAATCTTGCGTCGGTTACAAAAATCAATACGTCTACCTTCTTTTATAAACTATTGACTAACATAATAATATCGATACGTTTTGCCAGTGTTCGGCATGGTTTGACTTTGGATCGATAGTGCGCTACAGGGAAATGTTCGCATTCAGTTCAACTGGTCATGAAAACGTCGACGTATTCGGTATCGTACATTATCCATGCTAATTCATGACTTCATGCAGTCTTTCCATAACAGACATTGTAATTTTGTTTTACTTTTATTCATCAATTTTACGTTGACTAAGGGCAACAGCTGATGCGTTTTGTGTACTTACGAGTGTTAGTGTTTGAGCATCTGGGTCTTGAAACGGCGTCTAATGTACAATTTTTTAAATGCTAATATTTTGTGCAGTGTGTCGTACTGTATATGCAAAATACTGCTGCTGCTGCATATACTGCTGCAAAATTACTAATATTCAGAGGTCCAATATAAGAACGTGTTTTTACGATAGCTGTGTTAGTTTCTGTATCACTAACTCGAATTCATTACAAGCGTCGCGCCGCCATAATGGATTAGAAAATATGCATATGTGTTATTAGTAACTTTCCTACTCTTTTTACCTACAGTATTTGCTTTGTTAAAGCACTACCCTAGCTATTAGGACATGATGTAATTGCATTACTACACACGGCACTGATTTCCGTCTGCTTAAAATAAGCCAGTGGTAAATAGAAGCCTCACCTTTTCGGTACACTTGCGACGTCATAAAATGTGGCATGCTTGATGCACCAATATCTGCGATAACAGTAGGGTGTTCAAAATTACATTGCAACGATATGATATCATCCAAACTTCCACAGCTTACTTTGTCAAGTTCGTTTCCGCATTTGGTAACAAATTTCTGTTGAGTTTGTGTGAACAAGTACGTGCGCACGTACCGAACGATACAATCTTGCGTTTGCAGTATGCGACTTTAGTCAATAATTATTCATCTTTCGTCATTTCGTAAGGCGTAAACATTTTGATCTAAGATTCCAAAGTTTTGCATACAAGTTTCGCAGTAAACACTTGTATCATCAAGTACCTGTTGCAACTGCTCACCTTGGTTTTATGGGCTCAAAGACAGTATAGTCTGGCTGTCAGATTTCGTTAATTTTTTCTGCAACCTTAATTCAATCGTTGTTTTATACGACGTTCCAACCATAACTACTTTGATCAGAACCGCATTTAAGTTTGTATGTTGAGAGACGGAAATCCAATTAGTCCAGCGACCATTGTATTTATACTTTATATTTTACGCGGAACATCAGCAGACAGCTGACTCCGCGCCATGGAAAATGCGCGGCGTAAGTTTCCTTATTTACCATAATCATCATTTTCTTTTTGGTTTGATCCGTTGTATAGAAGTATCGTCAAAGACAAATGCCATTAAAAATAGAGTTAAAATAATTTGCAGAACCCAGAACGCTGCCCAAATTCAGACTACCGGTACAGTTACAGATGCTGGAAAACACCCACGAGTAAGACCAACGCTGCATACCTTCTTCAGTTTCTGCAAGGCTTATAATATTATTTCGAAGCCTTTAAATCCCGAAATGTATTGACATTATTATATTTTTGTAATATGTGCCCCTGCCTTGTATAGGCAGCAGTACCCTCTTGATTTCATCCCGTCGCACTTCGAAATGCAACTGGAGGAAAACGGGAAAATTCACGAGATTTCGCCTGACACGTTAGAGTGTTTAGGTACACTGGATCGTGGCACCTATGGCTTTGTTTACAAGTACAGACACCGATCGTCGCAATTTTTGATGGCCATCAAAGTATGAGAGAAACAAATAAGGACGTACATGAGATATCTGCTTACCGAATCAAACTCATCATATCGGAGCAACACAAACAACACACCAATAATTATAGCGTTAAATTCATAACTTACAATTAGCGCCTTTATGAGGTAACAAACAAAGTCCTGTTTGTGAAGTAGTAGTATTTATGTATCAGTCATTCAAGTACTTAAAAAGTTATAATCAGTTGTAAGTTCAGTGTAAATATTAACAAGTACAATTTACTGTAAAATTACAAGTGTCGATCAACAGCGTGCGACATAGCCTTAACGTTTCCAGTTTAATAATATTACCTTTTGTTTCTTGCCCTGTAGTCAATTCTGGTGCACAATAATAGCTCGGGTGATCCGTTGGATATGCGAAAACGATTGTACATGGATGTTGTGATAAACCAAAAAATTCAGCTAAACGAAGCAAACCAGGAATATCTAATTCGCTCCTTTGGCACATTAATCGCTGAAGTACTCCATTCACTTGTTTTTGCTAACAACAAATTATACATGTAGATAGGCTTGCCTTATGTTTTTTTTCAGAATGCTGTGTGGATTTGCATGGAACTGATGGACACTTCGTTGAGTAAGTTGAAACTCATACTATCATACGGATGCATTTTTTGCAGTGTGCTATCTTTATCGTTGGTATCTTGTATTGACTGATTTCTTAACAGAAAAATTTTACGAGCGAGTTTATGGCACGGGCAGAAGGTTACCGGAAGAAGTCATGGCATCCATTCTATTCTCTGTGAGACTCTTAGAAAATAAATTATGACGTCATCCATAAACAAGCCTTTGCAAAAGAAGATACGAGATCGTATATTTTTTCATTTTTTGTTTCATGTTGAAGGTCGTCAGCGGTCTGCACTTCTTGAAGGACCGGCTTAAAATAATGCATCGCGATATCAAGCCAAGGTATCGTCAAATTTAATCGTAAATGAATCGTCAATGTATATTATCATAAAAATACAGCTAAAATATTTTCGGACCGTACGCTTAGTGTCGAATATGCGTTTTATATTCTTAATGATTATCTATATCACGTAAAAGTTGTCAAGGTCATTAAAGATATGCACGTCTTCGTAATTTTTACGTTGCAGGAATATACAAATTAATTGTAATTGTTGTATTAATTGTTAAACAGAAATTCTATTCTATGTGCAGTAGTACGATTCTCACGCTTCCTAGGGTGGATATATTAATTCCTAAATAAACGTACATATACAATAATGATAATTCGCCACAGGCAAGTTTAATATATTGCAAACCCTTTGCTGTTGATACTGCATTCCCAAAGTGCTCCAATGTTTTCAAGTTTCACATCAATGCCTTTTTCAGCAACATTATGATGTCCAAGGATGGCAGAGTGAAAATCTGTGATTTTGGAATCAGTGCGGAGTTAGAAAAACACTCACAAAAAGCAATATTGGCGATCAGTATTACCAGGCGGTGTGTTCGTTAATCATCAGTCCGCTACATGTTATTTGCTTTTGTGACCGCACAATTTTTGCTTTTCAATTTCAGCCGGAACGTGTGGATACCGATTTACTTGCCAGTATGAACGAAAAAGGTTTTGACATCCGTACCGACGTGTGGAGTCTCGGGATTACATCGGTCGGTGTATATCTACATAAATGTAGCAACGTGACAAAGTGCTGCGTAGCATTGTACAACCATAACCACCTTAATTATAATCAATTTGATGATTTGGATCATAGTTATATTGACACATGTAATATGTAGGTCTGTAATTAATTTTTATTTGAAACTACAGAAATAATAATTTCAGTGATTAGTTGCAAAGTACTGCATGATACATTTTAGAAATTTAATTTTCTTGCTTATATTTCTATAAGTTTGTGTTGCTTGTAGTATGTTTAAATAATATACGTCTGCGACGACAACAGTGTATCGTAAACAGATGGAAATAGCCATGGGACAGCTACCTTTCCGGTCCACCACGGTCCTGGGTCTTGCGAAAGAAATAACGAGTCTTACTCCTCCAAAATTACCCCGTGATTTACCCTATTCCCTTGACTTCCGCGATTTCGTTACCGCTTGGTAAGCCGTTTAAGATGATACACGCGTTTTACTTCGTTTATAAACGAAGTAAAGCACGTGTATTTTCCTAGACAGAAAACAACGCTCTTCACAACTTCAGAATGGGCTGTATATAGGTCCTTTATTACCTTTATACATACTCTGTACGTACCTATTAAGATTTCGGCGTGTCATTAATCAACTATTGCCACTTAACGTTGGCTGGTCAATAATGAACAATATAATTTGGTACTCAAATTCGAGTTTTTTCTGACAAGTAACTGTTATCCAGTTGTCAAAGAGATTACTCGCAGCGTCCAAGGTATGCTGAATTATTGAACATACCGTTCCTAGCCAAGCAAGCCGCGAATCGCCACGATATCAGTTCCTATGTGCAGCAAGTACTGGACGGTGCAAGCGGAGATGTCGTGTGAAATGGACACGATATCAGCAAATAGGATAACTTATTTATTTTATTCTATATTTTTTAAGATTGTTTTTGAGTGATCATGATTCATGAGTGGTGGGTTGCCTCGTTTTTTTTTACTGACTCTAAAAGGTGAACCGTACTTGTCTTAGTGCACAGGCCAGAAGTTACTTCCGTATCAGTTTTTTTAGTTAAGGGTTCTGGGGCTTTGGAGTGGAGCAATACGTTTGATCCCAATAAAGAAATTATAAAGCGCCTTTACGCCTTTTTCGTAACTTGTGTCAAGGCTTGTGTGTATGTGTCATTGTGAATGCGACTGAGTTGTACGTAATGATCAAAAAAGTTAATTATAACATACACATAATTTAACTTTTAGAATTTTGTGATGCATAGAGGTATATAAAATTTCTTTTTAAAAAAATATTACAAAATTAAGTTGCTTTTTAGCACCAGTAGTTACGCTGGCTAGTAAAATAACAAAAAATTTATTCTGAGGTACAATATTGCATACAAAGAACTCTGCACTGAAGGACAAAACAAGCCGCAGATTGCGGAGATCAGTATTATACTATATTTACTATTTATTATATTAGTATTATATATCAAGATTAGTATTATATAATACATACGTACCGGTATCTTTTAAAGTTTTTCCCTTTTACGAAACAGAGGAATGATGAATGGTACGCAGTGCTACTATGGCCCCTTGATGTACATTTACACCAGTACAATACATAAGCTCACAGCTACGTGGGCGCGCGAGTGAGGGTGATCAACTGCTGTTTCAGCTGATTGAGTATCTGAGATCATAATTATGGTATGTATTTTGGATCTTTGAGTTTGATTTTCATTTTTGCTAACCATTGTGAATTCTTAGCTGCGACTACATTCTTTTCTTCAGGTATGATGTATCGTTCACTTGCAGAGTTTTGATTTTGATGACCGTTTCGCTGTCCCAGGTTTTACCGTTCTGTTTTGGTATGAAACGTTTGTATTTGCAGTTTGCTTGTGATCTAAAATAGTTTGCATTCTAATTGGGCAATTCGTAAAACCGTGGCACAACAACTGTATGTTTTATCCAAAATCAGTCGCAATCTGGGAAATGGCTGGTGAGTCGCATATTTTGCAAAAAAACGACCGAGCGTGCCATTAAAGGACAAATGTCGGCTTGTTCTTTGGCATGGACTTACAGATACTTCGCAAGCTCGCAACGATTTAAAATGTGCGGTCTCAGAGTCTCTTCTACGATTTCACCTGTTGCTAGTGCAGGCTGTGCTGCGCTGTAAATCAAAGACAGTGCTGTTATTATACGTTTGATTTGTCCTGATTACTTTTAATAGAGATCTGCGGCATTTCCACGTTCTCTGTCAAATTGGTAACAATTTTTGTTGCAGAAAATTTAGTCTCAAAGAGAGTGAAGGGGGTGACGTTTTCGTATCCCGAAAGCCTCGATCAAGCCGTGCCACAAATGCAGTGAGTAAGAGTGTGTGTGTGGAACAGCTGACAAGCACGTTCGTTGCATTGTACAGTTTTGGGTTGTGTACTAGTACTATTACTCTTTGACTTTAATACACATTTAAACTACTAGATGCATATTTATGTATATTTACTTGTAGCTCTGTGAGCAGAGTGAGCATGTGTAAAACATTTATTATTTGAAGGTTGAACGTTCATTATTCAGTTATTCTTGTCCCTTATTTCTGTTTCAACTTTCATGTGTTATTAAATTCCGCTCATGATCTCATGATTCCACGCATTTAGATTATTGTGTTATCAAGTACATGTTTGAAGTGCTGACCATCAGAATCTTTTTTCTTAAACTTGTTTTCGGAAACTTTGTGCGTGCGAAGTGCATCCGATAAGTGAATCTGGATGAATTCGTACTTCGCAGATCGGATGAGCGCGTGTCACAGGCTGCTTCGCAAACCACGATGCAATTTCACCCCGATGGTCCTGCGTATAATGTGTCAGCTGTTGATCTGGAATTCCTTGGGCATTTGGATAAGGGACAATACGGTTCCGTCAATAAATACCGGCATGCAGCGTCCGGCTACGTTATGGCCGTCAAGGTAGGCAGGCGATCGCCTTTTATGTTCATGCATCTCACTCTAAATATTTGTATTTTTGCCCACCAGCTTAAGTTTAGACTGTTTAGTTATATTGTGTGTTGTGATACTTTATTTATGTGTGAGTGTAATAGTGTTTATCTTTTTATGGTTCTTAATGATTCTTCTTAATGTTGTTACGTTTGTTTTTTCCCTACTCGGATTTTTTAGAGTTTTAACTGTTTCATTGAATCAAAATGTTCGAGGCGCCTTTTAATATTGCAGTTGCTGCTGCTAGGAAGTAGGAAGCTGCTTTTTATTATTATCCAACAGCCAACTACAGTATAGCTAGCTTTATATATAGCAGTAAAAGTTGTTACAGTATGTAATTGTTGTTAATAATTATTACCAAAACGTTTTAATTGGCCGCTCTCTGCCGCTGAATTACGACTGATTATTTTAGGATTGTATCCATGTGCACGAGATTCATAACGGTACAGCTAAAATGGCCCTTATAGGTGATAAAATTGACCGATGACCCCGAAAAAATGAAGTGTTTGAGAAAGGATCTGGAAGTGAATAGCGACATTAGGCAGCGTTATGGGAAATGTCCTTACCTAGTGCATTCTTTTGGCGATTTGTTCTGGGAGGTTAGTCAACCCGAAACTAGTCCCGTTCTAAGAGAGCCAAATCAAAAACTCCTGCTAAGTGTGCAAATTATTTCTCCGAATTTTCACCATTTCCAAAAGAAAGTGGTTCCTTGGCTTGACTGAGATTTAATGCGCGTTAAAAGTACAAGATAATTAATTGTGGTGTTAAAGGGCGAATTATGGATCTGCATGGAGCTAATGGATACGTGTCTTGGTACTGTATTACGTGTTACTTTCTTTTTTATTTCTAAATTCACTTGATCTGTTCATCGCTCCCTTACAGAAAAGTTCTACAAGAGCGTATTTAGATTGAACCAGCGGCTACCGGAAGACGTCATTGCCTACATTGCATATGCTGTGAGTGTCAGTTGTATACACTGTAACTCGTGCTGATGCCAGATGGTGAGCAGGGTTTACAGTAAAGGGTTTATTGCTGTAAAAGGGGTTTACTGCTGTAAAAGTTTTACAGTTAGTAAAAACTGCTAAGTTTTTTCTGTGTATCAAGCGAAAGTCTTAGTTTTTTTCTGTGAATTCTGAACAGTTGTGATGAATTAGGTGGTACATGGACTGACGTTTTTGAAGGAAGATTTGGATATTATGCATCGCGACGTGAAGCCTAGGTACTGTAATTTTTAAGATTAAAATAATACGTTCTCGGAGGTTCTCATGCTATAAAATGTGTCCACCAAGTTTCTGGACACTGAAATTGTTCACTGTACCGATGCACTTAAACTTATGTATGGCGATATAAGAAATCCATGTGTCAGAACAAAACGTTATCTGCTGTATCTGAAGCAACTCAGTTAAATTCCGGTAAACCATTTAAAAAACTTCATTTGTATACTTGATTAGCATTCCTTCAAGAAACTTTTAACCGCGATTTGGATTTTGCTTATCTTTCCATCTGATTCTATATGTGAAATTTTATTCTGGCTTGTGTTTACCTCTTTTTATAGCAACATTTTGGTATCACGGAACGGCGGAATAAAACTATGTGATTTTGGCATCAGTGCCAAACTGGTGAACTCATTGGCAAAAACGCACATTGGTCATGATCTCTACATGCCGGTAATTTTATGGCAAAGGGTATCTGTATATTCAGCTAGTTACTTACTTAGCTTATAGTTTTTGTCAAAAAAAGGGTTTTGCAAGGTTGGCACATCACCATCGCCGTAATTGCATAGTTCATTACTGTCTCTGCACTACAATCCCGGTTTCTGTCATATTTTCATACCGATAGACTGATACTGTAGTTATTTGTCGTATCGCCATACTTGTTGATTGTACTGTCTTTGGCAGTAACTATATTCACCTGGTTCGTTTGCAGCCTGAACGAGTTAATCCAAACTCGCCAACGGATGAGAAGCGGTACGATATTCGATCGGATGTCTGGAGTGTCGGCATTACTCTGGTATATGGCTTGAAAGCTAGATTTATGGCCTTTTGGCTTTAATATTTGATAAAGGCGCTCCAATAAAAAATATTTTAGTTAGTATATAATATTGCTGCTTTGAATAATTTTTTGCCATTGTCGCTGTTATGTGAATGTCGGTGCATTTGCGTCGTTAAGGATCTTTGCCAGGCGGTACGTTAACGGAAGTTTTTACTGTTTTTGTTAGGTTGAGATCGCAACTGGGAAGCAGCCTTTTGAAAACGGCAGCCTTTTCAGCCGAATTAGTCAGATTGTGGAAGGAGAGGCGCCCAATTTACCCAAAGAATCGCCATATTCAGATGATTTGCGCAGTTTTATCGCTTCGTGGTGAGTGTCACAATTCATAAACATCATGTAAAAAAATTAGTTGTATCTTCTCACTCTACTGCCGTAGGAATGGATGTTTCACTTGTATCTTTTGTGCCACTTACTTTCGATATTACAATAATTCCTGTACTCGGTTCATTAATTTTGTAGTTAAATTCCCGTCATGCGATAATTATGTAGCAAACACAAGTTATATTTTTTCTGTTGTTTCTGGTCTCATACAGTGAAGTTGCTTGGATAATTTGAATTTTGAATGATTTGAAATTTAACTTTGGACCGGCTTTTTGGTTGCAGTTGTAAAAAAGATGTTAACGAAAGACCGAAGTATGCGGATCTGTTGGCCATGACGTTTTTGAACGAAGGACGAAAACCTTGTGATATCAGCGTTTATGTGCAGTCCATTCTAGGTCCTCCATCCGAGCCGACTGCTTAGAAGCTGTGATTAGATAAATTGTGCTGCTTCATAAAGTCTAAGAATTCCTAAGATTTTTTGTGCATATATTTTTGTTTTTAGTTACGCTTTTGTGGCATACTCAGCGCTAGAGGTCTGAGTTTTTCGTAACAGGTAAATATTTGAGTTTTTAAGGTGATGCACAGTTGCACAACGCGCAAGTGTAGACTGCGCCGGCTCGCCATTTATACTGTGTTTTTAAATCTTTAATGTGTTATCGTATTTAATTGTGAGTGAATTTTGTGAGCGAAGACAACTCCTTAGATATTACGATAGAATGAACCGGTAAACCTAGAAATTTATTTTTTTACGTATTACGAGGTGCTTTGTAAGAGCATATGCGTACTTATTTTACTGCACCTCTCAAGTTTCACACTAGTTGGAGTGACTGTATGAACTATGAGATCGGTTTTAGTCTCACGTTTGGGCTTCCCTAGTATTATTGTTATTGGCGATAATGAGCGTACGGTGTTTGCACAGAATGAATTGCGCAATAGCGAAAGTTTTGCTTTGCAGTGTTAGTAAAACTGAAGTCACAAAATCGCACGGTAATCTATATTTTCCCTTGCCCAAATAAATTTTTCCATAATGCTTCCTACTATAATGTTAGTTGTGCTAACAGAAGAAAACCATAAATTAACGAATGATGCATGTTATGGTAAATTGTTAATATTTATTATCTGTCAGATCAATGTTAGTCAAACGTACTTACACCAAGTACTATAATTATTGTACCTCATAATTATTTAAATGCAGCTTCAACAGGTGCGAGGAAAGTGAAACGCAGGATAGTGAGATGACAGTGCATTTCATTTTACTGATTTTAGGCTTTACTGACGTATGCACTATGCAATGGCATCACATAGTATGCCATATACAATCGTCATGTAGTGTAAGGTGCAGGCAGTGGAGTATATACGAGTAGATATACCAAGTTTGTACTGTATTATTATTTTTCTTTCTAATGGTAAATTGTTAATAATGATCCCCGACGTACGTTTCACGTTTTATTAAGATTCTTATAAAGATAGTTAAAGTTTTGCGTTTCTAAAGTTTTGCAGTAGAAATACCTAAGTAGGCTTTTGTTATTATTGTGGAAACAAGGGATTGTCACAACTTCATTTTTCCATTTGAGCATTTTTCAACAGAACTAGTAAGTAGGAACGGAGCTTACAATTAGCAGTTGCTGCGGGTTTAAAATGTAGCTCCTTTTTCCAGTTTGTACCATTACTGACTGCTGAAGGCTGATTTTCTTTATTGTAAATTGTTGATTTTGAAAAGTTTGTCAGTGTGTGTACTTCGGTGCAGTGTCGCGCAGGCCAAAACCACCGAGACCGCAGCAAAGACCTGTTGACGATCGCACTCCTCCAGACGCGTACGTATTAAAGTGGCCGCAACTGGAAGTGCGTTGTGTGTTTGTGCGAGAATCCAGCGTTCGCATGCTTCGTTGCAGAGCACAGTTGCCCGCTCCGGCTATCGACAGTCGAGCCGTGATGCAGTTTGAGCCTAACGGAACGCCGTTCGAGGTGGCTGCCGATGATTTGGAGCTGGTGCGCAATCTGGGCCGTGGACAGTACGGCTCCGTGGACGAATACCGGCACAGGGTGTCCAGACACCATCTGGCTGTCAAGGTGAGTGCTGCAACGTGAAGGGACTTCTGTCTGGATGAAGAGGATATCCAAAATTACTGAGTGGATAAAATTTTCGATTGAGCTCGTAAAATGTTTCACTTTGGGTGGATTAACATGCCTTATTCCGCTCTGATATAATTATTCCACTTCTTTGATTTATTATATTATGCATTCATCTATGTTAGAATGTTGGTAATTGTTTGAAATTAGTATAGTTGCTAGCCGAGTATTTTTCTGTGCATGCTGTCATGTTATTAATTTTAAACTTTTGTTAACTTGTTGCTTGCATATGTAATGGAATAATAGCCATAATCATTATCGAATTTCCAGCTCATAACTCTCCGTTAAACTGCAGATTAGCAATGTGTCGCCTAAATTATTACAATAAAAATTGATTATTACCGTGTTATTGAAATTGTTACCGGGTTATTGAAATTGCAAATTTCATTTGGTAGCCACTAGTGGAATTTTCTTGGTGCTTTGTTAAGCAGTGCAAGTTGTTTTTCGAAAGTATTATCTTGATGTTTGCACTCGTCTGCGTAATAATACTTAATTATAGCGATTTAGGTAGAGCAGTGCAGCGAAAATCCCGAAAACTGTTCACTTTCTGTTGGTTACAGCGTATTCGTGTCACGGATGATGCGGAGCAGCGGAAGCGGATGCTGATGGACTTGGAAGTTAACAAGCTCCTAAATGGACTGGGTGGAGAGTGCCCGTACTTGGTCCGCTCCTTTGGCTCTCTGTTTCGCGAAGTACGTATGATGGCATGACTTTGTCATTCTTGACAACCAGCAACGGGATAATATTGTTATTGTGCTCCAAATATGTGTAAATCATTTACAGTACATATGTACGCACTTCTCCCTGCACCGGTCTATATACTCCTCCCAGTCTCGATTCGGTAGAGGGGTGGCTTTTCTATTTATATTTTACACTTGCTATTTACATATATCTATATTACATAATAAACTAACAATACGTTTTACTTGCAGGGCGATGTTTGGATTTGCATGGAAGTAATGGACACGTCGTTAGGCAAGTTGAGTACAGTAAGGAATATATCGCAGTACCGGTATTGCTGATTACTTAGTGGGCAGGAGTAAGAATAGTACTGTTTGGATTATTTTGCTATTCTTTTAGATGCATTTTACAAAAAGGTGTTCATCTTGGGTCATACAATACCGGAGCGGGTTATTGCGCACATTGCCTGGGCTGTACGTGAACACTGCGATGTTTTGCTTGAATTTCTGCAAGTCTGCATCTTGTAATTAAGTGAAGTTGCAGGCGCTTGTAGGTTTGAGTTTTCTGAAGTGTAAACTTGATATTATGCATCGCGATGTCAAACCCAGGTAAGAACCAGCGGTGCCACTACGGCAGCATACTGGTCACCATTACTATGAGCAGTAAAGACGCCCAGTTCTTATTGAAGAAAGCTTTTACAGAAATTATATTGTTTACAAATGATATCATTACCGAGTGCAAACTGGAAATACAGTTATAATGTTCCAGAGAAATAATGATAAATGTGCAAAAGTTCAGCTACAAATTACTTTGCCATTATTTTTGCTTCAGCAATATGCTGCTTTCACGACGGGGAGATGTGAAACTTTGTGATTTTGGCATCAGCGCAAAGCTGGTAAAATCTCACGCAAAGACGGCAATTGGATCTCCCTGTTATTTACCGGTAAGAGGATGTTTTCGAGTTAATTTGTGTTACTAATCTGCACTGTTTTTGTGGTACAGTGTTGTATGGTTGTGGTGTCTGAGTCAGATTTTGGATTTTTTTTTAGCCGGAGCGAATAACTCCTCCTAGCACCGAGTACGAGTACGACATACGTTCCGATGTTTGGAGTTATGGTTTAAGTCTGGTTAGTTCCATTTGGTTTCTTTACCAAAATAGTTGGGAAATTGGTATTTTTTAATGGTGTGTTATTCGGTTTAATTTTATTAACATGCAGAAATCATTTTGAAAAAATCCTGGCTTTGAAGCTTGGGCATCGATGCTTTTTAGATTGAGATTGCCCTTGGTAAATTTCCCTATAAATCTTGGAGAGACAAATTCGAGCAGATGAAGGAAGTGGTCGGTGGTCCGCCGCCATCTATTCCGGACTTTCTCTTCTCACATAATTTCCGCGATTTCGTTCGCAAGTGGTACGAGTACATGTATCTAACGGTGACAGATTAATCAGTATTGCGTTAAAACGCAAGTTCCATTAATTCATGTAAATAACTGCTGAATTTCTTTTGCGTTTCAGGATCTGTCTATTGCTAGAGTACTTTACGGAAAATTTGTTTTCAAATTTTTTTTACTAACTGTAATTAGTTCATTTTAGCATTCGCTGTTTTAAAGTAAGCTGAATTTGCGGAACATGAAATCCTTAGTCAGATGGACTGTTTTGCTTTTCGTGTTACAGTACGACTACAGAGGCTTTATATAAAGAGACTTTTATCTTAGAATACAGTGTGATTTTCTAGTTGCACGGTTGTTACGGGTTTTATTTAACTCTTGAATATTGCGCTTTTTGTTCGACAGTTGCGAAAAGGATGTTGATTTGCGGCCCACTTATCGCGAGCTGCAAGTAATGCCATTCTTGATCAGTGCCGAAATGGATGTGCAAACCGTGAGTGAATATTTCGTCGCCATTCTTGATGCACCGGTTCCTAATGTTGCCTAAAACCCCAATTCGTGGAGCCCTGTTTTCATACTTCCCGTACTGTCTTTTCATAGTGTGAATTTTTAGAAAGTTTTTTAGTTTTCTACGGTTTAATTGATTTTATGCTAGAGGCTGAGTTGATTGATGGTCGACCGTAAATTAATCCATGCAGATTCTTGCAGTAAGTGCCTGCAGAACGTAATATTGTTTGTTATTACACCGGTGAACGTGTAAATTGGCTCCAGAGAAGTGCTCAAAACGTATGATAAACGTTTTGAACACTTATAAACGTCGAAAACTTATAATAAACATACATAGATAAACTTATAAACGTCGAAAATATTTCTCGAAGTTCAATTTGAAGAAATGAAATCTTCGCCATAAAAGCCGTGAAAATTAAAAAAATTCCGCACTGCCGTGCTCATGACTACTCTGCTGAGTCGCCGCTGTGACTGGTGAATCACAATCTGACTCAAGAATCAGAACTGGCCATCGGCGGAACGTACGGTAGTTGACTAGTCATGTACGCAGTAATAATAATGTGCAGTAGTTTTATAACTTTTATAGAAGTTAAAAAGTTACAAGTATTACTGTGTGTTAGTCACTTATCATTGTTTTGATTTTTGAATTTTATCACGATCAACTTACAATTAAATCATTCTGGTCTTCTAGGATAGCCGTTGTGGTACGTCTCTACAGGAATCGCGGTCGCAATGCCTTGTAAGTACAGCTCGATTGGCGGTCGGACGGAGGACTTTTCGTAGGGAATCTAGGGATTCTTTCATTTTTTTAGTGTTAAGTTGTAAACTGTAAAGTATCATCTTCTTTCGAGAAGTTGTAAATGATATCACGTGTTTCAGTACATCGTTCGCGGCCACCATTGGCCAAACTGGACCAGAAGCAGCCTCAGAGGAACGATGAGTAAGCTGACGAACTGCTCTGTCATCCATAGCGCGATGTCTGTTGCTGGCAGCAGCATTCACTCGGGGTCCTTCAGTGAACCAGCATCAGTGGTTTCTCTTTGAACTAGTGCGCATTCGCCCGCTCCTGGCATTGATACGCGAGCCACGATGAAGTTCGAGATCGATGGCCCGGAGTACGAAGTGTCCTCCAATGATTTGGATTTTGTGCGGAGTTTGGGTCGCGGACAGTACGGATCCGTGGATGAATACAAACACAAGCCCTCGGGCTTCATCTTCGCCGTTAAGGTAGGTTGTCGACACAGAAACAATTCTGCCGCTAAATTTCACATTATTTCAATGCGTTCGCTTATTATAGTTTTTACTGAATTTTATTTAAATTTTAACTTTTCCCACGACTATTCACTAATGTTTCACACGTTTTTCGATGGGCTTTTCCACTGGCCTCACATCCTGGTGCACCAGTTTAACTTAATTCGCAAAGCCTCCTTTTGGGTATTTCTTTGAAATATGTAAGAACCTAAGGCTTAGGAACTGAAAGACGATAATATCACGATAATAAATGTGAAAATCTGTCTTTTTGGTGTAGCGTTCTGTTTGCTGTTGTTTGTTAGCGCATTCGTTCGACGGATGATCCGGAAGAACGCAAGACTATGCTGATGGATTTGAACGTTAACAAGCTGAGCGCTGGCAAATGTCCCTACGTTGTCCGGTCATTTGGGGCACTGTTTAGTGAGGTACGTCGTAACTGGTTTCTTTTCCTTAAAGATGGCGTGACTGAATTATGGTTGAATTAATGGGTTCATTTGTTATGCCTGTAGATTGCACTATGATGTCATGCACATCTTACTGTACAAATTAGTGACAGCTTCCGTTGTATGATTACTGTATACAACAGCCAATTTGTTCATACAGGGTGATCTCTGGATCTGCATGGAGATTATGGACAAGTCTTTAGGTAGGTAGCCGTTTTAGCATTATATCCTTCCTGTCTTTAGCAGTTGCTGTTCTCATAGTAGAATTTTTGTACAGTTTGTTACTCTTGGGGATTGAGATATATATTTTTTTGCACGATCGTTGAATAGGCCTTACATCAGGTTTTATTTTTTCTACAGAGATGTTCTACAAGAAAGTCTTCAGTTTAAACCAAACTATCCCAGAAAGTGTTATCGCCCATATTGCATTCGCGGTAAGCGTTTTGTCTACGCTGGACATGTATGCAAAGTATAAAATGATTAGTATCTACCTCTGGGTTCGTGTGTTGCATCTTGTTGTGGTTGTAGATGATTAGTGGATTAAAATTTCTGAAGGATGAGCTGAACATAATGCACAGGGATGTGAAGCCCAGGTATGACGGCAGCGGAAATTATTGGGTGATATGGATTGTAATGCAGTTCTGAATTTGCCCGTTTTAATGGCTGATCTTATTATAGCAATATTTTGCTTTCACGACGTGGTGATGTGAAACTTTGTGATTTCGGTATCAGCGGTCAGCTGGTACAGTCCATGGCCAAAACGAAGATCGGGTGTTCGTTTTATTTACCGGTAAGAAGTTGCTCCGTGCGCGCTTTTGTTAGGTATAAAAGGCGTAATTCTGCTGGTCTCCGCGGTACTGTTAGCTTCGAAACTCATAGTGATAAGGTAGAAGTTGGGTACATTGTGCAGCGGAGTTCTTTTATTCCTTGCCTCCACAAATTTCTTTATGCGGGTAAATTAACTTATGTTTAGATGAAATGATTGATACGTAATACCTCTGGACTATTAAACTTTTTCAGCCTGAACGGGTGGATCCCATGGCCACCGCTGAGGGAGGTGGTTACGATATCCGGTCAGATGTTTGGAGCTGCGGCATCACATTGGTGTGTGCTTTTTTTTGGAAAATTCCCATGGTTGGCAACATTTTCACCTTGCGTTCCAGATTGAAATTGCCATAGGCAAGCTGCCTTATAAATCTTGGAAGAGTCTGTTTCAGCAGATTAATGAAGTGGTCCACGGACCACCGCCTACACTCCCAAGTGATTCCCCTTATTCCCAAGATTTCCGCGACTTTGTTGACGCATGGTAAGGCGGTGCTAATGTAGCTGTTGCAAAAATGGATAATCTAACTGGTAATAGTCGGTACCGCACTTATCGGAAGTACCTTTAACAGCTTGTGGTTGGGAAATTGTGGTAGTTTGTCATCTCATGCTTTATCTCATAGAGCAATTGTTTCTCTGTGGTGCTTTTGATGGTTTTGATTTTTTTGGGTCCGAATAGCGATATCCGTATTCCTGTAACACATTGCTGTCGTTGGTTCTACCGTTAGTTTTTTTCTTTTTTTTGTTCTGGTTTGATGCTTTCGCCATTTTCGGACTAATGTTTTGGCGGTAACTTCATTTACCAATTCTAACCGTAAGGCTGGCTTGTTTGGGCGCGAGAATCTGGTACTGAATTTGTTATGCTTCTTGCATTGGCTCTGTGCTTGGGATGTCTATCCGTATTGATGTACTATTAATATTATTCCCGTTGCAGTTGCCAGAAGGACGTTACGCATCGGCCGAAGTACGACGTTTTATTGGAGATGCCCTTTTTGACAAAAGAAAAAGAGACCCCCAAGGACATAAGCACCTATGTGGTGGAGATCTTGGATACACCTATTTCTAATCCTGCTTGACCGCCTGCGAATGTAGTGCAGTACATCAGCCGAGTTTTCATCTGTTGTTTTGTTGCGCGGTTTTTGTATACTTGATTGGGTCATGCTGGTTGCGGGCGAAGTTGTTGTTTTGCGAGTGATTATAATGTTACGTTACTTTTCATGCAATTTAGTCATAAGGTTAATCTGTTACTCCGATGGACAACTGTGACGTTTTACAGTTTAAAACATGTCAGTGAATGGTCGTAAGTTTTGATTATTTGATACTGCTACTGTATTTATACGAAAATAATAAAAAGGTGCGCATGAAAGAATCATTGCACTTACTGTTAGTTGCTTATTGAAATCTGCTAGTAATAATAATTGTTCTATAACATTGGTGTTGTAATGTTGTTAATTACAAGCCCATCCAACAATTCTTTGACCGCTGTAAGCGGGAATTTAAAGAAACGTGGGCTTGAGCCATTTAATGTGCTTCGACACGTCACGCCACATGGGTCTGCGTATAAGCAACAAATCTGCATGTGTTGCAGTTACTGTATCTGTGATATACATTATAATATGTTTGGCATTATTTATTGCCATCATAATTGATAATAATTTTATGCTTTTGTTAGTTTTGTAACAGTATTATCTTTGCTTTGCAATACAATATCCATACGGCTGCTAGTGTACGAAATTTTTTCGAGAGAGAGGGAATCATTGTGGCCGACTGGCCCGCGCGGTCTCCGGATCTAAACGTGATAGAAAATTTATGGACTGTGATGAAACAATATATCACCCTTTTCCAGCCACAGAACCTGGTGCAGTTGCGTCATCTGATAAAAGAAGCCTGGGTGATGTCTGCCACAACAGAATTCTGCCAGAATCTTTACAAATCTATTCCAGTGAGATATGAGAAGGTCTTCCACGCGGGTGGCGCTCGAACTGAGTACTGATATTTCGTTCCATATTTCGTTTTATGGATGGTAGTTCATAAACCGATCTGTTTCTTTTGTAATTACTAATAATTTAACTGTGATAATTCTAACTGCGATCTGTTTGGTTTTGTTGATTAACCTGATAATTTTAACTGTGATGATGGCTTTATCGGTGATTAATTGTGATCTAATTTATTATTATTGGTTAAATATTGATAAATATATCTGCCACTACACTACGATGCGTATTTGCATTACTGTGCGCGATTTATATGCGCTGCGCTTACAGCGGTCAAAGAATTGTTGGATGGGCTTGTACATTACTTAATTAGGAATTTGTGTCGTCTGATGAACACACTGGACACTCGTGCAACGCTCGAAGAAAGAGTAACTACGGTATGTTCTGGCTAGCTACAAGCCTAGAGCCACTATCGCCATTGGCAGATATAAAACAGTTACCACTATTATCAGAATAATTTAAATGTCTATAGTTATTGTGCTTCACAAAATTACGTTGCAGTAACAGTACCGGCGCAAAAGCTCCATGGGAAAACAGAGCGAAATGGTAACAGCATTGTGTAATACCACTGTATTGTGCTCAAAGCTTGCCGGCACGTTATTCTTCACCGTATACCACACCGTTTCACACCGTTCAAAAAATTCTTGAGAACAAATGGTTTCCGATAGATCAGACAGCCGCATTCATACATTAATAATGATTACTTTGCTAGACGATTTCACAGCACATAATCAATCCAGCGCCGTCGAATCCGCACAATCCCAAACAAAGAAATACAAAACGGCAGCATAACACCGCCGGAACGATCAAGGTTATGATTCTTAATTAGCTGGAACGTTTACAACCTTGGGTATGCTCGAACAGTATTGCTGGCACGCGGTGAACCATATAATTCTCTATTGTGGTCGGACAATTATATTATAGATGCCGTAATGTAAAATGTCATTTCCGGGTTGTTCCATTTTCTAAGATCTTTTCAAGATCCGAATGTAATTTGGCAGTTTCTTAACCAGTTAATTACGCTCGCCAAACAAAGCGTGTATTCATAATTAATCACGAGCTGCATAATTTGTATAAAAACTACTGTAGGTTCTAGCTGGATTCAGAGCATTAAAAATTTGCTGATTTGCATTCTAAATTTTATAGGTCATCATCGGTATCTCCGCTTCGTCGGTCAGCACAGTGTCATCACATTGTTTTCATTACTTTCTTAAATTCTTGGCGTAAACGTTGTAGTATATCATGGCAATCCGTGTGGCTATATTTTTCGCTGTTCTGTGTGCGGCCAGTGGTCAGCAAGATGCGCCTAAGTATGTTTGGGACATCCTGAATCCGACCATGTCAGCACCGGAGATTATTGAACTTTTAAGCCAAGCTGTGCCTGAGCAGTCGTATCCTGTACTGACGGAAATACCGGTTACCAGTGCTTTCGACTGTGGCGGGAAAATCCCTGGATTCTATGCCGATGTCGGCACACGGTGTCAGGTTTTCCATAGGTTTGTCGGCGCTTCAAAAAGCGGGCTTTGTATTACTTACACTAATATATGCTTCATGATAATAGGTGTGACTTCAATGGAAACATGACCAGCTATTTGTGCACCAATATGACTGTTTTCAACCAGATTACACTGGTCTGTGATTATTTTTTCAATGTTGACTGTGCAAAGTAAGTGGTTAAATATTACCTAGAACGACGGAACGGCTAACAAGGAATCACATACAAAGTACATGAAGTACGGATGTTGACAAGTGCTATGGTATTATTCGTTATTGTCAGGTTCGCCCAGTATGTTAATTTCTCCAATTCCCGTCTGTACACCGACAAACCGCTTTTTGACTCTCCCCCCGATGGCTACGTTGCACCCATGTCGGAGAAGATGAAAGCCTTAGTTGGCGGTGCCCGATCGCCCCCCGCTGCACCAGCACCGACGCCCGCCCCGGGCAAAGCTGCTCCCGCGTCCAAAGCGCCGGCACCAGCTAGCAAGACCCCCGCTCAACCCATCAAAGTCAGTGGATCGACCAGCATCTCCGCCAAGAGCGGTCCGGCCGGACAGCCCTCTTCCGCAGCTGCCCAGTCCAGCGCGTCCGCGGCCACCCCGACCAAAGGAGGAGCGGCACCAACTAAAGGTGCTGCCACAGCCGCCGCCGCCAAACCGACTGCCAAGCCAACACCGGCGCCCAAGGCCACGGCGCCGGCTCCCGGAAAGGTCAAAGCACCGGCAGCAGCGGTCACAACGACAACCACCACGACGACCGCTGCTGGTGAGATGACACCGGAAATGACGACGGAAACGGCGTCCGCTGCACCGACCGACCAGGACACCACTGCCTCAGCAACCACTCCGGCCAAAGGAGCAGCAGCCCCGGCTAAGGGTGCCACCACAGCTGCCGTTACCAAGTCCACGGTCTCGGCAACCACCCCGGCCGCGGGCAAAAGAGCAGCAGCACCGATCAAGGGTGCCACCCCAGCTGCCGCCGCCAAACCTGCTAAGGCGACCCCGGCACCCAAGGTCCCGGCGCCGGCTCCTGGAAAGGGCAAAGCACCGGCCGCAGCGGCCACGACGACAATTACCACGACGACAGCTGCTCCGGAGACGACACCGGAAGGGACCGATCAGGACACCCCTGGCGCTGCTCCAGCAGAGGCCACACCGGCAGCTGAGGATGCCAGCGCGGAAACCACAACGGCCGGCGCTGTCGAATCTTCGGAATAATCGGGTTCTATAACACACAGTTTTTTATTTGATATAGCTTGCAGACATTAGATATTGCAGAGATCATTCAAGCTAAAATCGCTGTAACCAGCGTGGCTTAATAACTGTCGGAATTTTTTTATTTTTATTTTGTAAGCCAGTGGTTAAAAACGCAAGTTCAATAAAGTCTATCTTGAAATTTTGTTCTTTCAACTAGTCAGCTGTACACGGCGGCAGTTTTGCCGCTAGGTATTTTTATATTCAGTGGCTATACATAAGTACGCATTTTACACAAAACTGCGCCCCTTTCTGCAGCATTCATCCTGACTTGTGAGAGAACCAGTTACGTACACCGAGCCCCCATTAATTTTTCCACAGCAGACGAGTGATTGACCTATGTTATATGATTATGGCGAGCAGCAGTCGTGGAAGAACAAAACGCAATTATAAATTTTGATCGGAAGGCTGTACGGTATATATTCCAGCTATTTGTATATTGTAGCTGTCAACTAAAAACTTGCCAGGTTGACCGGTGACGCGTGACATACATAAAATTACAGGTGTATATACAGGTGACATTTAGTAATGGATTTTTCCGAAAAGATCCAAGTCATCGCCCAAATTTGAAAAGCTAACCTGGTTCTTCCGATCAAACTTGTGCTGCAGATATGTCTGGCGGGCTATCAAAAAGTGGAGACAAACGTGAAATGCAGGGTGACCTTGCCGTATGCCGCATGCTTGCGTTCTGTGCCATGCAAAACTCGTTTATGAGTATAAAACACTAGGAATAAGCTAATTAGTTTATCACCAATGCAATCCGCTCCTCACTAAATATTGTCCAGTCCGTATACTAGTGCAGTAACATAATAGTTTTCCCGGTGCTTCGTGACCTTTGACCCGACGTACAATGCAATGCATCGCGCTAGTATTGTCCTGCTCGTCCTGGTCGGCTGCTGTGCCATCTTGTTCACTTTGTCAGACCCTGTCTGCACTCGGGCAGCAGTTGAGGAAGCAGTATGGGAAGAACCCAACAACAACCACCACGGCCCTCGCCTTCCCACCCCGTCCGACTGGTTCAGGCAATAGACCAGCACATCCACCGTGCATAGGCGCGAAATGCAGCGGCAAGAATCAACGGTGTACATAATCCAACGGACAAACTGGAAAATGCTGTCCATGTAACGATGTCGAGACTCGAGACACAGTTTGTTTGTGTTGCACCATAGCTGGGCAAACTGTTTACGGGATACCATGTTAACTGTAACAAACAAATATTTTGGGTGAAGTAAGGGCTGCATGTGTTTTGTCGCTGTTCCTTTATGCATTGGCGTACAGAGTATGTGGAGCTCCGATACGACAATCGATTTTCGAAACGTCTTGTTGTAGCCTTAAAAAGATAAATATTGCTGGTGTAAGTCTAAAGTGTTAAATTTAGAACGTAATTTAAATAAGTATACAGAGTCCAGACTGCCTTTATTCATTTACAATTAGATCTTAATTCCGCCGGTATCTGCACCGGGGTGATTTAAATGATGAACAAACCTGGTTTGTACAAATACAGTACAATACAGAAAGCACAGTGAACAGAAATCGATGCAACAGTTAATGCCTAATAATGCGATAAATACAACAGTTAATGCCTAATCAGGAAAGTCTACTCTGTGTAACAGTTCTTAATTTTAATCGGCAAGTTGGTATATGTTGGTACATGTTGGATAGAGGTGCGTGCAGAGATAAATCTTCTTAAACAAGCGATATGATGTCTGAATATTTTTAAATTGATGGTTTAAAAACACGTACACTATGTGTAAAGTATACCGTATAATTTGTATTCATTTTACATACTTGAAGTACTGTATAACGATGACATGTTTTACTATACGATTACTTCTAGCATATTATTACCGCTAGCGATGCAGCTCAAACAAAAAACATTATATGCATAGTATCTGTCTCCCTGTTTGAAATGTCAACCAAGAGAAAAAAGAGCCCTGTAAATATTGGTAGCGGTACTTACTCGTAATTCGTAAAGACTTACTCGTAAGCGGTATAAGTAGCCGACACACAGATGGAGCCGAACCGATATACCGAACAGGGGAACATTACAACCAAACTGATCGCGCACCGTGAACAACGCGTTGACGTTACCATATGCAAAAGGTCGCAGCCAGGTGTCGAATGATCAGCTGCCTACCGCTCTCTTCACCGCTGATGAGCATGTGTTTATCCGTTGTTCCTCACCGTGCCACTCGATAACCTCGATGGGATAACATATTGATTTTCGCATTGTCGTCCCGGCCAAACTGACAGTTGCGGCAGGTGTGTTAACGTTGTGGATCAGGCTGCACTTCCCCAATTGTCTTTACCGTAGCCGCGATGCGATCCCGTTGCTGCGCTGTACAGACATCTCTCCACGGGATCTATTTGATCCTTTTGGTAAACTTTTCGGTTTCGCATTGCGTTTACACCGCTGGGAATTTCGGATTTCGTATCAACATTGACAGGAGACTGTTATTCTAACAATCACAGTGTGTTTGATTATGGAGATTGGGACACAATGTACGCAGCAGGGATTTCTCATTAAACACTGCGCATAATTTATGTGAAGAGCTGGCACACTCCTTCAGCAGAGTGTGAGTACTGCAAATGGTCAGCAGCATGGGAGCGGCAAGCGATGGGAACGACAAGAAGGCTAAGATGGATAATGGAGAGAAACCACCTGTCCACCGTTTCCCGCCCCTTCATCCCGCGGCGCTGGTCCCGCACTTCCCGTCTAATCCGCAGAGTACATCCATCCATCAGCTGGATGCCCGTAGTGGATCAATACAGCGGAATCCCAATTTATCCATCCCGGTGAGAGAGAGAATGAGAGCGTCGCAGCGCATTAGAATGCATTCTGCACCGGAATGTCACAGCCGTTAGCGCTGCATTTTTCATCAAGCAGCCTGATGGTCATTATTTGGTGTACTTACGCATGTTTAGAATCCCATCAAGCATGGCTTGAGCATTCCGTCCACACCGCGACCGGGTCTGAGTGTGCCGTCATCCGCGCGCACTCCACTGGGTTCACAGATCTCCATGACCGAAGTGGTGGCTGCGGCTAAACGCGCTAAAGCGGCCAATGCGGCAGCAGCATTTGCCGGTGCGGGACGACCGCCGCAGAAGCGTCCCGCACCGCCGCCGACACAGTCCAGTAGTCCGGATATGGCCGATGGACCGGCGATTCCCTCCGCTAATCCCGCCAGGTTCGGCATGTTCCGTCGGATTGCCAGCGCTATGCAGGTATGGATGAGTAAAGTGACAAATTATCACTTGCAGCATAATATACAGTTGGGACAATACAACTGTTGTATTAGGAGAACCATTAATATTGTAGTAAACGAGAGAACCATTAAGAGAACCATTAATATTGTAGTAAACTTAGGAAACTGGATAATTCTACGCTTTTAGTATCATAATGCCGGTATTACGGGCACTGTGTGAATTGCTGCGTATGGTGCACCCGGCAATCTTTTTGGTTATTGTTGCGCAGAGCGTTTCTGTATAACGTTTCCAATAAGGCAAACGTTTCTAGTAAGGCAAACGGCGAGGCTTCGTTTAATGAATACAGTTTTACGAGGTAAGTACTGGATAGGCTTGTTACGTACTGGATAGGCTTGTTACATACTTTTACTAACCTGTTAACAAATCCCGCAGACAACCGTCTGTAAAGCACGAACACTTCCACTTCTCGAGTTTGCAACGCTTAATTGAGCACCCGCGGTAGTCGGAAGATTTACTGTCGAGCCGAAAATTTTCGCACCATACCTTTATTGTGCACATCCTACTGCTCGCACAACGTTAATTCTCCTATTTACTTGCAGTAAAAGTGGCATACGTGATGCACTATTTTGCTCATGATTAAAACCAGCAGTACCGTACACTGGAAAATATCGTAATGGGTGACCCTTTCAAAAAAATCATTAACTGTCCTGAACACTGTATTAATACGTTGATGACACTGCGATCTTGGAATCCCTATTCGCCCAGCAGGCACGGTGATGCCATTATTACCGTTTGTGGATGATTATTCAGATTAAGCTTCCTCATTCTGGCAGATAATGGATGTCGATGGAAGAGACACACAGGATGCAGGAAGGAAACCATTGCAGTGCACATGTCATCATCACTTGCGCGTATAAAATGACATGCTGCGCGTATGCTACGATATAACAGTAAATGTTTACAAATTTAGTCACGAACGATCACAGCAGAAATAATCTCCCTAAATTTTTACGATAAGCACGAGTTATGATGGAGCTCTTCAGTACTGTACATTCGGCTTAGAAAAGTATGCCTTACCTGATACCGTGTACTTTGAAGAGCGCCTAGGGAAACATACGGATAATTTCTCCCAGCAGAATTAGGATAGTTACAATTGGATTTTGCTTAGTTTACCGCACGGATGCGGCAGGACGCCGAAGTTACCGCTTCACAGATGATGTTCCGCAACTCATTAGCCGCGACCGGCCAGCACCCCAGTGCTCGCTCCCGCAGTCATCACGACCATCCGCCTGAGACCGCCAAGGATCCCATGCAGTTGTTCTGTCTGCGGTATTATACAAGAAAGTTCGTCCATGATGAAAAACATGTGCTTATTTATAATTCTTTAGCTTTAAGCCGGAGTGGGTCGTGGATCCTGCGGGAAATCGCTATTATTACTGGATGGGGTTTCTTTCCTTAGCCGTCATCTATAATTGGCTAATGGTGGTATGTACAATAAATCAGTCGAGAAAATATTTACACTGGGCATAAATAAGTACAGTAGATTGACGTCACGACAGTAATTAGTGTTTTCGCCAGGAATGCCCTTTCGTGGTATTGAACAGCTTCGTTTGCTCTTATAGGTTCCAAGAAGTGTCTTTCGCGAGCTGGACGAGGGCGACTTCGTTCCGGTCTTCCTGGTGCTGGACTACGTATCCGATGTGATTTACATAATCGATATCTTCGTTCAGATGTTCAAAGGTTACCTGGACGAGGGGATAATTGTGACGGAGCCGAGGAGATTGATTCGAGCTTACATACGGACAACATCCAGCAAACTGGATATTTTAAGCATCATGCCAACGGTAAATACTTGCAGTCTTGCACGATCTACATACTCGTACTTCACACTGGAGTACATCCACATTGATAACTAATGTCGCATTGCTATTGCGCAGGATTTCATTCTGATCGGCACAGGACTAGAGGCACCATATCCGTTTGTGAGAATTAACCGGTTGTTGAAATGGGGCAGATTTCGAGAGTTCTTCGCTGCTCTTGAATCTCGAACGAATCATCCGGACTTTCTTAGAACTCTCGATATGGTAAGATTTGATTTTTAAATTAATTTTGTGATCTTGTCGTTCTGCTGTTAGAAACGGTCGTGTTTATTTTAACTGTGAATTCGGGGCGGCTGTCTCTTGATTAATTGATAGCTCTGCCAAACTTTCATAATTGTGTACAACTTCTGTAGATGCTAACCTTCTCTGGAATGATACACTTGAACGCCTGCTTGTTCTACTTCATCAGCGATGAAATCGGTCTCAACACAGACGGTTGGGTGTATCCATCGGATGCGCGGTGGCGGAGCAATAACGATTCAGATCCTACGGACAACTCAACAAACGTGAACGATACGTTGTACACCAAATACGTGCTGTGCGCCTATTGGTCCCTTCAAACCTTAACACTCATTGGTCAAAACAAACAACCAGAATATGAGTTTGAGTTTGCCTTCGTTACGGTCAATTTTCTTGTGGGAGTAAGTCGAACTGCAAGCAGTGCGGTGTTCCCCAAACAATTTGCGAGCATAACAATTTTACCATTTTGCAGGTGATTGTTTATGCTAACATCGTGGGCAATATAACACGAACAGTGGGTAAATACTCGTACGCTTCCTCATTACTTGATGGGGCACCACAAAATGGATAATGTGTGTTTTTTTGTGCAGCCAATATGTCAATATTAATGGATTCATTCCGACACAGAATGGACGCCGTCAAGCAGTACATGACTTTACGAAAGGTTGACCTTTAAGCACCTTGTTGCGCAACTTCGCACCTTTTCTCTTCCCCTGCATGACACACGTTAAGCACCCAATGAACCCGATTAAAAACCAGCGTAATCACAGCGACCGTAATGCTTTTTATGGACAGATTGATGGAGATCTCCAAGAACGAGTTATGCGCTACTTCGAGTACCAGTGGACGAACAAACAATTCAACGATGAGACCAAATCCTTAGCTTGCTTACCGGATAAACTGGAAGCCGAGCTAGCCATGCGAGTCCATCTGGAGACACTACAACGTGTGGGCATTTTTCAAGATGCCGAGCCGGGTTTATTAGCAGATTTGGTGCTCAAGTTGAAACTTGAGGTGCGTAAAATTAAACCATAGGAAAAACTATATGTACTCTAAGAGTCAGACGTGATACTGTTAGGTTTATTCGCCACAAGATTACATCTGTCGTAAAGGGGATATTGGCAAGGAGATGTACATTGGTATGTTGGAAATTCCGTTGGCATTTGGCAGTCTTATACATCTTGCAGTGTTGCAGTTAAAAGGGGCCGATTAGAAGTTGTAGCTGACGATGGAAATACCGTTTATGCAACACTGAGTGAAGGTGGGTGATCAATATATAATTTTCAAAATGAGTTGTAGTAAAGGTCACGTACTGGTCTTTCGTAGGTTCTGTTTTTGGGGAGATTTCGATTCTGAACATCATTGGTGCGTCAGTGTATTGCAAAATTAAATGAACAGTCGTTTGCTATTAAGGGCATATGTTGCGTTTACGATTAGGCATCAAAACGGGAAATCGGCGAACAGCCAATGTCCGGAGTGTGGGCTATTCCGATTTGTTCTGCTTATCCAAAGAAGCCTTATGGGATGCTTTGAAAGAGTACCCTGAGGGCAAGAAGAAAATGCTCGAAAAGGGCAAGCAAATGCTGGTCAAAGATAATCTGCTTGACCGCGAAATGAATGAGAATTACGAGCACCGTCAGCTGGCTTTCATGGATAAAGTAGAACGACTGGAAAGCAATCTGGACGATTTGCAGACGCGATTTGGTCGACTGGTGGCCGAAGAAGCCAGTTCGCTGAAAAAGATGCGCCTGCGTACCGCCCAACTTCACCGGCTAATCAACACGCGATATCACGGACAATCAAAACATATTTGATACTGTAATTCAACTTAAATCTAAATCAAACCGCAAAAGCTGAATGCGTAATTCATAAAGCATGTGAACTTAAATTTTTTGGATCACAGTACTTTTTGAAATTCTGTTGTCAACGTACAGCCTATAACGACGGAAGGTTTTAGCAAATGTTGCTACCGTTGGGTGAATTCTACAACTTAATTAATTCATTAATTGCCATTAATTTGCCTACTACCCTAAGGTAGGGTGTCGAAACTGCAGTAGTTCTTCAATAAGGTACTGAGGCATGCTGCCGGTAACGCACAGGCCGAAATCACTTTCATATGGGTGACTTCCTCCTTCGTATTGCGTAAAACTGCTAATCTCGAAAATCCTGATAGCGTCGCGGGAGTAACCCACGCCTTTTGGGTGTTGCGGAAGGTAGCATGTGGGAGATTATCTTCGTCGGCCATTGTCTTAGCTTTTACTTAAATGACAGAAACCATTCTGCGAAAGTTCCTCTATAAAACTCGATGACCTGCTCGTAAAACATGCGGCCAATGAGAGCGGGCTGGTGTAATTGCCACTGTATCGGGGCGCTAAGGAACGAATGCGACAAGCGGTTTTTCCGAATTTTACCCAAAAATGGCGCAGGTACTTCTACAGAGTACTTCTTCTTCTTCTGCTCGGTTACTTCTTTGCGTACTTCATCAGTTGCGATGCTGGATTTGGTTACATCTGAAGAGCAGCGGCGAATTTGTTTTATATTGAGACCAGGTACGGTGTTGCATACAAGAAAGGTAAAATGCTGTACGGAAGCGGGCGGTGTTTATTTAGCTACGTCGAAGACAATGGTACGACACACTGTAAGTTGTGTGTGTCTGCAAATTTTGTGGAATACAATCACTATTTTTGAATTTGAAAAACACACTTCATTTTAAAAAAAACCAAGAAATAACTGTCGCGAAGGCAAAAGGTCCTGGCGATAATGCAGTAATAATAAAGCATACAAACGGCGGTGTTTACAAGGCAATTAGGCATTGTCACTGTGTGCGCAATTATTCTGATTGGTAATATGTAAGCAGCAGTTCCAATGAAACTCTATTAATACAGTGTTCGACTACAAAATGCAAATTGCAGCAATAGAGAAGTACGCCGATTCTTGTATTTATTGCACGTTCGTGTTGTCACACCGCTGCCGCCACCGCACACTTCTGCTCTATATATATGTCTTTAATTTCCGGATGGGGACTTTGCAAACTCTATTACAAAGTATTACAAAGTACAACCGCCAGCTACTCGGCATACGGGTATTCGTCGAGCATTAAGTGGATGCCTGTACCGTGTGTACGTCTATAAACTATTGATCGTCACCGGCCGCATACATATCCCAGATTACATTACTGCAGGATACATTAAGGCTTAACATGGATGGATCCGCTCCGAAATTGTACATGAACTGTGCACTCCAGTGAAACCATACTTGCACAGTGAACTGCGCTAGAAGCGTATAAGTCATATGCTGTGTTTTCTCAGTGACCCGGATTGCGCCAGAAATGGAAACCATCGCCACTTCCCCTGACCCTGGCTGGCTGCCATGAACCACTCTTCACTGCATGCACCGTATGGCGGTTGTTAAATCTCACATGCGCGCTCCCTCGTCCTGATCCCGGCGCTGATTCCCGTCTTAGCGCGGCTCCGTGCACCAGGCAGCCGATGTGCGTCGATCGTAATCCTCTCCAGAGCGGCCTGATATGACTTGCCGGCGTATAGCACATAACTGTACCGCATCGGCGACGCGGCTGGCTGGAAAGTAATCTTCCATCTTTATACATATACCATACTTTGTACATGTGCCGCACTGTCGACCGCAACTTGTGCAGACCCCTTTGTCGAGCCGGGCAACAGTTGTCTTTACTGCCGGAACGTATCATGTTGCAAGCTTGAAATTCCCCGCCGAAGGCAAGAGCTTTGCTCCACACGAATGATCTGCTGATACTTTGCACCCGGTTACGTAAATTCTTGAGAAACGTGCGGACCTTTTGCCTAATTAGCTGCAACGGTTGAATTGATCGTATATATATGTTGGCGTACTGACTGGGAGCGATTACACTTGCATCGGCTGAGGTGTTGACACTCGGTGATGCGGGAATATTGAGGATAAAAGGCAAGTGGACGACCACCATATGGCAGCGGAAAATTTAATCGGATCAGCATCACAGATGAGTCGACCAAGCGAAGCACCTGTTGGCGATGCACAGCCTGCGCCGACTAGCTCGCCAGCACGTCCACAAGGTCTATCTGGGCTGAAGTCGCATAATACTCCCACGGTAAGCCGCAGTGTGAAATTACACTACTACGTAGCAGCATCGAGTTGCATTGCAGTTTACGGATTTAATTATTTACATTTCCACCAAGCTAACCGAATTCCCGATTGCGTTATTATACGGCAACAATATTAAGTATTTGAACGAATTCTGCATGCGTGGTAGAATGCAGGTACAGCAAACTCGTTCAAGCAAATGCCAGTGAACTATCTAGTGCATGGTAACTAACCCCAACGGAGTCGTTATAGCGTTTATTTAACCCTATTCCCAATTTAACCTGGATCGCAACGGCGATCGCTCCAGGCTGCTGCTTTTGTAACGATGTGCGGGGCAATGATAACGTTTTATATTTGATGAGCAAACTAAACATTATGATGCGTAGCGACGCTCCAGACGACAGAGAACTGTACAAGAGGAGCAAATAATATCTATTGTATATACAGTATACGTTTAAGGACTACACAAAAATCTCTTTTTTTGGATCGAACAAAAATCGCCTCTGCATAATCCAGACAGTGTGGGATGCAACCGTTCGCAGTGGAATAACACTAGCAATTGTTCACAGTGGATTAGAGCCATTCACGGCATTAGTGGCATATTTTCACTTAACCAATTTCCGAGCTGGCCATACGAGTGGCAGTGTATGTGTGCTGATGACCGTATTGATGGCAGGTTAACGGAAGATGACAGTTTTAAGTGGTTAGGTGCTTTATGATCCCTCTGGAATTGACGCTGCTTTCCGGCATAACACCTTAGTGCGAAGTTGTTGTCCATAAAAACACCGTCTGCGTCTGTTTCCCGTAGGCCGATCCACGATGGTTCTCGTTCTGGAAGAGTAATTTCTGCCTGCGGGACAATCCTAGCTTTGGCACATGGGACGGCGTCTTTCCCGCGTCTCTCGCCCATTTATTAAACGTCATCGTCTTTTTACGCACCGGATGGATTGTGGTATGTATAGTGTTTATATTGTGCCGGTATTTTGCACTTTTTGTTTAATTAATTAAATTCTTCCACAGCACAAAAAAGGTAACATACCGCTGTCGCCGTATAGAAGTATTGATTCATATAACTCGATTCGGTGTATCGACTGTACTGTACATGTGTGAAATGTAAGATTTTCTTTTTTTTGTTTTAGTAGCAGAAATAAAATCAGTTTGTTATTTACAGCTTACATTTACAGGCCAAAGCCGGCGTATACCTGAGCATTTCCATATCGGTGATATGTCTGCTGATCGGAGCGGTAACGGTGTTGTCGGCCAGCGGTATCCTCCGCCGGTCGTCTGTACCGTGCCGGAGCATCTACGAAATCCTGCTGGTCACCCTGGGCACACGACCGGCCAGTTGCATCGGGATAATATACGCTTTTACCCACGTAAACTGAGCGAGCAGCGTAATTCTATCACTTGACTATATAGTACACTTTGTGGATACATGGCTAATGTTGCACAGGCGCTTTCCTGCTCCATGCATGCGATGGGCCTGGGGGAGTTGATCATCGGATTACACTACGATGCAAATGATCATGAGTGGGCGGTGCGGGCTGTGGCTTGTTGCTGTCTCCTTTTTCTGGCGTGTATGTTTAGAAAACCCTTAAATATACGTGTCAGATAACTTCGCGATTTCATTTCATAAAACTGGTTTTTATTGTGGGAAAACTTATGCTTACAAAACATATTAACTCATAAAACATCTGGACCCCTAACTTGTATCGCATATTGGCATTCACGGTCGACTTGTGAATATGTAATTTGCAACGCTTAATTAGTATTCCCGGCGCGTGCTCCTTTCATTAGATGCCAGTTCTTGCTAAACAAGCGGACGTGCTAAATGGCGCATTTGTGTCTGATGCAGTGTTAAATGCGCTGGGAATCAAGTGGATTATACGAGCACAGATTCTAGTGGTCATCATCATGGCACTGGGTGTTACCGACTTCATTATCGGCTCCACATTCCGCAAAGATCCTTGTACGTTACATTTCACATTTCCGTTTCCTGAATCTAGTCGATTACGTTTTTGATACAAGTGTTATCTGGGATGCATCTAGCACGCGGAATCGAGGGACCATCGGACAGTCTGCTGAAAGAGAACCTGCATCCCATGTTCGACAGTTGGCATGACTACTTCCAGTCGCTGGGCATCTTCTTCCCCTCGGTTGTCGGCGTCCTGGTTGGTTTCAATATTGCAGCAGATCTACGTGACCCACATCGCGATATCCCTAAGGGAACCTTCGCCGCTCTCTTCTGCAGGTAAACGAACCCCATTGAGTGCAGTGTCTTATACACAGCATATGTGTACAACTATAGAAATTAATTGTACAGGTGTGTGATGTTTATTCCTTATATTTGCACTGTTGCCGTGCCGGCACTTTAATATAGTTTTCTGCCGTTAACGTTATTAACTACGCTTATAGGCGATTCCAAGAACTATCCATAGTGTATAGAAAGTACTTGGCGGTTATTTAACCGAATGACGTGTGGAAATCTAGCTTAATGACCTTTTGTTTATGAAGTAAGCGTTGAATATTGTACTGCCTTCCATAAAACGTACTGAACATCTGCCCTCTGCAGCTTCTGGGTGCATTTGGCATTCATTCTTCTGCTGGGAATGTGCGTGCTGCGCAGTTTTCTCATTGAGCATCCCCACACGACTGTTCGGGTACGGAGGAAGGTCCACTATTTTATGCACAATTTCCGAGTGTCCTGATAACATTTTTTGTTCTTGGTGGGATTCAGATGTCAGCTGTTCAAGTATTTATAATCTGCGCAATATGCGTTTCGTCCTTTTCGGCCGGAATGGGGGCACTCTACAATGCATCGCGTGTCTTGTCGGTAAGCGGAAGTGAAGCAGTACCGAACTTACCGCACAAGTGTAGCGGCACAAGCGTAATGTAGACCCAAGCGTACGGGTAGTCGATTTAATTGTGCTGTGTTTGTGTCCCTGACATAAGCCTTTTTCACATGGCATCCTACGTTGTATTACGGCAAGGCGTGAAAACGAAATTAGTACCTTAGTATATATACTTGCTTTCAAAATATCCAGAATCTTGTACCAGTTACAGATTTTCAAGTACTTTAAATTACAGGCGGTAGGAAAGGATACCAATATCAGAATTCTGCGCAACTTGGAATGGGAGGTACTGCAAATGTTGTGCAAAATATATTCTATGTCAGAAATGTAATAGCATGAAACAACCATAATTATCAGCTTATGCTGGATTTTACAGTGGCAGCGCTACGGCACACCGGTGCTGTCGATCTTCGTCATGTTGTTGGTAGCGTTGATTTTTGTCCTGATCGGACGCATCAACTTTCTGGCTCCCATCATCACGACGTCGCACTGTCTGACCTTTGCCAGCATCAACTACGCATACTTTGCCCTGTCGACCACCTACAAGATGCAAGTGGACCGAGAGCAGCAAGCCACCACCCAGTGGCTGCAGCAAGGCCTGCGTGAAGGCCGTATCGCCTCACCGGAAAGCCGCAGCCCCAAGGCGATAGCGTCACCGGAAGGTGGAGGGGGCGGAGGCGCATATGGAACAATGTCGCACAGTAGCTCCATGACCTCGGAGCGCAGCCATCTGCTGGGCGGAGGATCACTGGTTACAACACCCAAAGACCTCTTGCTCCCCATGAAAGGTGATTGTAGTCTCGCAAATTGCTTTTACAATAAGGGTTCCTTTATGTATAATACTGTGGCATTTAGCACTTATCTAGTAATTATGTGGTAATAATTGGCTGTTGGTTGTAGTCGCCAGCCCGGTTTTATCCAAACCAGTGGAATGGTACTCAAAGCTTCACAATCGCTGGGTAGCTCTGGCACTGGTAAGCCAGTTCTTATTGCTGCCAAAAAACCCAACAAATTAATATACAGATAACTTTAGTTTAGTTAATAACTTAATATTGGTTACAGATAATTTTATAACCATAATGTCAGTTAGGTTTAACGTGAGCACCTTGTCTATAAAATGCGTAAATTCCAAACAACGGATACTGACTGTAATAAAAACTTTGTTTATTGCGTAGGTCGTGATCCTGGTGGTGGGAGCATTTATTATTCAGTGGGAATCGGCGCTGTCGGCTGTCAGTGGTCTCGGTTTATTGTATATCGCTATGTACTGGTTGCATCCGCGTACCACTTCAGGTACCGAACATATATAGATTAATAGATATATGTACAATTATATAAACGTAGTGCACCAGTGCGGATTTTAAGCCAACGTAGAACTACTACGCAAAGTGCACATTTCATCCCTTTTTTAATTTTGAGCACCTCTTGCGGTTTATTGTACCAAGCAGATTTGGTCTTACCATCAGTTTGTTGAGTGTCATAGTTTTTCACAGGATATGCTAGTGCAATAATGGTTGGCTTGCATTACGGATTCAGATTGTGTAGGAATTGTGGAATTTCACCCAGTCGACTGGTTACGACAGAGGATTCACGGTACGCAGCAGCACAGTGAACTGACTGAGGAGTCGCATGCCGTTCCTACCGTGGGAGAAACCAGTGTGGCTGCCAAATCACCCCAACAAGCGGACCGCGAAACTGCCCCTTTTCTATCCAGATAACTACTCATAGTATATACGACGGTTTACCGAGCTGACTGGCCACGTACAAGAAATCCGGGATTTACTTCATCCACTGCCGTCGCAGATTCCAAATTCTTGAAGATTTATTTCGATCAGGAAGCACTGACCGCAACTAGTAATTTCAATTACTTAATATGTCAATAGTAGTTTTTCGAATGATGTCTACAGATACACGTGCAGCGTTACTTTTCTGCAGTATGTGGCATATCAAACGTCTGGCTCCGTTTACCATCGCATGCCAACGAATGACGGTGATATCGATAGTAGTACAGCGAAGTAGGTTTTATTCTTTTAATTGACCCTATTTATGTCCATTAAATATTTTACTATAGAAAAGCAGATAAAATTAACTGGCAGGGAACCCTTTTTCGTAATGGTGTGACCATGGGTCACCAGGCTAAGATATTAACCGGAAGTAGTAGGAGGTGCGTTGGATATTTCACTTATTGTATTTTACCGTTCGCAAGTTCAAAATTTACTGTTTTTGATCTCCAAGACGTGTATGCTTACGTTGTGGCATCGATGAAAAAAAGAAATAAGGAATTGTATTTCTGAAATGTACTTTATAAACATAAGTGCAGTGAAAGCATCGTTGCTGCAAACAGAATGACGTTGGTTGACACTATCCTACAAAATCTACAATCAACAAAATTTTCAATTTAATCCACAGAAGGTATATTAATTACTCCTGTAACTGGTAACGATATTATAAATCTATTTTCAACATGTTGTACCATAACGCTATCTTAACCAATAACAAAACGACTACCTCCACGATATCTATTAGCACAAATTATGTACTCGTACCGCAACACGAAGCCAAAAACCACAACCATCTTTTCAACAACACCATGCAGCAGTGCGAACATATTCTATCCACGTACTGAATATCAGTTTCTGCAAATTATTCTTTTCTGGCTAGATTGGCGAAACGAAACAAAACAGTCAGTGCTCCAACCCCTGCCCCTCCCCTTCGCAACATCCCCGGGAATGATCACTCCTCGTCTTCCTCATCACCCGCTCCACCACTGGCGGCCCCCTCCGCCATGACTTTCTTACAGCGGCCCTTCCGTTCGCGTTTGTGGAATTTACGTAGCCGGCGCGCCCACTCATCCTTCCAGTCGATGACGGTGCTGTGGGCGTCGATGACCATGTTGGTCTGCTGGACGCCGCGCACCGTGGGCAGCTGGCCGGGAATCTGCGGGTAGCGGCCCATGATCAGATACTGCTGGCCCAGCCGCAGTTTGGGGCATTTGCACAAAAAGTCCGACTGGTGGAGGTAGATGTACTGGTCGCCCTTGGAGATCTTGCCCATCCCGCGTTTGTAGATGCCGAGGACGTTCATAGTGAAGCGAATCCATTGACCTTCGGTGTCGCGGGAAAGCAGCTGAGCGTGTATTACTAAACGAGGACGTTAGTTAGAATAATTAGCTGCTTGATGATGGCAGCAAAGAATGGTTACCGTAATCCCGTTTGCAGTATTTTCTCTGGTTGACTTTCCGGGACATGACTTCACACGTGCCGCATTTGTCTACAAAGCACCACACTTGGAATGGACTAACTGCATTTACAACGAAAAACTGAGAGTGTGACTGTGTAAGTGTTATTGCGCTGTGAGAATGCTGAAATCGAGACGAATAACTCAGTTTTTAAGAAGTTCTGGCTTCTAATACTTTCGAGAAATTTAATATATGTTGTCATTCCAGTTTTTGGGCACTGACTGTCTTTTAATCAGTAAAACATAAATATTAAAACTGTTACTCCACTTTTTAAAACTGCAGATTACTGAGACACGTGAATTATATAATAACATTAATGCATGATGGTCTGCGCCCACAGGCTGTGACCTTTACTTGCAGTTTACCACCAGCTCACGTACAAACACAATAAACAACATGCCAAGCAGTTCCCAGAGATATTTATCGAGCCGCACATGCATCACTTTTGATAATCAATCAACTGACTTCTTCGTACCATTAGATTTCAATACTTTTTACAACCTTGCCGTCACATAAATCAACACGTCCTTGTTCTACCCTCGTGTGCACCCATACAATCCGTGAATGACCCAGTAAATCTCCGACAGAACAAAACCCCGCTTGGCCCATTACACCGGATGGGAACTAGACTGCAACTCACCATCTTGTGCGTCCGTCGAGGGTATCCCATTGAGCTCCTGCGCTGTTTTGGGAATCTCTGTAGACAGAAAAAGGACACAGTTCAGTTTGAGAAAGTTAGTGGGTCAGCTTCAGCATTGCGGGTGTATTGTTCCTGGCTAGCATCCCGTTGCCGGCTAATGGTGAGTGCGAAAGGGGTAGTCAGACATGCATGTACATGGCTGGGCACTTACTAACACAAGGGGCCACGGGTGAGCGGCTCTGCTGATAGCCCTTGGCGCAGCGGTTGCAGGTCAGTCCAATGACGCCCTCCTTGCACGTGCACTGCCCGGTGGTCTGGTTGCAACTGCGCCCGGATGCGCCCACGGGATGGCATTCACATTCTGGTGAAAAGGGGAAAAGTACTTAACAACTGTGAACGTGTTTTTGACACTGGCTGAATCGTACCAAGCTGTCGTCGGAAAAAGGGTACAGTGTAAATTATGTAACAACTGACAGGCACTAGGTATCTCATTACGTTTTGGTATGGTAACCGAATTATAGTAACTATGCAGACATAACAGAGGGTGTGCATCATATGAAAAGAACGGTGAGGAAAGTTTAAGAAAATTGTGTATATTTCACTGCTTTTTCAGTTTCAACTCGGTACCTTCGGCCGTCGAAACGTCATGTCGATGAAAACTGTAGGCAGTGTACGAAACCACTGTGTTATTGCAAATTATAACTACAAATAGCGCCCATTAAATGCCAATAAACGTAGTGGATGAAATGAATGGCTGAATATCGCCCGAACTAAAACTCACAGTACCATGATCAAACTTACTAACAAAAATTAAATACTCTGTAATAAATTTATAACCTTAAATTTCTGTTTGTACACAGGCTTGATAGTCTTCTGAATTTTTAAATGGTTGCGCAGTCCGATAACCAGAATCACGGCCCAGGTCTCAAGGAGCGGAGTAGAACACAGCTGCGACCTAAAATCGTGAGCTGATAATTTTTTCGAAATCAAGACCGCTTCAATCTCGCTTTCAGAAGATTACTTTCCGTCAATCGAGCATATTTCTAATAAAAATATGGCAAAAAAATTAATTTCTTTCAACGGCACACTGACAGATGGACCAGGGCCGCTTTTATCACTGGAGCACACTAATATAAAAGAAATCTGACATTAATAGTGGCTGCAATGATTGGTCGTTTTACGGTCAGCAGCCCTGTCTGCTATCTGGTTTTATGCCCAAGCGGAAAACACCTCGAAATGCCCACAGGACACTGCACTGCACCGCGGTCGATGGTGTTCTTTGTCAGCACGTTCTGTTTGTCTGCACGCGGGATGAATGTGCATACATTAGGTATAAATTGCCGTAATTGCTGTCAGAATCACAATTTAGTCTTGTATATGACCGGGAATAATGTCCGTAATGGATTGTGCTGACAGACTGTGCCAGCAAGTGATGGCTGTATTTGTGTGTTCAGTACAGTGGACGTGGAGCGGCATTAAGTATACCATTTTGATGATGTTTTCAGATTCCGACTTCAAGCTTTTTATCAGAAAAGGAGGAGGGTTGTCACTTACCTATGCATACCTTGCGATGGGTCAATGGTTTGGTGGGATCCCGATAGAACCCTTCTTTGCACTGGTGGCAGTAGCGTCCGGCGGTATTATGCCGGCAATTCATGCATACACCCCCGCTTTTCTTCCCGGAAAGTTTGAAGAGCTCCATGCTGAACTGGCAACGCCGGCTGTGTCCATGGCAGTTGCATGCTATAATAACAAAACCATGCTATAATACTTTGGACTGTCAAAAACGAAAACCTATTCCATTTCCAGTTAGGGTAATAAGATTATACGGAATGTAATCAATACTAATAAAGGACATGCATGGCAAAAGTGATACCTCGGTACCATAACAATTACCGACAAAAGTTACGTTGCAATGTTGCCGACATGATCAAAAATTACACTCGTACAAAAATCTACACGCACGGAAACATCTACCCAACTGCAAAAAAGGTCGTAACTTTCGTTGCTGTATTGACCTTTTCGACAAGGCCAAGTTCTACGCAATAAGAGTCAGTGCCCGTTGAACGATTAAAGCGTTTTAAAGCTCTCTTAGTCTGTTTTAGATCCAGCCAATTTCATCGCCTGACAAACATCTTTATTTATCCCTCCAACTATTCCCAAGTCTCATAACACCCTGCTACAATATATGTACGTCCTAAAATGTCGGAGGATGCCGTTTAAGAACACTTTACTTAAACGTTTTCCGGGGACGACCATTTTGCTGAATGGGACAAACCGAAAATTAAGGTTAAGCCGGTCACTTAAAAATGGTCAGAAAGGCAATTCATCCCGTCGTCTCTAAGTGCCGGTATGTCGTTAAATACACCAGCCTTCTATTCCCGCTTTCCTAAGACAAATTATTATTAAGACATGGCAGGGAATTTATAGCACTTTAGCCAAGGCTACGGCGGCCAATGATGGCTTTTCAATCGTCAGAATGTGTAAATCTTCGGGCTCTGATACATTTTAACCATTTCTTTTACTTTCCTGTTCATGATCAATAAGTGCACGCACCCCCGGTGGACAGCCAACGCTAATCTGTCAACAGTGTTGACCACTTAATTGCTGCCAGAATCCCTCCGTCACAACCTCCGACGATTAAAGGGAAAAATATTTGATTTTCGCCCTTTTCTATTATATGCACATTTCTCCGATTAACCACTCATAACAAGCCTTAACGAATGCCAATGACCAGACAGGTTTGGTAAACAGATAAAGGCTTTATCACTTGCTGCGGTTACCGACGAGCCCATAAATTTATGCGGTACATGCTGTAGACGCTACAATGTTAACAAATTAATTTTAGTGAAGTAAAATGTAAAACATGTAATCACGAGAGAAATGAAATCTTCTAGCAGCAATTTTACAATTCTGCAACTTGTTCGCATACTTCCACTCACTGAATTTTAGTATTAAATTAAGCATTTATACAAAGCAGCAACGCATGGAGTAAAATACAGTATATTATTGCCATTTATCATCAAGACGAAAAACGAATTCCGTTGACCGATCAAATTTTAATTAACCATCTCATTGTCGTCGGCTCGTAAGACCAAGTGTGTAAGAAAACATCAGAAGCGCGCAAAAGGGATTTTTATTTGCTCAGCAGGATGAAAAACTGTAAAGATCCTTCACTGTCACTCCAAAACAATATTGTAAAAAGTGACCTTTCTTAGCACTGCGTATGTATCCATACTTAATTTTCCACTACTTTACATTCATCATTTCGTCCATCGGGTAAAATTGACAATACACACTCGAATAAGCAGCCGGCATTCTAAAGCCCTACTCAGAATGCTGAGAGGCGAACTGCTGACTGACTAAGCCAGGTGTTTGATTTCCCGTAGGGTGCTTTTGTATACCGGTGTGCAGCGCCTACCCTAGAGAAGGGAACAAACACACGTTGCCAGCAGTTCTGGTCGCTATTGTCATCCTTCCCCCGTACTACAATAGGCAAGGTGTGAGGGAAATACGCACCAGAACCAGTAAAAATGGGCGTCGAATTATAAACGCCTTCCTTTAGAGCGAAATTGTACAACTTAACTCAAGTGTGTATATCGCACTTTATGTCCGCCATGCGTGTGTGCCTGGAAAAGCGAAGAAAAATGCTGCCGGCGGAGGGTTTTTGCAATGAAAATAAAACGACGAATATCTTCAATAAGAAGTACACTGTGGTGTTCAGCTGTCAATTTGCTTAGTGAATCTTGTCCTAATTCACTTTCAAAAGATCAGTTTTGCGGTGGTTATCTGTGATCAACGAAGTAAGTACAACCTTTTTTAAACAAATTTTACCTGTGGTTTCGTACCTATGTACGCACTCTGACGTAAAGCGAACATAGTTGGACACTTGTGTAATCTCTTGAGTTATGTCGTGTATGTCTGCATGAAAAGGAAAATGGAACAGATGTGGCAAGCTGTTTGATTATTTATGCGAAAACATTTGTAGTGGTCCCGGCTAATAGTATGCCGGTGGTAATGAGCAGACAGTCAATTAGCTATGACCAGAATGAACACAATGGCTGCCTTCTCACCATACACACACAGATGGACACAGTCAGCATCAAACTGGTTGCGTTGATGCCACACCGGGAGGTCTTTGTGACGGTTAAATGGGACGATTACGGAGCAGTAGACACTTTTTTCCCGGGAAAATATTTTCCCCTCGTGTCTGTCTTTTATGTACACAGAGACTCTTAACCTGATTGTAATTTGCAAAATGTTACCCGATGGTGTGTGTGGGGTTTTCAAGGGGCGAAATAAGGAGTTTTCACGGGTGTGAATGATGCCAATTAGGCGCTATTGATACGGGGATCTGGACAATTCACACCAGTAGATAAGCAAAGGCGCTAATCCCGAAATGAGACTGCTGTGCGTGCGTGTGGCATGGAAATTTCGATTTGCTTGTCAGCAACCGTTCACCAAAACTGCGTGTAGTATAAGCAAAAATTAGCTGGAATACTGATAAAAGGCCGATAAAATAGATTTCTGTTTTTACAGATTTTTGCTGGTTATTAGACTATCAGCAAAGTGCTACCGCAATACAGCCATAAAAATATGACACCAAATACTGTAATATTAAGTTATGCATATATCAATAAATACGTATATGAAGGTTTTTAAGTGTTATACGGACACAAGAAAGCAAAGATAACGTAATACTTATTGCATAGGCCTTCAAAAAATGTTCAAAACTGCGGTATTACCAGATACGAGCACAACTGCTACATACATATAGCGATTTCGTTCGTGTGTTTCGTAATCAGAGTTTTGGCTGCCTACGCCTTTTTCTTTTTAAATCGTCGTAGGAAATAAAACTGAAAAACGGTACATCTGCGTGACGACGCTTTACCTGTGGCTGTGAGTGCCGCTAGCGAAAAATCAGTGCGGATATTCTCCCATGCCATGCTGCCAGCTATTTATAACGCAGAGAGCCGATCTCCGTCAAGTGGCCGTTACAAATCACAATAAATGATTGTAATGTAAACTATTCCAACCACTTGTCAAAGACAAACGTGATTTACCTCAAGTCCCCACTTTGCCCCATTTGTCACGTTTCAACCACAATAATAAAATTAATCGCTTCAGACCTGCATCCGCTTAGTTATCCAACCGGTGGATGCACTTCGTCACAAGTAACCGGCGAAGTTCAAAGCTACAAAACGATTCAAATTGCTTTTTGTTCTGCTGTCGTTTCTCTCAAGCTGGCCGCAAGTAGATATATTTACAAAATATTCCAACAAATGCAATTTTTGTGGGATATTCAAACTATCTGCAATAAAATTATCAGCTACACACGGTAATCACACAATTTATCGGTATATGCAATAACATATTGGTAACTGGTAAGCAATAAATTACCTATAAAACGAAATTTTCCAAAAAATGAATATATCGTCTCATAAATTTGTCACTTGGGAATCCACAAAATATTTTTGAAAACTAACCGGTTTCAATACAAAAGGCACAGCATCATCGCCAAGCTTGACCACTCGATACGTCATAATCATTCGGCAATAAGTAGCCGAAACGGTGACGTATTTATGGAAAATACGACTGACAGTCCGTCTTTTGCCGGAAAGTATTGCCTGTTGATAAGTGACATTTTTGCTTTCCAGTCTTTTCTTCCAAACACACTGGCCACTGCCCATACTTCAGGGGCTTTGGTCAAATAACTGCAGTGTATGATTGATCGTGCGGATGAGAAGAAAGTGTGTTTAAATAAATGTTGTGAAAAACGCTCATACATGTTTTACAGGGCTTCATAACACAACTGTTGAGTTGCTAGTCAAACATACAACACTGCTGTGTCCACACTCGGTTCGCAATACAGAAAGACACTTTGCTGACGGCGGAAGGGACCTATTCCTATGCCTGAATGGCCATGCTTAAATAAAAAAGAATGGTAGCAATTTGCTCGAGTAGTTTCTTGAAGTTCCATTTGATTGCTAATCATTTCCCAATCACGCAAAAATCATTAACATCTTGGCCGAAACATCTCAGCATTTCAAAACTGGAATGCGTCGTTCCATAATTCCTGTACACAAGTTTCTAGCTTTCTATCCTTACCATGCAATCGTTTTGCAGCAACGAAGTTTTTTTCCGCTAACCAACAATAATTAACAAACTAGATCGCCTCCATCATAAATGAATTAATTCTAGTTAAGATTAATCTTGATAATGTTGTTTATGATAACAATTGGGCTTAGCCGATAATGGGATGCTCACGTTACTAATGAAGATTGAATTGAACACGATACATCACGACCTTTCACTCGTAATCTATTTCGTTCATTGTTCGGGCTGACAGAGGAAATAATTATTTGTACACAGCGCGGGGCAGTGTTTGTGCGCTGCGGCATATCGCTGCAGCACAGAGGAGAATGTCTGCATCCCACATGGAATGATTGCCGGGTTCTGGAGTGACTGATTGATAAATTAATAGCTATGCATCGACGGCATTCTGCTGTCAGTTTCTATGTCACACTTGACCACTGCGGAAACGGTTGAAATTTCAAACCGTCAAGACTTTTCTACGAGCTTTAAAATATAAGTACACAAACCCAGAATTTTTACGCTGGAATGCAAACATTTAGCATAGTTTTGTTTAAAACCCTTTTACTGTGTGCAGTGTGTGGTGAGATACCGACAACAATATTAAAACAGATTTACCTGAGGGACGACGTTCTTAATCCGGCCTCCATTAAACTAAACTAAAAACCGTCGGAACAAAAACTAAAATATTAGATTATATCATGTCGGAAATTAGTTAGCTGCTAATTCAGTGCAACAAAAAAATTATAAGATGTGGTAATTCTGCAAATCGAAAATCCATCACATGCTAAAAAATTCCAATTACTTGTACGATACACGCGAAAAACCATTTCTGATTGAAGAGGAAACTTAAAAATTATATTAGATATTTTTATTGACCTTATCCACATCAGAATTATGCAACGGCAGCGGCGGAGATGAGAATCAGCGAAACTACAGATAAATACATCTTTCATCTGCATCTCATGATAAAATCAACAGTTACTGCATCGCAAGCTGCTGCAGCCACGCGACTTGATGAAGCATTAGCACTCATCGTCCAGCAGTGGCCAAGAAGGGTTATTTACCACGCAGCAGCAAATGTCCGGCCGCATAATAATGTGCTGGAGCCGTTTCATACCCCTTCACGAACAAAACACTCTTTAATTTCTCTTCCACACTTGGGCATATACGGTAATATGTACAAGGGAGCGAGACAGCGCGGGATTAGGCGTTTCCGCTTGGACGCTTCTGTGACCAGCTCAGTTGAAGCGCCCCTTCTGCTAGACAGTTTTCCCTTCATGTGATAGATGACTGGGGATAAGTTTCCATGAATACAAACAATGTCATGTTATTTGATTAGGTTTTTTCAAACGACACCGGTTAACCGTGGCGTAATCGATGCAAGTTCATTTTTCCCCAGCGAGACATGCTCGTTTATCATCTTAGAAACTGCCAACTTTATTTTCTTATTTTATTTTACTAAAAGGAACAAAAAATCCATCTAGATAGCCCAAAAGTACGAAGCGCTACTCGAAAACCGATAACGCAAAAATTAGTTTATTTACCATGCATCATAAGCGAAGCAGTTGAAAGCACACAGATAAACCAGCATACTATTTTGCTAACAATAAAGATTTTGCTTACTGTAGGTAAAAGCAGCTTCTTCCTTATGAGGTAGATACACAGGTCCTAAATAGATGTTTCTGAAAGCCACTACAGTTTTTACAGATACTTTAGACGTCTTAAGCATAAATGAGGACAAAATGAGTGAAATTGTTCACACTTTTCAGGGCGTTGCCTGTTTGATCACGGGGCTTTCGCCTGTCACGTTTCTCGGATTGCAGCTCGACACAGATTTTGGTGTGGAAGATTTACTTAAAGATTTAAAAGATATTACGATGGATAATAAGCACAAGCTCCGGCTGACAATCGGCCAGACGCTGACCAACGACAATAGACTGATGGAATTGGCCGGCAAACGTTTGACGACTGACATAGTTATACATTGTCAAATAAATTTCCTATGAAATTTAATCTGGCCGCGGTCAGATTTCTTCTAAACTCTCTCTCACTTCCAACCACTCCAGCATGTACAGTATGTAGATCGCGGCAACTCAACATCTGGTGACGCTAGCTGGATGAATGCAAAGCAGTAGCCATAATACGCAGCAAAACTGTAAAATATTGTTGCGTTGTGTTCGTGTCCGGTGGAACAATACAATGCCTGCTTACCGAGCTTTCAAACGTGGGCAAAGTTTGCTTAAGAAAACTGGAAAGGTTAGCAATAAAACACAGTGGACAAACTTTGCTAACGCAAACATAATAATATTGTCATAATCGCAGACAAATCTCTCGAACTGGTCCCTAAGCTAACCACCATGGGTTACCAAGCAGTTTATCGGATATTTTTCAGAAAATACTAGAACCTTCTTTCTCGAACTTCAGAAATTTCATTCTAATCAAGCAATTAAATTTTTCCTGAATTTCTGAGGACATTCAATATTAAAATGATAATTTGACCTGCATGTAATACTTACTAGAAAAGAATTTTTGCGCAAAATCGTAAGAATGGTATAAATAATTTCATGACTTACCAACACATTCATGGGCATCCCGCGTTGTAGCCCGTCCCCATGGATGGTCATAGTGAAACGGCTTGCACTTCTCGCAGTCGGCGCCGGCCGTATTGTGCTTACAATCGCAGACCAGCCGGCCCTGCCGATCGTACACCGTCCGTGCCGCGTGTCCGTTACACTTGGCCCGTCCGCCCACGGCGAAATCCGATAGGGCATAGTAATAGCTCTCCTTTAGCTTGTTCCGTTTGGCCCGCACGAGGGCCGACGCATAGCTGGTCAGGGCCTCACTCTGGCTGGAGGTAACGCTGGTGTCCGTCTCGTTAGAGGTGATAATCAGTGAGGGAATGGTCATCCCGGTGGTCAGGGCGTCGTCGGTGGGATCCGTGTCCACACTATTGTCGTCATCGTCGCTATCGTCCACCGTCGCGCTGTCGGTGTCCGGGGCCTTAAAACGTTTGAAGACGACCCGAATGTCTGTGGCGGTTACCCAGTCTTGCAAAATGGGGGAGTTGTCCACATCGAACGCTGACGGGCGGCCTATACCGCGCATGCAACCATTTAGTAAATATTGATGTGGAAAGTACTAATGAATTCCGGGACAACAGGGAATGCTTTGCGGCTACAATTATTACACTCGCCAAAAGAAACCTTACGATTATTAGTTATTATCAGCTATTTGTTTATTTCGAAACGTAACCAGGACCAAATAAATGTGCTAAACTACACAATTATACTAAAAATTAATAATTTCCGAAATCTTCCACTTTATTTGAAATTACCATATGTATAAAATTGACGTCTTAAATTAATTGTCAAATTTAATTTATTTCAAAACATTTCAAGTACCTTTTGTTTATAATTCATAAATACACGTCAGAATTGAGAAGCGAAACTTAACTGCTGCTGCGTGTAAACTTTACTGCGAAACAATCAAAATTTTGTGATTTACATCCATACGGGCTTGATTACAGCGGTTTATCTGGTTCGTCTGCTACGAATAAAAGATTCGGCTACGGTCACTGATGCGTCCAGGTGACAAAACCAAATTGAACACTGCGGGATACCCTTGGCTTCTACCATATTTCTCGCCATGTGTTGAATTATGCAACTTTTCCTACATCATTAATTACTTGAAAGTGGCTTTTGCTGTGTAGTTATATCAGTTATACTCGTATATGCTGTCGATTGTGTGCGGTGAACTGGACACTGCTTTCTGCTAGCATGTATATTAACCATAAATTAAACTAAACTTATGTGGTTAAATTACGTAAATACTCACAAAATTCAATGAACCCCTAAAGCTTTAGACTGTTTAAAAAATCATGGCGCCATTGAATTCCCTGGCTTGACGCAGCCATTTAGTTAATAGCAAATACCGGTAAATTTGTTGTGTTTAACAATTACCTTCCAATGTGCTGAACGCCACCCGGCCTCCGTTAATCCCATTAGCAATAGCCCCGCCCCTCAGCGCCGCACCGGGCTCCAAGGCATTGGAGGTGAGATGCGCATCCGTGCACAGCGCTTCCTGCTCGTTGGTCTTCGTAATGGTCACCCGGTTGGGCTTCCCGAATACCGCCTTACAGTCGGAAGAATAAAACTGAAAGGGCACCCATGTCCGCCCATAATCCACACTCTTATAGATGGCCAAGGAGTCGGGCCGTTGCGTACAGAACTGCAGACTGATATAGGTCAACTCGTACTTCTTCCCCAGCGACAACGTCAGCGTCACATTCTTCCCTTCCTCCTCCTCGGTAAACGGCTCCGACTGCCAGCATGTCAGGTTGTTGGGATTATTCAAATCCGTCAGGTAGGTGGCCGGATGTTGGCGCTTGGGATTGGCATCGTCACAAATCTGGCAATTCCGCACCTTCTCCCCGTCGGCATTGTACGATGCCTGACAGTAGCGCGTGGCCGGTGTCCCGCACGTGCTGGACGCCCGCACCTCCTTCCCGAAGGCCGCATTAACGAAATCCGTAATGCACCGGCGCGGCTTCCCGAGGGCGTCGTAGCAAGGGTCCGTGGGTTTTGTCGGGGAGGAGGAGATTCAGAACACTGTTAGTGGAGATGAGGGAGGCCGCTGTTGGCTGGTGAAGATAAACAAGGGGTAATATGAGCCGTATGAGCATTAACCGGAGACACTGATCAAGTGCTGTCATTTCCGCGCTAAGCAGTCAAGTTAGGAAGCGCACCACACAGACAATCGCTCGCTGACCTTCCGCAATGTCTGTACACAATGGCCAGATTATCATGGAAATCAGTGCTGTAGATGCAGAGAAGAAACCGTAATTTAAACCCGCTTATCGACCACGGTCAGTGTTACTGTAATCCGCAAGTACGGCTAGCAAAAAATCCAACAACGATGCCATTTTTTGCATTTAATTAAACATTTTTTCAAATAATCAGCCGACTAACCATACTATCGCCAAGAAATGCTGCTCGCTTCATCAATATGACGCTTCGGGATGTAGACTGGACTTAAGACTGTTTTGTGGTATCTGCTAATAAACATTCAAAGTGGACGGATGCAACCGCTGCGTGAAAATTCTCGTTAACCCGCGCCTCATTCATCTGGCAGCCAATCCGACAGAAAAACCGCGCCTTCACAATTCTCGACGTAGAGGCGGAGCGTGTGGTGCCATTGGCCAACCGGCAGAATCCGGTGTTTGGAGCATACAAGGATTCCCATGAGATTACCGTTCAACTGGGTAAATTTTATATGAAGCTGCAGCCCGGGCAATTGAGTTTTGTGATGTTTAATCGGTCTCAATGGACGCTAAAGAGTCAAGATTGTTCAATAAAAAGTGCCAGGGTAAACATCATCATCACCTTAACACCGTCAAATGGACACTGTGTGCTTAAGCCGGGAAATCGTGTTCGGACATTGTTTCTAGTGGAAGGGCAATCTTGACGCGCTGTATCCGAGTGGGACTGGGAATTGCGATGACAGTTGTAAAAGTGTGAGATAAAACACGAGTGCAGTGTGAGAGAGTGCTTTAAAACGGTTATTGTCTGTGAAACGGGACGATTATGTAATAATGCTCCGGAAGAGCTGCTAACAAGTTTGACCCAGTTTAGCGGTAGTTTTATTACGTGAGATTTCTGGCCTAAATTGTGCGTTTTCTCCCACGAAAAAAATGAATGCTTTTTAACGATTGTGGTGTATATTACATGAGCGGTAATCACTTATTTACCGGTAATCAAACATTTGTTGGATTATAATGGTAAATGGATTGTGTTTCAAATATTCCTCAAAGGTTTTATTGTAGACTTCGCTGATATGCTTCGAATCAGCAAAACAGCGCAAAAAAACGGGAAAAACCAAGCAGCGCGCACTGGTCAGCAGAAAACTATTTCTTTCCAGTTGTGTATCGAACATCCCATGCAGAGATGCAGGCCCGCTAATACAGTGCAAGTGTAATTCACATTTTCGGTTTTAAATTTACCAACGAACGTAACATTGTTGTGTCAAGGCGTTACAAGCTGGCAGCGTATGGCGCCTCGTAGTGCGGTGGCTAGTATTGGTCGTAGCATAAGTGAATTTGATATTCTATTTACTACTCGTATAGATAATTATGTTCATCTTCTTTACACAGTAAGCTGCACTTCGACTTTTACTTCTTTGCTAATAATGTGTGCTAATTCTTCTAGCTATTTGATTCCTCTTTACTTTGTTTATTCCTCTAGCACAGTAAACATTACACTACATAACAAATACTCGTACTGTACACCAACTTAAAAGTTTGTATATAAATTTCACCATTACTCCTAGCTTAATTAAAATTAGTAGGATTAGAATGTACATGTACGAGTATCATGTAATCGAGAGCAACACTTTATCGACGGAAACCGCGGTTGGAATTGGAACCACGGCCTTGTTGAGCATTGAATCCATTGATTTGAGTACCAGGTTCACCGCTCCCCTCGTTACGATCACTGAAACCGCCACCGGACTGCCACCCTGCCGAACTGCCAGGACGTCCTTGGCCGCGCGATACCACACTAATCGGCGAAGAACCTTCTTGCCCCCCGAGTCTGCCCGCGTTGGATCCCCCAGTTCCTCGACGTCGGTCATCGGTATCGCTGTCTCGGTTACCCGCATTACCGCCCTGTGACCAACTATTTCCGCCTTGCCCGCCAGTGCCCCGCGAGCGGTCGCCACCCGCTGATTGCCGATCGAAGTTGCCGCTATCGGTATTACGGTTACCAAAGTTAGAGTCGCGGCGATCGTCGAAATTGTCTTCGTCCACGTTGGTACCACTGGGATTGGTGCCGGTACCGCCTTTATTCTTATTCTTGTTGTGCCGATTTTTATGGTGTTTGCGGTTCTTCTTGTGATTTGATGGCTGGTTTGGTCGTGTAGTTACTCGGCGATCATGCTGGTCGTCGTCGTCATCATCGTCATCGTCATCGTCATCGTGGTTGCGAGATCGATCGCCGAAGCTTGATCCTCTGTTATCTTGACCATTTCTGGAGTTACCTGCACGTATACCGTACATGATGCATTCGATGCGATTATCTACTGCCTGCTCACCATAAAATAATGCATGTTTCAAAAGGTCAGACTTGACACTGTGGTAACTTTCGCCATTTTAATACAGTACGCCAAAGCTTTTTTTTGCAAAGGCTGCAATTACACTAGATCCGCTATGAATACCTGATTGTAGCTGGTCTCGGTTTCCGGAAAGTCTGCTATCTTGGCCTCCACTTGAGCCTCCTATAAATGTGTAATTTTGTATACAAGTATGAATTACAGCAGCCGCTTTAGTATACGATTTTAAAGCAGCATCGCGGTGCGCCCGCACTTTTTAGTCGAAAATTATTTTACTGTATTTGTAGGCACGATGCATACAATAATATAACAATTTTAGAATCAGTACCTGTAAGGCTGTAACGATATTCGGATGTACAGAGTACTACGCGAATGGAGTCGCAATACGTAACTGTGATATTTGCAACCGGGATAAAATTTTGACATTTAACAAAGATTAGGGGACCGTTTGTTTATTAACGTATCCTATATAGATATCTAACCAAAAGTATGTATTATACGATTGTTCATATTACTAATTAACTAATAACATTAAAAACTATTTCGAAACTGATTGCACTGCAAAATTTAATGCTGCTTTGTTTAACTTCGTTATACAGTAAGTAGGTTGTAGTCTTGTTTCGCTTTCATGCATACACTTACCACGGTCAAAGAAGTTGTTGGCCGCAAGTATTCCGACAATAAGGGATAGAAATATTATTTGTCGTAACATTTTAAAGCTGTTCCGAGACTGCTCAGTATTTGCTAATAAAGTGATATCAATCAAATGCGTTTAAGGGAAATTTTACGTTTGGATTCACGTAAAAGTTTGCCGACAGCAATTGTAAAAAGTACAACATTAAACATGTACCGGTATCACTACGTATACTTCAGAAAGCAACTAGAGAATATGTATCTTATAATATTCTGGTTTATGGGCTTATATATAACAATCACAATCCACAACGCAATTAATTACTCAGTATTGTGCATGTACGGTACTTCCTATAAGTAGATATTGGTATTCGACGTATCACTGTTGGACATTTCCGGAAATTTGTTTCTACTAAAGTGGAAGCATAGTCAGCCTGATTTGCTGTTACTGTAGTTCTTCTGCGGTGAACAAGTAAAATCGTTCGAAACGATTAAAAAATCATGTGTACTGTACTGTTACTGTAATTCATTCTCTGTATTGAGCACTGCTTGTCCTGAACGATAAGTTCATAACCGCCGACAGGTGTCGCATAGCTTAAGGTTAAAAATCTTGCAGATCAGGAATCCCCGGAAAAATCGTCGAATATGTTGCAATCATAGAATTTGACAACTGCCATTACTTAACGAAGCAGCCAAATAAAGGTGTAAACACCAATACCAATTATTTTGACGAAGAAAACTACATTTTGTAAAAATAAAGACTTGTCTCTTCACCTTCATTTTTTACTGCACAGTTACGAGTACACAACGTGTAAGTTCTGACACAATACACCACAAAAAATACCAGCACAACTCTCAAACCCACACATCAAATCTTCTTTCAGGTAAGTACCGGAAACTCGACTATACCATTCCATAAAAATTACATCAAGCTAAAAGATTCTCCAATATGCATACAATAATACCTTCCAGACTGCCTAATAAAAAAATCACAGATAAATAGGAAAATGGGTCAGGTCGAATATTCTCAATAAAGGTGACGGAATTCTTATCATTTCTTCCTGGGAATACAAGCAACAGCAATTATGGCAATTAAAAGAGCAACTATCAGCAGCCACAAACCTGCAAAGAAAGCATGTCAATCAAAGCGATACAAGTAGTTCCATACTTCCATTGCACGGTCTATCTTACACCAGTGGGTCCGAGACTTCTTCAATATGACTTTCACGTTCCGTGTTTCCCTGGCTAACTTAACTTCGGCGTTGTCCATCTGCCCACCGATCTCGTCCAAAATGTCGTTATGAATGTCAACCTAACAAGATCAATCCTTCAACATTTCACCGATAAAATCCACAAAAAAACAATAAACAGAAAAAGTAAAACCAGGGGAAAACAAATTACAAGGACGATACAGATTATCCAAAGGACGCCGTGCATTAAAAGACCGTACACAATAATCAATTTTCATATTTTCACTATTAAAAACGTTACGCAAAATGATTTTCCATACGCAAAATGCACATCATAAGTGTTTCACGTATGCCGCGCATTTTGCGTACGAACTATGGAAAATAATTCTGCATATTAAACGTTGTTTAATAGTAAAAATATGAAAAGGCACGCTTAGTGTGCACCCACTTCTGCCGCAATATCCACGGCAATTTCGCGCTGGCGCCCAACAATCTTTGATAGAGCATCCAATCTCGATCCTGCTCTATAATGCCAAAATGAGACTTTTTTGCCTAGTGCTTCCGCAGGCACAACGAACGAAGGCGCGCACACATCTGCTATTAATAACAATCATACAAGATTTGCGAGTTAGGTACCGTGTAAAATCTGCTGGTGCTGGGAGCGAAGATTATCCGTGGTCAGGCCGCGGGTCTGCTCATTCTCTTCCTCCGTCAGCCAAGGATTGTTCTGTGAACTGCCATAACCTAAAGTCGTCGACGTACCCAGCAGACTGTTGCGGTTTTGTGCAGCCGTAGATTTCGCTGTAAACGCCTGCTCTAACCGCTTCTCTGTGCTGACCAGATTGTCCATCAACCCTTGACGACGATTTACTTCCACAATATTGCTGAAAGACACAGAGCAGCATACGGAGAAGTTAGATACTACTACAGGCAGAATAAATAACTTCAAAATTCAAGAAGCCGAATGATAACCACAACTCGTACGAGACCTCAATAACGAAAAGGGTTTTCTAATTTAATACAAAGCCGTGCCAATTATAAAAACCGCACACGGCACACCGAACGTTTTGCTGGCTTTCATTTGAATTCCGCAACCATGCATCAACTGTGCTCTTACAGTGTTCCTTGCGCTGTAGTCCTTGCCAGGGCTTGCTTCAAGCTCTGCGTATTGGATGCGAATTTCTTCATCAGTGTGCGAATACTCGTTGCCAACTACAACATAAACAAATTCACTGCAATCTACTGACAGGAGCAACGGTAAAATAGGAAAACAACAACAGCACTAAGCGTCCTAGAAGGCAACTTTGTGCGACATAATAAAAACTGTGATCGGAGATATCCGTAACGCAAGCGGCTTACTCCAGGAGCTTTAGTGCTGTTGCGCGCCAGTTCTTCGTGATACTGGCTGATCTTCTACCTCTCCCTGAAACCAGGAAACAGCAATCACCAACACCAACCAACCCAAATGTGCACTCACACAACTAAACCATCCACGTCTGTACTTCGGATTAAAAGAAAAACTTAATTATATAAATTACTTAATTACGTCTGGCTTAACCAACCCAACGCAGAACCAAATATCCTTGCTTACATGATCTCTTGACCAAGTCGTTCCGTCGCAGAGAACGAAACCATCCTAAAAGTGTGTCGTCAGCAAATTGTTACAACTTACAAGCATACTTTACTTACAATCATAACAGCAACAATATCATAGTCTAAACGCTAAAGCCGCTAAACCATTACAAAATGCGTCTCTGCCCCGCATTTAATGAATAAGAATAAACTATTTAGTTAAAACACGAGTAAAATTAGTTATAATAATAAAATAAATAGTTAAAACAAATAAATATTATAATTAGAGCCTTATAATAATTATTTCATATTAAAAAATAAAGAACAATAAAAGCTTCTTTCAAATCTAGACATGTCTTACGTTCCTAATTTAATGTCAATAATAATTCACAGAGCTCACCAGCCTCATCTTACCAAGTATCCCCAGCAGAAGCCATTCCTATGAATAGAACCTGTCTCCGTCCCCAGAACTCAACGACCCGCCAGGTTAGCCAGCTCTGAGCAGACAACCTATAGACAGCTCCAAGTTTGTACTTTGCTGATTTCAGATCTGGATCAGCTGATGTACAGGTCCATCAAACACAGTACTTCGAGGAACAGCCCAAAGCTGAGAAAGATTAACAAGCTCGACTACTGAGGCTTGTTACCTTGCTGAATATGGAGTAGCAATGGGAAATTCTAGATCGTCGTAGGCTCGTAGATATCTAAAGTAGGTCTACTTAAATCTCCTTTAAACAGGCTTATTAAAACGCTGTTTAAAATCTAGTGGGTCGGAGATCCACGTTTTACTGTTGTTTTGTAACCTGTACTCGTCCTACGTAGAAATTAGGGTTAAAACTCACTTAAAAGTTAGACTCAAAATTCAAAGTTTCAAACTAACTGTAAAAAAGCAAGAAAAAGTAAGAAAAAGTACGGTAATACACTCGTAACGTAGCGAGTTTCCAGGGCGGCGTCATACTGTGTTCTCTTTTATCCCGAGCGACCGTAAAGCTTAGCTGTATATCTGTTAGGGATGACGCTAGTACGTCACCATCTCCCGTGCATATGCAGTACTTATTAGCAGTACACGTACGTCTTATCATTACCTGTTGCACCGCATTAACTGTGTTTAGCACTTGGCTCGATAGTCAAGACAGGTACGAGCAGTACACATACGATCAGCATTACACTGTTGCGATAACACTGGGCTTTGAAGTTCTGATCCGCTGAATGTTTTGTCAGAGAACTTTAGTCGAGGAGTTATGATCGCACAGCTCTGGAATTTCTTATGATTACTGGTTTCGACTAATAAAAGCGTAACGGAAGTCGAGCGGTGTTTCTCCCGTAGATTTTCATAGAAAATCGTTCTTCTTCCTAGCCTGCCCCGTGGCATGGCTATCATGGTAGCAGATCCTAAGATCCGCCAAATCTGAGCATAATTTCATATTTGGAGCAATAACTCATCTTTGTCGGAAGTTGGTGTGGTGGACGCTGATTCTCCGAAGCAGTATCGTCGTGAACTTTGATTTACAGCATTGCCCTTTATTGGGATTAACTGACAGCAGTATCTCGAGCCTAGTTGCAGAGTTTTGGTGTTCGTGGATTACGGAGCGGTGAGCCACGGTGCGCGAAACCCGTGCAGTTTGGATCGTGGAGTGGCGTTGCGGTGAGACACGGTTCTCGAAACTCCGTGCAGCAAGGATTGCGGATACTCGAAGCAGTGAGTTGCCAGCAAGGCTGGTTAACTGTTTTTGGAAACTTTCACCTTACAACTGCAGTTTTCCTTTTCTTTTTGGTTTTCGTTTTGAAAATTAACTAGAAGTAAGGGACAACAGCATTGTACACAGCATTAATCTCGCATTAGTACAGAATACACAGCAGTTTATCTTCCTACAGTATTTTACACATTGTAGACGCAGTATAATTTAGCATTCAAATACAGTTTCTATAGACTGTATTTCAGCACTGGAAACATAATTTTTTCGCATTATTCTGACCTTTTAAAGTCGGAATTTTTAAAATTTTCGCATTAAACGATCAACGTCTGACCTAGACGTTGAACAGCAGTGCGTCATTTGTCTCGAGCGTCAACCTGTTGCTGCCTGAACAGCCCAGGCACAGCATTTCCGCATAGCAGCTCATTCAGACTGGCACAATTCATTGTGCCAGCTGAAGATTTTAAACTGTGATAAGCACGTGCCTAGCACGCCTTGCACTAGAAACTGAAAACAAGTTACGTAACGCGTGCAGCATGTAGCTGCACGCGCCCTGCATTACTGATTGATTTGTCGGTGCATAATTTCAATAAAGCGATATATCTGTAATTAAAGCAGTATTGTGAAAATCTGTAGGCAGCATGGAAGAGAAGCGGTCTCCTGTGAGAGACTTGCTTAATGCTGTCGGAAGTCGCATTTTCAAACCGGCCCAGGTCGTTAATAAACCTGGTGCACAAAAGCAGCAAGAAGAAGCAGTCGGAAAGAAAACTCAGAAAAGTAAAGCAGTATCCAGCAAAACAGCAGCAGTAAAACATAATGTGAATACTCGTGCGCATGCTCGTGCGCATAATCCGCAGTCAGCGTTTGCATTATTAGCTGATGCTGCCATTCAAAAATCACAGGAGCGGCAGCATTTGCGCGTAGCAGTAAACTGCAAAGATCACCAGCATCTACATCGGCACTTAGCGCACTTAGTGCTAATGCCGAAAAATTACCGGAAAGGTCAGCATCATCAGCCTCGCAGGTTTCGTATCAGTCTATCGCTAGCAATATCACTCATGATTCAGAATTAATATCAATTTCTGATCGCGATCAAGAAATTGCATTTGGTGACGAGCATGAACTGACGTATATTGATAAAAGTCAACAAGCATTGTCGAAGCAGTTACCTGTTGATAACGGTGATAATAATGAGCATATTGAACCTTCTAGCAATGAGTCGGATATTCCGCTCAATTTATCGGTCAACAGATCTCCATCTGAGGAGAGTCTGTCCAGTAATCCAGCATTTCATTCTCCGATGCATAGTTCTCCTAAAGAACTTTTACCGGAAAATACGCAGCAGCATTACGATGAAATTCAAGCATTATTGCATAAGACACAGCAAGATTTGGTAGATACGAGTAATCGCTATAAGGAATTAACTGAGCATAATGAAAAATTAAAAGCAAAATTACTGAAAGCACATGATGAAATTTTTCGTCGTAGAGAAGAAAGTAAGCATGCAAATGATGTCTGCAAGGCATGGTCAGAAGAGAAGAAGCAATATGAACAAGTTATTGAAGCGCATGAAGCAACTGAAACAAGGTATAAAGCAGAAATTGATCGGCAGTTCCAAGTACTAAATTCTTGGAAGCATGAAATTATTAAGCTCCGTGCAGAAGCAGAAGAGCATAATAAAAGCATACCGCAAGCAGAGGCTATTACTAAAATGGCTGATCAGTTGAATAAATATAAGGATAAATATAAGCATGAACAGGCTGAGCGTCTAAAAATCTCAGAAGAATTAACGGCCACAGTAAATTCCTCGCAGATGTATAAAGCACATGGAGAGCAATACGAAAAGTTGTATGAAGATTTGCATAAAGAACATGCTGAAGCACAGGATCGTATCGCAGAATTATTAAAGCATAAATGTGTCATTAATAAGCAGCATAAATCAGCAGTAGTTGACATCAGTGATGATGATGTTGAAGCTGCACCGGTTGTACGGAGAGCAGCCGAATCTCAGCAAGATGATATTACGCAGAAATTAATTACCGCATTACAGGCAGTAAAGCCCGCAGTACACTTTAAAGGCAATTTAGCGGTAACAAGGACGATGTGGAATCGTTCCTTGTTCAACTGGATAAGACCGCATTAACGTACGGTTGGGATGACGCAACTAAAATTATTGAATTCAGCAATGCATTAGAGAAAGATGCGAAGCAGTGGTACGGTTCTGCATCTGTCGCGGTGGATGCACCGACCAGCTTCGACGAATGGAAAAAAGCATTTGTGGAGCGCTTTGGCGATCGCGATAAAGCAATTAACGCATTAAATAAATTAGCTACGAGAACATTTGATAAAAATAAGGAAAGCATTGATGCATACTATCAAGCAATGTGTACCTTGCGCGACCGGGCAGGTTTTGCCGGTCCGCCGGAGCATTTCGTGAATTACCTCATCCAAGGGTTACGCACGTTTAAAGCATTAAAGGATGATATTGTTCTGCGCAAGCCACGTACGCCCGCTGAATTTCTAAGCGAGGCCAGGTACCTAGAATCAATGATGCCCAGTAGATACAGTACAGATGAGTACTCGGTAAATGTACTGCAGCAGTCTACTTCCGGCAATATTGTACAGCAGAAGCCGTTTAACCCGGCAAATAAATTTAATAGACAGCAGTTTAGAAGCAGTAATCGAGTAAATCCAGCAGCAAACAGCAAGCTGTCGTATGCGCAGGCAGCTGCGCAGCCGGCAACTGTGAGCAATAATCAACCGGCACCACAACAGCAGTCGCGTGCCGGTCCGCAGCAGGGCCCTCGCAATGTGCGTACCACACCGCGCCCTGGTATACCGTATTGTACGCATTGTGTAGTGGAAGGCCACATAACAGAGAACTGTTGGTGGAAAGACCTTCCACAACATCAGAACCCTAATTATAGGAAGTACCATTGGCCTAGCGGTGAACAACGAACACGCAGGCAGTTTGAGGCATTCCAGGCTAGGAGAGCAGAAAGGTCCGGCTCCTCGTCGCCGGCCAGCTCACGCAGTACATCGCCTGTATTGAGGCAAGGTGGTAACGGCATTGGTCGAGGGAACCCACGGGCGCCGGTATTCCGGATGCCCGAGGGACCTCCGCCTGTATCCCAGCAGAATGCATTTGCAGCATTTATGCCGGATAACGAACCAGACAGTTCAGACAGCAGTGACAGCAGTAGCGTTAGCAGTGAATGCAGTGAGTCTTTAAACGAGTAGGGCGGCAGGTCCTGGCACTGCCAAGCCCAAACCACGTAAACCGCCAGATAAACAGCATGTGAATGTACAAGGATATACAGTATATATTCCACAGCAATGTACTTTGGTACACGCTTCTGTGCAGCAAGTTGGCACTGTAGTTTCTGAACCAAAGCATGAAAGGATGTTGTTTCATAATGTTAAAATCAGCAATATGCAAGTCAAAGCATTAATTGATACAGGGGCGGAAACGTCCCTGATATCACAAGCATTTTGTGCTGAAAACAAATTACGTACTTTACCGTTAAATAAAGCACTACATATCTGTGGAGTCGGTGGTAGCCGTTACTTCACCGTGACTCATTATTGTCAGCAATATGTAACAATAGGACAGCAAAGAATTTTGCACAGCATGTATGTAAAACCAACATCGGATAAAATATTACTAATTCTGGGACAGGATTTCCTTAAACAAGCAGCGTACACAGTCGAAAAGAACAAACTAGTCAGTATTAAGTTCCTGCAGCCGGTTGCTGGCGACCGGTCAAAGCAGCTGATCACTGCCTCTGTAGGAAATGTATCAGCTTTCCCCGAACCAGTGGCACTGGTCCAGGAAAAAGCTGCGGTATTGCGCGCGCCTAAGACCTTTTCTAAACCCGTAGTATTGGCCAGTACTAGGGTTGACGTAAACAGTAACCTTCTGAAGGAAATCGAAAGTACTTGTCAATATTCCCAGAATTATGTAACTTTGAAAGAAAAGCATGGTAATGCAGTAGTTGAAAGGAAAGTAAAAGCACGAGCATTTATATCGGCAATAAATAAGTACTCCGCACATTTGCTTGAGCAACATGAGCGAATCTTCCCTGTACCAGTGGCACCGCCACAAGTACAGTGTAAGAAAACTAATAGCAATAAAATTGTTGTACCAGTAAACCAGCAGCAGAATAAAGCAGTAAATACTGTATCTAGCACTACTGTAACTAAACGCAATGGTAATGTTATACGTGAGCTTGATGATAGAATGTTGCAGCATTTATTAGCATATCGTCAATGCGAAAATTGGAAGCGAGAAATGCATGTTATATTGCGTGATTATAGCCACAGCATTATGAAGCTGCATAAATTAAAGCAGAAGTATGAAAAGCATGGTTATTCGCAATATGAAATTGAAGAGTTTAATCGTCTCAGCAGAGAGCATGATGAACTGTTTACCGATCTGTATTACCATACAGTACAACGGCGTCGAGAACTAAAATCCTCGTTAAAAGCATTACATATTGCAATGCCGGAAATACTTAAAACTCCTATAAAGCAATTTTGGCGACAACCAGGTTTAGTTTTCCGAAAGCAGTTGTTTAAAGCATTTGATGCCGAGCCAAATTTTTTAGCACCCCCGCAAGTAAGGTCAGTGCGCCCTAAAATGAATATGAGAAAGCAAGTTAGTTTTAAAGGGACTACGCAGGTTAAAGTCTATGACCACAGTAGCCCAGCATCTGCTGTAAAATCACGCAAAATTATTGTTAAAGCAAAGCCTAAAAAGGGCGCACTGCCGTTGGATAAGCCGTTAATTTTGCAGCCGTACGAATGGCCAATTACGAAGAAAAATCGTGCTAAGAAAGAAGTTAGCGAAACTATTGTTTTTAAAACTCATCCGTACGATGCAAATAACGAGCAGTGTACGAGTACAGATAATAACGAAGCAATTAACCACAATAATGTCAGCAGTAGTGAACCACTAGAGAAATGTACGAGTACTGATGATAATATTACGGTAGCAGTGGATAACAATACTGCAGATACTGAAGCATTTATTAATAACATTACAGCAATAGAAGAACCTGAAATTAAGGAAAAATTTCGCATCAGAGCAGTAAACGTGTATGCATCGGAATCGTTCATTTTACCCGCTAAAGAAGTAACTTGGACATCTGTTTGCGCTAAGCCGAAATACGGTCAAGAGTTGAAAACTGAATTGTTCATGTTCTCAGCTAATCCAGCATTATATTCCAAAGCACGACTAGTACCGATAGAAGGACTAGTAAAACCAGAGAATAGAGCATTTGATGTACAGATTGCTAATTACAGTAATCAGAAACGCATTATTAAAAAAGGCACTTTTATCGGCATTATAGAGACGTACGAAGAGGTCGAAGGTCCGTTGGTATTGGCTACTAGCATTAAGGAGCGTACTCCTGAAGAGGTACAAGAAATTAAGGAAGCAATATCGCAAATGAATTTCTATGAAGGCTTAACGCCTGATGAACGCAAAGAATGGGAAGAATTATTTCTGCAGTACGGTAATGTTTTTCCTACAAAAAGTCGCATGTTTAATACCGTAGACACTTCGGTAAAGCATCATATCGATACGGGCGATGCCCGTCCGATAAAAAGCCAGCCTCATCGTACGAGTTGGCGAGGTCGTCAACTCATACAGCAGCATGTCAACGATATGCTATTAATGGGAATTATCCGACCAAGCAGTAGTGACTGGAGTTTTCCTGTTGTACTTGCGAGTAAGCGTAACGCAGACGGCAGCATTGGTACTCGCTTCTGCGTAAATTATATTAAATTGAATAACGTGACTAAAAAGAATAACTATCCACTCCCAAATCCAGATGAGGTTTTAAGCAATGTCGCAGGATACAGCATTTATTTTACGTTTGATTGTCAGTCTGGATTTTGGCAAATCCCGATGGCAGAAGATAGCATTGAAAAGACAGCATTTGTTACGCAAGACGGCCTGTGGGAATTTACCCGCATGCCGTTTGGTGTTTGCAATGGACCAGCCACATTCCAGGCTGCCATTGACAAAGCACTGATAAAATTACGGCACTTAAATATTTTCGCATATTTAGACGATATAATCGTCCCAGCCAAAACATTGGCTGAAGCTAAACCAAAAATTCAAGCATTATTTAAGTGTCTAGAAGAAGCAGGTTTTACTGTGAAACCGAGCAAGTGTCATATCGCTAAAAGCCTGAATTGCATTTCTTGGGCCATATCGTCTCCCAGCATGGAATAACTACAGATCCAGATAAAATTAAAGCAATAGAACAATTTAAGCAGCCCACTGCTGAGAAAGAATTACGATCTTTCCTCGGATTGGCAAATTATTATAGAAAATTCATTAAGCAATATGCGCACAAAACCAAGCATTTGTATTCATTACTGGTAAAAGATGCCGATGTGAAGAGAGACTGGAATGAAAAGCATGCGTTAGAATTTGTTGATATTAAAAATGCATTGAGCAATGCACCTGTACTTGCAAAATTCGATTACACAAAGCCGATAACAATAGAATGTGACGCCAGTTATACTGGCATAGGAGCAATATTGCATCAGGACGATCATCCGATCGCCTATGCCAGCCGATTACTGCATGCAGCTGAAAAAAACTACGCAATAACTGAGCTAGAATGTTTAGCTGTTATTTACGCAGTACGTAAGTTTAAGCCGTACATTGATCATGCGCCGTTTACGGTGCAAACGGATCATCAAGCATTAGCAAATCTTTTGAGATCTGCATCTCACAAGCAAGGTTTAAATGGACGCCTGACGCGTTGGGCATTAGAGTTAGGTAGTTTAGATATTACCATTAAATATCGCCCAGGTAAAATGTGCGATAACGCAGACGCATTAAGCAGAAATCCTGTTGACCCAGCCATCCCCGAAGATGACTGGGATGATTATTTTAGCACTCGTGACATTCGTATGGTTAGCATTACCCACCCGGAAGGGACGGCTGAAACTGAGCTTGAAGGTGAAGATGTCGAAAATAATTTTAAGTTCTTAAGAACCGAGCAACTGCGTGATCCGCATATCGTAAAAGAAATTAACTCATTAAAAGAAAAAGAGGAATCTGGAGCAATAGTTGCAAAACCGCAGCATTACCAGTTGTGGAATGGTGTTCTGTATCGCATTGCAGTAGCAAATGATAAGTACGTGCGAAAGTTCGTCGTACCAAGACATATGGTAAATGGTTACATCCGCATTAATCATGACGTGCCGGCGTCTGGCCATCTAGGCAGACAAAGGACGTACAATCAGATAAGCGCACGCTTCTACTGGGACAATATGGTCAGTGACATCGATAAATATGTAAGCAGTTGTTTGGACTGCCAGTTGAGGAAATCGCAACGTAAGCCGCAACCAGGTAAACTTTTGCATGTTCCCGTTGGTGAACCGTTCTACCGCATGCAAATCGACATAAAAGGTCCGTTAAAGCAATCAAAGAGCAAAAATAAATGTATCATCGTAGCAATAGATGAACTGACTAAGTTCGTAATAGCGAAAGCAGTACCAGATGAAAAAGCAATAACAGTAGCACAATTTCTCATTTATGATGTGATTTTACCGTATGGTGCTCCGCAAGTACTTAATTCTGATAGAGGATCGCACTTTATGAATCAAATAATAGAAGCAGTGGCAAAGTTGACGAAGATAAAGCACCATTTTGGTACCGCATACCACAGCATCGGTCGAGGTCTCGTAGAGAGACAAATGCAGTGGATAGCAGATAGCTTATCCATGTATGCGCAGAAAGGCACCCAGGATCGCTGGGATGAGTTTCTTCCTTTCGTTGTTGCAGCATATAATCGGACAGTACATAAAACTACAAAGCATTCGCCTTTTTACATGCTTTATGGTAGGGAGCAAACGTTGCCCATTGATACCATTACGAAGACTAATCTTCCTGAGGACTACGTCTCTGTAGAAGATTATTTAGATCGTTTAAAATGGAAATTAAATCGAGCGCATGAAATTGCTCGTATTTATATTCAGCAAGGTTACGAAGCATCAGCAGAGCAGTATAATCGTAAGAAAGTCGATGGCGATTTTCGAGTCGGTGATTACATACTTTTACGTAAAGCAGAGCAGTCGAAAGATGAAAATAAATCATTACGTAGCCGTTATGATGGTCCTTATGTGATTGAGGATATTCCTCGTCCAAATACAGCAATAATTAAATTACTATCTGATTTGAGCAATGTCCAGGAAGTAGCATACCAGCGCATGAAACCTTATCGTGGCAAACAATCTGGCGAAAAGATTGTTTTTAAGCCATCGGAAATGCTTAATTACAGCAATACTGATAAAAGCAGTGATAGCAATAATAATGTACCTAGTACATCAGCAGAAAACAAGTCATTGAAAGTGAAAATTAAACGCAATAAGCTGTCAGTACCTACTACCGTACTGAAAAAAGCAGAATCTTTGCCAGCTGATATTGATAAATTAGTGGATAATAACGATGTGCGCAATAGTGGCCAACAACCTGTTGAGAAAGAGCGCAATAGTACTGTAGTTACTTCTGATAGCAATAATGTTGTTAACGAGAAGGAGCAGTCAGATACTGATAGTAATTACAGTACTGAGCATTCCGATAATGACAACAGCAATAAAATTAATAAACCCGCAATAGTTAAGAAAGTAATTCCGGAAACTACCGCAGTAGTACGCCCAAAGCAAACAATAGCTGATTTACGCGCACGTGAACTTGCAGACGCGTTTAGTAAAGAAAATCAGGAAATTGTTAACCGCATGTTACGTGGTACATCCCGCAGAAAACCACTGTTTCCGCAGTAGTATGTAAGCAGTACTCGAATTGCATTAAGCAGTCAATGGCTATCATGGTACAGAGCAGTCGTTTTGTTATCAAGCATTAAATTCTGATTGTACTCGTATCTACGAGTACATAAAGTCTCTGCATGTAAACCGTAGCACTTATCGTGCTTACGAATAATTTTAATGTCCCATACTTCTATTGAAAATAAGCAGTAAATTTAACTTTAATTAATTTGCAATAAATTGCAGTTGTGAGTAGATGAAAGTACAGCAGGTTACTCCACAATAGCAAGCATTAACGCAATTGTTTTCTGTAGTTATGGCCGACCAGCAGTGTCCGAACTGTGCCCGCACAGGACGCTTGTGTGTGACGTGCATCCTCAAGCAGGCGCCGAATGTACAACAGCGCGTCTTTATGCTGCACCTGGAAGCACTACTGGGCAATTACCAGGCATTCCAGTGTCTCCTGTTGCGCGCCCACTGGGAGCATGTCATCGTCAACCGTGACTACTACGAACAAATTCGTGTCGCAGTCGATCATTTCCGCAGTACGAAGGATGGCTGGAGCAAGGCACAGCATGTACCGACATGGGACGAGATGAAAGCACAGGAGCAGCAGCATCACCAGCTCATGTCGCAAGCACGCCAGCAGTTGAACGCTGAAGAGCAGCCTCCAGTCCAGCATGATCAGTCTGCCGTAGCAATGCCAGCCGCCTTAGTTCAGCAGCAATGGAATACCGTTGGCCGTCAGCCGTTTGGAGCACGCCACTTTCCTGATCGCTCAACGGTAACCATCATTAATAAACCTCGCAATGACCGCACTTTATTAATTAAACCCAAGCATGCTATTAAAAATAACAAGCAATATCCGCAGGTGTCTCAGAATCCGCAGCAGCGCCGAGCCGATGCACCGGCAGCACAGCCACGCCAGTACAGCACTCGTATGCCTAATTTGCCTGCTGCAGATGAGCGCGCCGACCGCATTCTGTTGACGTTGGGTTTTGATAAGCATGACCAGCGTAAACTGATGAAAGGCATGTTAACCCGTACGATGAGCACACTGGACCGCTTTCTGGCGAATTCCGGTTTACTGGAAGAGATGCAAGCGGAAAAGTATAACTACCGTGATGATCGCCCGAAGAAGGAAGAACGCGATATCCGGTACGGTTATCTTCGCAGCAATGGCATGCCCTCAGCATTACATCCTGAGAATTTTGAACACAGCATTCTGACTATTGATATTGAAGCATTGAGTCAACTTGTGTACCATCCGCGTAAAAGCATGATCCCGTACTTGTTCAATTTCGTCAGTCCGGATGCGAACGGTGCAAACCTGTTGTACGCCGGCCGTGTAGCAATATTCACGGATGAGATGTTGGTTATGATGAAGGAAGAGCAAGATTTCCGCAGCATGGACCGTCGTAAACAGCAGATTATGGTGAATTACGTCCGTCTGTATTTTGGTGCATTGCTGGGACATCACGGATGTCATAAGCAGTTGGCCGACGCTCCGCATGAAGACAGCGCTTTCTTTCACGAAGCAATAGTTAATCTTGGTCCGACACTGAACGTACAGGACAAGATCGACCGCATTCGCCATGCAATGGAAATTGGTTTGGAGAAAGTTGCTGGAAAGCCAGTTGAGCAGTTGGTAGTAAATCCGCATGATGCCGTGGAAAACGTTCTCACTCAGTTGCAGAAGTTGAAGGACAAGTACGAGCCGCAAGGCGGACAACAGCAGCAAGTCGCACAAAATCAGCCGCAGCACCAGCCAGTGTTCAACTTGAACCCGCAGGGAAACGCTGCACAGTTGCAAGGTATTATCCCGGCAGGTGAGAATGCCGCAATGGACGAAGTCGAAGACTCAAGTAAATCAGATGATCAGAGCAGTAGTAATAGCAATATCAATGGCAATTCGCATGATAACAGTAAATTAAGTGCAGTTGTTTCTGAACAGGTGGCGGATAGTGTGGCGCAGTTGAATTTCTCCGCAGAAACTATGGAGCATTCGGGAAAAGAGCAGTAGTTTGAATAGCATGTACTGAATTACTAAGCAATATTTATTTTGTAAATTAGCATTATTTTTCTGTAATCAATATTTCTTTTGAATTCCGCAATAGACTTGATTTGTCAGCATTTTTCTTCGATGGACGATAGACTGACAGCCTCACAGGCGCAGTCTGGATGTGGATCGCGAATTGACACGCAGCCTTATAGGCGGTGTCGGAATGAGTGGACATTTAACGGTGGAATGGATTTTTGATAATTTTGTGTTCCTGTTTAACCAAAGTACTAACAGATCTCGATGGATATTTCTTCAGTTTATTGAGCTTAACTCATGATTTCATTTTATTTTCATTAAACAGCCGATCAGTGACTGGTAAGTTGTGTGAGCGACAGTGTAAAAGTGGATTTTGAAGCAGTAAAATTCTTCAGACGCAGTGTCGAAATTTTCCGCATTAACGATTGTATAGCATTAATCATGAAAGCAATACAAATTTTGACGCAATACGGACTAGCTCCGCGGCAGACCCGGTATAGCTAGCGTACACTGCAGCACATGCACTGGAAAAAGGCATAGCAAGGCGCCTGGTTAATCCCCAGTTTGGCCGTCGCAATAGCCTCGGAGGACCTCGGATCCCCACCAGTGGCATGTTAGGGATGACGCTAGTACGTCACCATCTCCCGTGCATATGCAGTACTTATTAGCATTACACGTACGTCTTATCATTACCTGTTGCACCGCATTAACTGTGTTTAGCACTTGGCTCGATAGTCAAGACAGGTACGAGCAGTACACATACGATCAGCATTACACTGTTGCGATAACACTGGGCTTTGAAGTTCTGATCCGCTGAATGTTTTGTCAGAGAACTTTAGTCGAGGAGTTATGATCGCACAGCTCTGGAATTTCTTATGATTACTGGTTTCGACTAATAAAAGCGTAACGGAAGTCGAGCGGTGTTTTCTCCCGTAGATTTTCATAGAAAATCGTTCTTCTTCCTAGCCTGCCCCGTGGCATGGCTAAGCGTAACGGAAGTCGAGCGGTGTTTCTCCCGTAGATTTTCATAGAAAATCGTTCTTCTTCCTAGCCTGCCCCGTGGCATGGATATCATATCCCTATTATCCCAGTTCCCAAAAAATTAATTCATTATTAATTGCAACTCTTTTCATGATTCATCACCCTTCATGAAAATTAATAATCATATCGATACGCGGTTTACCCCGAGTTACCGCCGAAGTTTTTTTCTAAACTGGATGCTGTACAGTACGAAGATAATTTATTGTATCAAAATAGCTCATCCTAGTGCAACATTTCAAACGTTCATAAATTTCCACTGTTTCGAAATTCGTTCCTCTGCAGCTTCGTTAATCTTCGCAAAATCACTTCTGCTCAGCCTTTCCGGAATCTGTTGCAGTGTTGCTTCGATCTTTTTTGTGGTTCTCGTTTTCGAGTTTTGTTTACGTACTGGGTACTGGCTTTGTTAGCCTTATTGAACTTATTCTTTTCACTTTTCTGAGTTTTCTCGCTTTCCGAGGACTACATAATACTCACTTACTGTTTGCATTGTTGTGGATAGTGGATCACTGTTACTCTTCTCTACTATGGACGAAACGGCTTCCACTGGACCAGCTGCTTCCGAACTACCTGCTTCGCCCACGCAGAATGAAGTAAAAATTAAACTTCAATTGAATGTTGTCAGTGAAATTGACAAATGCGGACATCGTTCTCAGTTTTATTGTCGAAAGTTACAGTTTTTAACGGTAGACTTTATCTTTATGCCATGGTGCGCTAGTATTAGTTTTTTATGAAAGTTTAAAGTTAGCTCGAATAGTTTGAGTACTTTAACTTACCCGAACAGTAAAACTGCTAAACACTAATAAGTAAATGCTAAATTGTACACTGAAGTACTGTTGAGTAGCAAGCAAAATGCTCAAGCTCAATGCTGTCATCGTAACTTGTGATTCATTGAAGCTGCAGTTTCATTTTGCGTTGGTTCGTAATTTTTTCAGACAATTGCATCTGCTCCTGTGGTCGAAGCTCCATCGGAAACGGATGTTCAAGAAGTCGGTGGTGGTGGTGATGTGAGAGATCCTGTAGAAAAGGAAAAAAGTGAGTTTGCGGTAATACATTACGCACAACGACGTACAAAAAATGACATACGACAGCGCTTTACGAATACGAAAACAGAAACCGTATACTGGCCGTGGGCCCTTGCTAGAATATTTTTTTTAATTTGAAATCTGAATTTACAACCTGTTTTGTACTGTCTGCAAGCGGTGTCTCACTTCCTGTGCTGCCGTGCTGTTATCGAAAATAGAAAAAAATCGTTTCAGTTACCGAGACGCATAGCGAACGGTCCTGTTCCTTCCGTCTGCAATACAAGACGTTTGAGCTTTTCCACAGTTAATTTTGTTGGTTATTCAGTATCGCCGTATCGGTAATTTTTCTTGACAGTTGATGTCCTCCTGAAGGCAGTGGGTGATGCTCCGATAATGAAGAAAAAACGCTGGGCAGTGGATAGGACGAAAAAAGTGATTTGGGTGGCGGATTTCATCCGGAAATTCATTAAATGCGAGCCCAACGAATCCTTGGTACGGCACTCTATTTTTTATCATGTTTTGCTGCCATTATGCACGTAGGAATTGTGCGTTTTTGTTCCCGTTCGAAGGAACAATTAGTTATAGCGTGGCTGTTTGCAGTTCCTTTATGTAAACCAATGCTTTTCACCCTGTCCAGACCAAGAAATCGGATCTCTCTACGAGGTATAGTACTATTTCAAATTCTCTCATTTATACTTTCAAAGTTACACCAAATCTGGAATTGGAAAACATATTTTGTGCAAGAATTAAGTAGCGTATGTTTGCAGTGTTTTGGAAGTGATGGGAAGTTAGTGTTGCATTACTGCAAACAACAAGCGTGGGGTTGATATCCGCACAAAGTGGTCGCTGGTTGGTTTTTGATTTAACAAACATTTCCACGTCTTTCTGTAGAAAATTGCTAGCTTTTTTTAAAAATTCACTTTGGAGCTTCTTTGTTCGAAAATTTTGCAGTGCACCATATAGTTGTCAGAGCGTCAGCTGTTTTAAAAATTGTAATGTTATTAAGGCTGTCTCTGTACGTTGAAAAATTCCTTTGTTGATTTGTGTATTCTACTGTGGTGAGTAATAAAATGCAGATTTGGTCGAATTGTTTCAGTAAATAAAAGTCTGTGGAAATGCGAAAAATTTGCGCAAATTTCTACACAATAAAATGTAAAACGTTGAAACGCTTTTACAGTATTTTGATAAGTACGCATTCACTATGGTGCCGGTCGTGTTGTCCCTGCTGTTGGGTGACCTTCTGTGTCCAAGCCACATGGCGCTAAAAACAAACGGGTCATTTGTGGAAAGTAGTAACAAGTAAAATCGGGTATCGTAATGGCGATAAATTTAAACAATTTGATATGTTTTCAGGATACTGCTCACTTGTCAGTGGTCACTGAAATTATGCTGTTTTAAAATCTATAAAAATGCATTAGCGGATTATAGGCCTTTATTTATAGTTAGGGTGTTATGGACAGTGCGCTTACCGTTTTACGTTCTGCAAATAATCAGCATTTGTACTACCTGATTGCAAGCGCCGATGGGGCGACATTATTCGGAGCTCATTCTCGCCCGGCTCGACCATTTCCGCATCACTGATAGCTGTGCGATGGTGGCGCAGTGTGTTCCTTCTGGTGATTATGCGTTCGTTGGACTCCAGGATCCTCTGCGTTAAACTGGCATCAGAGCCCGACGCATCCGGATGACCTCGGTGTGCCACATGCGTGTGGTGGTCGTTGTACGGGATCGGAACATGTTCGCTGGATTCCTGGTCAGCGAGGTACCCACTTTCCACATCATTCTCTGATTCATTATCATCATGACTTTCTTCTAAAACAAAATTGAAATAGAGCGTGTAAAGTTTGTTTACTCACTTTTTCTGCAACTATGCAGAATTACAAGCGCGTGTTCGTATAATTCATTAACAAAATAAATTTAAAACCTGAAAATTAGTGTTTAATACTTCTGTACAAAGGTGGCTTAAAGAGTCGTCGAAAATTAATAAAAATAATTGTGACTATTGATACCTGAATATTCAGATGGCTGATTCATTATTCTGTTTTAGTGCTTTAGGTTTTGCTTTGTTCACTGCATTTCAAAAATGATTTCGGAGAAAGTACTGTCTCTGTAAAAAGCTATAAATTACTGTGCTAGAAATATCCGAAATTACTTTATGAAGCGATATTTTTCAGTAATTTCCTCACCATCGTTGTCATCGGCTAGGGAATCATGGGAAGTTTCCCGACGCGGTCGATCAAACGGTGGAACTACATTAATCGGCGCCGGCGCAGTGGGGCGGTTCCAGACAAACACCAGCGCATCCTCATCGTCAGCCCGATGGCGCTCCAGGGCGGCTGGTAATGTGTTCCCGTGCGGATCCGGTTCCGGCGAGGTCATGCGCGCGACCTCAATCGCCCCATACATCAGATGATCATCTACCGGATTGATATTGGCTGTCACTTCTCCGGGATGGAAATCGGTGATTAAGACCAGGGAATTAACGGAATTCCGCTGCAGCGTACGAAGATCGTCGAAGGACGGGGACACCGCGTCGCCGATGGACGGTTCGATGATGACGTTGTCGACAACCTGGGCCAGGCGAAAGATGACGTCGTAGGTTAATCCGTAAGTGCCGATGGAGGCTTCGGGGAGGATTACCGTGTTGCTGGATGACAGGGGCGGCAGGGTCTGGTCGCGGTTCTCGTCGGGGTCGTCGTCCATAGGAAGCGCGAAGCTCCTGAAGGAAACGTGTCAACAGAAGATATCTAACAAAAAAAATCCCATGGTGGAAGTGGGCTGGTACGTGTTTTTGCCTTGGCCTTTAAAGGAACAAGGTGGTAATTGTGCGTCGGAAATATTGCAGATATTTAGTCCTTTATGATTTTTGTCGGTTTTGTGAGTTTATTAGAAAATTTAGTAAAGATATCTTATGATTACAGTAAATTTAATAGGTACTACCGGGGTTGTTACTACTGTTACATTGTCTGCTTAGTGGACGCAGTTACTGTACTTGCTGTTGAGGATGCGCTAAGTTGTGTCCGTTTTGGCGTCATGACAACTTTCGATTGACATATTGTGTCACAACAGTCGACGCGCTGATACACCGTGTATCATACACGTAGTAAAAATTCTTGCATCAAAGAGCCAGAACTCTCCGCGTAGCCAGAACTCTTCGTATAGGCAGAAACATTTTTTACTCGGACATAATTCTTTGGAATTAGTAACCTGTCTAAGTACAACGGGCAAAAGGCTATCGACTTTCTAGAACATTAGTAATGGTACATTGCTTTAACGGCAGAAAAGGTCACTTTTTTGTTGTCAAACCCCTCTTCCAGAAAGTTCCTCGTTTGGATTTCATTAAAGACGGCGATTCAAGACATTTCGATGCCGTTTCTGAGGTTGCGCTGGGCCTGGGACTGGGATGTTTCCTGTCCAACCCTAAGGAGCGACGAAATGAAAGATGTCTTCCGAATCCTTTGATTTTTTGGACTCTTGGTTTTCTTTCATTAATTCCCATGAGCACCTTGTTTTGCCTTACCTTCGCCTTTGTAACCGACGGATTGCTGAAAAAAGGAAGTGCTAAAACCAAACCAGTTTTTATAGCAGGTGCTGCATGTACGCATGCGTTCATTGTCAAACTTTCAACGCTGGTGTCCGTCATTGACTCATTGGATACCTTTTGGATATGATTGTCTTCCGCACTTTTTGACTGCATTATCCGTGCATTGCGAACTGAAAAATTCTTGACAGTTCACACCACAGTGCACACTTTATGTTTTAATTTTTTAAAAGGTATCTGATCGCAACGCCACTATACAGCTGCTTATGTGTTTGCGAAAGTTTTTACACTGGCGGAACTTAAAGGTCATTCGAATATCGTTTGTTGAGTTAAGCCAATATCGTAGAGATCAAAACGTTTTACCAGAGTCGCCTTCCGGGTTTGTACCAGCCATGGCAAGCGTGTGACCTTTTATGACATCGGTGCCAGGGATTGATTCGCGTGCGACAGATTCCGCCGTCGATGGATATCCGTACGGGAATAAAGAATGGGTGCGAACGACTCGCAGCTCATCCACCAGCTACAATAAAAATAAGTAAATAAATGTTATATACATATCCTTAGCGCATTTATTAAGAGTACGCAATTTATGGTTTGCCTGGCTCTCGCGCTCTTGTGAGTGTTTCTGTTTAGCCAGCGCTTCGAAAAACATTTCCTCCATATGGTTTTTCTCTACAGACAGTTGACTAAGAGCACTCTGGAAAAAAGCATGGATCGAAATCGCTTGTACAGTAATCGCAATTTGTTTGCCACTTGGCAGGTAAATTGCACCTGAGCTTTTTGGTTTTCCGTCGACGCAACATCCAGTGCGTGTTTTAAAAGAAGTTTTTCTTGTTCAGCTTGGTATTTCTCATGAGCCACTTTCCTTCTCAATAAATTTATTTTAATGAGTGCCGTTTGAAGCGCTGCTGCTTTTTGAGCAGCATCACTGCCAGCTGACTGTGTCTTGGACGGCTGCTCTAGGGATTTCTAAAAACGACACTAGTATTGTAAAATATCCAATATGCTGTGGAAGCATAAAATTAATGACAGGAATATCGTTCAAACCTCACTGGAAGCTCGCAAAGTATGCAGTCGTTCTATTTCATCCTGTTAAAGCAGCAGCACAGGCGATGCTTTCATGGTTGGTGATTCGGACACAAAAACAGCAATTTTTTTTGGGGCGTTACCTGTGCGAACTGCAGCTTCTTAGCCATTTCCGCTAACTGGAGTTCTTTAAGTGACAGCAACTTTCTCGTCTCTCTCAAATGCGTTCTTGATCCTTCCTCCTCTTGACCAAAAGAAGCCTCCTGTCTGATGGAGTTCCTCTCCTCGCTGACCTAATCAAAACAAAAACGAAAGCCGAAAAGCCGGTTGTTTGCAATCTTGTTACTCATTGTTGGAAACTAAAACATTTCAGGTACGGCTGCTTCTCTGAAAGCGCTCAAAAATGCTCTGTGACCTAATCTGTGTCCTAAAGAAAAGGAAATTCTGACCTTTGAGGTAGGGAGATCAGGCAACGATTCTTCTAGATCTGCTGGGTTGTCCTCGCCCTTCGTCTTTTCTTGGGCCGCACTATGCATATGACCGGTGTTACTCGACTGCAGACGACTGCTGTCTGCCTTGGCGTAGCGCGAGCGGACACTGGCGACAATTCCCAGAGGAATTGCAGAACTCACGTCCTGCATCGTGCTGCTGGCACTCTCGTCGGCCACTTTGGCTTCTTCCAGGCGTTTGTCCAACTCGAAGACCAGATCCTCGAGCGATGCAATCTGATCGTTGGCTTTGTTCAGATCAGCGATAAGCGTGCGCTTTTCTTTGCGTAATACCGTGCACTGAGGGCACTTCTTGTTCATTTCCGAGGGCTTTATGGGAAGTGCCATTGCTTTCGATTCTGACTTTGCTTCCAGAAATCAAGAGTATCATGAGGTTTTCTGCCCAATATACAGTTCCCCAAGATGGCATGTCACCACTCACCAGGTTACTGCCATCGGCATCGAAAGTTTTGGAAGGCCATTTCGATGTAACTCTTAGGATGCAAAGTGTAATCACGTACTCACGGTTTATGCAACTAATTTAGCAATCAACTTGGGCTGAAAAATGAAATTCTACTTATTGAATACAAATATATTTTTAAACAAACAGAACGAGGAACATTACAATGAGTTCAGGTGTTTTTAAACCTGAACTGCAGGTTTTTCATGTTGGCATTCCAATAACATGCACATTGCACGCTGAGTGCATTTTTGTAAAAACTGATCACAAAAAATTATTAATACTTAATTATTAATCTTAATTTATTACTACCATGCAAGGCAGTGTGAAGTGTAGTAGTGTTATTTCAATAATTTCATATGCCACAGAACATAAGTAACATTAATATTGCAAGACCGTACAGTACTTATATCTGTAGTTAGTGTCGCAGAAGTTAATTTAAAGACTGGAGTGCGTTTAATATCCTTTGCACACTCTTCAGTCCGCGTGTCGACGTCGACAAACTTGATAACCAAAAATTAAAGAAGTACAACAAAACCCACAACCGTTTTCGAAGTAAAAAACTGTAAGTTAATTTTTTGCATATTTGGAACATCCCAAAACGAGCCAGAATGGTTCAGGGGGCGTGCTTGGCACTCATATGTTGAATGGTGACAAACGTGTGCATGGAAGGGCGTGATCCAGTGTCCACTGTCCACACCATGCCGTGTCTCATGCGAACAGCTGGGGTAAATTTTTCAGACGCATTTTGCTTCTCAAATGATGTTTAAGTGTAATCAGAAGAATGCAGTATACGGGGAATGCAGTAAATGCAATCATTCAAGTATAAACAAGATATTTCCTGTTACGAAATCGTTTAACTAGAGAACGCCATTTTTTGCGCTGTGAACTGTTCAAGCCTCATTGGTGCGAGTTCTCCGGCCAGCCGATTTACTAGTAACTATTTTTAAAGTACAGTTGCCAACTATCGGTGCCATTACTGAGCCACTCCCGCCGGAATCGATAAGTAAGGTCAGCATTCGTGTCGACTCATGCTTAAAAGCTGAAACTGACTGCTGCTTTAATTGCGACCAGTGGTAAAGGTCACTAAGTTTAATTCCGGTGACTGGATTGCTACTTACCTGGCAAGCTGCACTGTATAATGCTCTCTAAAAAGTTCGGACTCTATTGCTTTAATTACTTGCTGACAGACATAAACGAAACTTAGTACTGTTCTCGTACAATTTGTGTTAAATACAGCATGCACTTTATCAACGTGATCAACAAATTTTCCATATCGCAGATGCAGTACAATACACTATTCGACAGCTTAGGCGGGGGTAAGTAAGTAGTGTAACAGGTAATACACAGTACAATACATACAAGCATATTACACATTTGTATGCCTGATAATGCGGTTTCTGAAAAGCAGTTCGGCGTGTTCCGGATATTTTAAAACGCGTGGTATCTGCAATCGTGATGGATGCAGCCCTTGATCGTCATTTCTTCGCAGGCTTGTGCGCAGTTTCTTAAAGGTTCCAGGCTTTACAATGCATATTCGTGGAACACCAATTTGGACATCGTTTCGGAGCCGCAGATAGGCTAACTCGCCGGAACATGCATCATGGTATGCTTTAAAATGGTTCTCGAACTAAAAGCATGCAGCTGTATTATGAAAAGCGAGAATAAGTAGTAAAGATTTAGATGCCGAGCATTGACAGCGTTTTACCAACTGGGAAAGCCTTTCTTCGAGTGCGTGGATATCCTCTTGAATTAAGCCGTGAAGCTCAACGAAAACGATATAAAACTGTGGATCTAAAAGGGTGCAATTAACGACAAGATGCTACAGCGCACTAATTTACTATTAACGCAGTCACTCACTTCGAAAGAACTGCACATGGTTAAGGTCAGACGGAAAGTATCCAGTGAGCCCTTGGCTGAGTGAAGCACAATAATCGGCAATCTCGATAAATCCATTAATGGGAAGAGACTCGGAGGTGTGTTTGCGGTTCCAGTGGAGAGCCTCCGAGTTGACATTTGAGATGGCTTCTCGAAGCACGGTTTCTGGAATATTCTCATGGAAGATACTTAAAGTCTGGCAGCGCCTGATGAATTTGAAAGTTATAGCGAATTTTTGTATTAGTGCAATAATTTAATTTTAATTCAGTTATTTTTTAGCAACGATCCTGTTGTATAACCTTACCGGTGTGAGAATTCAAATATCGGGCACTGATGATGTTTGCCGACAACCTCAATGACGTCACCAGTCCGATAGCGGTACAGTCCATTTCTTGTAGTTACGATGAGTTCGTACAGCTGTCCAATCTCCACCTGAATGAATGTCAGAAAGAATTAGAATCGTACTAGTCCTAACCTCGCAATCGTACCTGCTCTACAAAAACTGTGTCCGTTTCCTCCGGGTTACCAAGTGGCAAAAACTCAAAGAAAGCACTGTGGATATCAAGAAGAAACTGAGTGCTCGTCGTTACAGATTTATCGCATAAGTTACGCCCAAAAATGCCAGTTTCCGTGCTGAAAGCGTGGGGTGTGAAAACTGGAATGTCTGCAATGAATAAATCAAATTTTTTATGGAGACCTAGAGTAGCAGTTATTGTATACAGGGTTATATGCATGCTTTCCTGTTTTCATGCAGCAGCAATCCCTGACAGTCTTTTTTATTATCGCACCTGGGCAAAACTTTTTTGTTAAGATATCTGCGTAATGGGCAAATGGTCCAGTTGATATTCCATTTATAGCAGCAAGTTTTGGCCAAATGCGGCGTGTGATGTTGTAAAAGCCTAAAGCAATCGTTAACAGTAAAACGTAAAGAAAGAAACGAGAAGAAATACTGTACACGAAGACGACGTTGAAAGCAAAAGTTATTTTTTAATCGGTACGGTATGTGTGAAATCAATTCCATAATTATGTTATATGTATAACATGGCAAGAGTGGATAAGCGGTAAGCCCTGTTTTGTACGGTAGAAGTAAGGTAACAAACCTTGTCTGTTGTGCAAATTTTCTGTAAAAAGCATTTCCAAATAGTCCGCCCGTTGGGGCATTGGGCTAAGCTGCTTTACGAGCTTCTCCTTGGTCGCAGGAGTAACGATGACCTTAGTATCGTTCAGAGTTCCGTGGCGAATATCATGAAGCATCTCGCGCCAATTGAGCTCAATACATTGAAACATGAGCAAGACTTCCCAGATATAAACCGCTTCGATCATCACAAGTGACTCTTCGCGCAATGCAAAAAGAGTCTCGATGTAGCGCGTTGTGTCCTCATCCGGCATCAAGTAGTCTCCCGTTGGATTGACTAACAAATCCGATTTCAATATCAATCGAATACGGTTGCTGTCCGTAGGTGGTGGGACGTTAGGATACTTCATGTTTTCACTCGACAGTCGAAAGTTCTGAAAGGGTTACTTGTAAACGTTCCGGCTACAACATTATCGTGGGAAAATCTTACTCGGTGATACCGTAATTTTGATGGTACGAGGCGACATCGTTGCCTTGCCAAAATGCACTTGATGCGAAACTGGCCAATCGCTGATCCCTGTGGGATGACCTTTGGAAAACCTGAAATCCCTGCCGTCCGAATGTACGAAACATTGTTTTCCTTTAATAGAATGTTCTTTGCGCCATTTCGCTGCATTCGCTGGATGTGGTGCTTATAATGTTCATAATTGGTCAATGATTGCGATGCAAGAAAATCATGGCGAGAGTGAATCGCGGCAAATCCTTGCTGTCTGCCGTATTCAGTGGATCTGTTTGCTCGTAAAATACTTTTAAGGAGATTTTTTTGAATTGATTTTGCTCGGCGTGTGTCGAAAATCCGGTATTTCAGATCGAACAACAGTCCAAGAAGTTGTAGAATGTGAAGCTTAAGTCCATATATAAATGCTTGCCGTAAGGTCACGGTCAAAGATCTGGACTTGTTCACGTACAGCACGGCGGCCACACCCACAGTGATACAGGACACTGAAAATTATGCCTTGACAACAATTAAAATAATACTGTAGCTAGTTACTAGTCACGAATGCCGGCGATTTTTCATAAAATGTTTCTTTAGATCTGAGATTGAAATCACCCTGTAGTATTTTATTGCTTTACCTGCTATCGTCGACAACAGCACAGGGAATGGGATGACCAAATCGCTTTGGAGGAACAGTAATACTATTTTCGTGTGCGAATGCAGCGTTGCAGGACCAATTCCAAGCATGGTGCCAAAGAAAAAAATACTCGAATGATTGATTTTATGAATGTCAAAAGATGAGCAGTATTGTATAAGTATTTGTTGAAGACAACTGCAACTTTTAAAGACTTAATTAATTTTGCCCTGACTTGCACATCCGGTAAAACTGAATAATCTCCGTGTAATGCGTTTGTCTACTGAACATCGTTGAGTAGAATTTGGGCAGTGGTTATCAGTTAAACCTTGTCTTATCGCGTAAAGCGTCAGCTACCTGACGAATGCGCGGAATACCGCATAACGTTGCATACAATGCGCTGATCAAACTCTTGTCATTCAGTTCTTTGTTTGAACAGGTTAGTGAACTCTGGAACCATGTCCATTTATACCGATAGAAACAGTACGAAATTCCAGTAGTCACATCAGGTGGATGAGAACATGAAACTGTACATTGCAAATACACATAAACAAACAAAACCTTAATCCGAACATGTTGCGCAAATTTTATTAGCGGGTTTTCGACTGTGCAGAAACATTTCCGGTATCCGTTTTATGGTAGCCATTCTACCTAAGTTTCGGTTGGTAATTACCGAGCTGATTGTTCAGTGCGCTCTGCTGCTTTAGAAGATTCAACCGATGTCACGACGTCATGTAGGTGCGCCGACGTGAAATCAGAAATAATCGCCCGGTCAAAATTTTAACCCACACCAAACTTACACAGATAAGGCCCGTCCAAAATGCGAGCTGGTTTAAAACACACCCATAACAATTTCTTCGGACCGCTTATCTTTTTGTTAAGATAAAATTTCTATTCTTCTTCACAACTACGGTCGTTCTTTAAATCGAAAATGAAGTAAACGAAATTAAAAGAAAAGACCAAAACATTGAGAAACATCCCATTCGTTAAAGGAATAAAATAAACAATATCTCCAACCACTTAAAACCATTAAAGAGATTAAACCTTTACCGATACTGATACCAAAACCGAAGAAATTTATCGAAAAAGGATTCGTTGACTATAAAGGAATATTGCCGTGCTTTTTTGGCGGATTGCTCAATTTCTTGGTCTGTAGTAGATCCAAATCCCGGTTAATCCGATAGCGTGTCGTTCGCGGTTCAATGATATCGTCAACAAAACCCCGCACGGCTGCCGGGAAGGGATTGCTAAACGCTTTGACATAGTCCGCTTCCACTTGACTTAAATCCTTCGCACCACGGTGAAGGATGGCTACGGCACCTTTTGCTCCCATCACTGCTACTTCCGCTGTTGGCCAGGCGTAGTTGATGTCGCCGCGTAAATGCTTTGAACTCATCACATCTAAATTTTCAAAACATGCAACACTTACATGAGACTGTCGAATACCGATAAAAAATTATTCATGGTTACATGTTTTACATCGCGTAAAGTTACATGTTTTACATCGCGTAAATTTACTCATAATAAGTACGGTTAATTAGGCCCATTTACCAACCCATGCTCTGCTTGTAAATACCAAAAACTAAAACGTAACAGGAGTTTAGTACATATACTGAATCTGTTTTCGTATCTATCAGAACTTTTTCACTGTATATCACTTCTTCATATTATAAACTAAGATTCCGCATTCCCCTATTACTTTTGTATCACACCAGCTGTGCTTATTTATAATGACAAGCTGTAGTCACGACATGAAAACTCGAAAACCGCTGTCAATTTTATACTACAAAAACCGATTCCATATCAGCGTATGCTAATAATATTATTCGCTTACCGTACGCTCCACCATATGCCTACAAAGAAAAACCATTATTAATGCACCTCACTTTCTCCTTACCATCAGAAATCAACACCGTTTTATAAAATACCTTTCTGGTGATTATGGTAATTTTTGGTACAGTCGCCTCTGCATAGGCATACAACAATTTAGCTCCGTGCCGAATGATTCCATCGTATTCCTGAGCAGTGCCCGGCAGGAAGCCCGGTACATCCACAAAAGTTATAATGGGGATATTAAAAGCGTCGCAAAACCGAACGAAACGGGCTCCTTTTACGGACGAATTAATATCCAAACAACCTACAAAATAAAATTGTGGAACAGCGAATCGCAAACAAAATCTGTCAAGCAAAACTGAATACTTTCACTCAATGGGAGGAAATTGCTGTTATTCAACACCAACAGTATCACGATCTCACCTCATCAACGGACGTTCTATCACATTTCAGTATAGTCTTTCTACATAAAATCAACAAAATAATAACGAGCCATGGACGAAAACTAAACGGCAGACGAGCCATTCCAAACGAAAAACAGCAAGACCAGCCATTCAAAATAGAAAAAACTTACCAGCCGCCACTTTGGGTTGATTGCCCACAATCCCCACGGTGCGTCCATTCATCCTGGCAAATCCTACGACAATGTTTTTGGCATAATCCGGCATAATCTCAAAGAACTCCGCCTCGTCCACGATGGGACCAATGACGTCCAGAATGTTGTAGGCCGCAGTGGACTGCAGTGGCACCACAGTATCCAAACTTGGAACCTCCCGTTCCCACGGATCAATGTTGACCCGCCGGGGAGTGGAATCACGACTGCTTAGCGGCAGATAGTTGATAAAGGCTCGCATGTTTAGCAGAGCATCGATATCATTCTCGAAGGCGCGATGCGCCACGCCCGACACACTGGTGTGTGTTTTGGCACCACCCAGCTGTTCCTGAGTCACGACTTCACCAGTTACTTGCTAGAAAAAAACCAAAAGATTATCTGCGTGCCATAGAAATAGGTTCAATCATTGTCATGTCCTTCAAAGCTGACATTTTGTAGTGAATTCATTTATAAATCAAATTTGCCGGTTCGGAACTTTTCCAACCACACATACGTTAGTTCTAAATTCATTTACCTTGACCACCTCCGGGCCTACGAAATAAAAAAAAACCACATCACATTATCGCAACAACAAGAACAAATCAACCAAGTCTTCACCTGTTATAAAGAGATACGAAGTATCCTTCACCATAAAAGTAAAATCAGTTAAAGCAGGTGAGTAGACGGCCCCACCGGCACATGGACCCATAATCAGTGAAATCTGCGGAATCACGCCGGAAGCCATAACATTTCTCTAAAAGAGGAATGATATGTACTCCTTTTAAAATTACTTCGTATCTGTTGGACTAAATAGCGATTTTGAAACGATAGGTCAAGTATTTTATTGATCCTGTCTGCTTCCGGATCTCGAAAGAATACCCTTTTACTACACGTGAAATCCACAAAAATATACAGGAAACTAACCTTACCGGTCTCAGGTTCTAACAGTAAAACAATTATAATTTAACTAACAGTCTAACACCAACAGACAATTTATATTAACAGTGCATAGAAGAGCTATCCTGCAGTAACAGAAGCTACGACGTCTAGTTTTTCATACTTCTACAGCAAACGCCAAACCTGGAAAATATCGGCATATCCCGCTAACGAGTCCACTCCTTCCTGAATCCGAGCTCCACCAGAGTCGTTTAATCCAATCAGTGGTGCGCCAACCAGTATTGCTTGATCCATCACTTTGCAGATTTTCTTGGCATGAATGCTTGACAAGCTCCCACCAAACACCGTAAAATCCTGGCTAAAAATGTACACCGTTCGCCCGTTGATTTGCCCATGTCCGGTAATAACACTGTCGCCCGGATACTACAGGAAAACGTATATAAATGTGTTACAAGATAAAAGTTTTTTATGAATTTAAAAATGATTGCAAAGTGGAACTACTGTATTAGATTACAAAAGAAATATCCTAAAGCATTATCAATTTTTCGAAAACCAAACGGTGGTAGTACACAGATTTCTAAACCACGGTATCGCCAAACTTTACCGCCAGATCCTGTGTTACTCAGAATGTAGTACTGCATCAAAATTCGCAGGACAGATCAGCAAAGGCAACCCTCTAAGTATCAAGACAGGTTTCTCCGACAGCAAGAGAAACATCAAACACCACACCAAAAAAAAGTACTGATGCGTTGTTAGAAACAAAACCGGATAAGAAACAATTAAAAGAAATAACAATCTCAATGCCGCCGATACGACACATCGCAGGTGGGCAGAGATTTTTAGAAACTGGTCATTTCTAATTTCCAAGAGTTTTCAAATTAATTTACTGTGTACCGGAATAAGGAATGTGACAGTACAGGCATCAAGGAGACAAAAAAATAATATTTGTATGCTATATGTACCTTTTCTTTCTCCATCCCGAAATTTGTGCAGGTATGCTCAGCGAATGCATCGTATTCCACAAATGTCCCCGGATCCATAAGGACACTGACCCGTTCCCGAGCGGTTAATTTACCCTACGACAGTGCAATGTTGCTGTAATAGCGAGTGTCAACTTTGCAAACAGCGGATCTGCAAATCGCAGCGTTTCATGAAAACCGAGATCAGCCAACTTCGCTACTACGATGCTTTACTTCACGCAACATAAAGTCGTCTATTTAATTCTAGAAAAATCTGAACTCGTGGTAGAGTTTTATTAACGCAAAACGAATGCACTGACACGATTACAACTAGTTTTAACTACTGCAATTCGTGAATCCCAGGGCAAGCAAACTGTAAATGACGCAAAAGCAGACTGCATCACTACACTACACTTTTTCGGCACGTCTGCAAGTTGCATCGTCCATAGAGCGATGTTATGACTTATGAGCATTCTACCAGTACCCCCAACCTTTTTATGCTGGGCATCGATGCGCTTCTGTCCACCTCCCAAAAGAGACTGATGGCGTTTCTCGTCGATCATCCTCTTCACCCCGATCGTCTGCAAGGCGGAACCCGGTGGCGGACTGCTGACAGTTTCCGTCGTTCCCGTTGCACTGGCTGCATCTTGCGCTGCGACATTCGACCCCGAGAAACTTCGGTAATGCAGCATATTATTAAAAACACTGCGATTAGCTATGGGGCTGTACTGAGAGGGCAGATGAGTACATAACCAAGGCAGTCTGGAGGAGAGACGTATGGATGCCATTTTATGGTTCCACGCACAATACTGCACAGTCCGCTGGCCACTTGCTGGCAGCAAATAAACTGTGAATTATAAATGTCAACTCCTTGATGGAAGACAGAACAAGGTTTGAAACAACCCAGGTTTAAAAATCCAGCATCGAAAAAACTGGAATGGATTATAACTTTGGCCGACTCTAAAGAATCTTGTTCACTACTGAGCATTGCAGTGATTGCACTATGTTGTTTATACCCAGGCCAAAAAAATCAGCTGTTCACTGCAATTTGCAGTTGCATGGCCTTGACACATGATGCTTCCGATTCCAATTCCATTCACATCGCCGAATAAGTCACCATGCTCAGAAGACGCTACACGCTGTTCAGTCGCAATTTCACGAAATATGCACGTTACAGCTAAAACGATTTGATCTTTTTTTTCGTAAAATGACAAAATGTACTTCATTTTAAATAGTTAGCTTTGAAAGCAAAATTATGTTCCGCTTTTTAGGTTTGCGCTGCTTCCGGTAGTTACTGAACATGTGTCCCACTCTCCAAAAAAGAGAACATATTGTGGTGGAATGGAATTGAATCAATTGAAACGATTCTGCTAGTCTTTTGGCTAGAGTAGAAATTTCGTATGTATTCGCAAGTGACAGAAAGAAACCTGCTTTAATTTGGAGATCAGAAAGTAGTGAGCAGATATACGAACTCTCATACCGTTCGTAATTCTAAATGTTTTGACTTGTCGTAATGCCTGGATTTTGTCACAATTAAATACTTGTAATTTCCATCGACCTTGTTATCATTCCTTGGGTGAACATGAGCGCTAAAAATTCCAAGCGATATCCCAGGAAACCCAGCTCTACGCCACGATATTTTGATCGATCCAACTCCGCCGGTGCCACTGCCCAGCGCGTAGTCAAAAACATTACCGACGATGCCAATATTTTGGACGGAAAAACCGATTTTATTCCTCTGAATTTTCCTGATGATGATACGGAAGAAATTAAAAACCGGAGAGAGAAAAATGCCTCAAAGCCCGGTCAGAAACCTCGCGGTCCTTCCAACAATCTCGCGCGGTTTCCCGTGACTGGCGCTCATCCTGGCGGCCCGAAGCGTAACCGAAACAGATCCAGAATGAAAAAAGAATGATACCTCGGTGAAGAAGTCCGCAGCAAGCAACAGAAAGCAAAGGATACCCGAAGAAGTTACGCTAGGTGCTGAGTTTTTCTGGATTGAAAATTTATGAAAAATGTAATTAAAGTTTAAAGTTCTTTAGTGTTACTGTCATGAATTGCGCTGTAGATGTTTCTGAGGATGCTCCGGATCCAAAAAAAGATGTATTTGCCGGCGATGCGCCGGTCGATCCGAAACTGTTGAAGAAGTACGATCGCGGGAAAGGTATCGATGTCGGACGCTTGAGTACACCGTTTCATCAGGATTTGATGAAAAAGAAAGAGGAAAAGATTTATTTCAGCAAGCAACAAGCAGCACGAACGCACCTGCTTCGCACGGAAACCGCGGGATTCTTAGAGGTAAATGACCGTAAATCGATTGGAGCTCTGTACCGTCGCACTCAGTAGGGGCGGGATACCGGAAAATGCAGTCAATTTTTTAGGAATTTTGGGTTGGTCTCGTAGGTTTTTTGTTCACGCTAATTTTATTCCATGCATTTAGTTTGCTGCTCTATTTTGTTTGTCGAAGGTGATGTAGTTAAGTCATATTGCATTTTAATATGTGGATTACCTTCAAAATTGGCTCGAATTTTGCTGGTGAACACCAGGTAATACGCTCCGAAATTTTAATATTCAAAAAAATTTTGTTTCTGGCAGCCGGGCAAGAAATCCGCCTTCCGTCCATTCAAGCTCTAGATGTCCTTTGCACTTCAGTTGTTTGAAGGTTGCTGTACATACATAGGGTACATTAATGATTAGCTGGGACTTTGTAGTTACGGATGTATTTTAGAAAATCTTTCACTAAAAGGATGTTTCTGTCTGATCTCTCATGTTGCTTCACCAGGATTTTGATCCGTAAAAACGAAACGATGCCCTCTTGAATATACGCTATCTGTATTTATAAAGCCTTAATTTCTCTTTTATTTCTACAGGCCGAAGGTCCGCTGGAAGACACCGCGCGCGTAACCCAAAAGGAACTGTCGCAGTCTGTAGATCTGCAGAGTCAGTCCAAACACTTTGAGTTGCGCTTGAAAGAGTTCGGCCCCTATGGATTTCAGTACACACGCAATGGTCGATTTCTCATGTTGTACGGAAAACAGGGACACGTTGCCACCATGGATTGGTTGACAAAAACGTTGGCCTGTGAAATGCATGTCCAGGAGCGGATTAATTGTGGTCAGTGGCTCCATCAGGAAACCATGTTCGCCTTGGCACAGAAACACTGGCTGCACATTTACGATAATAAAGGGATTGAATTGCATTGTATCAAGAAGTTGTTCCAAGTTAATTGTATGGATTTTCTGCCTTACCATTTCCTGCTAGCAACAGGTATTGTAACGATGGTGTCAGACTTTCCTGAATGAAACTTTCGTTCTTGCAGCTGTGATCATGAAGGTGTTTCGCATCCAACACGTTTTCTGGAGTGAAACCCAGGCTTCACGTAGGATGAATAAATTAATTTATGGAAATTGATTGAAGTTTTCTCACTTACTGAATGCTATTATGTTTTCCGTCACTTTATTACTTTATGTGCTGACTTTGTAATATTTTCTTTATTTCTACTTTTAACTTGCAGGAAGCGAACGGGGATTTTTGTCCTGGTTGGACATCTCATTGGGCCAGATGGTAGCTCAATTTCCCACCAAATTAGGCCGCCTCTCCACGTTGCGCAAAAATCCCGCGACGGCCATTGTTCATTTGGGTCACGCCAATGGTACCGTTAGCCTCTGGTCTCCTAATGTCTCGGAGCCTTTGGTGAAGTTCCTCTCCCACGAGAGCGCAGTTCGCGCCTTAGATATTGACTCCAGCGGGCGCTTCATGGCGACGGCGGGGTGCGATCGCAAGATGAAGATCTGGGATTTGCGGATGTACAGGCCATTACACGAGATCAGTGTTTTTCAAGCACCGGTATCGCTCGCCTTCTCTCAGACGGGATTGCTGGCGGTGGGAATGGAGAGGAGCGTGGAGGTACTGAAGTTCGTTGGAGATGAAGACAAAGTGGAGACCTATATGAAGCATTTTGTCAAGAATGGGCTGTCGCATGTGGAATTCTGCCCGTTTGAGGATGTTTTGGGATGTGGATACAGGTAACTACTAACTACAATATTGTACTCTGTGTTTAAGCTTTCATTTCACAGTGGACTTGTACTTTATCGGTATCGTTTGTCATGTTTGTTTGAAAGTTGTGCACTGAGCTTTTTTTATTGGTGAGTTTTCTTCGAAAAGGTTTTCTATTGCGGGCGATGAAATTTTATTACGTATTTACAGCACTTGCATTCTCTTGTCTCAAAATTGCTTATTACAGCGTTTTGTTTACAGCGAAGGATTCACGAGTCTCTTAATACCGGGTGCCGGTGAAGCTCACCTGGACGCACTGGAAGCCAATCCCTTCCAAACGAAACGCCAGCGACAAGAAATGGAAGTCCATTCATTGCTGGAGAAAATCCCAGCGGAATTAATCGCATTGGATCCGTCACAGATTGCACACGTCCATGAGCCGTCATTACAAGAACACTTAGAGGAAAAGAGTCGGGTTTTATACGCCCGGATGCCCAAAGTGGAGTTTACACCCAAATTCAAAGCCATTGGCGGCTCGGCGGGTTGGACCAAGCGGAAGACAACGGTGAAAGAGGAGAAGAAACGTCAGCAGATCAAAGAAGCGATCCAGGCCCGAAAGCGACTGCTGGATGTGGAGCAGGAGGAAGAAAGCGAGGAAGAGGTACCAAGAAGAACGGAAAGCGTTTTTGACCGGTTTAAGAAGAAAAATGTTTAATGAGTTTTGAGTGAAACAGCGTTTGTGGAAACTGCAGCGCTGGTAACCATTTTGCTAAGTTTAATGCGAATTACCAGCGTATTTTTGCATAAAAAGTTCTACGTACGCGCGAATGCAACGATTGCGATCTTCAGTCGCGAATGGAAGAATTAAAAATGAATACTAAGGAATAATAATTCGCTTCGGGGCAGGTTCATCTATTCTTGCCGTGTAGCTGCTGTTCTCGGAATGAGTTCGAATTGATGGCGATCGAATACCTGCCGCCAGAAAATTTGAGAAACGTAAATTTGGTGCCCTTCAGTTAGCCAGGGTCTGGACGGGTTTTTTGACGTATGGCACTGTGAGAAAGGCATTTAATTTTACGGTTTGCCTGCGCTTCCTGTTTAATTCTGGTTCGAAAACGAAATGCAAGGGACCATTTTAACGAAGCTTAATCTTGCTAATGCTTAGCGAACGCAGATTACGACAACAACAGCGACGACGCGTAACGATTTAGCTTTATTAATTGGGCATTGGGTATAGACACTAGCACCGGAAAACGGTACACCGGGGCAACCGGCCCCGTCGTCCTTGTTAAAACAACCCTCGCCTCTTCGCAGAAGAGGGTGGGTGGGAGGGAAGAACGACTTGTTACATGTAAATCCACATTACTTCAACACGACAGCAATTGAAACGCACAAATGCACAATCGCTGTGCCACATCCACAATCAAAGATGCATTGCTTCCTTAGTGTCGGAATGGTAGTCAAGGTGCATCCCAACGATACACCCTAATGGCTTTCCTCGGCTGGACACTAGTCAACCAGGTCGTCCAGCTTTACAGTTATTACCTTACCTTACAAATACCTCCGCTGCGTTAACCGGAACTGACACTGCTGACTCTATTTTGTGTACTGCGGAGGTGCTGAAGTAGCGGCATGCGTGTGTTCGGCAGTGACCCCCGGCCCTGTACCAACCACCACGTTTGTCGTAAGCTTGATGAAATGTCGCCATTTGTTAAAGAATAATGAAGTTGGTTCGCTGAGTAGCTAGTTCTGTTTTGTTATCAGGGATTTTTTTCATTTCAGATTCTGGTGGCTACGCCGTTTTAATTTTTACTGAAGCAATAAAAATGACAAAAACAATCTATGGTGAAAACAAGGAAATTTCATCATTAACAAACGAAGAGAACGTAAAACCATCTAACATGCAATGTAAGGGATAAAGTATACACTTGGTTAAAAAACTTAATGTTGCAAAGACCTTGACAAAATTTGCTATTGCAGTTACTTAAAATAAGTCCAGTTGCCGCGGGTACTGCAAATGGCTTTATATAGTGCTAAACAGTGTTTCGTGAGTATAGAAAAAATGAAGGTGTAAGGCAACATTCTGGCAGTACATTTCACGTCCCCAAGGGATCCATAGTCTACTCTTCAGTTTTCGATCACCACACTTGGCATTTCTCCTCAGCCGGCGGGTTCATCGGCGATTTCTCAGGGCAGTGAAAAGCTTCAGAGAATTCTTTCAGATTTCGTAATGGTCCAGTGACCCTGGGAAAATGACACTTAGAAGAACTGTAACCAAACAATATTTTCGGCTATTAATGATCAAATATTTCTTGTACCGGTATTTGTCGGGACTGTGCACACCCGACAGAATATCGTTCGCATAAGCATCCGGACGCGATAATCCACACCAAATATGCGCATACGATAGAAACAGCAGTTTCTCATGGCTGACATGTGCCAGACCCGGGAGACGCGGTTCGCTGCCGCCCGCTGGGAGTGTGCGCTCCTTCCACTTGCGGTAGGCTCGATACGCCTGTTTTAAGCCGCCATTGTCCGCAATATTCTCCCCCTGCGTATTTACGCCGTTGAGGGTCATGTTGACTTCGGGAACGTAGAACTCTTCGTATTGCTTAATAATGCAGCTGGCTTTGTTCTTGAAGCGCTGCACCGTGCTGGCCGGCCACCAGTCACGCAGATTGCCGTCTTTATCCTTTTGCCGGCCCTGATCATCGAAGCCGTGGGTGATTTCATGGCCGATTACCATTCCGCTGTAACAACAAAAAGAAACTTCCATCACATCGATCACATAGTATCGCCTTCGTTCTTGCGTTTACATGGCTCCGTAGTTAATGGATTTCGGCCTGTCTTTATCAAAAAACGGTGGCTGAAGGATGCCGGCAGGGAATGTTATGCTGTTGTAATCAATTGAGTAAAAGGCATTCACTTCCGCCGGTGTTGCCGCCCATCTGTAATTTGACGCGAGATCGGTGTGAAACTAAGCCTGGTTATAATATTTTCGAACTACGTATATTGGATGTAACGCAGTCCTATTTCGATACGATACGGTAAGCCATAATTAATGACTGCGCAGTTACTGATCACACATATTATATACATCACGAGTTAATGGCATGCGTGCGCAATATACTCTACTCGAGTACCGTTATTCTTTCCCACAGCAAATTACTCCATTATCACAAAAAAATAGTTCAAAGTCAGACACACAATTATTTTTTCACCAACCCTGACTTAATTATCTCAATGGTGCCTCACTTGTTCTTATCAAATGGTATCCGTAATTCGCGCAGGGACTTTTGTGCCCACGCCCGACTGTTCAGGTGGACGTTCTCGAAGTGGTCGTATTCCGAAGCTATCATTTCCTTGAAATGATCTTCCAGGGCCGTCTGATTGTGGATCATATCAGGATAAGCAATCTTGCGATTAATCGCTTGCGCTATACCCAAACGCACACAATGCACAAACGAAACAACACTTTGCTAAAACTATTGCAGTGCGATGACTAAACCTTTCTTTCTCGCCACCGCCTTCGCCTCCACATCCATCCACTCCACTTCATCGAGCAGTTCATTAAACGCTTCAGAAATATCATCAATCATCGCTTCAGCCTCCGTTCGGCTGCCATTCTTTAAGCTGTCCTCAACGTACAGTTTACCCACCGCCATATCAAAATACCTAAAGGTCATCCGAAAATACAATCTTCTCATTCGCTGATTCATAGCTAAATGACTCTGACCCAGTAGCCACGCCCACACACGACCGCCAGCGTGCCTTCTCCATGGATGTTCCATACAAGACGTTGCGGTACTTGTTGTACACCTCCCGGAAGCGGCTGTCCATATCCCACACCACCGACTGCACCACGCGCCAAGCAATATAATTGGCCACGGTGCGCTGGGTGGTGTTGTGCATCAGCTTCAGGAATTTGTTAAAGTAGTCCAATTCGTTGACGATCACTAACTCCTCCCAGGTCACCGACGGCTCCACGTCGTCGGGCATGGACAGGTTGAAGTAGCGCAGCCAATCCAAACCGGGATCGGTGCGGTTCTGTAGCGCGTGCAGGCTCATCTTGTTGTACTGGCGGGTAGCATCGCGGCGCTGTTCCCTCGGGGTTTTCGTCTACAAGTGCAGAATGCACTGTAAGGGTTGTGACGTCGAGTACTGTATCTTCCTCTGTATGTGGCTGCAGCCTGCATGTATTATTCGAACATACCGGCGACTGCGAAACTTCACTTACAATTAATGCAGATTCATAAAGCTGTTTGTTACCTGCGCAATGGCGATTTCGAAATGTAGCACATCTGAAAAATCCCTCTCCGCCACCGATCGGTCGGCGCCCAAGAGGACGGCTGTTTCCACCATGAAAGTGTAGTACGCTTTCACATATCTAATCATTTAGAAACGCATTCAATTAAGGTCTTGGAATAAACATGGGACTGTGGTCAACACTTTCATAGCATATTAATTTTAACGTTTTTAGACTAATACTAATATAATCAAATGTAGTGTGTAGACCATGTGTGTAGAAGATTACTTACCTATCGTCTTCTCCACGCAACATATATTCTGTGCTGCAAGATGAAAATATTTTAAGAACCCCATCAGCTTCGTTTCGGGCCATAAACAGTTAATTAATGAAATAAGCATAAATACAGATATATCTGGATATGTTATTACCTCGGCATACCAACGCCTGGCTGATCTATCTGGTAAGAAAATCACACAAATGACAACTCCATTCAAGAGAGGTTTTGCAGTGCCAAAGCTGTGCTTACGTAGATGATTTGTCTAGAAGAGGAGAAACTGTTGCAGTACATTACGCTAACTCATGCTCCAAAGTGCTGTCGTTATCGTTAGTGTTTACCTTGTCGTATTGCGGCTATCTGCCCACACCTAGGATTCGAGGACAAAATCATAAGAAACAACATATGTGTGTGGTGCTGGAATGCTAGTAGTATACTAGTATCCCTTGATTGTGTAACTATGCTGCTCGTAGGGAACGTTATGCTATGCTATGCGCGACGCAACTTACTCCCATGTTGATCAAGTAAATGCCGCCATCACGTCGCAGCTTGCCGACGGTGTCCACCCAGTTAAAGGTCTTCTCAAAATTCCGGGCCGTCTGACTGCCGACTGGATGCTCCAGCACAGGGAAGTCCACATACTTCTTCAGCAAATCAATCACAGGCTGACCTCCACGGTCTTCAATGGCCGCTGTAAAACCACAGCACTGTAGCAAACTGCATTCCGTCACAAAAAGATGTATGAAACAATCATGTGGCATACTTGCATGAACGTACTTTCGTTCATGCAGGCTCTGTACATCTTCTTGGACTGTGCGACGGGTTTCCACTCCTCCGACCGGACTGGCAATTCCATTATCCCTGGATAGAAATACGAACGCCAAGTGAGTCATCCTAATTTGCGGTTGTCGTTGTTGACATAAAGAGCACAGAAACAGATCCGGTTACTTTTCAGCGTGAGTTCCAGTTCCTCTTTCACTTGACTGAAGACGCTATACCGGCTTTTATCTTCCGGTATCACATTCTTCTTCAGCCAGCCTCCGCAGGCATAAGTGTAAAAATCTGCAAACCGTGACAAGGTTTTCTTAAAACAGACTAGCGAAGAAAAGAAAGCTATTATCACTGTACAGTAAAAATTTTTATTGCCATGCTAATGTCCAAAACAAATCAGTTATCACTGAATGTTAATTTAAGAGCGTACATTATACACAACATCGAGCCGTGAGAAAAGTGACTGCATGTTGTCATGATCCTACCTTCACAAGGATCAACCTCTTGATCCATAGCTTCCAATATTCCGTTAGCTAGTCAAGAAAATCCAGTTTTTATACAATACTCGCTTAAGCAATACTCGACTATACGATACCTGCTTTCGTACAGGCTTCAGAAATGCATAACCTTTCGGAGCCACTGCCCAAGTGCACAACAGCCGCATCATCCGATGGGCCTTTGTGAAAACGAATACTGCTCAGCATATCGCCATTCCATCTGGAATTACTATCTAAAAAAACGGTTTAAGAATATTCACAACGCACATAATTGTCTGAGATAACGAAGATTAGGATACCTCTTGAAAATAACACGATAAGGGTAATGAGTAGCGCACATAACAGCGCGACGGCTACGCTTAACAAACAGCAAAGGGAGCGTTCCCGATACGTCCACTTCTTCCACCATAACCACCATCTGTTTCGAAAAGAATGGGTGAGCTCACGTTCTACCTTTTCAAAATGTGTGAGTTTACGTATCTCTTTTTTGACTTGTGCGACTCATTTGTCACCTGGAAGCAGTTATCACAAGTTCCATGAGCTCCATAAACGCACAGAGCACAATGATCCGATTTATCTTCTAGTAATCTGTTTGTGCAAGTTCCAAAATAAACTTATTATTCCAAACTATTCAGTGTTCAGAATTAAAATTTACTGTCCCGTTTGCAGTAATGCGGTAATTCTTATGGACAGCTGAATCTGATGCAGTATTTTACAGCATTTACAGAAATTGTGTGATGAGCATTTAATCCGTAATTTGACGCGCAGTTAGTCAAATGCGTATCAGTGGCCAAGTGAGACCGTTTAGTTTTTACTAAATCTAGATACTAGACGCATCACTCTTTAGCGTTCTCTATAATATTATTCCGCGGTCACTACACAATTCTTTTTTTGGACAGCTGCGTAGGGTATCGGTTGGAATAAGCCATCTTCATTCAACTGAATGGCATCGGAATTTGTGAAACGCGTTAACAGCGAATACCAAATGAACAGCTCATTACTTCAGTTTACAGAAATATCAAGTACTCTGTATGTACCTTTTTACGAAAGACGGTTGCCGGTCGTATGCAATATTGAACACTACTTACCTCTGCTGCGGATCTTTGCCGTACGAATTGGCTGGCAATGTGGCTGAATGAGGCGAAGCAGTGGGTAATTTATTATCCACTGCCAGATTATTGACGTTGAGACTGAGTGAGTTCGATGGGGAATGTCTGGAATGATAGGACACCGCATTATTCACACCACTGGCCGTGTTAGCGGCCGTGACCTTTCTCGTCTCGTCCTCAGGCAGCGCATTGAGATCGTTGTTAACAAGAATACTCATCTCCATATAAGCAAACACAACAGTAAATGTATGATCTAACGAATTCCTCGTGAATCCAGTAACACAAACGATATCCTATTTAGCCACATAATGACATAATCCGCCAATGTATCGAGAAAGCCTGTCAAGATGCCTTATTGCTTGTCTAATGAAATGCGCCGCAGAATTCGACGGCTGCCTTCAGTTGTTGTCTTTCTACGATGCAGTAACTGTACTGTCCGAGAAAACCGATCTCGTAAATATGATCGCTGCTCTCTCAAATGGTTTTGATTTGTTCTTTTGGCGAGTGAATTATGTTAGTCGGGGGGATGTGTTTAAAAATAAACTGAGCGGTGCTGTCAAGACTAAAGCGTGGTTAGTAATCTGAAAAGGCTGCGCCGGAGCTGGTTAATTTCGACAAATTACTGCCCGCTGCACCGCTCTGGCCGGGCTGCTTTCATTCAGCAAGATACGAATTTTGCAAAAGTTTTGCCGCGACGTATGTTACATATTATAAATACGCTTTGTGATTGTGATTGACGGGATGTCTGTCAACAGTTTAAAAGGACCAATGTGACGACGATAAACGTCCTGCCGCTACCAACACATTTTCATGGATCGTTAAGCTTTCACTGCGTTCGTCCTTTTTGACACTTCCCTCGTTAAAGACTTTAACTACGTTGGCAACTCGTTGGTACTCTTAAAATATTTTCAGGTAAGTTACAAACTTAATGAGAAACTTTGTGATGCACTAAGGTGCAATCAAAATCGAAAACTCGCCTTAGGACATGTGTAACAATTAACAAGCCAGTTAAATTACGATGTGCGCTGCATGCATTTAACGAGCCCAGCTGCTTTCGTATGTCAGTTTACTGGTTTTTTGTGTATGTCAACAATTGGTCTTTTACTGGAAAAGAAGGATTTTCTGTTTTGCTTTTATATAAAAAAAATAAGTATCAAAAAACTTTGTAGAAATACTTTGTCACTTATGGTTAGTGCATGCAAGGGAAGATCCAGGGACATCTTGCACCTTGCCTTATACCATATAGAACCTTGTTGTCGCATAGACCGGACAGTCAGTGCATTCTAATGACTTAGGATACTACCGTAGTGCATTGGCGGTGACCCTCCACGGTCCACCCACATGCCACGGCACATGGCAAAGATCGGAATTGTTTTCGTTAAGGAAAAGTCGTAAAAATGATGAATGACAATTTGACGTAAGCGCGTGGTGCATTACTAGCGGCACGGTGGCATAACATTTGACCTTCCTGCAAATTATGAGTTATGTATCTAGACCACGGACCGGCTCGTGATGAAACCACACCCCGCTAAACAACAACACTTACTGTCAAATGAGTGAGACTCTTATTACTCTTACAGTAACAAAAAGTAACAAAACTAATTCAATAAACACGGCTGCCAAACGTAATTCTGTACTGTTACGTTTTAATCCTCATTATTCCTGCCAAAGCACCTGCAAAACACCCTCTTGCGCATGCTTAAAATTGTTATCTGGTAAAGAAGTGGTACGTACCTGTTTAACAAATCTTTGGCTAGTACAGTAAAATCCATCGTTTTGCCAGTTTGCTATAGTCTCAAGTACTTAAATATATATTAAAATCAATTTTGTCTTTGGTCCGCCGCCTGATACCGCCTTCAGAATCGAAAACAGTTGGAAAGATATACAAAGTATAATGCGCGTGAGCTTTCTGCGTGAAAATAAATAAATAATACTAAGATGGCTAACTGGCCTCTGGCTCCGCGAACATTAGAATATAGATATAGCAAACCTGGTTAACTAAATCCACAGCGATCAGCCCCATGACCTTAATGGTGGCAGACTCCCGGTTGCATTTGAACTATCTCTCGAGCAATTACATTGTTATATCACGACTGGCGAAAGGACCAGGATTTGTGGAACAAAGAACAATTGCAACAAGTAGAAGCGCTCGTAGTTTGTACTCTTTGCATCGATAGCAACAACTTTGTACGAGTGTCTGCGGGTTGAATGGTCATTCAGCACTGATCCGTAAGTACTGCATTATACGTCACATCCTTATAAGACGACCTCATTTCCTGGTCCAAAGAAACTACTGGGACAAACATATCGAGTGTTATTAGTTATCACTGCAGTTTCTAAACCAAGCATAAACATTCGCCACTGGTGAACAAAGATTTTAACAGTAAACAAGCTGTTTGGTAGTAAGTTATTAAGAACAAATCGCAATTTATAATACCACTGTAAACAGTTAATACTTACTTATGAAGAACACAATATAGTACAACAAAAAGGTAAATAACACGCCGACAAGATGCAACAAACATATTCAAACCTAAATGGTAAAAACAAATGATAGGAACAAGTGCAAAAGTTCGTATTTTCAGCGGCTAATCAAAGATAATCTGCAGATAACTGCGAACACCACCGCCATAACCGGGCTTGTTCACCATCTGCACCAGCAGGTCAAACGCCAAACTGAAGGCCGTGCGCAGCTTGGCCATTCCGCGTTCCGACGGCTGTGCGGCGTCCTTCCCCGGATCCACGGGATCCTCAATGCGCAACGCCACACTGGCCGGACCATTGGTGATGCGCGTCCCCATGTCACTGCGCGAGATGATCTCTCCATCGCCGTCCACCGTAATAGCCAGCTGGTTGTAGTCGAAATCGCAACCGTACAGTCGCAGAAAGCGCAGTAGCCGATCGCCCAGATTGTTATCGCGCGGATCGTCCACTTGTTGCTGGAAGAAGCTGATGGTCATCAGCGTCAGACAGTAGGAACTGACGCCTTCCGAGTGCACTTTGTCCAGACCCCAGAGGCGCAGGAATTCTTTGGCCACAATCAGGATTTTCGGCAGAAGCGGATACGGCTGAATAGCCGACAGGATCCACTGGGAATTGCGCATGCCGGCGTGAAACTCGTTCCCTGACACACACTGAATGGAAAGAAAAAGGGTGAATAACAATTTCGATATTGATAGAAATGGAACTGCAAGTTACAGCTAACAACCAGTGAAACGCTCTTCACACTCACGCCGTTATGACAATAATTTGCCTCTGAAGGTTTTAATTCACGAAGGCAGATATGTAACATGATAGCAATCGACGAACTGAATAATCACAAAAGCGAAAGAAAAGATGCAGAAACGAAAAAGCTTCGCCGACGTACTCACCGAAACGTCAATCTGGATTCCGCTAGGCACATCCACGATTATAAAGATGGGAGTTCTGGCCGTTGGGATGCAATATTTGCATTGCACATCGCGATATTCGCGCAGTCTCTCGAAACATTCCTGCAGCCATTCGGCGGGATCCATGTGGAAGCGACCATTCAGATTCACCACCAGATCAATATCGCTATTGCGTACGAACAATCCCGTCAGCGTGCTGCCGTACAAGGACACTCTCACTCCAGGATACAAGGACGTTATGATTCTCTCAATACGGTTGATTACTTCATAGCGCCTGCGACGCTCCTGGCCATATTGGTGTGTGTAGCCATAAAAGGCCTCGATTTCCTCGTGAAGACCCATGATACCAGCACGGTACCGCTTGCCGTCACCATTCCAACTGCGCTCCTGCTGGTTTCACCACAAAAACAAATGAAGTACAAGGCAAACAGAATAGTTAGATAGCGCTGCGTATTAATCGCCAGAAACGGCAAAGTAAGTTACCTACAGCTTAAAGTTAGAAGGCAAACACAGAAACACAAAGGAAGAATCCTTCCCAAAAATTAATAATAAAAAGGGGTGTCGAGCTGATGCCAGCAAATGTCCTAAAATCATAGGCTAACTTCTGAGTTGTGGCCTATGTACTTTGGCGTCAGTTTCGCTTTCACATGTTTTGTGAGCACTGAGCACTACGGATTCACCAGGTGCCCTTACTTGTTAGATTTCGTAATGCGCTTCCCAAGACTTCTTGGCTTTTTCGTATCAATTTGGTGTTTAACACGTACGTACTACGTACCATTTTGCATATTTCATCGGGTCTCGGGATAGCCTCAAATAATGACGTTTTCTTGGCGTAAACAGAAAAGTATGCAGCACTTTAGGCTAATTCAGAGTACTACTAGCAGTAACAACAATTACGTGGCACCACCTCGTGCCGGGCCCAATTTCTGTACCCGGCAGGCCATTTTCGTTTTCTTTCCCTCTCCACCACCCTTCCCGGCTTGCATAAATTGGTCACAGGACTCAGAGCTGCCATGATCTTGTGGTGTATAGTTCTGCAAAGTTCTGTATAGTACTTACTAGATTTGACAGACTAACACAATTCAATGTGTGCCTGATGTACAGAAACGCAAATGCAGTCCTGATCTTAAAGGGACTCCACACTTTTTCTTTCGTACATTGTTGCCACTGCTTGGCGTATGCCCAATTGCCCATTAAAATCTTTTTTAATGTGCGGCAGCTAGATGGTACTGCTCTAATACAGTGCGGAAGAAGTAATGCAAAAAACATGATATTAAATTATTACAGCATAAATGGTATTTATCGCACACTTGTTGCATCGAACAATGTACATGTACATGGATCTACTATATAGTATGCAACACCATAGGTTAGAAACGTACAATCAAAAACAACGACGACCGAAATGCGCAGAGCCGGCCAATGTATGCTTGTAATAATCGAAGATCACATCCAGGAAACTGACAGTGTCCCCGGCACGCACTGAACTGTCCACCGCTCGTTGCAATGCATCATGCGCTTCGCCGAACGCCCGCTTCACTGCATCCATGCCTCGTCTCGACGGTTCAGCGGCGTCCTTCGCGGGCTCTACCGGATCTTGGATGCTCAACGATGTGCTAATGGCCCTCATGCCCAATTTACTCTGCATGTCTGACTTCGATATGATCTGACCATTTCCCGCCACAATTATGGCGTGTTTGTCAAAATCAAACTCTTTGCCATATACCTGAAAAAAGCGTAGCAGCAGACTTCCGAGACTGTTGCCGGTCGCATGGTGCTGGAAGAAACTGATGGCCATCAAACTGACCACGTACGAGTTGATTCCGCGATGGTAGATTTCGTGGAGATTGCGTCGACGAAGATATTCCTTAACGACGATGACCAGTTTGGGTAACAGCGGGTAGCGGCTGATGGTAGATTTAATCCACTGAGATTTTGCCACGCCTTGATTATAACCGTAAAGTGGTATGCACTGCAAGCGCAACAATATTATGAGAAACATGCTTCTCTTAATTGAAAAACAAAGTCACGCTTCCGGGCGTACAGTACTGCAACCAAGTGTCTCCAATACGACCGGTTACCGAGTGCCGAGTCTGCCGACCATGACAAGAAAACTGTTACCACTACTGTTCTGACGAGATACAACAAACTGAACAAAGGTTCAAGTACAAATTTGCAAATCACAGGAACTAACCGATAAGTCCACTTTAATTCCCGTGCTAACATCCACAAACTTCACTACAGGAACTTTAGCGCTTGTCAGTTGTTCCGTACATCGCACTTCTGAATGTCGTTGCAGCGCCAAATAACAACCTCGTAACCATGCAGCGGGATCGACAAGAATGTTTACCACAGCCACCAGGTCAATATCGCTGGAATGCAGGAACAAGCCGGTGAGCGTGCTTCCAAAATAGTCCACTTTCACGCCGGGAAACTCCGCAGTAATGATCTGTGTGATGCGCTGGATGACAGTTTGTCGCCTGGTCGCTTCTTTGCCGTCTGCATGAATTTCGGCGTAGAAGGCTTCGATTTCCTCGTGCAGACCTTGAATCCCGGCACTGTATCGTCCCACTATCACGTTTTTATTCACATCGGTGCCAGGGCTCTCTTTGTGGTTTTGGCTTGCAGATGATTTCGTTTGTTCCCGTGTACGAGTTGTGATTAAAGGTTCACGCAGTTCCGGTCTGCCTTGTTTCGTGTCGCTCGTAATTTCTTTCAACGAAACAGAATGATGATGACTGGTTTTTGAATACCTTTCTCCCAGCGACACACTTCCGACAACACTCTGCAGTTTTGGCGACCTTCGTTGTGCATCATGTCGTGATTGACGCGACGGCAAAATGTCTGGATGCTGATGATGTCTGTCATCAGAGCGATGCCATCCAATGCGATCTGGTGTGCGCCTGCAGGGATTTCCTTCCTGTATTCGAGCATGATCTAAAAAGCAGACACAGTGGTCGTACTGATGTGCATTATACTTTTGCGATACCAGAGTTAGAAAGCAGAAACCGCCGCACTGTACCTCGATGTCCGTACCGGTACGACCCGTACGAGTATGCAGGATATGAGCGGTGGTATTTCTCTTTGTCCATTTATGTCATCTGCATCTCGACTCCGGTTGCAAACCGATCACTTCTAGAATAGTTTTCTTAGACGGTTAGACGTGGCAGTACAGCGATCATCTCGTTTTCAAAATCTCTAAAAGGACTCGATTTCACACTTGGTATTTCCGATAAATTATCGCTTGTTTTAGGGAATACATATATAACAACGTACTTGACTACCTGCTTCAGACTTGCATGACATTACATTATCAGAGAAATCTCCCAAAAAACGATATCTATGCAGTATAGTTTATACAAAAAATCTGGACCAGTTGCCCCAATTACAAAGCGGTGTTTCTTTCTTTCTTTGCGGCGGTTCCTTCTTTCTTCCTTTTGTTCTGAAAGCGAAATCGGTTAGCCTGGTAAAATGAAAATAAGAGAACACCAATTTAAAACTGGCAATTTGTTGTCAGCTGAAGATCATCTGCATCTTTTAGGAAATTTGAAAGCGTGGCGATTGCTGTGCGGAAAGTGAAAGTACTTCGCGAGCTAATTCGAAGGACCACTCAATATGGCTTAAGGATAATGAAGTACACTTTTCTTCAGATGAAAAAATAAAAAAACTCTCATTGCGTTAAATGGTTAAAACTACTAACTGTCCAGGTCTGGTGCATACGTGTATACGTACCGTACTTCTGCCTATCATGACAGACAGACAGTCATTGAAATATTTTTATGATTAGTAGCATAATACCATAACGTAGAAGTATCGCATCTTGATAGACGAAGAAATTTCAATGCTCCAAAAAAAATGGAATTAATTTGGCTTACCGATTGATTTAGCCTCCTTTGCTATCTTTTGTGCCGCTTTTATAGGCATCCGACTATAAAAAGACTTACAATGAGAAAAAACCGAGGTAAAGAGCAGCGATTTTCAAGTGGAGACTACATATATACTGCCAGTGTTTATTTTGCTTTGACGCGGTGTTTGTTTGAGATGGTCGTGCTAGTGCTGCAGTCACTGGCAGTGCAGTGTCACTCACCATCAGGTTTGTTGACAGCTTAGGGCTATAGTCTATACAGTATGAAGAATTGTTGAGATGTGTTGACGTGCGTTATCTCGCTTTTTCTGATCGCCCACAATTCCACAACGCAAGGAACACGAATTACTAATGCAGGGTTATTCAGTTTATAACCACCATTTTCTTGTTGTGGTATTCTGACTGCAGTTCAGTAAAGTGTTTGGAAAAGCATGCTACTTTTTAAACGCCGAAAAATTTAATAATATTTTCACACCGAAGAAGGCAGAAAGCCAAGAGGCCGGGGAAGGAGTTGCGTACCAGAACCAGATAATGGCGTTCTTGCAAGTGTGTATGTGTGTATACACACTTACTCGAAATCCTTTTAACTTATGATTATGTACCATTTAAATAAATACTACGTTCCTTATCGTTAGCAGTCCTAGAGGATAGTTAGAGTAGGTCAGTATAGGAAAGGTCAAGCTTTACAAGGGAGTTCTTAAAATATATAGTACTTCAGGAATGTCACTGTTTGACAGCTTAATTTTTTAAGTCCTGCATTAAATAAAACGAAATCATGAACTCCACGCCAAGTTACAATGTAATTCCCACACAGTAACAAAAAAGCGTTTTTTAGACTCGTATTACGACTCTAGCAAACCGTTGTTCACTCTACGAAAACTGCAGTGCCAGAACGCCTTGCTTGAATGCTTGAACGCTTCGTACTGTTGCCGTTCTGTACTGTTTCCCAAGTGTTCGGTTGATTGTAAAAAATTTTAGCATGCGTCAAGGTTAGCAAATTTGATCTGTTATTATATCGACACTTTTATCTGTGTCATGGTCTCGGCATTTGCACTTATGTTTTGGCCAGTAAACTCAGTTTTTATTATCCGATTCGATAGAAAAGAAGTGCTATAGAATTTTCTAATGCAGCTGGTGACATAAAAGGTCGACGTTTATGTGTCTCTGATCAATCACTCAGTAGCTTGTCAACGTGCAAATAAATAACTCGTGCTAAGCCAGTTGTAAAAAGCCCATGGCATCGATGGTAACAAGCTTTTGAGTGTCCACTGGCATTGATGAACTCAGCACGCGCAAACGTCGACTATTTAGGATCACCCGCAGTAACGAGAGGATTCTGTAACACTTTCCAGCTGCAAAATTGGATTGGTAGAAGCCGAGATCATTGAAAACAAAGAGAGACCAAAACAAAGCATGATGTTAGACCTGATGACACTACATATCAGTTCCAACATCATGCTCATGGGTTCAGATTCCAAATATCAGAGTTTAGTTGTGCCCTTACATGCTTGTAATTATAACGCTCGAATAGGATATCGAAGAAAGTACGGGGAGTGAGCACAGAATTCTTCACCGCTTGTTCCAGTATATCATGCGTTTCGCGGAACGTCGTTCTCAATGCAGTTATTCCGCGTCTTGAAGAAGCAGCGGCATCTTTATCGGGCTCCAGTGGATCCAAGGTGCATCGTAGAAATGGATTGTATGTGCTCGCACATAGAGTGTTGCATGTACAAAGTATTTTACCAAACAGCGGAGTCCGCAAAACGATCACTTGCAATCAAAGTCACCACGATATCAATATTACTTGTTCGCAGATACAAGCCGGTTAAGGTGCTTCCGAAGTGTTCCACTCCAACGACGGGGAATTCTGAAGTAATAATAATCGTGATTCGCTGGATGGCATCGTGTCGCCTGGAGACTCCTTCCTTCGGCGTGAAGAGCGGCATAAAAAGTTCTATTTCTTCGTGCAGACCCATCATGCCGGCACTGTGCCATAGAAATGATAGAATCGATGCAGTACAGCCAGTATTATTATTGACTTGGTCTTCGTTGCCTGATTGTTAATGATATGAGTACAAACTTAGCTTAAGTAATGTACTTCATAACTAAGTAGTTTTGCTAATATCGATGAGCTCACAGCGACATGCGACAGGTTAATGCTATCGTTGGTACTGATAGTAGGAATGGGCACACAAGTTTGATATTTTCCCATGCTGCATTTATACCTTGCCAGAACGAGATCAGCCTGCAGATAGCTTCTGTTGGAATTTCGGATGATTAGATATTGAAACATAACCAAAGAATCTATTTGCCCAGCAGTTATATACAAGTACTCCGGCTAAAGGTCGGGAAGGTTTTTTCTGATTGACTGCTACAAAAACGGATGGTACTGTGGGTGCAGTTTTGTTTTATAATAATTTTATTATAGTTGTGCTCCCGCTATTCTAGGCTTCCTGGTACTGGCTTTGATCACGAAAAAATGGTTTGGCTGTCGCAAGCAGCAGTTGTTAAATCTTTGAGCTTGTCGTTGCCCTGTTCAAAAACAGAAATACAAATTCTCATTAAGACGTAATAGAACGATACAGAAAATACTTTTTATGTAAATAAGCTAATTTTAATGCACTGTTGCAAGTTACAGTGCAGCAATTGCAGCGTTGTTACGCGTACGACAGATCACCAAGCATGCAGAAGCAAATGCTACATTATATGTACCGTAAGTAATGTACTTATTGATCTGCTCACATAGAAGATCGCGATTTAAAAACTTAATGCAGTACCGCACATACAGTAGGCACTAGAAGTTTGGCGAATCTTACAGGATGGACAAGGACAAAACAACATTGACGAACTTGCTCAGCCATGCAGAGCGTGACCTGGGATGATTTTGGGATGATAAGCAAGAAACCATACCTGACGAAAGACCACGTGTATAAAAAGCCTGAACATGGCGAACACGACGCACTGGCACCTTAACAAATAAAGCTCTAGTCCACCGAAGAGAATGAAGAGAGACGACAGCAGCCGCGGTTGGTCATTTTTAAGAGTGAAATGGACCATTTCGTTGACAGCTCCTATCCGCACTCGGAACGTGCGTCACAGTCACACCAACTGGGTTGGCAAGTATGTTTCAGTGCACGCACATGGTATCAAGTGATGGCGTGACCTTTTCAACGTCCATGTATAGATCCATTGCAAGCATAGATGAGATTCAGTATTTTACTTTCCCGAAAATCTTTCACTTATTAATATTTCAAGCGATTTATGGGAATTTGGCTAACCCCATGACTTCCTTTTTGCGGCACAAAAATCTGCGATAGAAGAAGAATTTATTTACTTACACTGCACCATTCGATTAAGATATTTATCGTTAGAAGCCGGTACTTATTAGTATTTTAATATATCTAAATGTATCTTTAGGTTAACCTGAACCCAATGACGTCTGACAGCCAAAAAGCGAAGTCTTATGGCTGATCCTGAGGTAAACTGTACAGCGCTGTTACTCTACAATGTTTATATAGAAAATATCCAAACAGAATTTTAACAGATTAGATACAAATTACAGTACAGTAGGTACAAGTACAAAGAATGCTTCTTAGTTTCTGTACCTTTAAGTTATACGAGTAACAATCTTCTTTTACTAGACTGTATGGAAAGTCAACGAAGTGTTATTCCAGCAATTCTTCCGCTCGCATCGTTTCCACGTGCTTTTCCACGTTCCACGTGCGTTCATGCTTTTCCACGTGGTGATGTGCCTAGCTACCGACCGCGAATCAAATGTGACCCCGGCCGCTTTATCGAACTCTTTCCACAACCGGAACTTCGTTATCCACCCATTTCACAAAAGGTCAGTTCACAATTGCTGTTTTTGCGTCAGCTATGCACACTTTATTAAAATTGTCTTGACTGTAAGTACTTCATATAATTCATACCATATTTAATAATGGTCATTAACGGCCTTTTTGTACAAAAAATTTGCTTCCTGGCGTATCCTGCTTGAGGGTATTGACTATTGACGTGCCGGAGTATTGTTCGTACAGCCGTATTAATGCAATGCAAACCGACATCACAATACTGTACGCAGCAGTAATCTGTAAAAGTGGCATATATGCATCAATATTTTGTAATATTATAAACTTCAGGAATAAGTAGTTTTACCTTCTGTGTATTTTTTATTTAAGTTCTTTCTTATTAAACCGGTAATGATTGTTATGGTACACAGTTAAACGGATGACATATCGGCTAAACGCCCGAAGGGAAGCCTGTGCCTCGAGAAAAATTGCCAGACGTTAAGGAAAAATATTTGAAAACGCCAGGAAAAGATGCAAAAGATTTGAAACCACAAGCAAAGATCAGAATAAACCGAAAAAATCTGCCCGCACCTGCTAATTACTACTTACTTAATGCTTGAAAATACGAGTGTTTCCTCTTTTTAAACGTGCAGTTTAGAGATACACAATGCAACAGCTTCAACTGTAATAATTCGAGAAAAATCGTCAATATTTCCGTAGAAAACTGCAAACAAGATGTATTTGGCACTATTTGCTTAGTCGTACAGTCACGAATCACGATTCATATGCGCCGAACCTGGAGCCACATAATTTATAAAAATCAGATTCCTAAATTTCCATAAATCAGCAGCAAACACCACGTAAACATGACAGCTGTCCAATTTAATTTCGTCAACATCCAATAGAAAAAATACGTACAAAATTCAACACAAAAAATTTCAAGCATAAGTGCAGAAATAAGTCTTGTCATGACTAAAAAATCTTTTTTCAACACAAATAAAAGGCAAATCTGTAAAATAACTTAACACTGGGCAATGACAAAGGCGATTTATACACAATCACACCACAAACACGCATTTTCAATCTCAACAATCCAATCATAAAACAACTGATGAGTGAAACCATCACGATAGCATTTTTGACGCAATGTGTTCTCCTTACAACAAGGGAAACCGGAAAGCCCGAATGTGCATCGGTTGCAGAATGACGGTGGCATCCGCCGGCAGCAACTGTCCTTTGTGCAACTGCGATGGGGATCCTTCTTCCACGTACGGGAAGGTGAACAGCCCCGTGAAGGCTGTCTTCAGATTAATCTACAAACCATAACAGCACCAAGTTATTTTCATATTCAAATGCACATATTAAGGTTAAGAAGTCAGCTACTGATTAAATCTATTAAACCTCATGGACATTTAGTAGAGTGTTTCAAACACCCGGGTGACTGTACTAAGCAGTCACAGCTAAACAAGTACGCATGGTGTTAGCGTAAATCATACCGTAATTATCGAATTAATTTCGGTAATTCACAAATTGTGAACTGCCATAATTCACTACCCTAGACCTTTTCGCAGTTACCGGTAGTGGTACATGTATCAGGTATGTGACGCTTGGAAATCCAGACAAAGGAAATATAGATACGCTATCCATATTAAAAGTACATTCGGCAGTCCCAGCAACACGGCGTTTTGCCACGCTGCATTTAACACTCATACTGTCACCAAACGATGCTACGAATACATTAACTAAAGTTTCAATCTGTCATTACATAAAACTGCATGCAAACGATTTTATAGGAGCGTAATGGGTCAACAGCAACCACTAACGATGAAAAAATGACACAAAATGTGGCAGTATATCCAGATACCACATAATCCATAATGGCCATTGGCCATCGTATCAAATTACAATTCTAGTTTTTTGTGCATTTTTCTCGATTCTGCTTAAAGCTTATTTCTTCAGCCATTAAAGCTGCAACAAGATTAAACTAATAATTTCAGAAATTTCTGTACCCCAGCTACTAATATTCTAATAAAACAATGAATAAATCCACTCCGTGCATCCAGACTAATTATTAATACCCGGAATAAAATGTTTGAAATTTACCTTCCCGTCAGCCACCATGGAGCACCGTACCCCCGCCGTGCGTCCCCGGCAATCCACCGCACCGCGGTGCAACATCAAGAGGGCCGTCGGCCCTTCCGTCGACTCGCCCGTGCCCTGTTTCCCAGCCGAGACCATCCCGTCGTCGGTCTCCGCCGCTACCGCCGTGCGCACACCCACCAAATGCACATCGCACGGAAGGTCGCCCACCAATCCACTGACATTTCCCACCAGTGTATCCGCCCACCAGACTGGTTCTGCGGGTTTTTCGGCCATCAGCGTCGCCATAGGATATAACAAGGAATGCCATGCGTGATAGGCGGATAACGAGAGAAGTGGATAATTCTTTGCAGGAAGCTGTCCGGGATTGGGTTCCAGAAGCAGGCGGAAGAAACTGGGAGTAGCCGGCACATTGTCGGCCACGCTCTGGCCCATGCCGCGATTGTCGTCCTGCGCTAAGCGACGATCCAGCATAATTTCCAAGGCACCTGCACAGAGACTAACATGAAGAGACACTACTGGTCGGCGCGAAATTGCGTTAATGTATGATTTTCGCCATTAACTTGGTAACAAAGTCTTATTCTTTGCAACCATTTAGCAAAGTCAGCACTCGCAACTAGGCTTCAACCTCTAAATAAAAGTAAGCACAGTAAGTATACTGAATCATAGAAACCAAAAACAAACAAGCTAAGATGCACTTTATAATTTATTTTTGCAGAACGATGCAAATACTGGAAAGACGTTTCGTTTCGGAGAAGTTCATTCTCAACAGACCTTTCTGAAGTCCAGCCACACCGAGCGGTTGGCCGGTCAACACTGTTAATCTAGCCGTCTCATCCTCCAAAAATGCCGTCGTGGGCATTGGATAATAATTAGCTTGCAGCGGCAGTTTAGCGTGCGCTACCCGCCTAATCAACTGGAATCCGTTGAGATCGGTCACTAAGTCCTTATTGCTAATATTCGTCTGGATGTGCATGGCCAATTCGTAATTATACTGCCGTGTGATATCCGCCCGATTCTCCACCATCAGTGCCTGTCCATCTACACCGGGCGAATGGACCACGCGGACAATGTGCACCACTTCAGTCATGACCACATGCAATTCGGAAATAAGGGGTCCGCGCACGAGCCGAAGGATCACCGGGACTCTACCACCCTTCTCCGTCTGGGGCACGTAGTCGACAGCGTCTCCGTCCGGCAGGAAAAGATAAGCGCCGCTTTTATCGGGTTTGCTGGAGGTGCCGTATTTGACGAACTTGATTCGCGTGTTGAATGTTAGCCTGCTTTCTTTGTGGATTACTTTCTGCAACACCAAGAGGATACTAACAAAACAATGTTACTGCAAGCGATAAACCTGGTAAAAAAATAATTCAACTCAAATAAAAGCAGTCAATAATATTGTGCATGAATATAGTGAATATCAGATAATATGACGGAAATATATTATGGAGACCAGAAGGATCTCGGAGCAATCCACATTATTACACCAAACCGTATTTATCCATTTATCTGTTCACTGACTTAATTCCATGTAGAGTGAACGCGAAGGCAATTTTTTTCTTATGGTTTCACTACAAATTTTTCCCCTGTGTGTTTTTAGAATCCATGACAATCAGGAATTGTTTGGTAAAGCAGCAAATAAGACGATATTATGATCTATGTAAATCATTTCAAGCCATGTAAACCAGAACCAGCGCTAATTTTTTTAAATTCAAACTACTATTTATCTAAATAAATGATTAAAGTGACGCCAAACATGGCACGACACGTTGCAGGTTAAACACAGCTATTTTTATGAAAACAGCTGAAACTGAAAGCAACGACATTTCGATAGTTTAGACATAAACTGTTCCGTTACCTGAAGATAGCCAGTCTGACCATCGAACTCAGCGATGAAGTGGTCATTTTCAATTTTGTAGCCGCTGGCGTACTTGGAACTCTGTATAGCAAAAACTCCACTGCTTTCAACCGGTATCACGTCGTTCAAAAACACCTCCAGCTTCGCCGGTGTAGCGACATGGGTTGTTGTATGGCCTCGATCGCCAGCGATCACGGCCTTCTCGTCCACGACCATGTACGTCACGGCACCCAGTGCTCCCACCGTCGCAATGAATGTCAACTGCAAGCCAATGAAAACAGTCACATCTATGAGCATTTATCAGCGTCGCCGGCAAAGCCAAAAGCAGCGTATAAAGATTTAGCAAATACTAAACAACGAAAACAGCGAAAAATGAAATTCCAGAATACTGGATGCGGTGTAATGATAAACAAATTTCGCAAGTTCCGATGACTATCAGCCAATAAGCATCGCGTAATAAAATCCCTAAGGAATCAAAAAGCAACGCGACATCCGAAAAAAGAAAAAGAATCGCTGATACGAGTAATGTTTTTTATTTGGAAACAATCTTACCTCAAACTCTTCCTTTTCCACTTTCTCCGTCTTACCAACCCACACGGGGCTCAGCTGCGCCGGTACAACCTTCTTATTCTCCATCATCACCACCGCGACTCGCGGATTATTTACTCTGACCGTCACCACTTCTGATCGCGTCCATCCCAGCGAATTCGACACCACGACAAACATTCCACTCTGATCCACAATCAATCGCTCCTTCCGGGAAGGCTGATTGAAGTATTGAAACACTTCCGTCACGCGCAATTTGGGACCAGGTACGTATTCTGAATCGTCCTTCTTTTCGGTAGCTAACAGGTAGGACAAAGAACGACTGAGCAGCTGGCCGCAGTTATCCAGCGCTCCGATCATCTTCATGGCGTAGTCCATCACGACGTGCAAGCGCCCCGTGCCCGTAATGCCGTCATGGTGCTGGAAGAGGGCCAGGTTGCGACGGGCTTGGACTAGCTTCTGCAGCTGTGCGTCGATGGTAGCGGTTTCGGAGGACTGTTTACGGCGTTCAGCGCGGGCTAAATACATAGCAAATGCGATTTCGGTTGCCCTAAAAAGAAAACATTTTAATAATTTTTATAAGTGAGGTAGAATTTTTTCGCTGCCACATCTTATTTCAAATATTCTACATAATCAGCTTAACAAGTGTTACACCCCCAAACCAATAACAGAGGCAAAAATGACATCTGAAAGCGGCATTTCTTCTTCTCTTACCGTAAACGAGCTTCCAGGGTACGCTCCATCATTTTCCAAAAGGGACGTGTTGTGTAATAACCGCTCCAGTAGTGATCATCACGATCCGCATAGGTAAAGAAATCGCCAGTCAAAGTGGGAAACGCCAGACTGCTCCCGTTGCTGTCAAGACTTTCCTCCTTAACCGCGGTGAAATAATCATTTAGTGTCCCAAACTCAAACTACAAAGGGAATAAAATTCGGAATTATGGCAGGAAATCATTAATCGCAACCTTAAATACAATGCAAATCACTGCTGGTTACATTTCTTTCTAAAACGGCTCACCTGAGCATTATACTCAGGATGGGAATTAATAAAATCCCGAATCTTCTCGTAATTGATGTACTGTTGATCCCATTCGGATGAAGTATCGTAACGGAAATCATCGCCAAGTGGAGCCATAAGTATGTTCGTTCTGTACAGCTGCGATTTCTTTCGGTATTGATCCAAAAGCGTTTCAGATCTAGAAAAATGCGAAAAAAATTAAAGGAATAACCGGTTTTTTATGTGGACGTTCGACGTAACAACGACGCTGGACCCGGTCCCCAATGACAAGCGAATGAGTGTTACAATAAACGAAACCACTGTATGGCGCACGATTACTCCTAATAATTTCCTACAGAGTAAACGTATGCCTTGTAGATATATAGCATACTCGACAACAAACAAGAACGACATTACAGTGGGTTTTTAAAAGCCCCAGGTCAAGCAAGGGAATGACCCAAACATACATATCCGAAGATACGATTTCTTACAATTCAGAAGATACGATTTCTTACAGTTACAAAATACCAAATTACCGTTCTTGAACGTTAGCCTGCGAAACAACGCGCGGCGGAATTTTCCATGGACATGATACCCTGCCCGTTCCCGGTAGTCTCTTAAAGTCGTACTGGCAACAGATCTTCGGATCAGGCCCACAGGTATGCGGTATATCGTAGGAATAAAACGGCATTAAGTGCGTGAAGATATCCGTTTTCCCCTCCTGATCCCAGTTCTGTCGCCAGTGGAATTCCAAAGCCCGTTCCATGGCCAGATATTTCTTTACACTATAGTGCACGCGCTGGATGAGCATGGCGTCAAACTTCATCAGCTTGTCCATATAGGCTATGGTTGGGGAGAATCCAAACGGGTCGATCGCCCAGCCGTTCTTCGGGACGACATGCGGACCGAGGTGGTTGCGGATCCATTCGTGGCCTTCCACCAACTGGTTTACTAGAGCAAAATAGTGCGAATTCGCTTCATCTGGCATCACCCAGCCACCCGTGACAATTTCCACTTGACCTTCCTTCACTAACCTGCAAAGGCAGCATTTAACAATATAATATTTCCATTTTATGCGTCGCTGTCTAAGTACAAATAATCACTGCGATTTACGCTCTTCACACGAATCACAATATTAAGTTCGCTCGTTATCGGATTGACTTGCTGGATTTCACCGTATCATTCGGCTTACTACTGTCTGGCCAAAAATTCTAGATATAAAGAGAAACAAAATAGTCTGCAGGGATCGAAATGGTAACTCGCGGAAAACTTACTTTTTAAACACGTTTTTCTGCTCCTCGGAAGCGGTTTGAAACCAGAGAGACAGGTATGAAATCTCACACCAAATGAATTTCCTTTTGGAATGCACAGGCAGCTTCTTCACCATCAGATCAAAAATATTCTTGGTCTGCTTTTCATAATATTTCTCGAAGGTTTCAAGCCAGCCTAGACGAAAAAAGAAAACCAAAATATTAAAGCAAACGTAAAGCAATACAGTACTACGTAATTTGAAAATATATCAAAAAATACAGTACTTGTGACGTCGTCTACGGCAATATGGGAAAATTAGCAACAATATGTGCACATAAAAAAGATAGAACCAGATACAGCTTCAGTAAAATTTTGCATACTATAAACAAACCATCAAAACACGATCACAAACTCTGCAATACCCCGAAACATAAAAAAACACTGGTTTGAAACTGTCTGCTAAAGCATGAAATCCTGTAGTTTAAGTTTGCCAAACGCCAAATCAAACTGTTCGGACTAACGTAATCCGACATATTTCACAAAAGGCAACTTGTCGAGATCATCGTAAGTCTATGCAAGAACAAAAACAGTCGGAAGGTTTTTGTCAAGACACCCAAAAAAGCATCCTGCACGGAAAACAGCCATATGAAATTTTTAGTGCATCGCGAAGCTACCTGGATCGTTATGGGAATGCGGGATAATGAACACCTGAAGCGGACGATCTTGGCTCCACTGCGAAGGGGAATATGACACATTCCAGCCCTGTTTCCATACTCCGCCATCCGGATTGTCGAAAGGAATGATGTCGTAAGCTTTCAACATCTATAAAGGTACTCGTACCACGCATTGTCTCGGATTCATTTTACTGCAGCAATCACTATCATCATTATAATAATCTGTTGCACATAGGCTATAATCAGTCTCTAGATATTCCTGAGCTTATATTATGGATATAAATCGTGTAACCAAGTATGATCTCTCGGCTTGCACCAGCAGACAAAAAATCGGCTATTTTATTATAAGGCTTCATGACCAGTCTGTTCTATGTACTGCTGTAATTCTTTGCGTCATTAACAAATAGATACTGTAGTTAATTAAGTAAATAATTTACTAGAAAATCTAATGCCGACTTTTTGCAGCGCATATATCGTGCGAAAGAATTTTTCTGTCGAGATTTTTTACCTGCCTAATGCAACTGTGCGTACACCGTTAAAACTCCAGAAATTCGTAAACAAAAAAGCAAGACCCTTGAAAAAGCTAGGAAATAGCTAATAAAAATATAAATAACTGCAGTGATAAAATAAATAATTAATAATAACCAAATAAAAAAATAATAATAAATATTTGGTAAAAAATTGCTGTGTATGAGTTGCTCACCTGAACATCGGCTTTCGACATGGTCCATTTCAACGCCGGACACTGGTCCGCACTGCCCTCCACTCCCGCGACGCGTGCCACTTCCACCATTCCTTCCGGGCGCACTTTGTGCTCGCGGGTCGTCAGCGTCGTCGTCCGCTTGTCCGTCACCGGATGCTCCTGCACCACAGGCACCTGTTCGCGCAGCATGTACGACAATTTGGCCTGCAGTCCCGCCACCAGCTCCTGGTTCTTCTTGATGGTCGCCTCCACCGCCGCCAGCTTCTCCTCCAACTGCGCCACAATGGGCTTATCGGAGGGTGTCAGTTCGGTGGCCGGACTGGGGCGGCGTGACGACATGAGCTCCAGCATGAAGTAGAGCGTCAACGTGGCGGCCACGAAGACGATGGCGTAGAAGAAGGCCGTGGAGACGCGCATGCTGGGGAAGAGGCCGTTAGGACGAACCGTCATGGCGGGTTAAATACACGCGTGCCGTATCACAGATAATCATGGCAGTGTGATCCACAGCAGTGGACCAAGAGAACGGACTGTGGTTGCGGGCAATCACGACATCGCCAAGTGACAAGTGGTGCTTCGCAACCAAGAACACTGACTGGTAACGCTATCAAAAACTCCGAAGGATGCGAGATATGCTTCGAATCTGCAAGAATCTTCTGACTCCACGAAATAAACACCAAACCACTTCCAAAGAGATCAAACAAAGATCACATGCGAGCAGGACGTCGATCAACTGGCAGTTCTGGTCGGGTTCTGGTAATAATACAAAAAAACAAGTATTGTAGAGTACGGTGAGGGATCACGACTCACGAGAACCGCAGCAGGCAGTCACTCTAGTGGCAAAGCTCTGCAACTACGAGTCTACGAGATACAAACCGTCACTTACGTATTGCAAATAGTCCAAATTATGGTCTGCAGAATTTTACAAGATACAAATAAAAAAAGGCATTTGAATAAGAAGAGCGGATATGTGATCCACAAAGCCACAATTTTTTTGCTATTAACATTAATTTTAACAATAAAAAATTATACGCGGCTGATTTCCACGTTTCATGCTTCGGATAGCAGCAAACAGCATGATGGATGCATAGGGGTACGTATACCTAACAGATGGCGACGTCGAAAATGCAGTAAGTAATCGATCCGATCCGCGGACCTTTTATTGCAGCCGCCTACTGGTACCGACCGCGAGTCGCGACGGTGCATAATCCTTTAGTTCATTCTTTGAATTTCTTTCAGCCTGTGTGCAATGTGTCACTCTTTAAGCTTTCTTAAATCGTTAATGATATTTTAAAAAAATATCAAGAAAACTGTAGTAGAACTTCATTTGAAATTGAGTTCACTATATGTCTAACTTTAATTTCGACTTTCATCACGTTATTTTCCATTATTTTGCACTGCTGGTTAACCGTTTAAGCGTTTACCCCTGCCGTGCATTGTTCGTAAAACATCTCATTTCCGGAAGATGCCTCAGGGCAACAGCAGAATCTGCAGATCGCAAAAAGGCCAACAAAAACATTTTCGTTGATCCGCGTATCCTTTTTCTGCCACTGCGTTGTGATTTTTTATATTACAATATCCTTGAATATATTTCTGTTAAGTTGTTAAGATCGCGCATTACTGCGCATTCTGATGCTCTAAAAGTTTTCTCGTTCAAAATGAATATGGAATCGTGGCCACAAGACGTGCAGGTGAGTCCATCAAGATACTGCAAGGTACGATATACCGAACCCCTGATGAGTGATGAACGAGATCAGATTTTCCCTTCTCGTCCGTAGTGGATAGGAATTACTTGTGCAAGCGCATTTCTTACTCACCTGCACACCTCTGTATTTCCTTTGTTTGCATTCTTAGTTTATTTACTCCGCAGTTCCCCATAGCAGCCTATCTGAAAGCGATAAAGACGAGCTGGAAACGTACCTCGTAGGATGCACGTGCCAATCTCTATCATCTCCGAATCCGGAATGTTGCCTCGACACCTGCGAGTGCCTAGCGCGCACTCCTTCCTCCTACGATCACGATGGCCTGCTGAAGTCCGAATACTTGTCCGGAAAAGGATCACTAATCATTGAATGTGGAGGACTGTGCGGCTGTGCCGTCCAGGCTTCATCCTGCATTCAAGAGCTGGTGAACGACCCACATAATGTTGATCGTAATGTTGTCAAGAAACCACGACGTGCAACCTCGTTCCCGTGTGGAAACCGAACTGTAGGATACGCTAGATATCTCTATGCGTTGTTGTCATCGGACCCATCGGTAATTCCTTTTTCAAACGAACAAATGTATTGCACGTGGAAGTTTCTGGAGATATTTCGCAGCTTTGATAAAGGCTTCGCTGTGCGCTGCTCCATTGATCTCCCACCTGGAAGGTTCATCTGCGAGTACGCCGGGGAATTAATAAGCACGGAGGAGGCACACAAGCGTATGCAGCAATTCCCCGACGACACGTACGTGTTCGCCCTGCGGGAGTCATCCAGTCAAGCCGTCGTGACCACCTGCATCGATGCGCGTGAGGAGGGCAACTGGGGACGGATGATCAATCATTCCTGTGATCCTAATCTCGTTATGCTGCCGGTGCGCATTGATACGATTATTCCTGTGCTGTGTTTTTTCACAAAGCGGGCGGTGCCGGCTGGAGAGGAGTTGACGGTGGACTATGATCAGGGGAATTTTTTTAGTGCGGTCTCTGGTGTAACCGCTGATAGGAAAAATCTCTGTGATATTGTGTTAAGTAAGAAAAAATGTTTATGTTCAGCCCCGTGCTGTCGTGGATTTTTGCCGTTTAATAAAGACTTGTTTACATGACTGCATGGTCTTGATGGTCTTCTTAAACGGAATGCGGCTTTAATTTTTCCCATAGATACAGCTCGCACAAAAAGCACTGTATTAGAAATATTTTGCAATTTCGAAAAGAACTGCATTGTGTGAGAAGATTGGAATTATATTTCCGCCACCTTCATATTCTGAGTCCAGACATTATGAGCTGCATTACAGATCAAGTTTCGATGCCAGTTGCTTCTTTGTGCATACCGGCAAAATTCAAAAGGAAACGTTGTGTCCAAATATTCCACTTACAAATCCAGTCGAGATCGATCGTGCTGCTGTCGATAGTCTGAAATTCGTCCCAAAAACCATCAGACAAGGAATCCAAAACGTCCCGACTGAAATCCAGACCAAACATTAGGTCGGGATGTACGAATACCGATAATTATCACGGAGATAAAATTTATTGTTTGTATTAATAAGTATATAGAGGGTAGTATGATAGTACTGTGGTGTAACTACCATCAGTATTACGAATCTAGCTGACGGCTGAGTAGTGTGCAGTGTGCACCTGTTTTTTATATGTATCAGTATTTCTACCAACTCCCAGAATACTGTATGATTTATGCATAATCTGTATAATTAGCTAGGGAAGATTACTTTTCCAGCTCTTCTTTTATCGTGGTATTGACTTTTTCATCACGCAGTAGCTTTAGCAATGTCCTTTCTTCTTGTGGTTTCAAAGGTCCAATAAATCTGGCAATGTACGAAAACCAGCGGTAGTCATCCCAGCAGATGCCCCATTCCAGCTCATCTTGCTTCCTGGTGTCAAACCAGCGATCATCCCAGTAGTAAGTAAGTGTGAACCAGTTTTCCCGCTCGAATTCGCCGTACAGTGTCGCCATACGCAAATGGATGTTGCGAACAGTGGACGGAGCGACAAAGATCCAGCAAAGGGCGATTTTAGGAATGATCAGATTGATAAAGGTCATGGTTCGCAATGGTGGCATTTCATCCGAATACCTTCAATGACATAATTTAGCTTTATACCATTATTGCATCCTTTTGCGGGCTATTGTGATCACATAATTATTCATTGTACCAAACTGTACTTTACCGTACGTATGTGAATTACTACCGGCTAGAGCATGGTAAACAACGTGACTGTCGGTAGACAAAGTCAAGCACAAGCCAGAACTTCATTACGGTGCTTGCTAGCTAAAACCGTAGTAAAACGCAATCTACTTACTGCTTACTGTGTTTCGTCTTTCTTAAATTTTTTGGCATCCTGTGTCCCGTCGTTCTGTTTTTCTGGAAATCTACAAAACGACTACTAAAAATTGCAGACACATTCTGCAGTTAAATTCTTTTTCCATCGTACAGATTATCGTAGTGGATAGCTAGTTCATCCATGAAATGGTGCCAAAATGAAAAGGAAGACGTTGTCGATGCGGCGCCGGAATCAGCCGGTCGGAAAATGATCTCCTTCGTTTTTGGACTAATGCACGCAGATTGACATGCACGGATTCTTGCTTCGTCGGCACGATCCGCATCCAGCTGCAGTCCAGACCATGGTGAACTGTATTATAAAGAAGTAAAAACAGCACACTTTATTATGTTAATAGGTATCTCCGATTGTTTCAGTAATGACCACTACAATACATTTTCGTGATCGGATACAGTTTATTGATGATACATAATATGGTTACCGCACATCGCATACTACCCGAGCAGTTCACAATTGAACAGTTTACTTACGCGCCGGTTCCAAGGTAAAAAACGCAACTTCATCGATGTGGGATGATGGATCATCAATGAGTTTGCGCCAGTTGCGACATACACTAAACAAAACCAATTAAACGCCGGTAATTGTTAAGGCTAAGCTTCCATTATGAGACACGACCACGAGGTCGATATTACATTTCATCAAATAGGTTTAAATTTCGATTTATCAAGTAGGGCCATTACACTGCCACAATAATTAATAATGAGGTAAGTACTACTGGACGAGTATAATCGCTGATGAAGTGGAAAACCATATTAATGCGGCGATCGTGCGCGGAGTCGATTTTACCGTCGTATTCTTCTTAAGGTAACAGCGTCCAGCCTGTAAAAGATCTCCAAAATAACTTCATTTGGCACATCTGCAAACGGGTTCGGCATTTCCTTTGCCATTTCAAACCGCAATATTTTAACTCCCTTTTTAGTCAGCGAGCTCGACTAACGGACTGCACGCACGCGTAAACCAAGAAAAAGTGCTTTTCTCTACAAGGCGTAAGGCGCTCTCTTGTAACGATGGAAGCAGAACTTGATAAAACTGTAAACGATAAAACGGAAGCAGAACTTGATAAAACTGTAAACGCGCTTACGAACAGATGAGATACTTTACACTACAGAGCAAGAAACGCAGTTCACTTTTCGGGCGCAATTCCAGTTTCGGACAAACACAGCACCCAATTACCGTACTGTATGCACTGATGGGACTCACCAGTTTGCAAACAGTAACATCACTACAACTCTACACAGCTGTATTAAAAGGAGCAGCTTGAGTAACCCGACAACGAGAAACGTGCTGCGGCAAGCTGGGCACGGTGCGTCGATCGACAGCGATTACATTATTATATTTCCTGTTTCCCAGCATGGCTGCTCAGTAGAAACCGGTTGCATATTTAGTTACAATTTTCCTTGAGTTGCACTGTGAGTAAACGTTTCTGGATTTCGTTGCACTTCCGACAAGTAGCACCTATCACTATACAGAAAACGTTGAAGGTGAAATTCTGCCGGTAAAATTTTCCATTATTTCACACCGTAAAAAAATATTTGTTTCACGGCGCTAACAAATGTATCAGTTTAACCGTTAATCTATTTGCAGTAGTAAGTAGCACAAACGGCGTACCGGCCTTTTCGTTGTGCCACTTACCACTGAATATTAAAGGAAGTTTAGAAACAATTTAGTTGTGATTCGTACAATGCGCAATATTTTTCGGCAGAAATCAGAATAAGGGAATGCCAGTACTTCTATCCAAACAAAGTGTAAAAAACTAAGAAAGTACTTACTCCAGTACAACAAAACGAATACAAAAGTGAGTTTATCAAAATCTGTAGGGTGTTTCAAATGAAGATGCACAGAAGCTACCAATTATAATTTACAGAATCAATATTAATGTCTGAAGTTCCCAATACAAGTGTCAGATCCATTTCATGAACTTAAGCATTGAGTCAGTCACCGACCATCTTTGCTTCTGACATTCCGAACGCAAAAAAAGACATTGTAACAGTGATAATTAATTATCACAGATACGAAAATGAGCAAAATATTTCTTTCGAGACACCGTACAGCGATCACACAATTGTGAAAAAAACACAGCCGTGCGTTGCATCATATTACGTAAGAGACCACACCCGGACGCCTGTCACCGGTCGCATATCACAGACTGAGACGAAATAGTGGAAGAGAAATCGCAACGTCCACACATCAAACTTATGCAGCCATTCGAGGCTGATATCCTCCAGCTCCAAGCTCTCGAATTCGCCCCAAAAATGGTTATGGAAGGTCTCGGCAACGTCGCTACTACAACATCAACGTCGTTTTATACCAAAAGATCGCTTAAAAAAAGAAAATGGGGCGTACTCCTGCAGCTCTTCGCTCAGTTTGCGAGACGTATCTTCACTGCGGAGGCAGTTTAGCACCAACTGTTCCTGCTCGGGAGCCAGTGCCCCGGCGCATTCCGCCACATATTTCGCCCAAGCGAAATCATCCCTTGATGACCGGAATATATCGATGTTCCGGAAATCTCCACAGTAAATTGTGGTATTGATACTGGCTTCCATGACAAACATGCGGCTGAGTTCCAGGGACGCCACCAGTGTGACATTCCGCAAACAGACTTCTCTGACTATCCCCGAGCAGTCGTATAACCAGGCCATGACAACGGAGGGGAGTGTTAGACCGACGAAATTCAAACGTGACAATACGAAATCATCTACCGAACTGAAAAAAAAATCAATGAAATATGACGGTTTTGGCGTGTTAAAAACACGATTAAATTCCTGTTATTTATCTCAAAACGCCATCCGAGTGAATTCGTCCTGGACAGTAATTACATACATATCATTATTTGCAATTACTCTCGTAAATGTGGCAGATTTATCCACAGCTGTAAAAGACTGTTTTCACGCAGTCTTACAGTTGCTTAAAACATCCCCGGAGAGCCTCAATAAGCACGCAATATCCCGAAAATGACCAGATTGACGAAGCGCGAGTCGCAGGATGGAAGGTAATGTCCCGGGTGCCGACTCCGACACAGCGCGCGTAAAGTTGAGTTATCGCGTTAGCGTAAGCGTCGAATGTCCAGGTTTCCGATCCACGAGGTGTCCGCCGTCCAATCCATCCCGTTGAGTTGATTTCAAAGCGGACCTGCACGTGACATGCACCATAGGGATCGCAAATTAATTCGTTCCATTTCGCGCATACTCTAAAGCAAGAACCCAACACGAATGAAGTACTGCCTTATAGCCTACACACTCAGCACTGCATAAATACACTGCATACAGTCTAGTACAGATAATATAATATATTATATTATATAGAATATACTATATTAAAAAATCATATCGTTATTGCCTTCTGTATATACTCTGTAAATATGTGGCAACGAGTGAAAGCATGATCTGGCCACAAAGTTCTAACTCGTACATTTGTTCGTGAAAAAAGAATTACGGCAACATCACAACGAAAAATCCTTTTCGAAGAAACGAAGACTCAACAAAAAAGTACTGTATATAGAGTACAGTACACACACACCGATTGCTAATACATACCATAAACAAACAGTGGCAAACATATTTCCAGGATATGTATGTAAGTAATGGATCGTAAAATCTTAAAGAGCTAATCGCTAAATTTCTAGATGTTTTTACCTGCGAATCCATTGTTGCCTTCGCGTATCGAGTGCCGATAATATCATCTGCAAGAGCTCAACGGGCAGATAATCGACGTCGCACTCATCATCCAACAAGGTTTCCAACTCTAATAACTCATCCATCTCCATCTTCCTAACTGCCAGAACATGTTCAACATAACATATTGACACTTTAATTCTTCAATTTCGGTAGGATTTTAAGATTAGACCCAACCCCTGCACATATGGAGGCCCGAAAAGCTTCATTCTTAATGGGAATACAAATTGTTTAAAATTTTCAAACTGAATTCGAAGAAGCACCGTATAATACGAGTACAGATCTGTACATGGCAAATGCTATACGTACCATGGCACATTAATTTTGATGTTATCATCTACAAACGCTCGTGCAGCGGTTTTAACTTCTCAGAGTTCTCACATGACAACAGTGACAGTGGCTTCTCAGCTTTTGTCTTAATCCTCTTTTCTGGTACAATTCATCAGTTCTGAATAATATTGACGTAAACCATGAAAAGATTCTTACTGTCGAATTAAACAGCAGCATCTGGACAAGTTAAGGCGGGAAATTTCGTCTAACAAATTCGCTTCCGGTACCTACGGGCTACGGCGCTGCCTCTTTACAGTACACAACCTCCCGCATTTCTCCAGTGTTCAGCGAATTGTTTCCCAGTTCGGTGATCACTTATTCAAACAGGCGTCGCTATTAATAGTGCATCAAAATCAAATCATCCCCATAAAAATAACAACAAATTCCATATAAGTACACAAACTTATATAAAAACCGAATTCGGAAATCAGCTCAGTTTTAAACCACCGGAATATGTGTTACCGGTCGCAAATTGCAAACCGAAGCGAAATAATGGAATAGAAATCTCGTCGTCCACACGTCAAGCTTGCGCAGCCACTGCAGTCCGATATCCTCACTGTCCATGCTTTCTAGTTCGCTTCGGAAATTGTTAGAAAACCTCTCCACCACGCCGCGACTAAGACACATATTAATAAATTTAAAACACACGTTAATTTCAGTCATCGAGGTAGTGGGACCAATTTCTCCGTTTCGGCAATTATTTACTGGAAAGCATACGCACGTTTGTAACGTTTTCATCAGCTTCTGGAATAAATCCGCACTGTGTAAAGAGTTGAGAACCAGCTGCTCTTGCTCGACACAAAGTGCTCCAGCACACTGCGCGACGTATTTGTCCCAGACGAAATCGTCCATGGTAGCCGCGCCGAAGAGATGAGCTTGCTCGGAACTTCTAACGTCGATCTTGACATTTATTTCGGCTTCCATGACAAACATTTCACCAAAATCCCTCATCGCCATTAATATTACCTTTCGAAAGCAGATCTGTTTAAAGGCCTTTGGACAACAAGATAGAACATTCATATACAAGGTTGGAATTGCCGCGTTTACAAAGGTCAAGCGTGGCAAAAGGAAGTTTTCCGGTTCTCTATGCAACATAAAAGACTTATCACTGCGTATACAATACATACATGTTCAACAAGGCCGTGTCCATGCTGTTTAATTATTTGGCGGTGTAAGAGTAAAGTAGTCACAAAAATCATCAGCAAATTAAAGTTTTCGTTATTGTTAAGCGAAGCAAGAATGCTATCACAACTAATGCGCTTTTCCGGAAATTAGTTCAGACAAATTATTTTGAAGTATTGTATCCTCGCAAAAAAATCAAATCAAAATCATATCTTCCAATTATAGAACATACGTATAATTTCGTAAGATATAGTAGATATACAATCCTGGTATATCCAGATTCAGATCTATATGGCCACGAATGGGATACACCAGAGCCGGTAAACCAGAAAAGACTGACCCAAACCAATATTATATTCTGAAAGCCCGTAGTCGAAAACCCGGCCAGATAGTATTCATTTCTTTCTGAACCTCTCCCGCTTCGAACGCCAAAGCGGAAGAGTTGACTACCTTCACGCAATGCAACGAAATTATTATAATAATAATTATCATCGTGGTATTTTTAGCCACGCAATGTTGCCACGTAAACCAACTAAATTATAGTCAAAAAATGAAAGTCCGCTCTACTGATTAAATTATCAAATGAATTTAATTAGCAGACCATTATTACGGCAAGAACAACTACGTATGTAACGTTGTCATCAAGTACGATTTCTGCACTAGTGCCGGCCGAGCAGCTATCGCTACGCTGTCACTAGTCACGACCATGATTGTCTGTTCAATCAGGGATCGAACTACCGCCACTGTTCGGTGCACACACCCGTTAGTTCAGCGGGTGACCGAAATACCACTATAGTGTAGTTGACACAGCCCGCTAGGCCAGTAAGTGACCAAACTACCACAATAGTTCGGTAGGTGTGCGGGTGGCCGAGCGGTGACTACTGTCCCGTGCAAAGAACTCGTTAGGCGAGCGATTAACTGAGCTGTCACTATTGTCAAGTGCACAGAGCGCGTTAGAAAACCGGTGACCGAGCCACCACTACTGTCCGGTGCAAAGAGATCGCTAGGTGAACGGGTGACCGAGCGGTCACTACTGTCCAGTGTGCAAAGCCCGTTAGGGAACGAGTAAACGAGCTGTCACTACTGTCCGGTGCAAAGGGCGGTTAACAAGGCCCGGTTAACACCGAACCGCGGTTAACAAGACTTTGGTGAACGAGCGACCGAACTGACCCTCTAGGTTAGGGAGTAACCGAATTGTCTTAACCCTCCAGTAACAAGACTAGGTCAGCGAGTGACTGAACTACTGTATGTCCAGTGCAAACGTTCTGGGAGTTAGTAGATTAGTACGTGGAAGACAGGGGTAGGTTCGTTTCGCGGATTCAAAATAAATTATTCGTAGATCCAAAAACCAGAATTAATGTCTTCCAGTACTCAGAAACAATAAACCGAATTTTCTACCAAATCTGCCTTTTTATGCTGTTTGGCGACATAAGATATTAACAATAAACCCATGAAATTATTGGAATAGACCGGCCGTGGACCACAAGAAACGCAGAGGCAAAGCAGAAGCTGTTTTTTAAGCTACCGGTACTGTCCATAGCACAGAACCCGTCAACTGAACGAATGACCGAGCTGACACTACCGTCCAGTTCACAGAGCCCGTTAGGCCTACGAATGACCGAGCTACCGGTACTCTCCCGTGCACAGAGCCCGTAAGGTCAACTATGCCGTTAGGTACTATCCAATGCACAGTGCCGGTTAGGTGAGCGGGTGACCGAGCTACCTCTACTGTCCAGTGCACAGAACCCGTTAGGTCAACGAGTGACCGAGCTACCGGTACTGTCCAGTGCAAAGAACCCGTTATTTGAGCGGGCGACCGATCTACCGCTACTATCCAGTGCACAAAGCCCGTTAGGTGAGCCGGGTGACCGCGCTACCACTACTGTCGAATGGCCGGGCTACCACTACTATCCAGTTCACAGAGCCCGTTAGGTGAGCGGGTGACCGAGCTACCACTAATGTCCAGTTCACAGATCCTGTTAGATAAGCAAGGTATCACTATTCACTATTGACCGGACATATATTAGCGGGCACAAACCATTCGCCAGTGACAAAAGCCGGCGAAGTGACCGAGTTACCGAACTAGTGATAGTGTCCAGTGCACTTGCACTATTTCAGATTTAGTACCCTATAGACAGTGAGATTTCGGATTTCTTTTCGGGTAGAGGATATAACAAAAATAATCTGTGCAGCCACAGGGAATGCTTTCGACCTTAAGAGAATCATGGAGTTATTTTTATATAAAATCCGTGCTTTTGCCTTATTGTGATGTACCTATCGATCATTTTTCGACGAAATATAGATGTATACCAATAAGTATTCATTAAAATTAAATCATTAAATTAAATAAAGTGGCCGTGGTCCGTGGACCACAAGAAACGCGGAGGCGAAGCCGAGGCTGTTTCTTGTACTATATACTGTCTTACAATTGTTCACAACGATGTAACAGGGCCACCAAGAGCAGGTGATATCCGGCATATGTCGAGGCTGACAATTGTATCGGTACGCGTATGCTACCGGTGGTACCGACACTGCGATAAATGACAACCTCTCGAGTGTCCACGCCAATGCAAAGATTAAAAAAGTGGACACTGTCGTCCAGATAGGATTCCCACCCGTCATCAGATTCGTCGTCCCCGTCGGCATCGTACCGGCATGGTTTGAGCCACCCTCCAGAATCTGTCTCTAGGCGGACATACGGACGACAGGCGCCATGAGGTTTGCAGATCAACTCATCCCATTTCGTGCATGTTCTGTAGCACAACATGTACAGTTTGCGTGAATATGATAGTAATACCCTGTGGGACGCAGTTTAAATCGGCCTGACCAACGAAAATTCTTTACAGCGGCTAGCTGATTGATTAACGGCAGTTGACAAAGTATATTCTGAGGCAACATACAGTACTACAGATTCAGTGTTTCTGCACGTAAGGATACCATCGTTTACCTGCGAATCCCGTGTTGTCTGTAAGTATCCAGTTCCGATAATACCATTTCCAGCAGTTCTGTAGGCAAATCATCGAAGTAAAACTCGTCATCATTAAAAACCGTCTCCATGCAATAATGATTGATATTTATTCCAGCAGGACCAGCACAGTCAAGAATTTTAAATTACACGACTGTGAAGAGCATTGACGAACAAACCATTCATTTTCGCATTTGATAACCGAAAAAAGGTGCGCAGATACGAGGAACTACAGATATTTGAAACATAATCCGATTTTTATTAATATATGTATAGATATCTATATGCGCGAGTACAGTACTGTGCGCAAAATGTGCTTTAAGACCGTTCAGAATAAACACATGCCACTTGCTAAAAGTGGAAGAAACTGCCTCGTACTCTTACGTTTTGTAAAGTATGAAGTTCATCGAGGTTCGGCACTCCCAAAACAGAATACGCACATAAGCGTGCCTAAAATAATGCTGCACGTAATTTGTATATACGATCTGTACAATACTTTTACTGTTCGCATAGGAAACTGCTACCGGCGATAGTTTAAAAAATCGATTCCTGGTGCAGTTTATGCGAGTGCAGATATGTGAGTTAGTTACAGTTGCAGAAACAGTGCAAAACAATTTTATCCCACCTTATTCGAAACAACAACTTACAGTACTTGTATGATGTATCAACAAATATTTTTCTAATATTTGGCAGTCTAATATATAATTAAGCAAGCACTGCAACAGAAACCAACAAAAAACAATATTATTTAAGGTGTTCTGGCGATTGATGTAGTACTATATTGAATTTTTAATAGCGCGCCATCCGGGAACGGGCGGTAACTGTTGCTTTTTTCCAGATAAGTTAATGATTTCCTTGACATCAACCATTCGCAATGCCGGTCGATCTATTCGGAAGCAATCCGATATCGGATATTCGGTGCTGCCAAGTAGGATGAGCTGAGCGAAAATTTTTCCAATGAGAGACGCATATCTGCGAAAAACAGCTGATTCTGATTCATTCATATTAAAGTGCAGGTATTACATACTTGTACCCATGCCCACAGCCCATGAATACATGGACATTAGGAAGTCCTTTACAAGCCAAACTATCCAAAATGAAATGCCGGTCTGGTGTCAGTTCGTACAGGCAGGTTTTTGTGTACAGCTCTGGACCGTATCCCTAAAGGTTGAAAACTTTCGGCTCATATAGATTCAGGTTGTGTGCATTCGCAGTACGGGGAACATAAATACAAAAAATAAATAGAACACATCATCCGGCGCAGTTACTACAGTATACCAAACTCACACCAGCCATAATGTAAATCTGGCTGACAAAGGCATCCGCGGTTTGTTAATTATAACTAAGAATGTAAGCTACGTAGTGTGTACTATGTGTAATCAATAATCTTTACCCCTGGTATGAATTCTTGCAGAAAATTTTCCGCAGCTTCGAGACGTTCTGGGTTAACTTGAAAGGTTCTTGTATCGGCGGTGCAAACGCTCCCAGACGCGTCAGCGCCAATTTTAATACCGGTGCTGCAGCCTGGGTTTATAGGAGTTCCGTGATAATCGTGATGAATGCCATGGCATATCCATACAGGAAATCTGAAAAATACCACCCTGTTTGTGCTAGAATTTAAAGCTGCAACAATTTGTACAAATCGACAGAAATTATTGCCCGTACCAGGTATAATGAGAATGTCTCTTATTTGACGCTTTAGCGATTAAAATATGCCCAGATTAACAATCACATACCGAAGTCATCTTGTCTATTCGTACTGCAATCATTAATTCCGTATTTCGTTTGTTTGACAAGTACCTGTCAGGCAGAAATTCCCTGATGTTCGGTGTACCAAAATAAGAGACTTGTTCTTGTGTAACAGTAATTGATACTTTCACGCCGAGATGTTCCAGAATATCGTTATTCCACGCACCGCAAGCAATGATCAAATTTTCCGCCGCATAATCGCCGTTGTTCGTGCTAACGCGCACATGACCGCCTTCTTTGGCCACTTTGGTCACTTTCGTGTTTTCCAAAATTTCTGCGCCATGTTTACGTGCGAGCTGTGTATGCACTGCATTTGCCAAACCGGCATTGACAAATCCAGAGTCTTTCTGGTACAGTCCGACAATATCTTTATTTTTAACGTTGAACTGCGGATACTTTCTGTGTATGCCGGCACCATCCAAACGCTCGAATCTGATAAAGTCGAAAACTGAATTTCCGTTTGCTTACAGAGTAATCTCGATATTCACGGTTGCTGCTATTGTATTTTGATACCTACAATAGACACTTTCATACTACCTTCAAAACTCCGTGGATGAGATATACTCGTACTATATAGCATTTTCGAAGGATCATCAACTTACAGAATATTTTCGGCTGTCATCGCTTTGGCTAATTGGTCAATAAGAGCCACATGTCCTCGCTCGTTTGGAGTAAAAAACAAACCGCCAGTCTTGGTAACCAGTTTAATTCCCGATTCACTTTCAATCGCTTCCCACCTTGAGACAAGATAAGCCACCGCTTTACATACGAGTACAGAATCAAAAATACTCTTGTACGTATAAAAACTACCACGAAAGTTCTGTGTTGATCTCCACTAACAAATTTTTTTCCGACACACAGTTAACGATAAAACATAATTTTATTCGAATAGCTCACCAGTCAGATAATTAACTTTAAGTACTTATTTCCTCAGCAATAGAAGTACTGCTTACGTCTCGTACGATCCAGGGGCCAGTTTGATGTATGAAGCGTCGTGGTACATGTACCGTCTGCAAGATTTAGCAACATCATGATTAACTATAAAGAATTATATAAAATTTATGCCGGTTCTCCTGCTAGAATGTAGGGCATTAGCCAAAATCAAAATCAATGATTTAAAAACAATGCAATGGTCCGTTACATAATGAACGGTGAGTTAATAAAGAAAGGCAAAAGCAAGAACACCATAAAGACACACATGGTGCGTGAGATATCTTGCGAGCTGCCGTTATCGTGGCCGAGGCGAAACTGTTCGATCCCCAGGATCCCTAGGCCTGCAAACGTTTATTCCATGAACTGATTCATCTTTGCTTACAGCAGATAATAACGGTACATACAAATACAATAATGCATCTTGTATGTTCAGTTCCAGACTGCAAACTTAAATAGCACAACATAAAAGGAATTCAAACCTCTTTTTACAGTTACCTGTTCGAAGTTAACAGTTAGGTTTAGACCAGTTTCTACAACACCAAATTAATTTTTGAAATCAGTACCTCCTGTTTTTGGAAATCGCTGTGATAATTTCGACAACCAATACAGGGATCCCGATCCAATGCCTCCGACTCCAATAACTATGCACTTGTACAACTTTATCGTCATGATTTCTTTATATAATATAGAATATGCAAATATGCAGTAGTTCTACTGCGTTGGCAGAAATTTTTTTAGGGAATAACGAAGCGATTCGAGGCTTCTTCTTAGCTGCGCGGCACATCAGCCACCAAATAGTAAAAGATTTTCCGATACTCGAAATAAATTACTTATGTGAGTTATGTAAAATATACTAACATACCTGCTTTTGATAAATCTAGCAGGAGCCAAGCATATCATATGTGTATGCATGGCAAAATATGTGTTCTGTTGTTCAAGATTAACTGGGAAAGTTCAAGGGTAAAGTTCAAGTAGGGTTACGCTTCGTTCTTTGTTTACTTACTTTTATAAAGCTGCCAGTTTTCACTGACTATACACTGACAAACACCGGTACAATACTCAAGGTATCTGTTTCCCATTTATTCTGTGTGTAAGAAATTTTCGCCTTGTGGTAGCGGTTGCCGTTGACAAGTACAGGAATCCAGAAACAACACGGAACGGAAGATTTCAGCATCGAAAGATGATGTATATCGGCATTGAGATAGCACACTGAAACTGGTTGTGCATACTGGAGGAAGCTAAAGAATTAACATTATACATTTTACGAGTATAAAGTAATGAGTGTTTAATCAATCGATGGAGTTATGCGACAAAGAATAACAAAGACCGATCAACACCATTTTATGTATCATTCCATGTAGCTGCGTAAAATTACTGTACAAGAACAGTACGCACGTATTGTACTCCTTATTGACACTAAACGAAACGGTCATTTTAGAAGCATCGGCAATACATTCTTTTTATCAAACCTTTAAACCATTTCACCGATTCTAACGAATACTAAATATAAATATATAAACATATAATATAATAAAAAATAATAATAAAAAAAAAGTTTTTAAACAAACGCCACAAATCACAACATGTTTAAAAATACATGAAATCACAGACCCTTTTTATCCAGGCAACATTATAAAAGCGTGCAGTAAACTATCGATAACACCGTTCATGTAAAGAAAATCACAATGTTGATCCGGAAGCCAATTCGTTTCGCTAACTTTCTAACAAAATATAAAGGGTGCACCGTACTTCAGAAATTCCAGCCATCATAGTCATGTCATTAAATCGGCAATGGCATCGTACAAGTCACTTGGAATGTACGACCGTCGGCCGCCTCTGACTAGATTCCTCTGATCAGGGTTCAAGATGCTTGCGCCTTCGGCTTAGGACTTTCAAAAAATCCATGAAAGCTTGAATTTTTCAAGTTTTTGAACGAATTCACAGGAACACAGTGCTCTGGGTGAAGTGAAATATTCATGTGGAAGCTGACTGCAGTGTCCTTGTAATAACACTCCAGTCGATGTAAATTTTTTACACCATTTCTTTGTTCATCCAGTGTGCGATGGTCCGGTGGTGACGCTTTATGCATATCGGGATCAGCGGGATATGCATCGTCACCTATAGAAATGTGTATTTACTTGAATCGGAAAAAATGCACTTTACGAAAATCTTCTCCTTACGGAGAAATAGGCTTACGGGAGCGATTCTGCTTTGTGGGGTTCAAAATTGAATTTTTTAAATTCCTCTATGAGCTATACTGTACTCCTACCGGCCCGTCAAAATTTAGAAGAGAACAGACAGAGTAATATTGAAGAGAGCAGACAGAGTATGTTTTTCAAAACCGATTGCCCCCCGTCAAATTTTGCCCCCCTGTCAAAATTTGACACCCCCCTTTTGCCGAACCTGTGACGCCCCTGCTCCTACGTATTTCGCACTCTGAATAAAATCATCTAATGCCTGTTCGATTACCGGGCAAGTCGATCCAGCAATTTTTCGTACCAGAAGTCGCGTTCTGCAGAGTGCATACCTGGAAAAAGCATAACAATGCCATCCGCACAACGGATCCTCACAGGAAAATAAAGGACTGCTCCAAATTGTTGCCTTCTCTCGGCAAAATCCACAAGCATTTTGGCCGACGTGAACTGCAAGAGTCGCGTACACTCATACATTTGTGGCGGTGGCAGTGTAATTTCGCCGCTATTCATTGCCACGAGGGCTTCTTCGGGAGACATCCAGCAGGAATTGAGCATTTCCTTCTCGTGCACATCTACCGCCACCCCTTCGTCGCCTTCTGCCACAAAGAACACCGTATCAAAGCGTTTGTTCGGCATATCGGTCGGTGTCAGCCAATTGGACCATAGTTTGAGCGCCTCCACATCGGGATAAATGCGCAGCTGCTCGCACATGTCCAGGAATTTTGCTGAGTCGTTTCTCACCGTTGTTCGCCAGTCGACCAGCTCGCTTGTTAACTGCTTGACACGGGGTTTCGGCGCGCCCAACAGAATTCCGCTTTCTTCGAACGTTTCTCGCAGTGCCGTGATGCGCAGCGCAATTTCACGCGGTAACTCGCCAGGACGGGTCCGCAGAATGGGCGGTCGGCGTGCAGTGCGAGAAAGGACCAAGCTTTGCAGCAATCTTGCATTATCTGCACTTTTGGCAAAACAATCAACCCATCGTGGAGACAAGTCGCAAGCATCCACAACGCCGCCGGGGAACACTCGGCTTTTAGCCCACACTCCTCCGGATCGCTGCAACCATAACAGTCGCAATGCACTGCTTCCAGAAGCCAAAATCAGAGAAGCAGACTCTCGCCACGGCAAGGCCTGCATGGCATCTGGCATCACAAGCTGCGACGAATGACAAAAAAAACAACCAACTACGATTACGAAACAATAAAAAGTTTTTAGGTACTCTTGATTCTTGAAAACCGTTTTAAAAGTTAACTAAGTTAAACCGTTCTATAAAGTTTTCTAATTCTAACACAGTATGTACTCGTATAAACACACGAAAACATTGCACTGAAAGATACAGTAATAAATAAGTACGAGCAGGACCTACTGTATACAGGCCTAATATGACGCCTGTGCAGTACGAGATGACGTAGCAGTAGATGAGACGGTTTAACACTGCAGCTGTGCAGAAAATAGTGAGTTATTACGTTTTACGACCTTCTCTAGTTTCAAATTGGTTTACAATCTTTGAGTTTTAAGAGTAAAATGTGTCTATGTTTTATCATTATTAAAATCTAGCGTGGAAGATGGTTTTACAAAGTGGAATTTGAAAAAGAAGCAGACTACTGCAACGACCGTGTAGCTCAAGCCATACTGCACTGTATTGTTCCATGCACGCTGTGCTGTGTTGCATTTGACTTTCTTCTGAAATCTTATCGGCTTTAAATACCTACGAAGGCATTATATATTTTTTTCCTTAATCTCCGTGTTGTAATACCAACGTGGGGCTTTTTATGGATCGAAGAAGCAGAAGGAAGCCCTTATATTAGTACTTACTGTTGAGGCGCTGACTGGAGGAAATCAAGCGTCTGAGTGATATTTTATTCGACGAATCTGGTCCTCCTCTAGCTGTACGGTTCCTTAGATTTCGTAAATTGTTTTTAGAGTCTTGAGAGTTTGAGTCTTCGACCGTTTTCGAAGAATGCTTAATGCTGAGGTCTAACAAAAGTGTAAACGAAAAATTGTTGACAGTGTTTGACGTAGCAGCAGGTGAGCTGGGGAAACAACAGTTATCGCAGAAAAACTTCCCAGTTTAAAACTTTCCTCTTGTTTTTCCATCTCGTGGCAGAAATATGTTTCAGAAAATTCACTTATTTTATTTTGTATTACAAACTGTGTTCAATAATAACGGCAACTCTGAAAATCAACCCAAATCAATCCAGCATTCCGATGTTCTGCATTGGTAACTATTGATAACTGTCTGATCTACTTCGACGTCATCGAACCTCTTATTAGGCCTGTATACAGTAGGTCCTGGTACGAGTATTAATTTTTATCGTAGTGGTAGGGTACGAGCTGCCAGCCGCAGTAAATCGCAGGCTTTTCAACCAACTTGACCTGTTTCCGCTTATCGGCTGGCAGCTTCGATTATTTTTCGTTAAACAGCATGGGCAGCGTAACTGCATGAGGTAATACCACAGAGACTGGTAATACATAGAGAGGACACTCAATACTTTGCAAGTGATTCAGTTTTCCGTGCAGATTAAGACCCCCTGTCGTTGGCCTACCATCCACGAACGGCGGTTGTATCTCAAAATGTGCTCGAATACAACCAATCCATGCAGCAAAACAGGACTGTGCGGATTGGTTGCATTTGGATAACCAACCACAATTGCGCATTAACGTAAATACAGCCAATCCGCATGGCCAAAAAGTGGCACTTCTGCCACTGATATTCGTGTTCGAAGCGGGGGTCTTAAGCTGAACGGCACAGCGGAACGCTGCATTACATGCGATTCGATTGACATGGCCTCTCTATGTATTACCAGTCTCTGTGGTAATACTGCATGAGGTATTAAAGAGCTGCGTAATACATAGACCATGGCATGGGTATGCTTGGCAAACAAAACTTCTGCAAAATCATCCAAAAAGAAGGCTTAAAAAACCAACCAAAGAATTTTGAATCTAACCGCTAACGTAATAGAAGCTTTCCCAAATCTTCCGCCTTCTCTCTGTTAGTTTCTTACTTTTTCCTTTTTTTCCACGTTAAGAATTTACGATAGATGTTGTGCGTACTGGCACCTTTGGTCAGGAAAGATCGTCGACTATACCAGAACGCACACTATTCATTTCGGAACCTATCATCTGTAATGACTAATCAATAGACTGACTAATGATTTGAAAGAAATTGTTCTTCGCAGTGCATTGTTTTGATTTTTGACTCTTTCAGTCATAAACAAACGTGTTATCCCAAGTAAAGTTTCGTGTTTTGAGTCTTTGACTGGCCATCTTCTCTTCAACAATGATTCCTAGCAGCAACCCATTGCGTTTATTTCAACAAATGGATTTATCATCCTTCCTGACATCATCTCTGTACTGGAACACTGTGCCAGGCCGACTGCTCCATGCTCTCCAGAAGCCCCAGTTCGCCGTGACGTCTTTCCAAACCTCCCGAAATTTTCATGGAGAATTGAGAGCCATCTCTCCCACGTCGAATTGTGAGCAAAACGCTCCGCACCCCACTCCGATACATTCGTCAGGCAGTCTTGCACCACAGCGAACCCTGCTGGGACCGCGTTGGTCGCTCCTTTCGCACGTCCCCGTCTACCGTCAGCACACGGCGTATTTCTGCACAACGTGCGGCCACTTCCGACATTTCCATGTGGAGAAACACGATGACCGACGCCGGATGATGTCGAAATCTGTGGAAGGACGCGCGCAGTCTTCGAACGAAGTCAGGACTTCCGCGTCGACCTCTCCTGCTTCGCCCATGGATAACGCCAACCAGAAGACCGTGTTCGACCCTCACAATCAAGAGGCTGATCAGTTTTATGCACTGTTGGAGAAAGGCAAGAGAAATGTCCGACGGAGGGATCCGGATCCCGCTCCGACCATCGCCGAAGAGCAGTTGCGGAAGGAAAGCGGCGCGGATGCGGAGGGGCTCGCGGAGAAGGCAGAGGAGGAAGGGAACAAGAAGGTGACGTTGTGGACAAAATTTAAGGATATGTATAAGAAGTACTGGTATGTGCTGTTGCCCGTGCACGGCGTGCTGTGCGTGACGTGGTATGGAGGATTCTATTTTCTTGCTTCCAGGTAAGGATATTGTACGTGCTTTAGTATAATTTAATTAATCGTAATGAAGAGCCGCCAGTTTTGAATTTTCAGGTTGCTGCAACTTGTTTATGGTTTCTAATTTTGAATTTCCTATTTATTGAATTTTGGAAAAAATTCAATATAAACCGATAAAATTAATTTGGTATTTGAGGCAGCATTCTTTTTTTAGCTTCTATGCTTCTTTTTTTAATGGTATGCAAGGTATGAAATCACTGCGAGCCCATACACAAGGCTAGGAGGCTTACGCAATAGTCCACAGCCACAGGGCACAGACAGAAGCATGCGGCAAATTTACGACCGGTTTTCTGTTTGTGTAAATCTTAATGTAAAACCAAGCAGTCAGCCGAAGTGATAAGTAGCTGCAGTTATAAAATATAGATCGCTTTGCATAATAAGCAGAAAAGCACAATGTTAGATCAACGTCAAAGGGAAAGTGTGTGCTGCGCAAGGCGGCACAGATGAATGATTACAATTGTCCAACGCGTCCCATGAAAGCGATCAGTCCTGTTTTCTCATGGCGAATGGCGAAGATAAATGGATGATCCGCGCGGAATTCTACTGGTGGTGGTGGCATAGACCGCGTCATCATCACCATTGCCGTCGCGGCTGCTGCTTCCGTTCCTTCCTCGTTCACCTCTGAAAATAGCAGAAAATTTCAGATTGTGGCTTAGTATTTTTAACCGATTTTAGAACAATTGTGGTCAATAAAATTGTATTCAAAATTGATTTTAGAAGTGTAATAGAAGGGTCGGCTATTGTTTAGTTAGGATTAATTTCGAAAGTAACATGGTATGTAGAAAGATTGTTTGTTTATTGGTGTTAAATGAATAACCATTAGGAAAGGTCTTAATGAATTCATTAAGACCTTTCTGCAGCTACAGAAGCGGTTGTACAATTTATCAGTGCAAGTAAAGCACTCTCCTTGCAATTAGCCATCCTTAATTCTTACCGACGAAAGCTTTGTGAATAACTTCGCTGCAATGGACTCGCGGGTCATCCGTGCATCGGGACAGATTTGCATTCCTGAACAGTCCTTTAATTCCCATTTTATCCAGCACGGGCTTCATTTGGTATTGCTCTTCCAGCTTGAATTTCGGGAAGTAGACCATAACATCCCGTTTCCAGACTTTCTTCTGTATATCATTCAGAATTTCGACAGTCAATTCTTTCTCAAGCGCACCTAGGCCGTCTTTTTCCCTGGGTAAGATAATCAGCATGGACAGCTCTTCGTTCTTATAATGCAGCTTCAGAAGTTGGTACGGTGGAAGGTTGATTTTGGAATCATCAGACAGGAAGTCGGTATCCCCAATGTGGGTCTTCATCTTCTGGTACATGAGTTCTACGGGTTTCGTGCTGCCGTCCAGATTGTAGAAATCTGCTTTTTTGGTGTTGGCCGATTCAAATTTGCTCAGCCAGTCCGCTTTGAAATAGATGGCGTTGACGAGAACAAACGCAGTGTCAGGCCCCACCGCGTCAGTGGTCACTAGATCTTTTATTTTGTTGTTCGTCTTCCCTTCCACCCACTGATTGATCTCAGACACCGCCTTGACAGCATTGCCCTGAAAAATTTTCATTTTTTAAGCACATATAAAACAATATATTATTATCATTGCGCTTTTTCTAAAATAAGCGCTGATTACTTTATGCGTGTATTTTCTTGATAAATGTGAAAACTGGTTTCCTTTATAAATTAGTCTGTCTTTTATGTGCTTGCGCAAAAAAATTGAACTAAAGTGCTGGTTGCTTTAAAAAACAGGTATATTGCATTAAACTTGGAAACTGTTTTAGCAGGTGCTAGCCTACAAATGAATTTTTGTCGAAATTACCGGTCGTTGGTGGATCTTACTTGGAAATCGACTTCTCCCAATTCGCTGTTCAGATTTTGTTTGATAGCCCGAACATATCCTTCCTTTAGTGGTTGTCCTTGCTGGAAGTACGCTTTGTTGGCCAGGGATAGCTCGAAATTGTTAACTCCCTTTTCGTTCTTACTGGGAACGAAGACGTTTAGGACATCGCTATACTGATTCAACAGTGCTTCCTCTTTCCCACTGAACTTTTGCAGCTGCAGGGTGGATTCGATTTCCGCCTTGGTTTCTCCATCGGAGCCAAGATATGTCAGTAGCAAAGCGGATTGAATGCTCAACGGAGATACAAAGATATTCTTATTCGCCTTTTTCGGGTCGGAAGTGATGGCATGGTATAGGTTCAGGGAGAACTCGTCCGTAGCATTCTTCAGGTCCTCCATAGTAGCGGTGCTGGGTGGGAGCTGTTGAAGGGAAGATAAGATTACACTGGTGGAAATGAATAGACTGTGGTGCAGAATGCTGGAAGTTAAATATCGAAAGCGGCCGTGCAGAATTGCAAATTGAACCGGTTTTCACTTTTCTGTGTCAGGGTGGTGTATACTATATAGCATATCAATTGGGTTGGGTTTATGTTCGTGCCTGGGAGCTGCAGACGATTGGATCAATAAATTCTTGTATTTGTTGTTGTGAATCACTTGGTGCCGTTTCGGTTCGGCTGGGTAAGGTTGGGTAGTCGCGAGTGGCAAACGGTAGTTCTTTGACTAGGAAGTGCGGTGTCTGGAAGTGGAGTTGGCTGTTTTGTATTTAATACGGGAGTCATGGTGGAAGTCACACAGTTAAACGAAAGTTTTATGGACAGTTTAATGTGAAATTTTGGCAGAATTCGGTCTGCACGCCGATATTTAACTGCTGAATAGACCAAACAGATTAGGTCGAAAATAATGAGCCATTATTGCGAATAACATAAGGTGCCGATATCGATCATGCAAAGTTGTTTGCTTGATCTCCGAAGGAATACCGTTAAAATTGAAACTTCAGTAATTTTGTTGTGAATGACGTTTAATAGTTATAGCAGGGCACACAAAAAATGTTTATTTTGAAAAAGGTACTCGTACCAATTACTTACCATTAGTAGGGTAATACAGCTGGGGTTCGTTACATGTACATAGAAGATAAGTTCATAATACGAGTACCTCTCGAGTCTCGACTAAGAATCCGTAAATGTCCATGAATAATGAATTTATTGAACGCGAATATCTGTAGAGTACGTAGAAGCAAATATTCTACGCTGTGCTACGTTAGGAGCCCCCAAAAAATCTGGTAGTATACTGAAAGATGTTAATTATAACGAGTTAGAAAATCCGTAGGATATTATAATAAAAAATAGTTGGTCCTAATCGTGAATCGCTGTAATTACTGTCTTTAGAGTCCAGACTGAAAACCTCACGGCTCAGCTGGCGTTGAATATCGCTTAATTTTATGGCGTTAATTAAAATTGCAGGTTTTTATGGCATTCACTATATCCCTTTAATTGCGTATACAAACAATTAGTTTGCTTTTGTAGAGGCGTGGATGTGATCCCCATGCTGGAGAAAATGGGCGTCAGTGAGACTTGGATTGGTTACATTCGTAAATCTGGAGCCGGTCACTTAGCCGCCGCTTTTGCCATGTACAAGTTAGCCACCCCACTGCGCTACTCGGTCACTCTGGGAGCCACAACAGTCGCTATTAATTATCTAACGAAACGCGGCTACATCAAGCCGGTGCCCAGTGCAGCCAAGATCAAGGAGATGATCAAAGACCGCGGAGAGAAACTCAAAGTCTTGTCGCGACGGGGGCGACGTCGCCTCAGCCGGATTCGGGATAAGTACGGAAAGCTGAAGAAAGATGCGGCCCCCAATGGGAAAATAAAACGGGATTGATTGTGATTGTGCCTTGGTAGTCTTTTGTTTTGGGCTTTCTTAGGAAAGTCTTTTTGTAATTATGTTGCTAAATTGGTATTATGTATTGTACATGTGGCGATCGACAACTGCACTGTGTGTGACTTACTAGAGCGTTTTTTGTTTGGGAGGCAACGAGTGATGCGTATAGTGGTTCCAGTCATTAAATTTTGATAAAAAGATGATGGGCTGCGCTGAGTGGCGATGAGCGTACTGTAATATGCTAATAATACTCGTGAGAATAGCTCGCAGAGTGATGACCACTCGCGCTGGACATGCATCACTGAGAACCGGTCGCGCGTCCCGTACGATGTACGCGCCGGCGCAGCGTACTAGGCATTAGTGACACCTTGTCAGGTGGATTACTCAGAACTCTTGGCATAATTAATGCAAACTGTTCGTTCGAAGATATTTGCGGCTAAAGCACGTGGTACGGAAAGTAAATCATATTTATCAGAAATAATTAAATTACAGCCACACAATAAATGCTATTTTAAAAATAAAAATTTTGCACGGAAAGCACTGACGCTAGAAGTAGGTAGTTCTCAGTTTCTACTCGTAGGTGGTACTGAGTTTTCAAGCATCACGCAACCATCAACAAAGATCTAGGGTAGAAGCGCGGCAATAATGATGCTACATGAACAATAATTGTTCTTAAACGAACGACTGCAACAAAACAAGTAGAGATACGGCGTATTTACTATTTAGGTCCTTCTTTTGAAATCCTACTGTAATATTCAGACTCCAAGGGTTACGCTAACCAAGTGTGAGTAGCGAAACATAAAAATTCAGTACGTGCGTAATTTGAATAAGAGAAGCTATACTTAACTTATCTGAGGTTGAAACCAAATTAATCGTTTTTATGAAAACTCATTCTTATTTCTGATTCTAACATACACCAATCTACTGCGTAAATTTCGTTCTGATTAGGAAAGGTCACCTGCTTTTGTGTGTTATGTCGCCTGCAGTGAAACGCGTTTCTTCCTATTTAAGACTCGAAGATTCTGCGCAGATGTCGGATGCAACAGTAACTGAAGTTGAATGAAAGGAAAAAGAGTTAAACGTACACAAGCCTATAAAATTTCTATCGTGCCATCACTGCCACGTGATAAATGTTTATGTATGCTTTGGAAGCTATTGCCCCCACACACTTCAACAACAACTTCACCCCGCATATCAATAATTGCATTCTATATCCGCATTAATCGCCGCTTTATATAGAGTTTACTGCGTCGGGTACTGCTGCAGAGTGCAGAGTCGCAGACATACCAGCAATTATGAATGAATTAGAAATGATTAACAAGTAATCTTCAGTGGACAAGATAGCTCGTGAGTTTGTCGCCGGGTCCATGACGATGTTTACCCACAATCATAATTCGTAACGGCACTGCAGTGATGCTAGCAACGTGCATACGCAGTGGAAGTGATGCTTGTCCAGTGAGTCTGTCCGCTATGATCCATATAGCATGAACGCGTTATGTCCGGACAAGACAGGCCACTTGTTCCCCATTACCGTAGTACATGTAACTAATAATGTCCTTCCATCGACCCACGAGTGCTGGTACTCGTTCTAGCTTAATTGGACGCTTCTTGGATCCGTCTCACAACACACCTGCACATGTACGACTGTCGCATACGTACCCGTGCTGCACAGCCGCGTCAACATCCGGGAGGATTTAAAGCCCCATCGTGCATCACCAACAGCATCAGTTTCGTCTTCTAGCTCCTGCTCTTCTCTACCGTTTCTCGCTGCTAAGCCGCTGTATCCACGTTTAGTGCGAGAAATCCGGTAATCTGTGCAAATCCACCATGGCCGTTATTTCGCTGTTACTGGTGTCCTGCCTGGCATCCGCTGCTCTGGCTGCTGCCGTTCCCGCCACTTCGGGAACCTCGGAAGTACAGGCTGCCGCTGCCAATGCTCAAACCACCGTCGAACAGCCGGTTGCTGCTGAGAGCGCGTACGGGTACCGTGTGTCTGGTTGCTTGTGCAATTTTGCTTAGCCATTGTTTTGTGTTGTTGGAACTTGCGACATGTGTCGCCAACCAATCGCATGCCAGATCCTTAATGAATACATTATTCCGTATCACAGCAATAAATATCGCTTTTTAAGATTCAGTTATTCATTCCATTTAATTTACTTAATCCTCCATAACTTCGCTTTCGAAATGATAATTAACGCCTCATATGTATATGTATGTAACTTCTGGATGACCGGGAAAGTGACTCTTTATATGGTTAATATTCTGCACAGGTACAACAGCTACAACAAGTACAACTCCTACGGCAGCTCCGGCTATGCTCCTCGCAGCTACGATTCCGGCTACAGCAACTACGAATCCTATGGCACACCCTACGTGACACAGAGCTGCTACGGTCAATACCCGGGAGTGACCGGAAATGCCAATTACGATTGCAAATCATACTCCGTCTGCCAGGCTGATGGCCGTCTGGACATCCTCTACTGCCCACCGTACACCCGCTTCAACAACTACCTGGGAGTCTGTGATTGGCATTTCAAAGTACGTACCAAGCACTTGTACAACTTCGGCCTATGTACTTAACACATTGTGTCCATCACTTACTCGTGGAAGTAACTCGTATGCAAACGTGCACCCTGTCACCGTTGACGACACGGGCGAGACGTTTAACGACAAACACCAATCTAATGCAAATTGAAAAATTATAATGTTTGCTTTTGGGTATTGAGAAATTCCACGTTAATTAGCGGTGGACAATATGAATTTGATTTTTTAAACAACCTTTTAATAAGCTTCCCCCATTGTCCTGTGTAGGTCGACAGCTACTGCAACCCCATCTACAAGGAGGAATACAACTACAACTCGTACGACAACAAACAATCCTACGGTTATGACTCTTACAAGGCGCCCAGCTACGGATCGAGCTACAACAGTTACGATAACAAATACAACAGCTACGACAACAAGCACAGCAGCAACTATGACAGCTACGGTCATGGTTATGAGCACAAGAGCAACTATGGCGGCAGCTATGGATCTGGCTATGATTCCTACGCTCCCAGCTATGGACACCGATCGTCCTACTCCAAGAAGTACTAATTTAATCCGACAGGTTTTATACGGCTCCTGTATCATAGCTCGGTGATGCTTTTTTGTACTTCAAGTTTTTATATTACACGAATTTATTGTGAACGCGCTGGAAACGGCTAAGCGTAAAAAGCAAAAGAAAAAATCCGAATTGCACTGTGATCGAATAAAGCGAACATTACTGTACTTGCGCTTGTTAAATAAGTACATCACTTCCAAGCTTAAAAAAGCTTCAGATTAGTCGATTGGGGCACTCTACAGGAATAAATATTAATCACAAACCTACGCACTACAAATTACGACTGCAGTTGCACAAATGCTCGACCGCTTTAATACACACCGTATTAGGTAGCATGGCATAAGCGTACAACATCAACCATTTCCACATAAAAACACTAGGTACTAAGTAAACAGCGGCACCTTTAACAAAATCATATCCTAACCTAAATTTTGTATCAGTACCCATATCTATTATCGACATTCTGCCGAGCAATATGGGGATTAAACTGAGAATTATACTTCTGCGAGCCTCTGGACGTCCGACTCCGATCATCAGCAGGCACCGGCTCCGACTTAATGGGCGCACCACTTTTCACTGCCAAAAGCTGCAGCGTTCGTCTCTTCTCTTCCGCTTCACGCCGCAAACGTTCAGCTCGCAGGGTTTCTATGCTTTTTGACTAAAACAACAGAATCCATTTTGTTATCATGACAATCTCACAACTATTACTTTAACAGCTTAACAACGGCTTTACCTGGTTGATGTTTTGTGACGCGACGGCGGCGGAAGGAATCGATGCAGTAGAGACTGGATCATCCTCCGTCGCATCTGCATGCTTCCGCTTTTTGTGTTTCTTCTTTGATTTCCGAGACGGACTAGGCGATGATTCACGTTTAATCATTGCATTATCCGCACGAATAATATCTTTCCGTGTAGAAGAGTTAGCCGGGGTAAACGCTATGGCACGAGGCGGAAATTGCGGTTGTGTGCGCTTAACCTCTCGAGCGGAATCCCGCTTTGCAGCGGCCTTTATCGCGTTGATTGGATCGTAGAAATCCTTGATTTTGTCATCGGAGGATTTAATTTGCGGTTCAACGCGATGCGGTATGGTTAAGCCGCTGGAGGTCGGGATGTCGCGGCGTTCATCATGAGAGAGAGCGTACCAAGGTGCAGCATCTGCAGATGATAGGAATGCGTTTGTGAAGTTGCAATCACGTAGTGTATACAACAAATTAAAATGAAAATACGAACAAAATTCGTACAAACTATGCAACAAACCCATCCCTGGAGCATTTGCTAATTCGGCTGAACAACAGATAATTCGGCTATTAATCAGACAACAAATCCTCAACATCCCGTTAAAAATGCTCAATTACCCTTCATTTTGTTCTGATTAAAACTTTGAATTAAAAGACAACACAATCAAAATACACAGCGAGCTTCCAGGACAGAAACGACATCGCCATCTGGTGTTATACGATGCATATAAAAGGCATACGCGGTCATTCTAGCTGCCAGACTCTAGCAGTACTCGTACTGTACATCATCTCCTTCAGCACTTACGTTGTGCTTCTTGTGCACTCTGTCCAAGATACGTGAGGTAGCCAATGCTCTTTTCATACTTCTCCTTTTCCGCACGTTTCTCGGCCTCATGTTCCGCATTGACGACAGTGGATCCCTTCTGTAAGACACAAGTCCGAGGTCAAATCCGAGAGAAAAAGCATGAAACGCGTATTCTCAAAACAAATTCTTACAATCTAACAGAAATTTCAAACGTACTAAAATGGCAAAACAAACTCCGTTGAAAGTCGGAAGTATAAGCTTTTTGGCCATACGGTGATTAACAAGTATTAAACACCATGCTATTCATAAGCATAAGCACTGAACTACAGTGTAGTGAGTGCACTCACAAAACCATTCAGCCAATGCTTTACCCTTCCTTTTGCCAGACGTAACGAGCAATGAATTTACCAAATACCAACAAAGCCACTTAATATGTTCAGTTGCTCTAATATTTCTGCGTCGAATTACCCCGAATTTCTCCGCATCTGTGAACAGATTGACATGTTCCTGTGCTCCCTGATCGGAAGGAAAGATCTCGGATAGAAAACCCTCTGCACTGACAACGGTGGCATCACGAATATCCTCGTTGTCAGCGTCCTCAGCAGGCAGGGACGAAGCAGACTCACTGACAAACTTCTCACCCAACAGCACTGCATTCCGGGCTTTGGCTTTCTCCCGCAGGAGAGTTGTGCGTGCTTCTTGTTCCTACGAAGTAGCATTGTAAGCAAAGAATCCCGAAAACATCAAGCTTCACAACCAGCTGCGGATCAGCCAATACTTCAGTATTAGGAACTTGCAATCATTTTTTTATTTCTTATCATAAATAAATAAGCAGGAAGCATGAAAATCTGTGTGCTTTGTTATGGTTTTTATCAGAATCTCACGGCTAACGCGATGCGTCGCTGGCGTTCTTCCTCCTCCTCGGCTGCTTGGGCTTCGTCACGACGCACTCGAGCGATGTTGTCTTTGGTGCGAACATGCCATCTACACATCAATAATCAATTCAACATATCCCGCCCAACGTTATCTATACCGAGTCACCAAGATATAACGTAAGTACCTTTTCTTCGGCAGAATATTCATGATGGCACTGTTGGCACAACATCAAATCCAAGCTCTTCCAGACTTTCCTCAGGTTACCCCCGGGCTTCGGGTTACCCTTTCCTCGGGTTCTGCATTCAGAAGAATCAGAACAGCAGCAGAATGTCAGAGTTCAAACGAAACAGAACCAAAATTTATGGAAACTACCGCAGTCAACTGTAAAGCTCGGAATAACGGATCAGCTGTTTATTTGTAAAGCTACCAACCAGAACTTTAAAAACCAAAACAAACACGCTCCAGATGTTGAAACCAGGAGCAGAGACACCCGAAAACCTTTTGCTGATAATTATTGTAACTTCCAACCGGAAGTGAAATGGAATATCCTAGTAGCTGCCGCCCGTTAGGGCCGTGGAACCTGAATCTTTGATTTCCTCCGAAAATTTTTGTTTTTAGTAATTTGAGTACTGTTACTGTACTTTTCAGTTTTCACCGTCTCTTTTGACGTTTTTTACTAAATTTCACACATTTCACACTTGGAGATGGCTCTGTGTATCGGAATTATGGGTGCAGAGGTGAGCTAAGTGTCCGTCATTATGTGCACAACATTCACGGAATCACGGTTTGTCATTTGTGTTCTTATTGTTAGGGCCCTCTATCACGCAGTTACTGTGACTTACATTACATTATTACGCTAGTTACTTACGTTACTAGTATGTAAAATAAGTAATACCGATAAAGTATCACGTTTGATAATAGCTTTATTTATTACTGCACAGAATCAGCCGCTGCTGATCAAAATCAGCTCCTCCATCCAGGAGCCCATTAAATTCCACTATCTCCTCCATTCGGCTCTGGACGTCGTGGAAGAGAAAACACAGCCATCGCAGAAAACTCCCGGTTCAATATCGTCGGGAGACCTGCGCGATCTCTATTTGGGTGAGGATAACTGGAGTCATTTTATTATTACCCGTAGATATTAAAATTGAGCAGTTTAGCTGGAGGTGCGACATTGTTAATGTTGGCAGATTACCGTACTGTACTGTGTCTGTAGTTGTACATACTGTTATCATTTATGTGCACCTTCCGATCGAGCGATCAATGATTTGCTTACTTTTGCAGGCTTGCTGTACCCATCTTCTGATGAAGTCAGAGTGTATGTGGTTTTCATTAAATTGCTCAAAGTTATTTAACTGCAGTTGAGTGTAATACTTCTGTGTGTAATACTTCTCTGCATAAATAAGTATTTGCAGGATTTCCATAATTTTTTACTACTGTATTTCCATGCATACTGTATTTTCTTGGACTGTGCGTAGTTTATGTATATATATATTATTAAATCTTTTCAGAGATTAATTTTTCTGTTCCATTGTTTTATAGCTATGCCTACTGTACCTGCACAAAAACTAAGATGATCCTGGTGGTTGAATCGGCCAATACCGCACTGAGGGAGAATGAGATACGCGCCGTAAGCTGTGCTATGGTTTAAACTGTAGCTTTATAACTTTTTATGCTGTTTACAGTTTACACTTTCAGTTAAATCTGCCGAAAATACTGGCTGGGATCTATAATGCAGTGCGAAACTAAAAATTGACGGTTGAATGAATTACTTACATTATTATATCATGATTATGCAAAAGTGGTACTCTCCCATGTTATTCTGGGTAGTTACAGGATGAATGACGAATGCAGTGTTGCTTATCTTGTCGACAGATGCTGCTGTGTTATAATAATTCTGTTTTTTTATCTAATTCACGAATTTGCTTAATTAGGTAATACATTGAAATGCTGTTTTTGCGCTTGCAGTTGTTCCGTCGGTTGCACGTTGCCTATGCGAATATGGTAATGAATCCCTTTTACGAACTGGGACAGCCCATCAGTTCCAAGTGAGTAGTACTTGCAAAATGCTTCCTGTTAATTGGTGTAGGAATGTTTCTCTTGCAGGTCATTCCATGAGTTTGTGGAGACAATGATAAAAAGCTGAAACACCCAAAAGGGAGTACAAGCTTTTCTGTGATAGATTTCTCTTTGGTACACATTATTTCATCGCAGCTTTTATACTTCTATTGCGTTTTCTTCGCAACGCCGATTTATTATAGTAAAAATTGTGTTTTGTATTTCTGTATTGTATTTTTACGTCGCCATTAAGTTAGATAAGTATATTCGTAATTCGCATATTCAGCAATACCGTCGGTGGTGCAAAACGAAGTCAAATGATGTATTGTGGCAAATTAAAGCTAAAGGTTGCATTTGTCATACCTCAAAAAACCATTTCATTGTTGGGAACAGAGCGCGTTTAGATTCCAGTGTATCTGATGCTGCTGTCTTGTTTTAACACATAGAAACGTTAGGAGAAGTTAACCGTTACTGAACGACCACCTGATTTCTCCATCCTTTGCTGGCGTAGGGCATTATTAAAATTTATCTTCACATTAGTAAAAACCGGCGTTTTCTGCATTGAGCGGTGCTTCCGAGGTAGGACCATGATTGACATAGCACAGCAGAAGGTGTTGTGTTGAAAGTTTAAAACCTCGTAAAATATCCACGCTGATGGCCAAGTCTGCAGCGGCGATCTCCAGTTCGAGAAAGTCTTGGTAGCGATCTTCACTCCTAAAGCACAAACCTGCATTATGTTAAGATGAATTTTTCAATTTGTTCAGATCGAAATTTCTTCACAAACTTAACAAAAATTTGTACCAACGAATTTGGTAAATAACCTCGAAAGTAAATGTAAATACCGGTATCAGAAAATTAATGGGATTCATCAGTCGTACCATGCCAAGAGCTTAACGATATCCCATGCACTTCTTTCACTGTTCAGTACTTCCATAACCGCCGCTTCTTGAAATTCGTTCAACGGTCCGGCAATTTTGGCAACAAAATCCCAGCTGGCTGCTTCGTCTTTCCACTCGGTAATCTCAATGGTGTGATCATCAACGTCCACTTGTAATATCTCCTGTTGCTCGCCCCACCAAGAACCCAGACCATTCAAAAAGGAAGCCGCTAAGACGCACTTTCTAAAAGAATTATTAGTGTTTTCCTTCTAAACTTCTACGCATACTTGCATGCAGTCTCATTACATGCAAGTTTTATACGAGACAGCGTGTAACACAAATTTTTTTAAGTGAACTTGGAGACAGTAGTGCGAAAATACGAACTACGAAAAGAAACTTGGAAGAACGCAAATATCGCACTAAAAACCAAACAATTTTACAGTAGTTTATTTTAAGTTTATCGATGCACGGTACAATGTTGTACGTACTTGAGTCTGATTTCTTTAATCCACTCAGGAAAATTATACTGAAAGGCTTCCATTGGTAGCAACAAGTTCACGAAGGTCACTGTGCAGAATTTCTCAGTAACTTGTGGCCGGCATGCGGCTAGATGGTTGAAGATGCGCTCGAAGTCGTGGTACACGGCAAAGTAATACTGGCTGATGTCAGAGGTGTCAATTTCCGGTGCGACGGATGCTGGTGCCGCGACGAAAGTCAGACTGCGAGTTTCCGGGCCCAGCAGCAAACCGAATACGTGTTTGTACCACTCAAACCGGCCGTTTCCCAAGAACACGGAGTGGATCATTTTGTCGCGCCGTTCCAGCGTTAAGTGTACGGTGCGGCGGAGAAAAAAGTCGGATATCACAGCATTCCACATGCGGCACACTCTGCAAATTAAGCTTATTGACCGCCACCGAATCATGTTGCTGTGTACTCTAAAATTTGCCGCAGAAGGACAAATACTTAACCGGTAATTATTCTCACCCTGAAAGCTTGTGCAGTTCTACAGAGTCGAAGTACTTGAAGATTTCAATTAGAACGTCGATGGGTAGGTCGGCAAATGAGCAACAGCTGTTTTCTGGTTCACTATTGGATCTGGTGTAGTTTTCGTTTCGGTTGCCAGTGCGGCTGTGAACGATGCACGGAAAACATTTCTGTAAGCACAACAACAGAAAGTCCCAAGTTTTGATTCGCAGTTTTGTTTTGTTTTCAAAACATAAAGATTTTCTGCATAGATATGTGGCGTATATAATAGAACCTTGTATAATCCACAAGTGCAGTCATCATTGTTAGCGTTAGCACGTTGGTTGCACACTCGAATCCACAATTTGTCCATAAGTATGCTGACGCGAAAATTATGTGGTACCAGCTACGTATATTAGCAAGAAAACAGAAGTCACAGAGTACTAGATTAACAAAAAACTTGATAATAGGAAAAGCATATGGTTCAGACCAGAAAATCCATATAAACTGAAACATTACGACGCAGTATGCTAAGAAACGTTAAATTTTTGTGGAATACTGAGCTATAGTAAAGAGCGAAAGTATGTGCAGCTTTTTGCTCATGCTTTCAGACATGGTACGTCAAGTTAATAGTAGTGTCAGCTACTGTTTGCACGTGTGCGCTGCTTTTTTTAGCATCCGGCAAAGTTTTACTCAGAATCACTGCGTACAGTGATATGTAGCACTACCCACGAACGTAAAAAACTGCGGGCGGCAGATCCCAAAATGTAATCATACACGCTCAAAAGATATGACTGGATGTAGAAGTTCAAATTGTATGTACGGCATGTTTTACAGATAATTCCACAGAAACCGCCGTATAAAATTAACTGGTATTGTGGGGTTTTGTGGAAAATTCCTTCAGGCTTCGATTAGGTACTATATATATATATATATATATATATATATATATATATATATATATATATATATATATATATACAAGAAACGGCCTCGGCTTCGCCTCCGCGTTTCTTGTGATTCACGACCACTTTATTTGATTTCGATTGAATATTTACTTTAGCATCACATCTATATTTCGCGGTAATATAATTGGTACATCGCAAAAGCGCAAAAACAATGGTTTCATTTAATAATTACAGATTCTCTCAAATCAGTATTAAATCTCTCCACTAGATCCATGGTTCTCTGAACGCCAGACTGAACCCCAACCTGATGCTTCTTCTCAGTAGTGGCAGCTCGGTCACCCGCTCACCTTGAAGGGCTCCGTACACGGGACATTACTGGTATCTCGGTCACCCACTCACCTAATGTGCTCTGTCCACTAGAAAGGAGTGATAGCTCGGTAACTAGCTCACCTAGGGTAGTGGGTTCTGTGCATAGAACAGTAGTGGTAGCTCGGTTACTCGTTCACCTGGGGGACTGTCTGCACTAGACTGTTGTGGTAGCTCGGTCAATCGTAACACTGGACAACAGCGTTAGCTCGGTCACTTGTTTACCTAACGGGCTCTGTGCATTGGACAGTAGTGGTAGCTTGATCACTCGTTCAACTAACGGGCTCTGTGCATTGGAATGGAAAGTAGTGGTAGCTCGGTCACTTGTTCACCTAAGGGGCTCCGTACACTGGAAAGCAGCGTTAACTTGGTCTTAGAAGGTAGCTAGCGTTAGCGTTAGCTTAGAATAAGCAGATGCCGCTTCGCCTCCGCGTTTCTTGTAATCCAGGGCCGAATCAATGAATAGCTCGGTTACACATTCACGTAGCGGTCACTCACTATGTCAATTAGCGATTTTGCTCACTGGACAGTAGTGATAGCTCGGTAATTCACTCACTCGATTAGCGATTTTGCTCACTAGACGACAGTGGTAGCTCGGTAACTCACTCACTCAATTAGCGATTTCGCTCGCTGGTCAGTGAAGGTATCTCGGCCACTCACTCACCTTAAAATAATAATTAATGCGGCTCTTTGCTTTTAGCAATTGTTTAGAAGAGTGGTCCTGCAAAATCAAACAGCCCGCTGCCCGTATGGTTAGGACCAACCATTATATTACAAATGTGCCGGCATCGAAAATCGATAGTAGGCTAACTTGTGATTACTTACTTAAATTTGTGGTTGGTGTTGTACGAAAATAAGTTCATTTTATTCCGTTTAATTTGCGTATTTAATAATTTATGTTGCGTATTGTATCCAGGCAAAATTTTTCAAAGTTTCAAGGCCACCTTGAAACTGGGTTGGATCATATGCGGCTTCGTGCCGGCACGATTCTGGTCGGACGTATTCAAAACAAAAGTCATGTGACGCACTTCTGGACCACGGCCGATCTAACTGTGGTATCAGATTTTGAAAGTTTTTGGTTAGAGAGATCTCCAGACTGTGGGGAGGCCGCGCGTAATATTGATCATTTTCTTAATATATATATAATTTAGTGCGCATTTGCAAGGTACGACGATTTGTGAAGCGAGTGGTAAAATGGAGAAATACGTACGTACAGAAATAAAGAAAATATCTGGTGCATTTGCTTAACGTGGAGTAGTACGGTAGCCCCATGGGATAGCATACGATATGCAAGTATATAGATATGCTGTAATATGTAATTCCAGGAAAGGTTTGATTGAAATATATGTAGAAGTGCTTTAATTATAACTGGCACTTACAATTGTTACTAGTACTCCGTATTGTACACACTATAATTATTATAACATCAACACGGTACCGGGCTTCATTAAAAATTAAGAAAGCAACTGTAGCTGATTTGTAATACGAATATCTAAAGCGATAACCAGGCACGAGAAAAGCCGGAAAATTTGATAATTCTATTCAGACACCGGTTTATCATTTGTTTCACTGTACATGTCTCGTTGAGGAGTTCTTTCAGTAAATTTATTATCTTCGTTTGACAATATGCACGCTCGTTTATGGTTGTGCAGTGCCGCTCTACAATAGCACACGCCGGACTGTTCGATCTGTAGTGGCACTGGGTTGTGTTTTACGTAAGTTTTATTCTTTAAATATATCGGGAAAGCAAAATATTGATCAGCACCTAATAAAACCCCCTGCTATAGTAATGGTGCATGCCAGGATGCCTACAGATATTTTATCTGAATTCCAGAAATGAATTTGCTCTCACTGCTACCAGGGATCTTCTTTGTTCCCTTCGTTAATGGACAAGGTAGGCAAGTTGTGAATGTCGTTATCGCTGACATTCGCAAAATGCCCAAATAGTGCGATCGACTCTGATAATATTACTTTCTATACATATATAGTACATAGAAAAGAGTTTTGTTAGTATTTATTCAGTACTAAGTAATCACCTCTAACTTCAGACGGATGCAAGGTGCCGGCGTTTTTATCAGCTTCTTCCGGTGCTATTGAGTCGCCATATTATCATTATCCTGAACTTGTATCGAACCGGCCATCGCACCTGTCATGCCGATGGACCATTTTCAATCCCACTAGGAATGTGAGTACTAATTGTTGAAATTAGTCATTGCAACAACAGTCGCAGTTTCCCATAACTTGGTGACAGTTTTAAAATGGCGCAAATAATTACTAGTTTCGTAATTGGTGCCCCTTCAGAACCTCCTAATATCGTTTGCTCCTGTTTTTGAAGTGGACATCTGGGAAAATGGACCGTGCAATTATGAAGCGCTGTATTATTTTGCCGGGTCCAGGGACCGCTCAGTATGCAGCCAAATAGAAACTTTTCCTCCAAACTATGTGAATGACACACTGATTTACGGTACAAATCAAAACAACATATCCAGTTTAAACAAGATACGTTTCACAGAATCATGCATAGGAATACTATTACTGTTCTCTACTGTGAGTTCATCCAAACCGGCGAATTATTTAAACTTTCAGTGACTATCTTTATTTTCCCATGATGTGCGATGTCTTTTAGGACCCCTGTGTAAAGGTTACGGGCCAACTCCGGAGCCCTTTATTATACAGCCTTCGCGAGACAGCATCGTCACCGTAGAATTCTGTACGAATCAATCTTAATCAATCTCGTAATCAATCTTCCAATTTTTAGCCTCTTTTCTTTGTAGTGACCTTAATTCGCAACATCAACCGATGGTTCTGTACTATAAAAATCATTGCTTATGGACTCTGTAGGTGCAAGCACTGATGTGAACTTCAACACGTAGGTCTCCCCTCCGCGTTAACATATGTGCTCGAATATCTGGACGATCTGACACAAACATTGCCATAAAAATTGTGCAGGAGAGGGTTTCGTATGTTTTTCAATGCAACGGATGAAATTCCTCCTCCTCCTACGACGACAACACCCCGCACTACCACTGTGCGCACTACAACCGTACGACCGCCACCGTTTCGGAATTGCGGTGGAGGTGTATACCTGGACCAATCAACGAACAGGACAATGTACATCGAGTATCCCCTTATATTTACGGGCAATGCGGCCTTCTGTCAATGGAATATCTCTGCAGTCCCCGGTCATGGCTATCTCAAGGTACGCTCTTAACTAACGAACTTAAAAAATGGAAACAGTGCGTTTCTTTTTTAAAACACAGTTCACCGTGGAAGAAATGCGCATTGATATTCGCAACTGCAGCAACTATGGCATTGCCATCGTGGATCTGGACTCTGAGGCGACGGAGAGTTCAAAAAACAGTAGCGGCGTTATAGCAAAATGGTGCAACAAAGAAAACCCAGTTAACGAACCACCTGTGCGCGCTAGCGGGAGTAATGCAGTAAGCATTTTTGTATTACAGTGTATTTTGACAGACGCAGCAGCATACCAAGCCTTTTCCATTTTATTAGGCAATCATATTAAAAACTGAAGACACTGACTACGCCAAATTCAGGATAAAAGTTGAGGGTGCGTGTTCCTTCGCATACTTATTATGTAAATCAAAACTGACAACTTTTGTGCCGTGTAGTGTCAAAGTGCGACAACATTAACCACATAGCTTGTCCGGATGATCCGACCAGGGAAGCGTGTTTTTCGTCCGAAATGGTTTGCGATGGTAAATAGCAAGTACCGCTGAACTGTTATGAGTAAAAAGATCGGAGCTATACAGTAGTAAAGTGCAGACCAATGGCAGGCAAAGTGGACTGTCCCAGCGGCGTAGACGAAAACTGTCCCGTTGACTGTGGTATACCGGCCGTACAGCCTTGGCACGTGCAAGCAATATCCAACAGAATATATGGTGGCCTTGAGGTACAACTGTACTTGTATGTGGGTACCGCCGGGCAAACTAAGAACCTGTACACTACATGCTAAGGTCCTGTTCTTTGAATCACATGAACCAAGATGCGTTCGATAATTCCGGTTCGACTTATCAGGCTCGACCGCACAGTTTTCCTTGGCATGCTGCTTTGCTGTACAAAGATGGTTTTATGGACCACATTCCTTATTGTGGAGGAACCATTGTACGGATCGGTTGTCCAACGGTGAATTTGAAAACAGTGCGTATTGGGGGCGCTTTCTTATTTTGTAGATCGATCACCACTACATTATCACTTCGGGAGAGTGTTGCTTTCGGTAAGCATTGCAATCTTTGGGCAGCACTCTATAAATTCCACTCTTTACGGTGATTTGTGTATAAGTACTGTAACTCTATACCCAGGAGTCAGGACTGGGGATCGGCTTTTATATTATATACAGAAGTCGAATGGGATTCACAGACTAGAAGAGTATCTAAATGTATTCCTAGCTACTAATCTTGCAGATTTGCGGCTTCCTTCGATTCTCATTCTCGCATAAAAGTCCTTGTTGGAGAGCACGACCTCTCAAAAGAATACGACGAAAATGCTCTAGAATATGCCGTGCAGAGAGTCTCTCGCAATTCGTTGTCAGTTGGATCAAGTTCCCATGACTTATGTGCAATAAAAACCTTGGAGGTGAGCTGCGTAAATCTGCTCTGATCATTATTTTCGCGTACATTTTCATGTTGTACTATGTTTTGATGCAGCCGTTTCCTTGGCATAAAAAAACGGCGGCTTAAAATACGGCTTAAAATTTCGTTGAAATGTTAAAATGGTACAAAAAAGCCAGGATTAATAATACAAGTACACTGTTGCAGATAACCTCTTCTTACTCATATTATTGAAAGATATCTCTCTCAAGCCCCGATTCAAGTTATTGTCAAAATAAATGAATGAAAATATATAAGTCATCGTACTTTCACACTCGCTTTTGTAGCCAATGTTGTTTAATCATGACGTCAGCCCTGTATGCTTAAACATGCGAAATGTCCCGACGGGAACCCACTGCTTCTTGGCCGGCTGGGCATCGGAATGCCAATCGATTGGCGACACACTGCATTATACCCAGATGGCCATTCGTAATCCAGAAGAATGCGGGTGGAACGGGACCTTTTCCACATCGCATCTAATTTGCGCTGGCGATGCGGATCATGGCGGGTAATAAGTTACCGATACACAAGGGTCACTTTTCTGGAATTCCAATTGCTTTTTGAAATGCTAACCGAATCCACTGAAACTGCTGTCGCATACGAATTACGTAGGACAAGAACTTGTAGGCATACATAAATTACACATGTCTGTTTTGGCATACATTCCAATTTACACATGTCTGCTTTGTAGTTTTAAAGCTGACCAAGGCGGCGCGCTGGTCTGTCCTGTACCGAACGACCCTGGCCGATGGGAAATGGTCGGGGTATACCGCAACAAGTGAGTGGGCTGCATTATCGCAACGTATGCTACTGCTATAAACTGTGTAAATTTCGTCACCCAGCTCTGTTATCTAAGCTGGTTATTAAATAAAGGATCGAGTTTTAATCATTCCAATCGAATTTCAGTGACTGGAACGGAAAAGGTGCCCAATGGTTCACCAAAGTGTCCAACGCAGTAGACTGGATCGCGGAGACAGTTATGTCCTGATCTGATCTGTTGACTAAAGATTTTATTCACTGCGGTATCGTATAAAAATCTTCGCTCAAGTCACCTATCAATATTAAGGTCTTCATGCCTAGCCACCAGATGAAGTTGTTTTTTTCTCTGTGGTTGGTATTGCATTGTTGTGGAACTTGTGGTAATATTAATTTCAAAAGTTGATACTTGTAAGTAAGTCAGTGCGTGAAGAATTATTTAATAGATTGATACTTTACTGCGTGTGCCAATCCCCCGGCTTCGGTTTGTCGTATAATATGTGCTGGCTTGGAAGTGTCAAGTTCCTCCTCAAACTCCATAGCATCCATACAATAATTTATGAATTTCGTACAGTTCAAATTTCCAAATACCGTTCGGTATACAAAGACCGACGAGCTTTTTGCCTTCCTATACTACAGTATCTACCGACAAATATTCAATATATAAGAAATTTATGATATCGAATGAGTTTCAGATTCATAAGCACGAGTACAAACAAAAGCCGCTAGGAAGCATTTTCTGACGCTTACACTGTGTCCTTTATCCGATAAGCAGCATTTGATGAGTAGAGACCATGAAAGGGTTTTTCTTTTAATGCGTATGTTCGCAAACAATTAATTTTTGTGATAAACATTAATTCTGTTAAAAGATGCAGCTACATTCACATTTCCCGAAGAACAATTAGTAACTGTTGTTTGATGTTCTTGAAAATGAACAATCGCGCACTATCGTTGCACTATTGTTAATTGGGTACTCTTGTCTAGTACGCAAGCGATAAGAAAAGTGCGCGGTCTTATTTGCATTCAGTCCTGTCTCGGGCAAGCGAACATTATGCAGCAACGATACCGGTTCATAAAAGTGTCCGTCCTTGTTCAGTTGTTCCCGTCAGGTTACGTAGGGTCCAAAATTTAAAAACTCTGCGAACGAATTTGTCAATATTTCCGAATGTACGCCTCTGATAAAAGGAAGTACCTGTCGAAATAATGGAGCCGCTACTCCGGATCGGGCTGCTAGTCACCTCCCTCATAAGTGCCAGCTGTGCAGCCATTGCAGGAGGTGCTCGCATTGTTTGTATAAATAAGCTTTTGACAAGTCTGTCTTTTTTTGTAGTAACTGTGCATTACTCTAAATCATACACGTGTTAAACTCACGTGTGACATTTTCGATATTTTCTGTGGCCATAGAAAAACTGAAGAACATCGTGCACACATGACATGGGGATGGGCGATTTATAACAATATTAATTTTTTTGTCTGAACTGTATGATACGGTTATGAATTACTGTATTTATGTATCCCCTTCGAAAGTCTAAATTTTCCAGTATAATGCCCATTCATTCTGACAGATGGATGCAAAGCGCCAGCGTTCCTGACTGCTTCTTCCGGTAGCATTGCATCGCCATATTATGATTATCCCGAGTACAATCCAGGATACACGACACTAGCATGCCGGTGGACCATTTATAATCCAAATCGCAGCGTAAGTGCGTTTGAGAGAAACGAAACGAATATTTGCGAAAATCAATATTAGGAGAAGTGTGCTGGTACAAGCTTGCAAATTGTCCCGTAATTTCCATCGTAAAGGTACAGCTAGCGCGAAATTTGCGCTTGAAACGATGGCCACTTCACTACGTTTATCGCCATTATCGGATTGCCAAAATGCGCTCCGCAGTTAGATTGTCCATTACTGCACCGGCCGTTTTCTAACCACCTTCAGCCAGGCAATTACTACTATTCTAAATTTCTAATCAAATTATCTGGCGTGCACCAAGCCACCAGCCAGCCAAATGCATGTTACGTGCCTAATTAGTGTGGCGTGGCGCGCCGTAGTAAGGATTTTGGCGTAACCTGCAATTTGTGTATTTCTCTTTTCTGATGCGATGGAAATTACGGGACAAGCTTTTACATGTACCAAATCCGTGTACATGTATGAAAACTTTCGCTTTCGCGCACTCACAAACACTTTTTGCCGCAATGTACTCGTAAAAACGTTGAAATGCAGAGGTAGTAGTATTGTAGGATTTCGTAATTTGGGTTTGAATCCGTAGAACTTGCTGATATCGTTTGCGCCAAGATTCGAACTGGACTTCATGTCGACGTGTTCGACGCTGCAGCTCCCATACCAAGCACTCTATTTGTATTACGGCGCCAGAAATGGGTCTGTTTGCAGCCGGAACAGTGCATATCCGGCAGACTACTTGGGTGACACGCTGATTTACGGTACGACGGACTTGACCAGCTTATGGAGTCTTCAAAATGTTCGCAAAGTTTAGCGCAATGCTTTGAAATTAAAGGACCACTTTGCCAGACCGGTGTGCCCCGCTCGGTTATACTGCCATCATCTGAAGGAGTCATAACTGTGGAATTCTGTACGAACACTTGATCTGTAGGGGTAAACACGCAGTGCATTTGCTAATTGTAAGTGGAAACTCTTATTTACAGGCAAAACCGTTCCGCTCTACGCGTATGTAGTGTTTGGATTATGTTTTTACTTTCAATGTTAAGTTTTCATAGTTTGCGCAGTGTTGTTAAATTTACTAAGCCTTTTTGCAGAGCCGAATTTCGCATGTTTTTTAATGCAACAGACGACGCACCTACTGAACTCATGCCTCGTCCGTGGGCAAACTGTAGCAGCGACATCCATCTGGGCGGCGTAAATGTCAAATCCATATATATCGATTCACCCCGGTTTGCATCGTATACTGCAGCAGTTTGCCAATGGAAGATATTCGCTTCATCTGGACATGGATATATAAAAGTAAGCGTATCACAGTACTGAAGATACAAAACTGCAACAATATGCAGTACATTTCACAATGAACTCTTTCTAAACAAAGATCATCCCAGAAGAAATTCGCAGCTCTAGCCGAAAATGTCAACTCTATAGCGACTCGATGACCGTGGTGGATGGCACAAGTACAGCAAATTTCTTTTAATTGTGGTTTGTGTTGATCCTCTGCTAAACAGGATCTGCTATGTGTTTGTATTAATTTATTTATATATACTTCCAAGTGTCTATATAGCCAATACAACCGTTGTGGACTGGTGCGGCGTCCGCCATTATGATGTTGCACCTGTTCGTGTCAGTGGAAACACAGCGGTACGTCGAGATTTAAAAGTGTGCAGGTGTATCAATAAAGTACTATGAGCTCTTGTGGTCTCCTCCAGTAAGATATGTTTTATGTAGATCATCACTCTGCTACAATCCACAAGTAGGAGTGAGTTCAGACTGAAGGTGGAGCGTAAGTACTACGCGTGGTGTGCCGACACACCCTGAAGTTTATCTTGTCCAACCGTGTTATTACAGTGTCCAACTGTCCGCACGTCAATCATACTCGCTGTCCTAACGACCCACACGGAGAGTCGTGCTATTCTCCCGAAATGTTTTGCGATGGTAATTATTACATTAAAGTTCAACTTCGATTGATGCTGTATTAGTAGCTGTGACCTTTCAAGCCCGTTGCCGAGCAGGTAAAGTGGATTGCCCAAACGGCGCCGACGAAGACTGCCTGGGTGACTGCGGTGTGCCGGCAGTACAACCGTGGCAGCTGCAGCCAGTGGGTGGTACCAAGGTTGTGGGAGGCACTGAGGTGGGCTTGGTCTCCGTGTTTCCGCAATGTCTGAAAGAGCTAAGATTATCCTGCAATGGAATAACGTTAAATAGGCTCGGCCACACAGCTTCCCTTGGCATGTCTCTATTTATTTGTACCCGGACTCAGAGCAGTCTTTGCTGCCAGACTGCGCAGGAACACTTGTAAGAACTGAATGCTGAAACGTAGCGTCTTGGTTCCATTGTTGAGGCAACAAAGGCATACTAGGATAGTACGAATGACAAGACCTTATCATTCTATCCTTGTAGATTGACCATCGTTACGTGCTGACGGCGGGCGAATGCTGTTCGTTTATGTCGTAAGTATCGACATCGACATTTGCTGCCATTTAATTCTCTGGTCGCCGATCACATTCTCACCCAATGACTGTGCATTGTGATCCTACAAAACATAACCTTTTTGAGTTGTGTTCACACACTGCCTATAATTGATGCTAATTTTTTAGACCAGACTCTTATCGAAGTCAAATCCGAGTGGGGCAGCATTATATGCTCACCTCGCACGAACAAAATGTTCGTAATTACACAATTGAAAGGCAGTTTTACTCATACGGTTCGTATACGGAGTCCAAGCATCTGTGCCTAGTCAAAACCAAAGAGGTACGTCAACATTTTCACGGTACGATTTTCAAAAGCATCAATTATAAAAAATGATGATTAACTTGAAAGGTAGTTTGTCGGACTGCATTGTATACATAACACAGTACTTTATGTACGTGTAATCAGCTCGTTGCACCGAATCTGAGGGCCTTAAACCGAGTTACCTAAAATACTTGCAGTTGTGCCGGTGTCTTATATTATCCGGTAGTGCTTTTCGTGCTTCCATTGGATCCTACAGTACATATATAAAATTATGAATGCCCTTTGCAGTTGGCACTGTGCATTAAAGTACTAGTAACACTTTTTTTAACCCTGATGTATGGATTTACGTATTTAAATGGGAGCTAATTATGGGCGCACAACCATTCAGTACGTTGTTATTGCATTGTTGGATAATTTGTGTTAAACTTGTTGGATAATTTGTGTTTAACTTGCTAACAAGGTTCTGGTTTGCCAGGATAACTGTAGATTCGTTTCCTTAATATTGACTGTAGTATGCATGTAGTTCCTTTTCTACGTTAATGTCCCCTTGTCGCCTCCTCTCCATAGCGCTGTACGCGTAATGGTCATACAAGGAGCCAGCGACCAGACAATTCCAATATTTCTTTTCATGTATGAGCAACAGCTTGTTGATACACGACTGCTGCACGTCCCGCTATATAATTATGACCTTCAATATTTACTTTATTTTTCAATATTATGTGATACGAATACGATTGCGTTAATAGTATTATTGTATTTCAGTCATAATACATAGATTGTATGTACACATTCTGATTCATATGACGTTGAATTGTACTCATACAGTAGCCAATTTTTATTGATCAGTACGTAGCGAAAAATGCAGTACAAAAGTATCGGTTAACAATAACAACTATCCATAACATCATCTCCGTTGTACTGATTGGCCATCAGTACTTACTTCAGTAATGCTGTGGAAAACCAAACTTAAGCCAATCTGTATTTAGGCTGTCTTTTCATTCACAGCCGATATTTCTTAACGACAATGTGCAACCCGTGTGCCTGGGTACCCGCAGCGTTCCTGTTGGAACGCACTGTTACTTGGCAGGATGGGAAGATTCTGCTGTAGGATGGTTTGGCGGAGAATGGTGGGGCGAGGAGAGAGGCGCACTGCGGTACACTGCGATGATAATCCGCAATGCCGAGGAGTGTGGTGTACTTCCGAATGTGACATCGACCCACCTCATATGTGCCGGTGGACCAGAGAACTACGGGTAAGCAGGTCTTCACAGCTCATAAATAGCTGTCCATTGTAATGTCCAAAGATAATGACATTAGAAACATTAGAATAATGAATTCGTCATTTTAGAGTGTTCTGTTTAAGCGTACGTGGAGAGAATAGTGTTCAGACACTACCTTTCACTAACCATCATGACTGAAAATATTGTACTTGTAGAACTACATACGAGTATTTAGTATTTACCCCTTAGATGGCTGTTTCTATTGCAAGCCGTGCTTGTGATACAAAGCACTTAATTTTGCTTCTTTTACAATCAACAGTTTTCTAGTTTTTGGGACGCCTTGACCTAATACTGCCTTTTAATTTGGTGGCGTTCAGACGATATCCTCCAGTCCATGTACAGCGTTGCACATTTTGATCTGCTAGTTACCTAGTGTTTCGTTTTGAGTCGGTTTGTAGCTAAACATGTTCAATTCGATCATAAGGAAAAACGCTGCGTTGCACATTAGTCTTTACGTTGCTGTTCATTTAGTTGCAGTAGTTACTACTCTTACGACAAAGGAGGAGCTTTGGTCTGTCCTGTTCCTGGAGATCCCGATCGATGGGAAATAGTCGGGGTGTTGCGCGGAGAGTAAGACAAAGACGTTAATTTTCGGCATGTCTTGCCATCCGCCTATAACTGCATTACTATGAGCTTACGAGACAAATGAAGCCCTTCAGGAAATTTTTATTCATATATTCTGTTTACAGGGATTGGTTTTCCACTACTTGCACCGGACCAAACTTATTCGACAAAGTTTCGGCGGCCGTGGACTGGATTGCTGAAGTTGTCATGTCAACATCGTAGATCTAGAGCTGTTAAACAGAGTTTCGGTAAAATTTGGTACTCGTGGCTCCGGATCGGCAAAAGAATGTCCATCTCCGCAACATTGGTGTATGGGTTTTGTCCGTTCTCAGTACATAAAACATACATTGATTGTTCTTGTGAACCAGTTCCTCGTTTTTTAAGTCAATAATTAAAACTTTTGAAAACCGACCAAAATCATTATCATTTCGGTGTTGCTTCCTTAATATTAGTTAAGTCTGGCACTGAAAGTTGTGCATGTTGAGTATCGTCGAGTGTACTCGGTGAATACATGCGCGTATATTATTAATTTGAGACAACAAATTATTAATTTGAGGCAATTGAGCGGATATTGAGTTTCCGGGTATCAGAAGAATCCTCAAACCAAGCTCTCAGGGCATTGTTTTTTCGGAAGTTGTACTGTACATATGCACTGTATTTATGTCGATTTTATGGTGAGGTATCGTGCACCCTTAATTTAATACGAGTAGCGACGTAAGTACAGAAGTATCACTCTTTGGTAAAGCAAACCGACGTTTTTCAACATGCACCTAATTAATCCAGTCGTCGCTCGTGTGAAAACTTACTACTGCAACTGTACATGGCTGGTGCGAACTTCTACTACGTACAAATTCGAGAACGTCCCGAATCGTTTCCAGTCTGGATCGCTGTCTAACATGTAACCTGTAAAGCATGTGAGCGGGAAAGCTTCCACGTTCACAATCAGATGTATTCATTTGCTAAAACTAACAATAAGTGACTGCGAATTCCTACCAGTTTTTGAAGTTCTACCCGTAGCTACCATTTTATAGCCAGGTTATTCTCAAACAGTTTGTGTTTAAACGTTTTGGAATTTTTATTTCGCCGATATCACAATGTCTCCGATAAATGCCCATTACGCCCCACTACCAGCACCTCCGGTGCAAACGGCTTCGTGAAGCGACGATCGGAACCGTCAACATTAGACGAGTAGCCGGGGCCCTCCATGAAGAGGAGCAGTGACGAAGAACCTGGCGCAAAAACGCGCACATGGACAAGCAAGTGAAACGGGCTTGAGTTGAATTTAGAGCGCGGCAAACCGGAAGAGACAGATAATGGTATTCTGCTTGTTACGCGCCTCGATGCTCATGCCTTTATTTATTTGTTATGCGAATTATGGGACAGTCTACGGCGCATGGGAAGCCGTCATCCTCTGAATAAAAACTATATAGTGGTTTTGAGGATGCCGGTTTCGTTAAGGGACGAGCGGTTTGTGTTAAGGCATGATTTTTATGTAAACGTTAGTATCGGATAGTGTGAGGAATGCATAACTTAAAGAAATTAAAAATTGTTTTCTGAGCAAATGGCGCATTATAACTGAGTAACGCAAAAATGCGAACATAAGTAAGATGTAACAATCACTCTAAGCGCAAACAATTAACAACCCGTCAGTCCATTTCAAACACGGTTTCGATCGTAAAAATCCTGCATAAAATCAGCTAAGACTTGCGTTTCTTCCACTGTGACGGCATTGTACAGTGACGCCCGCATCCCACCGACCGAGCGGTGCCCTTTCAGCTGGACCATGTGTAGTTTACCGGCTTCCTGCAGGAAGCGCTTTTCCAGTTCTTCATCGCCGTTTACCCCGCCGACGCGGAATGGGACGTTCATCCGTGAGCGATAGCGTTTATCCACGGGATTGCTGCAACAATGTAAAGACAAATACTTAGTGACTTGAAAATATCCAGAGTACGTGTAGTCGGTTCAAGATATTTATATCAGCCAGCCGAAAGTTGGTAAGTGTGAACGTATAACTGTTCAGGATAAACATATCCGAAAAAAAGCGAAATTCCTCTTGAATCCTTTCCGCAGTTTTGCTCTATTAAAAACTTAACAGTTATGACAAATATTCGTTATTAATGCTGTTGTCACGCGTAAATATTAAGAAGTGAAATCAATTTTTAAAATAAAAAGTAAGTCCCAAAAGCGCCACAGGGAGTACGTACTAATAAAATCCATTGGATTTATCAATTACGCTGTAAATCAGCGATGACTTCCGTTGGCTCATTTCATCCATAGCGTCCAAACCGCCATGTTTCTTGATCCAGTTCAACACCAAACCCATCACGTACACACTGTAAACACCAAAGTTAGTCTGAATCTGAAACCAGGCAAATACTCTTATACAGCAGAAGCACCTTACTTAAAACATGGAGGTGTATTGTACAGTGAAGTATGTGCGTCCAGTAGTTTGTAGTCCAACACCGATGGACATTCCTTGCGCGCATGCCCAAACAAATCCTCTCGTATAATACCCAGTACGACACCAGCGCATCCCACGTTCTTCTGTGCACCACCGAACACCATCCCATACTGTAACGACAAATTATGAATTACAATGTAAAATGCTGAAGGAATGAAAAGCAGTGCAAGCGTTGACAACGTGAAACCGATCAAAAACCAGGAGTTTTCGGTAGTTTTCGCCTGTGTAGTGCACAGATAAAAGTGTTTTAGATAGTTTCCAGCCAGAGATATGAATGAATTTTACGAGTAGTTATGACTGTATTTCAGAATTTTAAAAAAATACTGCGAACTTCGAAAAACAGTACAAGCCATACACTAACGCAGTACCACAAAACCAAAAAAATAGACTTGCTGTTACTTGCATACTCGTACCTTTGAAACGTCAAACTTTCGGCTCATCAGACTGCTAGAAATATCTGCTACAATAGGGAGATGACCAGGAACAGAGGTGAACGTCGTTGGCAGCTCCACTCCATGCACAGTTTCATTGCCGCAGTGATAAAAGTAAGAGGAATTATCACTGAATTTCCATTCCGATTCGTCCGGAACACCTAAAACGTAATCAAAAGAAAGACTGTTTAAAACCAACGCCAAATACAGGTACAACAGAAGAAACAGCTAAAAAATTCCAGAAAATAAAAAACACAAATCTACGAGAAGTGCTAAGCTGCTAACAGCTAAGAACATGCAAAACTAGTGAATCCGTAGTCCGTACTGCAGATATCCTGACCAGTACTCACTCCCGAACTTCTCCGGTGTGGGCGCTACCAGATGCACCGTTCCGTATTTCTTGGCTTCTTTAGCTGCTGCCTGTGACCAACTTCCGCTGACGAGGTAGTCGGCCGTTCCTGTGCGCATTAAATTCAGGGGGACAGCGGAGAACTGGCCAGCGCCACCGCCTTGCATAAACAGGACTTTATAATTAGCTGGCACATCCAGTAACTCCCGAACAGTCTTTTCTGCTCCAAAAATGATGGATTCGAATTCCTTGGAGCGATGGGACATTTCTGTGGAGACATAATTGATGGGATAAGGAAAAAAATCTCAGATTATGGAAAAAGCGTAGTGTTCTATCAGGATAAATATCCGTTATATCAGACCGGAGAATACACGAAACTGACAAACGCAAACGCAAAAAAAACCAGAATTATGGCACTAATTATTATAACAACGATGTGCAATAATAAGAATTTCACTAATTTGTACTGATTATAACCAGCAATATACATCTTTTAATACGAACAGCAATTTTTCTACTGATCTTAGGGCTCGTCTCGAATTCGAAGCGAATCTCGGTTCGATACAGCAACACCTCGCGAGGTGGCTTCGCGTACCGTATCTGTAGGCGTGGCCACTGCATACAGCCACCTCGTGCGGTTGAGCAACCGTACCATAGCGAGATTCGCTTCGAATTCGGGACAAGGCCTTACAACCATATAAAAGGATACTATGTACCGATTTGCGATTTAATAATACGTACCCATGACACTCAGTCCATGTCCCTGAAAATCCACCAGTTCCTTTTGAGCAATCTCCAGCACCTAAAAACATACTTTTATATTTTTTGGAATGTCAAAAGTGTGCAGCTTATTACTCACGATTTTAAATATGCAAAACCAGCAGCCGTTTTCAGTTTGCAGAACTCTAACAAAATCGCTTCAACTGGAATGGTTTTTTTATAGTAAGTACTCGTACTTGTTTAGTTGCTACTGCACTACTAACTGCATTCTGCAGCACCTTCAAAAGTTCAAATACACTTTTAGTTTTTTCACACTTTTAGTTTTATCAACAAATAATATTTATACGTCGTTTATGTGACTACTATTTTTGATATAACAGGTCTTACCTCTTCGGGAATTTTTGCTGGTCCGGGAGAAAAATTAATAATTTTCTTTTTTATGCAACCGTTTACAACAGACTCCATCTTAACGGTAAGTGATAAGGTGTGGACGGTGTACCTTCTTTAAATAAGTACACTAATTACAAAGTGCAGATTACTCGTTAAAAGACGTCCAAATTGAATTAAAAACCGAATTATCCAGGCAGAATTCACTTAAACCAAGGAGCTGGAAATTCTGCAGCTGTTTATGAACTGCACGGGAAAACAATAAAACACAAGTGTTTCGTTGTCGCTGTGGTGGACACGTTCAACAGTACTATGTTTTCCAATAAAACGAAGACGATTGCTACAGCCTCTTTTTCTAGGTCAAATGTGCAATGTACACCTCATATCTATAGATAAAAATCACCTGAATAAAGTAAGTATACTCTACGACCACTATACTCCACTTCAAGAATAGTACTACCGTAAAATATGCGGTACTGTATCACAAAATAATTTGGGATCCTTGCTATTGCGCTGCTTCAAAGTTCAAACCGGAATCTGTCTACTTGGTCAATGGCCATTGTATTGGTTTAAAGTTAGTGCACGCATTAATACGATGATACGTATTGTACAGTACGTGCAGTAAAGATGCGTGAGAATGTACCAGTCTACCGCACAAGAAATATTATATAGGGGGGAAAACCATGTCAGTCGAACTAATTCACGGCACTGCTGCCGTTACCCGGCTGGAGTGTGACGTTACGGCAGTACATGCGGCTAAATCAGGCGCGGTACATAAGCACCATGTTTAGCCACAACGTAAAACTCCAGCCGGCTAACGGCAGCAGTACAGGGGAATGGTTCGGCTAGACTGCTTTTTCCCCCTATATAAATATCTGTATGCACTTTATAACGGTACCGTACTTGCGCAGCCAAGGTCAATCACCGCAGCTGCGCTATAATATTACTGTACGTTATAAATTATTATTGTAAGTTTTTTCCAGCCTGGCTACGAAGTAACGTATCTAGGAAAAAAATATATAGGAATGATATGCTGCACCGATGAGTACTGACGCACTCTGCACAATTTACAAACGGCAAAATAATTATGTAGAGTTCTCGAATATTGGGCAGTTGGATATATTTATATAACTTTACTGCACGCGTTATCATTAAAGTTACCGACTGCCATAATAAGTTTTGACCAGGGGTTTATCAATAAATAATAACTGAGAATGCAGTGGTTGTTGGCGAACGGCGATAATCGGATTGGCCGATTTTGTATGAAGAGCGGGCATGACTCATCATTAAATGTGTGTTCCGTACATACCTGGGCGATACAAACCGGTTGTGAGTCGTACGTCCCTCGGACCGCACCTGCGTTTCACGGCGTGACAGTGCTGAAAAGCAGCATTATTACGCATACAGACGGAGCATTGCCGCCGCAACTGCAAACGAGGCCCCAATAGCAGCCAAAATATGTATTTTCTCTGTTTCGTCCTCTCATAAGTTGGAAATGCTGCGAGGCTGCAACCAGTTTTCTAATCCTTGTATTTTAAATCACCAAAAACCTGCTCAATCCGGTGAATCGCTTCGTTTGAATTCAGCTGCTCATTCGTGTAGTCGTATAATATTACTGAGGAATTTTGTTTTTATCAACCCATTGCAGTTTTTAATTTTTTGGGGCAATTTCCACGGACTCTGGAGTGCTGTTGCGCAATACCGTCGGCAGGCTTATCATGGTTTTAAGGTGTTTTCTTTAAGGGAGTTGTTTCAATAATTGCCGGAAATATTGTTGAGGGTGGCGGAGGATATTTGCGTCGTGTCAGCAGCAAAGCTCTCGCCACTTCCGGTCATCGCAGCAAAACACACAGCTTAAAATGGTTGCGCCTAATTGGGATTTCTTGGGTTTTTATTTTTTTATCCTTTTATCGCTTGTTAAAGGTAAATACATTAATATTCCGTATTAATTTTTTTATTAAGTGTTGTGTATTACAGCTCGGAGTAAAATAAGGCTATTGGTAATGACTAAAATTTTCAGGCAATACAGTAACTTTACTCTCAGGGTTTATTTACTGTTCTTGTCTTTTTGGCTTTTTATAGTAATATAATATCTATATATTTTCGGATGTACGTATTATGTAGTTTTACCATGACTGTTTCGGAAGGGGCAGACATTCAATTCTAAAGTCATTTTCACAGGCAAATGCTAATCTTTACAGCTCGATTGTAATGAAATATTTTTTTGTGTTGAATTAATAATATGAACAGTATCAAAATCAATCTTTTTAAATCTTTTTAAATCCGGAATTTGAAAGCATGAGGTTCGGTGATAAATTGATGTTGTCATATAACGATGTTACCGCTAACCTAAATTACCTAATTGACACACAGTGCGTCGAAAAAGATTAATTTTTTGGGATGAGCTGTATCAGCTTGTCAAAATCCTTGCGGTGTTGCTGAAATAATAACCGGCAATGCACGCGCATACTGAAACGTTCAAGGGAATGGTTTCTTGAAACGAAAATACAAAAAAAACGTTAACGTGTATAGAATGGAAGTTGTGTGGTTAATCTAGCTAGAAGCAAGCCAATCTTTTGTGCATATACTGACTCCTTGCTTTGGTATAATTGGTTATTTTTCGCAGATTCACTGGCAATACGGTGTTACGAATGCAACCCGGGTAGTTCTTTCGGCATAGGCGGCAGTGGGACGTACAGCTCCTCCTCCTCCTCATCCAGTTCCAGCAGCACTTCCGGTCAGCAGAGCGACTGCTATAACGCTGACAGCCGACAGATCCGCGACTGCGCATGGGATGTTAATTCCTGCTTCACCGTCGTTTTCCCTGGTCCCACAACCGGTAAGCCTCCAGATGCACTGACGTACCGTAGGTGCGAGTACACATGCTTGTATGAATTTCCTGATGGTGAGCTGAATTTTGGAAAAATCGCTTATCTGTGTTTTTGAAATGTAAATATGTACTCGCAGTCTGGAATTTGTTTAGCGAGAACTAAATGCGCTATATGTGTATGTTTAAGAGTAACAGCGTAAATGCCCACTTAAATCAATTAAAAAATTCTAAAATAGCAAAATTAAGTATAAAAATCAGATTTCGTATGATTTTTTAATTTGCTAATAGGAAAATACTCGTATAACGTTGTTTCGTTGGGTGCTTTCGTTTTCACTCTTGCGTCCATGAAGGATTTCGGTATTCGAACTAGTCATTGGAAGACGCGTCGTAATTAGTTGATCAACAATCTTCATTTGATTATTTTGTATTACTGTTTATTGGCATAGTGCCTACGAGACTAGGTCCTAAAATTTCCATGGGGCTTGCATGGCGATTGACAGGACCGGCCAAGTGATTTTTTGCCCCATTAATCAAACCAGTAATTTTACGTTACTGCTGCATTGACGGCTGACCGCAATGTAAATTTGCCGCTGTTATGCAATTTAGCGGATTTGCTTGATCAAGTTTCACATCGTCAGCAGTGTGAATATGTTTATAGTGTTGTAAATTACGAATTAATCATTAATCTTATTTACCTACCGGTAACGCTAGCCAAAACAGTCAACTTTGTCTTAATTCGTTCACGAACAACATTATTGTGTATTGTGGCTATTGTGCACTAATCTGTGAGTGGACGTTGGACATTGGGCATAAATATTGCACATTAGTGTATATCGCTTGTACTTCAAAATTTTATGAAAACTAACTATAGTGCGTTTTTATCTTTTGTGTAGTATAAATTGCATTATCTACTACAGGTCTTCATTTTTTCGGTTTTAGAATCGACATTATAACAAACAGCGAATTTTGAAAGTTGTAGTTTGCCATACAGTATTCTGCTATAACTTATAATAAGTTAATAACAATGACTTCTGAACGATAATAAACTATGGAAATTATGCAAGTTTTAATTAAAATTTATTCAGGCCTTGGCCTTTTTGTCCTGCGTTGAGATAGCAGAATTAGCTCCTAATAAATCATCTTTACAGAAAATCGATATTCGCCGCAACAAGCGTACCTAGAGTAGACTAGGTAGCTTTGGCGCAGAGCAATCGACCTAGCACGAGCAGCAGAAGAGTTATAAGGCCAAGTTTGTTTTCCTTTTGAGCTGTTATTGCTGGCCGACGGCAGGTGCCGCCTGTTTCCCGGCGTCCCCACCAATCAGCGTAGTGGCCGCTTGATTATAGGAATCGATTTCTTCCTGAAACTGGTTTTCGCTGTTTTTCACTGGCGTTACATGCATGTAGGATCAGTGGTCAGCGGAATCCATAAACGCATGAGGCATGACCAACGGTACAATGCAATATACATAGAAGTATCGTAGCTGTATTTCAGGGCAGTTTTGCTGGCGGCAGTCATTTTAGCCTTTTAGGTGTTTACAAAGAATCCGTTAAAATTAATAATAATTTTAACGCAAAAATAAAATATATAAACATTTTAGCTGCGTCTCCTAATTTTAATTAGTAACAATTAAGTCAATAAATGTTTTTTTGGGAATGACATTTTGCGAACGTATTAAAGTTCATGTTTTTTCAGATGAATTTTATTGGTTCTGTGATATATTTTATTGCTGATGAATAGGCACAGCTAGCACTGCCAGGAAGGGCACAGGTTTGCTAGTTTTGATTAATTTTTTGATGACTGCAGGTTTCACAGTACAAAATAACTTAATAGTGTCGATGACTATAAATTGTCTCTGTGTTTACGTACAATACATCGACCACTGTCCCTAGTGGAGAATATTACGGACACGGTCCGTCATCCACTGTAAGTGATCATGTTTTGTGGTCCCATTATTTGGTCTGTAGCCTGTGTTGTACTCTGTACGTTCAGTACAACTTAGAGTAGCATGGTTTCGACTTGCTCATTTGGCTGTGCCGCTCCATTTTTGAACAAGTTTATTTATTTGAGTCATATTCGTGTCGGTGGCTGTACAAAAATAATCTACGAACAATGGAATTTATTCCTGCCGTGATCGGTCGTGAAAATTGCCGGTTTTATCGGAACGTTGGCATATATGTGCAATTTTAAAGTGGAACGAGGCCAAGTGTAATTGTATTTGGTTAAAAGCGCATTCTAAGCGCGATCAGGCGAATATTTTGTTAGAGATTTAAATATGCTGTTCAGCATGGCTTAAGTGCCCTTAACGACAATTTTATGCGTGCCGCGGCTTGACCGTGCATGCTTCACTGATTTCGTAAAGGATTTTTTGGCGAATATTACTAAATTAATCATAACTGCCTTTTTGCGCACTGAAACAAAAAATAAAAACTTTTAAGCATTTCTGTTTGCGTTTTTTTACTGTTTGGAACTTTGCAGTCTTCCCGTCGACTATTTGCTCGTGTTCAGATACACATTTTGTGAATGAATTTCCGTTATGGGCAGTAATGCCCACTTAAATCAATTAAAAATTCTAAAATAGCAAAATTAACTTAAAAATCAGATTTCATATAATTTTTTAATTTGCTAATAGGAAAATACTCGTATAACGTTGTTTCGTTAAATATGGGTGCTACTGCTTTCGTTTTCACTCTTGCGTCCATGAAGGATTTCGGTATTCGAATTAGTCATTGGAAGACGCGTCGTAATTAGATGATTAACAATCTTTATTTGATTTATTTTGTATTACTGTTTATTGGAATAGTGCCTACGAGGCTATGTCCTAAAATTCCATGGGACTTGCATGGCGATTGACAGGACCGGCCAAGTGATTTTTTGCCCCATTAATCAAACCAGTAATTTTACGTTACTGCTGCATTGACGGCTGACCGCAATGTAAATTTGCCGCTGTTATGCAATTTAGCGGATTTGCTTGATCAAGTTTCACATCGTCAGCAGTGTGAATATGTTTATAGTGTTGTAGATTACGAATTAATCATTAATCTTATTTACCTACCGGTAATGCTAGCCAAAACAGTCAACTTTGTCTTAATTCGTTCACGAACAACATTATTGTGTATTGTGACTGTTGTGCTCTAATCTGTGAGTGGACGTTGGACATTGGGCATAAATATTGTACATTAGTGTATATCGCTTGTACTTCAAAATTTTATGAAAACTAACTATAGTGCGTTTTTATCTTTTGTGTAGTATAAACTATAAATTGCATTATCTACTACTTTATCCTATGTATTTTATCCCAATTTTTAGCAGGTCTTCATTTTTTCGGTTTTGGAATCGACATTATAACAAACAGCGAATTTTGAAAGTTGTAGTTTGCCATACAGTATTCTGCTATAACTTATAAGTTAATAACAATGACTTCTGAACGATAATAAACTATGGAAATTATGCAAGTTTTAATTAAAATTTATTCAGGCCTTGGCCTTTTTGTCCTGCGTTGAGATAGCAGAATTAGCTCCCTAATAAATCATCTTTACAGAAAAATCGATATTCGCCGCAACAAGCGTACCTAGAGTAGACTAGGTAGCTTTGGCGCAGAGCAATCGACCTAGCACGAGCAGCAGAAGAGTTATAAGGCCAAGTTTGTTTTCCTTTTGAGCTGTTATTGCTGGCCGACGGCAGGTGCCGCCTGTTTCCCGGCGTCCCCACCAATCAGCGTAGTGGCCGCTTGATTATAGGAATCGATTTCTTCCTGAAACTGGTTTTCGCTGTTTTTCACTGGCGTTACATGCATGTAGGATCAGTGGTCAGCGGAATCCATAAACGCATGAGGCATGACCAACGGTACAATGCAATATACATAGAAGTATCGTAGCTGTATTTCAGGGCAGTTTTGCTGGCGGCAGTCATTTTAGCCTTTTAGGTGTTTACAAAGAATCCGTTAAAATTAATAATAATTTTAACGCAAAAATAAAATATATAAACATTTTAGCTGCGTCTCCTAATTTTAATTAGTAACAATTAAGTCAATAAATGTTTTTTTGGGAATGACATTTTGCGAACGTATTAAAGTTCATGTTTTTTTCAGATTACAACTTTTATTGGTGCTGATGAATATATGGCAGCAGCACTGCCAGGAAGGGCACATCTAGTTTTGATTGTATTTTTTGTGTGCAGGTTTGCACAGTACAAAGTAGCTTAATAGTAATGATGACTATAAATTGTCTCTGTGTTTATACGTACAATACATCGACCACTGTCCCTAGTGGAGAATATTACGGACACGGTCCGTCATCCACTGTAAGTGATCATGTTTTGTGGTCCCATTATTTGGTCTGTAGCCTGTGTTGTACTCTGTACGTTCAGTACAACTTAGAGTAGCATGGTTTCGACTTGCTCATTTGGCTGTGCCGCTCCATTTTTGAACAAGTTTATTTATTTGAGTCATATTCGTGTCGGTGGCTGTACAAAAATAATCTACGAACAATGGAATTTATTCCTGCCGTGATCGGTCGTGAAAATTGCCGGTTTTATCGGAACGTTGGCATATATGTGCAATTTTAAAGTGGAACGAGGCCAAGTGTAATTGTATTTGGTTAAAAGCGCATTCTAAGCGCGATCAGGCGAATATTTTGTTAGAGATTTAAATATGCTGTTCAGCATGGCTTAAGTGCCCTTAACGACAATTTTTATGCGTGCCGCGGCTTGACCGTGCATGCTTCACTGATTTCGTAAAGGATTTTTTGGCGAATATTACTAAATTAATCATAACTGCCTTTTTGCGCACTGAAACAAAAAATAAAAACTTTTAAGCATTTCTGTTTGCGTTTTTTTACTGTTTGGAACTTTGCAGTCTTCCCGTCGACTATTTGCTCGTGTTCAGATACACATTTTTGTGAATGAATTTCCGTTATGGGCAGTAATTTTTACTGTTGCCTCCAACTTTCTGCTTCGCATAGCGCACAGTATTGTCGTGAAAACACTTGATCAATTTGTTTTACACTAATCACGAGTCTGCAGTACAAGACAAAAATATGTTTCGATGGGAAAACGTCCGGTTTTCGCTGCGAATGATTGCATGAATCCCTAACTTATGAAAATGTAAATACTGCTTAAGTGTCGTTGTTGGACATTTTTCAGAAGTGTGCAAAATGAGCAACAAATCCTGCAAATTTTACGCATGTCAAACAGATGATTGTTATTTGATTAGCGACAAGTACGACAACATGGGCGTTAACGTTATGTGTACTGGCCACTACTTTTGTTGTGCAGCTCGCTGACTTCCGCTGACTTTGCTTTTAATCTGTCGAGTAACAAAAGAAAAATCCGCTTTAAATTATTCGTGGCATTGTACAGATACTTTCGATGAAGGCATATGGAAATACAAATAAAACCGAAATCCAGCTGCAGAAAAGCATTTGTTTTTGTGTAGTGTTTTGTGCCGTGGCTGGAGTTTTCATTATGGAAGTGTACGAGCTGACGGGCCACGGCTCACAGCCACAGCTGGCACGATAAAGGAAGCCACATTATGGGCTACCCATGACACCATACCGGCAACCGTAAAGTGTTGCTACTGTTGCATAAAAGAAAACATAACTAATCTTTTCCTGGCTTTTTAAATTTTAACATCCTGGTATTATATTTTATTTTCGTACATTGATTTCACGATACTTATTGGTACGCGCAGCAGTGCCTTTCAGCCGGACTGACCACTTGAGATTTCGCTGATGCGCCACCGCTACAAAACTCTTCTTCTTTGCAGGGAGCTCCCCGTCTCCCTCGGCTTCCTCCCTGGGCGCCGCTTCTATGGCCAGCCCCGCCCTGGCGCAGCAGTCTCAAGTGGTCAGTCGCGGATGTGGTCGAGCGCCCCACGCTAAACCGGGCGAGGTGGGCGAGGACGAGTGCAAGATCGTAATCCTCAACCAGCCCCCCGGCAACCCCACCACCTCCGCCACCCTCTCCCGCGCCACCGTCTGCCAGTGCAAATCCGACCTATGCAACGATAAACGCCCTGACCAGGTACCGGGTGCCGGTCTCTCGTCAGCCGTCAGTGCCCAGTACACGTCCATGTCGGGTAGCAACAGTTGGATCTCGCCGTACGGCAGCGGAAGCGCCTTTCCCGGCGGTCCCTACCGGGATTACTCCATGAACGGGAGCCCTTACGGGAACTACGCCGGCAGTCCCAATCTCATCCCGGGATACCCGCAGAACAATTACAACGTGGGAGTGGCCGGGCGGTCCAGTCCGGCGTATGGGCCGGCACCTAGCAACTTCAATCAGGGCTCCGGATTTTATGCGCCCAGTGGATTCTCCCAGTACCCGCAGTACCCGCATTATCCACAATATCCTGGGAACAACCAGTATCGTCCGAATGGCTTCGTCACCGGCAGTCCGCAGAACGACGCAGTGGACCGGAAGGTGGTGTTTAATCCGGCGACGGGGCAATACGAAACCGTCGCACCGGATCAAAATGGTCAACGGCGACCCTGGACCACAGGCGCAGGGACGGCTGCGGACCAGACCGAGTTTGTGGTCACACAGGAGCGCGAGTATAAAGCGCAGTTTAATAATAACTTCAACGGGGTGGCCACGGTGTCGGTGTCGACTGGATTGTTGTTGCTTCTGACCTTTGCTCTACTGTTCTAAAATCAAAGGGACCTGTTGTATGAAACACGGGTTGACTCTGTTAAGCGTCGGTCCGGATATTTTCAGGTTTTACTGTTATGGAAACTCAGTATTTTGATGATCTGTTGCGTTACCGGCGGCAGTGCTTCGTTTTTGACACAGCCATCCGGGTCATGGTTCGTTTTTCGAATTGATGTTGTCCAGTTTTTCAACATATGTCGCTGCTTGTTTTTCTTCCTTCTCTAAGGTTGTGATCTTTTTTACGGTTTGATTTTGACGGATTGAGTTGTGTTACGGTTTGTGAGCTTTTCCGCAAGTATGGTGAAGTACAACGTGTATGTAAATAAACGATGAGCAATCAATGGGCACGACACGTACGCTGGTCACTACGCTTGACAAACAATGCAGCACGATACACAACTAATGTAAACTGATCTCCTGATTAATGTAGAACATTGCAGCGAACAAAAGAGTACGCTTACGCTGTATTGGTAATTTTCAAGTTTCGAGAAAAACTTCAGTGTTATTACCATGTTGCAACAGGTACATACGGGAGCGGCGTCGGTACACAACAAAGTCAGTTCACGATCGCCGGCAATCAACCGTACGGGAATCCGTACACGTCCACACAAGGATTAGTGGCGCAGCGAGGATGTGGAAAATACCAGGGAGTATACAATGTTGGAGACGAAGAATGTCAGGTAACAATTTCTTTCTTACTTTGCTTCGCACCGCTGACGAGTGTGCGTCTAGTTTAGTTTAGCGGAGGCAGTTTTTTTTGCTGATATATCGCATCCTTTCTGCTGTTCAGCGCTTTTTTAAAAAAATTTCTTAATTAGTGAATCTGTCTTCGTTAATAAAGTTGTGCCTTGGAAGCTATGTAGAACATGCGTTTGTTTATTCATTGTCGCTTTGTGTAGGTGGTGACCCTTCCTAATACACAAACGCGCGCTACGGTCTGCAACTGCCGGTCGGACTCTTGCAATTCCAGGCGGCCTGATCAAGTGCAGGTAAGTTTCCTTGTTTGCTGACTTGCGTAACGGCCCTATATATTTTCTGAATTCATTAGCATTCTTGAATAAGCTTGAAAAATTTCGAAGCGAACACCACACAGTTTGTTAAATCAAAAAGCATCACTCGTTTTTGTTTCGAGTCCAGTGCCCTATGGTAAAAATACCTGCGTAAAATGCGCATTTACGCGGTATAGACATGCGGTGGAAAAGCTGTATTCCTGCCTTTTGTGAATGTATGTTAAAATAAGCGTTTTCCCGCAAAAAACGCGTGTGAGAGGAGAGCATTTCAAATCCATTCTTGTACGTAGAATGTTTAAATCTTTGTTTGTAGCCAAATATTGTTACAGAGCCCCTTGTCGCAAGGTACCGGCTTCTACCCAACCCCATACGGGCCCAACACCCAAAACTACAATACGCAGACCGGTATGTACGGTCCCAACAGCCCGTACAATCCCTCCGGCAGCGGGCCGTACTACGGCTCCAACTACTACCCGTACAATCAGAACCAGTATCCCAACCAGAACCAGTACAACCAATACAATCCAAACCAGCAGCCGTACTATCCTAATCAGCCCTACAATTATCCCGGTCAGGGCCAGTATCCCGGTTATTCCCAGCCCGGTTTCTATCCGCCGCAGAATCAGCCCGGCTACAACAATTATCCGTCCAATCAGTACGGCAGTGGTTATTACAATACGCCCGGACGCTACGGCGGCGCAGCCAGCGCGTTAACGGTATCGTGGATGGCGGTAGCGGGTCTGCTGTTGTTGGCTCAGTTGTTGTTATAGTGAAGCAGCTGTATAATGTCGAGAGTATTTGCAAAGGGTTTTTTACAGAATGTCCACTTTATTTGTTGTACAGTAATTTGTTATCGGATATAAATTGTAAAGAGCATGGTTTTTCTTCAACTGAAATGTGCCGTACAAGATGATTCCATATATACGTTTATTGGTTATACCGTTATGTTAATCGTGAAACAATATGAAAATTATTACGAAGTTACGGTAACATGATGCATTCGCAATCGGTTGCTTCAAATGTCAAAAGTATAACAAACAGGAAGATAGCAAAATAGTGAGAGCACATAATGATACTATCTATATAGTGCATAAAATATTAGAAAACGGGGAAACGCAGCATCAGTTTTGGGAACAATGGAAGGAGCAGAAGAGTTTAATGAAGTTTTAATGTTGTAAAAATAGTGTTTTTCTTGATTAATGTATATTACGCTTTGCCAAAGGTTAACAAAAGTGTTTAGAAAAACGATTAGAACAACAATTTTTATGGGGTAGTATGTGTACCCTATACCAATGTTTATGAACACCAGCAGCAAGTATTGTACAAGAAGTACAAATAAATCTTATGTATATGCTTGCCAATCACTGCATCAATTTGTGAATATGGAACGTATTGCCTGGATCAGTTCCAGGAATGCCGCTCTCAAATCACTTAACGCTATTACGAAAAATACCGGATCCAGCAAAACTTGTACGCTATAGAAAAACGCAGCAATACTGAAAACAGTTTGATCTTCGGGGTTAGGAATAAACGTGTACATTGTGTACACCACCAAGTTCGGTGTCCAACAAACCACGACGCTGATTGTTAACAACGTCAGGGTCAGCATTCTGCCTGCTGATGAGTACACGGGACGTTGCGAGGGCTGGAAAACTGGTTGGTCTTGTTTGATGACCCGCTGTGATATCATGGCATTGCTAACATCTTGAATGGTGGGCATTTGGTTGTTTTTGGATGATCCTAGCGGCCCTAATCGTCGAAGTTGCTTTAAGCGAGCCCGGTGTTTGTAAAAGATAAACGGAAAGGCTGTTATAATAACCAGCAGTGGTACAACAAACAGCAGAAAGTGCATAGTTATACTCCATGACCTTTGCGCTTCCAGATTGACGTAACACCCGTTAATACCGATATCTTGTCGGTAGTACAGGTAATCCGTAATTAAGCCGGGCATTATCACGATATGAACATATATCCATTTAGTAGCACAGATGGCTGCGAAAACGCTGACCTTTTGATTAGATTTATAGGAGTGAGGAAGCACTAACGCCCACAGTCGATTAAACGTTATTAGCAAATGGGCGTTGCTGATGGCAGCTTCTGCAAAACAAAGGCTGTTTTTTTAAATAATGTACAGTAACTTATATTCACGAAACGGGTATAACAAAACATGCATGCTACTAAGTAGCATGTTAAAGTCTTTAGTTGCTTACGTAAAGCATAATTGCTGTACAGATATGCCGAACATGCGGCGGAAGTTTTGAATTTCCAATAATCTGGGTGAAATTCAATTCCAATATCGAAAACATTTTCCCAGATGCAGTAGATAAAATTAGTCAGAGTTAAATTCAACATAAATACGTTAAATGGCTTTCGGTTAAAGTTGTTGAGACGACAGAAGAGAAATAGAACAAGCACATTGGCTGGCACACTGAGAAAAAACACAATTGTTGTGCTGATGGCTGAGAAACTGGGGTGATCGAATTGCTGGCAGCTGTTGTCCCATTAGGCGCAGCGTTTGTCGTGGTAATAATGATGGAGGCGTTAATCATCGGGCAGGACCATGACAATCATTTCGCACACTAGCCTCGACCGCAGTGACCTTTAAGATAAAGCTTCAAAAGCAATCCGTTAAAGTATATACATATCAGGTAGTTACTGCATGTACCAGTACCTACTGCATCAGTGCAGATCGCTCATAGTATCGTGCGCCTTTGCCTTTCGTTACCACCAGCGCTAACAATAAGCGTCATCTTTTCCACTATTTTCAGTCAAAACCTTTTTTTACCGGCATGTCGATAGTTAGAAGATGCAGGCAGTACAAGTTAAATTGTAGGGTAAGAGCAAGATCGGTTTCCAGCATGAGTATCAGAATAAGTAAAATTAATGAGTTATCGACCAATTATACAGTAACGATCGAACTTCCGTAATTCAGCTCGAATTTCAGCTGTGCAAACTTCATGCGATCGCGAGAACATCACTGCAAGACCCGTTTGGAATTCTATCCAGTTCGGCATACTTTACACTGATGGTTTGCAAACTTCAATATCTGCGCTATGGATGAATCCGGGACAAATGCTGGCATTCCTTGACGAGAAAGGAGTACATGCAGCACAATAGCACTAATGTTGGTATATTGCACTGTACTTGCACACTGAAGGTCTGCTTAGGGTACAGAGATCAGGAATTACTAGTACGCATGAGTGGATGATGGTCATGAACTACCACAAAATCCGTTTCACTGTTTTGTTTACTAGTACTTAATGTTTTTAACAACGAAAAACAACGAAATTACTAGAGTGTAGCATCTTTATACTGACTCCACAAAAATAAATATTATATAATTAATATATCGTAGTAATAATGAGAAACGGAATGCCATGCGCAGCAAGAAAGCGGCAAAATGTGCCAGTCTAGCGCATATGATACTGTATTGTCAACTTTGTGAAGAATTTAATTGTCAACTGGAGGAGTGATACACGGCTGTTGACGGACGATTGATTTCCTTTTCGGGGACCGTGAAGTCCCAGTTGGCTTCCTCTTCCCATTACTCATTTTGCACGTATTAAGACACGTTTTGCAATTGTGGAACGTCCGGTGCTTGTTTTAAGAGGAAGGCAGGCAGAATTCTTATGTATCAGCAGCGTACGTCGTCTCGCCGAAACGGAAAATTACGTGTTTTCCGTTTCGGCTCTGAATAAACAAACGACAACAAATAGCAATTTTCGAATTGATGATACCGCAGTATTTGACATTTATTTAGCCAAAACTCGAATAAGCGATACATCATATTACGAGTATACTCTTGCACCATAGATCAGATGGTAGATATACCGCAACAAAAATATAACAAAAATGATCATATTTTATTTATTGGCGTAAATCCGCGTTTACGTGATTATGCCCAATTTTTAACAGTATAATTATAAGTAAAGTCAGTTCTTATCGACCTTCGGTTTAAAAGTTTTTATGACGATACAGGCTGAGGCAGCCTTAAAACTGCTCTGGTTTACACACACAGTATAGGAATTTAAACGTGGCTGAACTCAATAAACGCTGAATACCAAAATCCAACCTATTATTACAATCAAAAAACTAGCTCGCGGCCAAAGTTGACGGGCTTACACATAACAAAATTAACATGTGTAAATACGATGCATCGGATAGAGATATCGAAAAAAAACCAAAAAAAAGAAGCTAGGAATCTAGCATTTTCTACCTAGAATTTAAAATTAACACACGTAACCGTTACACGCAAGCCCATCCACAGATTCCGTACTAAACCGGGTAAACCCTTCGAGCGCAGTGAATGCGTTCTTCCCAGCTGCTTTATTTTGTTTTCAAGTCACCTTACTCAAGTACAGCATGACGAGCTGTTCCCTTACCTACGAATATCACATTCCTTGGTTTTTCTGTCCGGAAATGGATATTTGATTTTCAAGTGTTCTGACCAGCGCGCAACAAAGCACACCTCACTTTTAACTGTCAAGTGGTTTATAGCATAATGCATGTGAAACGGTTGTATTAATATCGTCTTCAGATATCAAGCGTTGTTGGTTCAGTGGTAGAATGCTCGCCTGCCACGCGGGCGACCCGGGTTCGATTCCCGGACAACGCATTTTTTATATTTTTTCCACAGATTTTCTTCACTAACCACACGAAAAGTTATAAAAAAACCTTTTTTAGCAGTTTCTGACATTAACAGTTTTGTTTTCTGTCATATAGAACAGAAATCAAACAATATTTGCATTAACTGCTCGTAAGCCTTGTTTTACGAACGTAAGACTTCTGTTTACGAGTTACGAGTTATAAATTAGTCGGCCCCATAGTCAACCGTTTTCTGAGACGGAGAAAAAAGTTTCTCGACGGGACGGTACTGACCCGGTTTTCGTGGTCACGGATTTCCCACGACACGGTCCGCTCCGACTTACCGTCAACGTTAAATATTGAAAGTTGTGTTCCTCAAAAGTTGTCATTGCTGGCTATATTCTTTTGACGGTAGGCAACCGCCCGCTGAATCGGTTGGAAGTCACCGTCTAGGGCGGTTGAAGGCACGCCGTAAGCGGCATTAGCTTATGGCAAGCCGAGTAATTATAGTATTTGGTAATAAATGCTGTACTGTGCAGTATTGTACATGTCGATTACAGTAGGATGAGTGAGTGAGGCTTTGCAATGATCAAACAACATTTCAACAAGTCAATTATGCACTTCGATACTGCATATTTGCCAAATCTGAGAAACTAATTTTTCTAAACTTTCAGCCTGGCAATCTACCAACTCACAGTAATTTTCGCTAAAATACTTCACAGTAGCTTTCCATATTTATTATTATCCCAAATGCCTTTCAATGTTCACAGCTGCTCCTGATTCGAGATTATTCGGTATTAATTTTTTTATACTGTTAATGTTTTACAGGCATTTTGCTACAATTTAATGGAAATGTAAAACACGTAAACTTTCCAAACGGCTCTAATGGAAAATCATATAAGTATGATATGTACTGACTTCCAATATGGAAAATGTGCGTACAGATGTAACTATTTTGTAGCTTAAATGTCTGTTTAACAAAAGAGTGCATTTATGTAATAATGGAGATTAGTATTCATATATAGGTGCATGATATAAAGTGTATTAATAATCTGGCGTCAAGGTGGGCAGTGGCCGCTTAGGCGCATTATGTATGATTAGGCCGAAAACAAACGGAGACCGTATTAGGGAGGAGCCATCCTCTCTACACCGAAGTCGTCGAAACCACAATTTCGACGTTCGGTTCAACACAGTCATGTCCCTCAAGTCATCCGTAAAAAATGGGACGGAGTCAGGGAATGGTGTCCTCATAGTTATCAAAATTTGGACACCTTTTGTCAGAGCTGCCGTTTCGGTGAACTATGAGAGCACGCCTAGGCTATTTCATAGGCATACGTTATCGGTTTTCGCAAATGTATGGTGGCTTTTTACTGTACGCGACTGCGCTCGATTACAGATACATAACATCAAGCCGCTAGAGATTCCTGAGTTCCTACCTTTCCCATTGTTGTTTCGTGTAGTTCTTGTTTCTTCCATGCTTGAACAAAGTGACGCCCAATCGGCAATCGGTAGCAATGACAATTAATCCGTCTACCCGGGTAGTTATTACTTTCTGCAGTTACACGACGTCAGTAACTGTAGGAATGCAATTCTGAGATCGCGAAGTGCCACTAAAAACAGAACCGGATCCATAAGCGCTTGCACGCTGTACATGAACGTAACTACAATAAATATGGTGAGATCGTCCGGTAGAGGGATAAACGAGTACAGCGTAAAGGCGATAAAATTCGGCGTCCAACAAATCATCACGCTTACGGTTAGCAGTGTTAAGAGAAGCATCTTTTGCGAGCTGTTTCGGAACAGGCCAGTCCTTTTTGCGCTGATAGTGGATTCAACCGTCGCTGGCTTTTTTAACACTACGCCATCGTTGTCACATTGTCGTCACGTAGTTGCAACATAGTCAGCCGATGCAGTCGTTGCCGGTGTTTGTAGTGTATGAAAGGATAAGCCAACGTCATAATGCATAATGGCGTACACTGCAGCAGAGACTGCATGATGACATTCCAGGTTTTCTGGGCTTCTATATTAAGGAAGCAGCCTCTGCTTGATCTTACTGGATCTTCTCGATAGTACAGGCCATCGCTGATAAGTCCCGGCAGCATAATGACGTGGACGAAGATCCATTTAGCCATGCAAATGGCGACAAAAACACTGACTTTTTGATGAGTTCTGTACGAATGTGGAAACAAGATTGCCCAGAGTCGATTTAAGGTGATCAGTAAGTGAGCGTTGCAAGTTGCGGATTCTAAAGATAAATATTTAGCACCAAGTAGGAGTACTAGATGCTAATCAAGGATATTTCTAAAGGTCACACTTACGTATCATGTAATTGCTGTATAAATATACCGAACATATCACAGAACTCCTGGATTTCCAGTAGCTGGGAGAGAAGGCAGCTCCAATATCGAATGCATTTTCCCAGATACAGTAAACAAAATTTGTTATGGTCAGATTAAGCACAAAGACATAAAAGGGTTTCCTTTTTAGGTTGCGGACACGAGAGAACAGATACAGCACCAGACCATTGGCGGTTGTACTGAGGATAAACACGACCGTGACGCTAATGGCTGTAAAGGTCGGCGTTACTAAATTACCCATAGATGCGCCCGTGCCATTTAAGGAGTAATTGGACCTTTGCAAGCTGCTATTAACCAAATCCATATAAATACAGTTAAAGGAAAAATAACTATTCAATACAATGCCGTAGCGAATCAAAATGCATTCTGGTAATTGAAAAGTTTTCTTGAGAGCCGCAACAGACAGCTGTTAGAAATAGCATTTTAGTACCAGTGCAGTTGCACTATCAAGTACCGATATTTTTCCTGATGGTTCCACTCAAAATTATAGTCATGATGTCGGGTTTTGATATGTCGTTTGGTGTATAAATAGGAGCAACATGCAACAATATATACCTAATACCAGGGCATGAGCACGCAGCTGTGGAAACGATGTCAAATTCTGATTAACTGTCAATACCTGTTCAAGTTCCTAAACCGTCATACTCAAATTGTTTTTTCCAAAGCTAGTTGCATGCCTAAGTTATGTAGACGAAAAGTGATGAGGCTCTAATTAGTTACGCACAAATCTTATTAATGAGTTAAAATGTGTGTTAATATATTATGTACAATATTTTTGAGATAATATTTTTGTAAACAAACTTTTTATTTTTGCAAATGAAAAACAGTTGTTTGTCCGCACTTATTACGCGCTTAAGTTACGCGAAAATTCATTTTTTGGTAAAGGTATGAGGTAAAGCCAATCCTGCTTACCGAAGCTGAAACTTAGCGGTCCTCAAGCTCACGGTTATCGTTAAACATGTGCAGTGAATGGGAAGTTGGGAACGTCGGGCGTACAGACAGATATCGACACTCTGATCACTTCCTGTTAAGTTCCTTTCATATTAAGTGATCGTTGAAATCAGTGTGGAAGATTTCTTACTTGGGTATGTGATTTCTAGAGCGTTAAACGACCAAACAGTTCTATCTGTAGACCGTTTGAGTGCATCAGTACCAGTAGCTGGTTTCACGATTAGTCTGCCGGCTACGCAGTATCTTAATGAATCCAGAACATGCTTTGCATTTCTGCTTGCTGATTTCGTTGCTACTGCGCTTATGCCAAAAGCAAGTAGGTACAATACTTACAATTTTTAAATAAATACGAGCATTCCATGCGTCAAAAAAGTTTACATTGACATGCTGCCGTATTCGCACTCTTCATTCGCTCTCCCAGTTTGTGGGAAGCGCATGAATAAAGTAACAAGGTAACAACCAGTGGCAAATATTGTAATATTATGAACTATCACTTCCTTCGTCCAAGGTACCAAGTGGTGGACACGGCAGTTTTGATTGACGGCAATCCATTCAACAGCTTCGACGAGCTGGAGGAGGCAACAGCCTGTGGCTTCGGTTTGAGTAATTTCTTCAGGTCCTCATACGACATGGTGGACAGGTCGTTGATTGGTTTGGCCAAACCAAGAAAATTGCGACCATGCTTGTACCGTAGCTTCATGTTCTCCAGTTCCATGAAAGGGTCAGGTCGACCTAATGTAAAAGACTTCATTATTTTATGGTGTTCGGGTTTGCTCTATAGTTTATATACATTTCGGACAATATCGCACCAAGTGGACAGATCGGAGGAGAAATAGGCAAATTATTTTTATGCAGATTACTATTTTGGTGCTGTCTGCAAAACATATAGGTACAGTCAGTTGCATTTACTTACTGTACCTCTGCGCGCTCTGTTAACACCGCTTGAAACGTCGCACTGTCGCCCAGTGATTAAAAGAAGGAAAAGGCATGCCGTGAAAAAGACTAACCGCATAAGCAAAGCCATGGTCAGTGAAAAAATGGAAAAGACTCCTGGATTTTATGCCACTGAACCTTCAAGTCGTATGCCGTTTATTTTGTACCACATTTTCCGCTTATATACGGGCTGCAACGCTGTACAGACACCAAAAGCCACAGCCCTCCATGACGTGACCGCTGCTGAAAATGACGTCCAGGCAGTTCTTCTGATCGCCTACTTACGTATATACTCAGACACTGTAAAATTAAATGAATACTTAATGCATCCGTTTCTAGATCTCCTGAAAAGGTAAAGGGAGGCTGAAATTAAGGAAATTCGGGGTAAACAAGTGGCCATAAAATCACTGTCATGGCGCGCGTGGGGCATTCTAAGTACTGGAAGCCATTTAAAAATCCCAGGATTGCGGGGCAAGTCGCATGACATTTGAGTACCAACTGAACCGAACTAAGTGTCGTATGTCGCAGTATGCTCAGGAATTCGAGAAAAGGTTACCACCGAGAAAGAAAATGTGACAGTGGTGCTGTGGTAGTCTTCTTATGAATTTACTTACTGTAATTAAAAGTGATAAGAAATGTGCTTGATGGCGCTGATGCTCGGCTTATTATTAGGATATATATTAGCTTACGACTATTTTAAGCTATGAAACTATTAAACTATTAAACTATAAACTGATTACATAATTAACTGTATCAGTTGCTGATGGACAAATATTTTGAATGTGAGCAGAGACTTCACGACTGTCCTACATTTTGGCAACCGAGAGAACAAATTCCCAAATTTAACGCAGTTTCACACAGAGAGGAAAGAACAATTGGTATTTATTTGATTATAATCTTTTTGAGCCATAACAGAAGGCAGGCTAAAAAATTAGACCCCAAAAAGACATAAAGGATAAAGTTTGGGGCCTATAAAGTCTTGGGTTTGGGGTTTATTTTATAAAGGATAAAGAAGGGGCGATTTAATTATCACAAGCCGTGACCTATACAGGATGAGGATTTTCCTAGAGAAAGCAAAATGTTTGCGATACAGTCAATCCAGACAGATTGGATAGGGTCGATGACGTTATCAGATTTTCTTTGTTTTTGGATTGTTCTGTTCGGAGTTTACAAGGAATCCGTCAAAACTTAGATCTGTCAAGGAAAATATCTTATTCCTACAGGTCTTCCCGTGAACAGAAAACATAGCGAGGACAAAGAAACCAATAACGCCATAAAAATCAACATATTGTTGGGAAACTGTGCCACATGCATTTTGTTGTGACAAAGATCTGATCTGTAAAAGCTTCAGATGCGCATGCCGCGAGTCGCAAACACTCTTTGTCTGTGCAATACGTATCAGAGAAAGAAGCAATAGCAAAGACCAGTTTTTTTTATGTGAGCGCCACACATTAATGTTACCACCCTTCAAAATTGCATTTACCTCTTCGCCATCTGTGGATTCCCCTGGAAAGGTCACACTGTCTTCCGCTAACTGCGAGAAGAAAGAAGCATGCCGTTAAACAGAACCGCTGGATTAACGAATTCATTGCAGGATGAACTCTTGTAATTCAGTCCAATCGGCTAACGTGAAAGCAGTGTGTGTCACGGTGTTTATATAGATGAAATGCTACATTTCTATTGTGCAGTCTTTCACGGCTAAATCCATACCTAAGTTGAAAATACCGGTCTTATCTTTGAACTGGATTGGCGATATGAATGCTTATGAATATTTAAATACAGCCCTTAAAAAATTTCATGTCACATCAGGTCTTTCTTTAGTATACAGGAAAATCAAAAGCAACCGGAGTAAGTCATGCCATGCAAATGTTGCATGAGTCTCTTCTAAGAGCCAAAGGTCACTTACATATTTACGCCGCCCAAACGTATGGTTCGCTGCGTTTTTGCATAACACACGTTCACCGCGTAAACCAGGCTTAACCAGCTCACCAAAACAAATTTCACCAATTGAATTATGGTTTACAGTCCCGGATGACTGGTTCTTAAATACCTATTAAACAAATTTGTCGGTAAACCCAGTATTCACAAAGGTCATTTTTTGCGGAATGTCACAGGTCCTCTAAGTGTGACTTTGAATGTCACGACAACTGCACCATATTAATTTTAATAGTGTTTTCAAACCTGCTGCAATGTTTGCTTCTAAAGGCCGCATCAGCAGCGTAAAGGTCACAACAGCTTATCAAAAAGAGCTCCCCTCGCTAGCGCTGCCGATATCATAAATTTCTTGGTGTCAGGCACAAGCGACAAAATCAAAATTTTTTCAGTGGTGATGTCGGTAAACCCAGTATTCACAATTTTGTAAGAAAAGGTTTTTGTAAGAAAATTGCGAAGAGGAGGAACTCGGCTGTGCTGAATATAGCTACTATAAACTGCATCATAACGATGTTGATTTCTGAATAGGAAAATCAACTGGGTACGGCAAATAATGATAGGCGTACTGTAAATAGGCTTGTGTTTCATAAACCGAACGCATTTCAGCTGATGAGGGACACAAACAAAGCAGTTAAAAAGCTATATTTTCATCGTACCCGTAATGCAAGCTGCTTTTTCCCAATGACAGCCGCAGTTGGATGAAGGCGGTAAACGGAGTGACCTCTAATACTTACGTATAACGATGTAGGTACATGTACGATTACAGTGGTAAATGTAGGTATTCATCAATAAAGGTGGTATGTAAGTGCTGTGTTATTGTTTGTTACGTTTTACACTTCCCAGATCAGATGCAGTGTGTAATTGTAACTGAATATGAGGGCGAAAATGTGCACTGAAACTATTTTGTGTGCATAGTTAACCATTGTCATGGGTGCAAAAATTAAAAATTTAAGCAGCAGCTAACGCTGACACAACAGTATGTTTTCCTGTTGCCCTTTCCACAACGGCAGGCTACGTAAAATTTCTCCGGAAACTGTGAAATGAGGAAACGATGGATTTATAGTTTGCTTTTATACAGATAAAAATATACAACAGTATCCACCACTATGGTGTCCCCGATCAGCGCACAAAGCATCCGAAAAAGCATAACAGGTGCTTGTCTTTGGACATTCAGTGCTTCTGTTTACTTCTTGCGTCCAAGGTACCAGTTACTGGTCAGCTCCATGTTTTCGCCGGATGGCAGGACATTAGCCGGTAGGGAGACGTTGTGCAGCTGTTTTGTGGGGAGGGTGATTACTGACCGCAACGTCTGCATTTTGCTCAAAGCGTGGATATCGGCAGGTGGCATATTGATGCGGTCGGTGAGTGGTTTGGTTAGGAAGTACATGAGACGGTCGTGCTTATGCTGTGGCTTCATGTGCACCAATAAGTTTTCGCCTGCAAAAATGCAAAGTCATGAACAAGGTTTGCTACATTGTGTAGAATGTTTTTCGAACCCCTGGAAGTTGGAAGAATATCGTTAAATTTTCACATGCCAAGACGTGTGCACTTGCAGCTCTTTAGTGAATACGGTGCAAGGCATAACGTCGCACTAGACATTCTGTCTTCACATACCTGTGCCTATTCGCATTCCCGTATTAACCTCCGAAAGGTCACACTGGAATCCACTAATGCCAAGTGACACGAAACAAGCCATGAAGAGAAAGGCTTGCGTCAGTGATACCATTTTGGATAGTTATGAGGGAAACGAGATTATTCAGAGCAACAAGGACAATTAACAGCGCATGTACAAAGACTTCCCTCAAGATCTCTTCAATTTATACTCTATGATCCCTTGACCAAGCAAATGTCTGCAATTTAAATGGCGGCTGACCCAACTACTGTACAATATTAACAAGTTGATACAACTATTTTTATGTGCTCTATCAATAATTTTCTGTCAGTAATTTTTCACATCCGCCTCTTTTCTGGGACCCTAGAACGCTGCAGTTCAAGGTAAATTTTTAATGCATAAAATACTCAAGGGATGTTTACTGGGGATTCGGAGTAAGTTGTTTCGAAGGTCGCTCAGCAGTCTACGCCCCACACCGCCTGGAGTTTGAGTGAAAGCAATTAATCGCGGTACTGCACTTTAATTGGCGCTGTTTTCCAAAAGGAAGACTGCCACAACGTTGCATAACGGATGCAACATAGTTCAGTTACTTCGCTTCTGAAATATTAATGCAACATCCGTCTTGTGCTTGTGACTTTCAAGGTCCTAATGCGTCTAGAGATTCGTCCTTGAACTGCATGGGGTCAAACTTACGTTGTTAACCGCTGAATTATGTTGTTCAGGTGATGTGATATATTCATTTTTTGCAAAATACAAGACGTACATACATATGTCAATTCACCGACGGTTCCACATTACTGTACCATGAAGCCAACGTGCTAACTATTGCTCCTGGTTTCTTAATATGATCTCTCTAAACTCATCACTACGCAAACCAACACAAACTGCAAAACACAACACACGAATTTCCAGAAACCTGAAATGGCTTCGGAGTACCAAACACTTTGACGCGATTTATTTTGGTCTACTTCTGTAAGAAATATTGCCAAAACTCAAATCTTGCCGGGTGCTGCTAGTGTGCAAAGAGCTGATTTATTTAACTATGCAATGAAGATCGATAATTATAATATTAATATTTGTATTATATGTATATATAGATATGTAGTACACGGTAGCGGGTAGAGAGGTGAACGATTGACTTATACACAAACCAAGAAGACTGCGATTTCGCAATGGCATGATTTCTCGACCGTAGACCAATAAAATAGGACAGCACAAGCAAAGTCAACACTTCTACA